CAATGATTCATTAGGTGAAAGCTTGACAAGAAAACACTACGGGAAAAACGACACTCGATGTTTGAGAGAGGCGATTTCATGCTAAAAAAGACAAACAACTTCGAACAGTTCTCGCAACAACGGTAAATAATTTGTCAAGCATTTAAAAAAGAACAATAGAAGAACAAAAAAAAAAACTTTTTTTAGAGTCAAATATATTTCCTTTATATATATATATATATATAATATTAATGATTTAGAACGAGAGAAAACAATTAAGTTTTTTATTGTTTATTGAAAGTTTATTAGTCGCTCTAACGGCATGGATATTTACATAAGATTTCAAATATTATTGCCTCAACTTAGAAAAGTGAGATAATTATTTGGGTGATTTAATCAACAGCAGCGGAGCGACGGCCGATAATAGCAGCGAAAGTACAGGATTACCGATGCTAGGTAAATTGCCAGAACGAGGTAATGGAATAATGCAGGAAATCAAAGATGGCTCGAATAATGCAACAGTGGATTCTCTGAAGCGTGATAATGATAACTGTAACTATAATTGTAACTATATATATATGTATATAACAGAATAACAGCAATTAGTTTTAGTGCGGATGGAGCCGACCCAGGTTGGCTTTCGCTATTTGTTTTCCAGCTCTACGAATCTAGCGTGCTTCTACTTGGGGCTGAAGATGGTGGTCAGTCTTGTCGATTCAACACGAAGCCACAACGGACCGCACATAGCCACCAATCAAATCTGGGACGCGTTTTGCGTCACTTATGTTTTGTATAGTAGAAAGGCTTGCACCCGAATGGTGCTACTACTAATTCAATTTTGATGCATATTATAGATATGTAAGGTACGCTTTTCGTAGCTACATCAATGCCAGATGCTGCCAGCTATATTCAGAGCTAAAAAAAAAAACAAAAAAAAAACCCTAATGACTCTGAAAGTCGAATCCAGTGCTTTACTGTATTCTATTGGGTGAGCGATATCAATTATAGAAACTTACTCTGTCAAGGTGAAGAATATCGGTCAAGGTAGTTATAACGGTAACGATTAGAGGACTAGCAATATAACATGAAACAAATGCGAACATTCTCATAGTTGGTGAATGTGTGTTGCTATTGCACACAGTAGCAAGCTTCAGCGTCTATTAATAGTAAATAATTGATACGATGAGTGCAGGTGATGTCCATGGTTTTTCTAAGTAATGCCGCTCAGCATAAGGACAGATCCCAAAATGATAAAGCCTCTGTGGCGGAAAGCACACGCCGATGGTAACGAAAGCGTGTATACAAGACGTCCAGAGGCTGCTTCGTAATTTTTTCGGTACCGTTTTGAAACTGTCATGCATTTCGCTGAAGTTATAGCGCAGGACATGGGCTCTTGCATTGGATCAGTTCCGGTAAGCTTCCTTTACCTCGGTAATAAATGGAACGCATGTCGTAATCTCCTTAAAAAAAAACAATAGCTACGGCATTGATATGCCCTAGGCGAAGTGGATATGGAAAGGACGTTAGTCGAAAAATTCAGTAATTGCCCATATTTGGCGTATCATACATATGGCGTTGCACTTGGCTCGTGCATTCCATATCGTGCAATTACATACACCAAATGAAGTCTAGTGCTAAATACCGCAACGCCTACTGCATATATATAAACGGTTATGCAACAGAGAGCGAAAGGTCTTATTGAGATAACGTTGCTCACAGAGTGGTCTAGAACTGCCACATCGATTAGCCGGCCAGAGGAAAAGGTTTGGCAGCAAATGTATGAGGTACTTTTCAAAAAGTCGCAAACATCTTATGTGATTCCCAACAGTCACTATTTTTGGGAATTGCAGTTGGTTAGAGATGGCAAGTCTTGCGTGAGCGGCCACTGATGTCCTTCGGATTAGTACTATTACTGTGTATAGCTGCATATATGCCACATAATTAACCGTTGAAGCTTTCGCCCTGATATGGTATTTCGGATTGCAAACTGGCGAACGCACATCTAGCAGTGCTGAACAAAATTACTAAATTAATTATAGCATATATATAATACACCCGATCCATTACATGACACGATTGCTTCATGCAGAACTTCATATGAAATCGCAATGATTTAATCGAGAGTTTCTCTGTAGTTGAATCTGTTGTGCTCGATAACAGATGGCAATACCCCAGGGTGGCAGGAGGTTGACATAAACCGCAGAGGGAGCGGAGCCAATCCCAAAAATTCTTCTCCAGTGCCCCAGAGCGAAGAGGATCCCACAGCCGGAAACCGCTGGGCTATCGATGCGAACTCACGTCCCCAACCGCCTACCTCCTAAGCCGCACAGGGCGGCATTAACGGCATATTAGCCTCGATAAAATCGAAGCGTCGAATTGACCCTCTTCACAGAACACACTCTCTCGCCATTTCATTAGTAGTTTCTCATTTATTACCGACTCAGTCTGCACAAAATAATCTTATTCTATGCATTAAAAAGCACGCGGAAAAGCTCAACCGAACTCGCCAACCTTGAGGGCGTACGATTATTGATACCTGCATTTGGAGTTAAATAATCTTTAGAGAACGACTTCAAGGGAACTATGGTTATGACTTCGATATGTACGTTCCGGTGGGTCAAGTATCGTATCATATGAAAAATAAGCACTGTGAAGCCGTAATTATCTATCAGCCAGCACGCCTTGAGGCTAGTTGTACTGCTGATTTTTGCTCAAGGTCAGCTAAACCAATCAAACGTCTTAACCTGATCAGGTCAGACGCAGTAATCGACAGCTGCTTGCAACGTTCAGAGGCGACTGACTGCACCATCTGGAAATATGTCCTCCTTCGGTATAAGATCTTCATTACAAACTATGAGTTACGTAATTGAGCTCGCGTCATCAAATTCAAACGATACACACTCTCAATTCAATTCTCGAATTCGGTTCAATCTGACCAAAAACAATTCAAACCTTTATCACGTTCATATGAATTTATGCTCTAACTGTATAACATTACAACACTAATCGTTTTGTAAATTCTGCATCAAATAGATTAGCAGCAATCCGTTGTCGGCGACAGGTTCATCTATACTCAAATGTTTTCCCCGCCATTCGTCAATTGGCTCCGCGTAGTTGCGTATGTATATGTTGAAATTCCCACCTGTGCTGTTCGTTGGGTGTGTTTATCTTGCGTTGCGCGGTTTCAGTGACGCAGGCAACTCATTCCATTTAGTTTTGTTGTATGACTCGAGTTAGCTTTTCCGCCTGACGGCTTTTGACAGGATCTGGATAGGGTTCACTAAGAAACTACTAAGACTGAGAAACTATAGCGACTGGGTTGACAGGAGCAACGACTGCCAGGACGTCCTGCCACTAGCAGTATCGATGCCGGTGTCAAATTCCTGTCGTTGACGTTTGTCGTATAGCAATATGTAAGCGGGCGTGTGAATCTGTTGAGTGTGTCGGTGGCATGTGTGCCCATAGACGTAAAAGCGAATCTCTATGCGACGTCTTCGTATAGCCGCGTAACATCTGGGGCGTAATAGGCGAAGTGTGACTCCGTGTCAAAAATGTGAAAGTTTGTCGTTGTGATGAATAAGGCGATAACAACGATAGGCACATTGCACAGAGAGAACTTGTGATAAGTTTCTTCATATTCGGGCAGCCCAACATGCAAGTATGAACTTGGTAACCTATTTTGCGGCGTGTTCTGGAGATGTTCAAAACAAAGCACAGTGTTATGGCGCTACATTTACATTAACACAATATATTTCGAGTAAAAATTCTAAGCTATACACTAAGACGAAAGTTTGCAAAAGGCAACTATTAACCGTGTGTATTCTCTGTCGTCGAGATGATTTTTCATTCATTCATCGAGCGTTGTCGTGACGACTTCTCGACACATAGCCTACATGTGACTTGGTAGCGCCCCTGCAGACTGAATAGAAAAAGGATGCTACCTCAGGTACGCCCTTCTCTACTGAAGCTGCCTTTTCATGGAAAGCTATATAAGCCACCACCCCCCTAAGTCATTGATGTTTAATGTCCGCCTCTTTGTTCAGGCTAGTACGTTTGATAAACCAAAAGCTATACCAGAACTACGGACAGGTACGTTGTCCCATGCTGAATTGAAGGTTCATAAGGCAAGTTCGCCGCCGCTGCTTGTGTTTACGAAATTCATTAGACATTATATTATGCGGTCATAGTGACATAGTGTTTCGTAAACGATCAGAATCTAACATGGACAGCTATATTTTTGTTTCGCTTATGTAACACAAGTTCTGCGGTTACCGTTGAGGCGCCCTATATGCGTGTCAGGTCACCTGTTATTAATGCCTTACCTCAAAATATGGATCTATCTCGTGGGTCAGCAGGCCACCGGGCGCGGCAATTCCCACCTCTCTGACACTACAGGACACGCCAGTTCTCACTCATAGCGCTCAATCACTGCTGAAGATATTATGACGAACGAAAATAACACCTGACCATTCCAGCACTGCCTTGCGGAACTTGAAATCAAGGGATATACGGAAATAAGAAGAGAGGACACGAAACGGAGACAACTAACCATTTATCGTAACAAGAATAATAAGATATAATAGGGCGTTTCTCATTACCGTTCATCCCTTAGAACCAAATGCCGGTTGCGTTTGATAGCAACGGCAAGATAAACGGAAGAACAAGCTGGCTAACATTGAGCGAGACCTTTGTGGAAGCTATACACGACATCGTCATATCAACTCGCTGCAGATTGTTCCGTTTATTTTATCCTCGCTTTCAATGTTCTTACATGATTTTTAACAATTCTGATAAAGACATGTCTCCCTAACGTACGGTGCGGTTCACGATACTCTAATTTTTAATGATGTTTGGAATTCAACTCATATTATATATCTTTATGAAGGAGAATGCATTCAATGGAAGTGCTTGATTAAAATATATTTATCCTATGCTGTCTACTAAAATTATAGACGGCAAAATATCATACTACGCTGATTAACAGCTGGACCGTGTTTCTTCTTCTTCTTCTTCTTCTTCAGGGTGGTCTATTCTCTCAACTGGAATACTTTAGCAGTAGAAGAAATCAACGTACAAGTCCGATCTGGTAAGTCCCTTGTCCTTTTGGCTACACTTCCACATACACAACATTCAAATATACAAAATACATTTTTTTAGAAATCAAGCATGGCGTCAGCATACTTACTACAAGCGCGACCCTGCATTGCCTACCCTCTAGACACGAAGCAAATCTGTGGTGTGTAATTCCAGTAGATCAATTTTGCTATATAACTGTTGTATTTGGGGTAGGTTGGGTAATAATATCTAACTGTGCTAGAAAACGAACGAATAGCTAATGATTGAGCGCGTAAGCATGAAAGAAAATTCCAAGTTGATTACTATACTACTATATATATATATATATATATATATATATATATATATGTATATATATATATTACTATACTATAACCTTAGCTCACTTCTTTGACAGCACCGAACATTTTTTTTTGTTCTAAATATATATTACCTAGTGAGATAAGGCACCGAGTAGGATACGTTATTATTAGAAGCGATTTTTGAGCTCGAAAACACGGTGCTTGGCTGATGCCATCTAAAAATGTCTTCGTTCATGACTTTTAAAGCAAGGCGAACACGTATCATTAGCAAAGGCGAGAAAATCTGCCCAATAGTTGCTCTATTGCCGATAGCCTTTTCGGTTCACTTTCGCGTCCGAGCAATTTAAGAACCAAGTCGGCCAACGAGCCAGAAACGAATTGTAAAAGGTACAGGCGGTGCCAGCGGACGCTATTACCGCCCGCCCAGGAAATCCTTAACCAACTTGAAGACCACCACTGAATCTCTTGTCCCAGAGGGCTAGTCTATGTCACTTATCCCGGCTAGTCTTCCACCAGGCACTCTTTTCCCAAGGCTGATCTTAGTTTGTTCCATGTTTAAAGCGGTACAGGATGAGAGTACATGATGTTCGGCTAGAAGGCCTTTCCTTTCACTTCCTCTTGGATACGAGCCAATGTTGACGTGCAGATATGGCTCACGGGTCTGGGAAATAACTAGCGAGAGGTCCCTTTTTTGGAAGCCCTGTCACAACTCTATCGCCTTCATGATTGTGCAGGCCAGGCCTAAACCACAGCTTACAGGACCATGGGTTAAAGCTACTAGGAGAGCAGCAAATCGAAGACTACCGCTGGCAATGACAAATGCACCGAGGCTTGGCTAGTCGTAGCCTACCCAGCATCGACAAGAGAAACTTAGTTTTTTTTTTCGTTTTTAAGCGGCACGCTTTCAACCCCCGACCTTCTTCCGACTCACACCTACATCGTACCCAGCTGAGTTTGTCTTCCACTCATGTCTTTCCCAGATTTCTTCAATTATTTGTTTATTTATACAACGCAAGAGCCGGTGATGCCGACCTTGTACGTTTCTTCCTCCTCCTCCTCCTCCTCGTCCTCGCAGTTCCTTACTTTTTTCATAGCGACTCTAGCTATTTAGCATCCAGCAACAGAGCAGAAAAGCAGCAAACATCTAAACCGTGCTTGTTTGTACTCTCGCTCACTGCTTGAAGACTATACCAGAGTAGTGAGCATAGTGGCACATGAACTCGGTTTGGCTGACATTTTAAACATACTTTTCACCGTTGACGCTGCTGCCTACTATTGATCCCCATCATTTTAACCAAGCATTGCTATCAACTACGCCGCTCACAATGCGAATATTTGCCCAGAGTTGCATTCGCTTACCTTGATGGCGTCACACCGAAAATATATATGAGAGGCACTAACGCCCATAGGGACAACAATGAATGCTCTGATATACTGTATGTTATTGTTTACTGGTGGGTAAATAAATACTTGCTTAAAGCGTTCATGTATATTTTAGGAAATTGCATCATACATGCTCCTACATTATTGGGCATCTATGATCAATGAACTGCTAATCTCTCTAAAAGCATAGCGCCATCCAAATCCCAGCATTGGCGAACATTATTACCTGAAATTAATAATTAAATTAAAAAAATAGGATTAATAAGGAACTATTCAAATTATTAGCTGCTTGCATGGTTGCCCTATTTTTCATAGGGCTGTTGGGTAAACCCTGGATAAGTCCCAGTTTGATTAGCCCCCTGATGGAGCATGACATGCTTGATGGCTCGTAGGATCGATTTGCACAACATGACAGACAAGGATGTTACCTTCTCATGCACATCAGATCTTTTTCGTTTGTATGCTATGGAATCTGCCCTTCCGCTGTCAGCGGAAACAGGAACTTAACACTGATGAGCATAACAGTAACAAAGAAATAAAATGATCCTACGAACTCCAAATATAAATCTAAGGTGTACATATGTTAGATGCCCGAAGTAGATACAACCCTTGTCGTGGGCCAGCCGTCCGAGGGCTGTTTAATTCAAAGCGTTTATTCTATGTATGCATAGGCGTCCGTCAAATGTTTCCATTATAAAAGATCCAGTGACAGAGAAGACAATATCAATGTATTCTTTAACATTGGCCCGCGTGTAGCTTGCACGCTGATCTATCCGATCATGTGATCTGGCATTTGCTAGAAACAAGTTATCTATCATTTGTTCCTTTATTTATTATTATATTTGTTACGGACGGGAGTATTTCTAAGGTAGACTTTGATCCATATAACTATTATGTAAGATATTTCACGTAGCTGACGAGTCAGCCGGTCTACTAGATGCCTTGCGAGCATATTTCGTATTCTTGTTTCGTACACAAGGTTGACGCGCAATAGATATGCGACTTTGTATGATCGGCAAATTTTCTAGAAAATTATGATTTGTCTCAGGCTGTAGAATATTTAATGCAAGATAATAAGTGCAAACTGTAGCCTTTTCTCTTTTAGTAGCTGGCCCAATTTTTCTTCGCGAATGAAAAATCTCTCTGTAGGAATAATTTGACTTGACAGGCAACGGAGGTTCGCCTCTGTTCTCAGCTAAGGATTAGAATCTAGAACCAGTATTCTGGGTATATCTATACATATTTGCACATATTTCTCGCTTTTTTTGGGAAGCCGAATACTGATCTTAGCGTAGAAGTAAAACAGGGTAAAGTCACATTGCCTGGGAGCACATCACTTTAGGACCTTGAACTCAAATCAAATACCGCTACTTCGCTTACTAGCTGAGGAATATTTAGGGCAATTATTTTGCGAGCGCAGCGTCCTTTCGGCCTCGATCATTCACACGAGAGCAAGCTGCTTCAGGGATTTCGAATTCATGGCTGAACACGCCGGGTCTACCATGCAAGCAAGGCAGGCTTGCACAAGGATCTTGGAGCCTGACCTTGGAACGCGTAGACGCTTTAATCAGAAATCGGCCCTTGTGATTATGGTTTAACTTCTCGATGTTGATTAAAAGCTGATTCATCGCTTTCTCTACTTATGAATCTGTGCGGTAGGGTGTGAGTGGCAATTGATGATGGAACATCGGTTGAAGTATGTTATCGTATTGTCAATCCAGTTTTTCTGAGGACGTTGCTAACGGAAAAGAATTCCTTAGACATAGACATAATTCAGTATACAGTTTATAAGGTTACTAATTAATAGCACAAACGCTTTGAAGCTCGAAGTCCAACTAGCCAATCATAGTCGTGGGGTATGTCCAACTTTAAAATACTACGATACTAAATACGCTTCGTAATGTATATGTTTTAGGTTGTCACCGTTTGATGGAAACTGCCATCGTCGATGTATCGGACCTGAATATGTTTAGCTCATGCGCAGATAATGATGTCCAACTGATTCTCCAGGCGCCAAGGGGCCACCGGTTGTTCGTGCAGGTAAGCTACTGTTCCTAATCTTTGAAATGCACCAGGAAACAAAGCTAGGAAATTGTATATGTCTTTTTTCAAAAATACAGACTTTTCAAAATACATGTTGACTCTTTACGTATATTTGGCATAGAAATACGAATAGCGTTTTGTTAGTGCATATAGCAGCAACTTAGCAAGAATTTTTGTCAAAACTCCGTACAATGCGTCTGCAAAAAGGTTTAGTATTCAGCGAATTCCCAGCTAGATAAGTCCCTGTAAGCAAGAGTACAGAACAAAATAGTGTAGATTTTTTTTCTTTTTCGACCTGTCCTCAAAAGGTCAAGCGACCCTGGAGTCGTTCACCAGCATCATGAGAACCTATGATGTTGTTGTTTAATCCTTCTTCGATATGCTGTACGGAGAGCTTCTGCTTATGACAGAAGCGTCATACGTAACAAGAACACTAGAGCAGATGGAACAATATGACGCCTGCTGTACTTTCGTATATGGTGTGCAATATAATGCGCCCAAATGTAGCGATAGTTGTCAGGGAGCTGCACGGGTGGTTGGACAAATAAAGGTCTAGCAACGACGTGTGTCGAGTGAGATTAAACTGCTTGCACAAGTACTGCAGCGGTAATACACCCCTTGTTAAAGGAAAGGGTACAGATGGAACATCTTTTGTAAGGAAGGAACGAAAAGGCCTTCGCTCTTGTCATCACGGGTCGGCGGGGGTTCTGTAGTTCCTAGGGGTTGCGGTCAGCTCAACAGTAGGATCAGCTGCTTCCGTTCTGCGAGCAGATTTGGGTAAACTGAAAAGAAGGTGTCCTGAGTTTTAAGGGGGTCCATAGCCAACGAATAAAAGGGGACGAAACGAAGCAGGATTGAGGACCGAATGACATGATGAATCGCGCACGTTCCTGCACTGTTCCAGTTGCCGAACGATGGTCTTTAGTTGTCGATGTAGCCTTTTTGAAGTGCAAGCTACACGACAGGAGGCCACGGTTGCAGTGTCCTGGACGGCCGCGCTCCTCCTCTAGCTGGTCAAATTTGTGTATTAATAGAAAATCAAAAAAGCTAAGAGGTAACATCGAGTGCTGCATTGCCCTTTTTCTTAGCCTAGCGTCTGAGCGGCACCTTGTTCAACATACCATGTTTTGAACAGTCTTTAGGTAAAAACGTTTACAACTGGTATACTAGCGATTTGCTACTCAGCGAGATATTTAGTTTCTTCCAGTAACCGGCTAAAGTAATCTTTCAATGGATGACAATCACGAATGCTTAAAACCGCATTGAACTAAAGGAACACCTCATAATAACTAAAGATACTTGTCAAATGCATAAAGTGAAATGGTCTTATTTGAACTTTAAGGAACTTGATCGTTCCTTGCACTCAGAGTCACTATAAATACGCTTAAATGTTGTTATCGTATGTCAGTGAGAAAAACATGGTAAAAGGCACAGTCGACTTATGCGTATTCGAATTTTTAGAAACCTTCGAAAGTCCATTTGAAAGCATTGAGCCTATAGAGTTCAATAACCTTAGATCGTAAAAAATAATAATAACAGATCATAGGCTGGTTGAGTGCTTTGGTTCGTAAGTCCAAAACCACTGTTGAGCATAAAAAACGTGTCATTCTTCGCAATCATGTTCTATCATGACTAATTACGATCTAATTAGTTATTACTTTCTAACTATTTTCAAAAGGTTTTTTTCTTAATCCCCTAAATAAAATCGTCAAAGTATCGTTCAAATATGCTAGATACAGATTGTTCGAGCAAAATTAGAGTTTGAACTGGCCACACACGACAACTCCCAGAAAACGTAGGCGCCTAAAACAGCGAGATAAAAAGTACAAAGAAGGCTACCAGGTATCTAGAGAACTAAGTTTTATAGCTCATCGGAACGTCTCAACTAGCACTATTCTACTTTTCAAAATTCTGACAGTTAGTGTTTTTTTAAAGCTATTTTTGTACATTTGAGCCGCTTAAATCTACGCTCACTGGTTTGGATTAAAGGGCTTAAAATTAAAAATATTCACATTTGCCTCATAGAAATTTTCTTCGGATCTTTTAGAAGTTGCGTGAAAACCGGCAGTACGCAGAAAAACGAATTCGGACAAAATAGGCAGCTTTAATTTTGGTGGGAATTCATGTAAAGTCGTTGCTGATCTATTCGGGTCATGAAAGTTACGCACGTCTTTCCGCCATGATGAATGTGCCGTTATCAAAACTGATCAGTAATGTCACACGAGCGTGTGCCTTCTGTCGGACAACGCATGTCTGACATTGAATACTTTATTGCGTACACCTAAAAAACCTTGCACGATTTTCATTCCCGTCTTGGTACGGTAATGAAACACTGTGTTTCAATGGTCACAATACGAGTTTGCTAGGAACAGGGAGAATGTAGAAATAGGCTAGGCCAAATAAAGGGTGAAGAAGGGAAAACGGTCGTAGGATCGTTGCGTTATAGAAAAAACTCGGTGAAGCCACTCAGGTGATAAAAAAGGCTCGGGTAAAATTGAGAAGCGGAGGGCGCGTGTGGTTTTCTTAGCACCTTTTATAGGTCTTGAGAAATTGATGATTCCATAGGGGACGTGTCCTGCAGCTGGTAGGTGACCCGTGGCAAGGATTTGAGATTCTGTGTCATCCTATCTTCCGCCTAAGAAAAGAACATAATTCTCGTCTAGCAAATATCGGAAATGCAAGGCTTCGTCTAATCACAACGTGGAGCTGGCTCAAAAAGTAATAGGCGTTTTTCCTAGAATGCCAGCTTGAGCCCGTGAATAGGCGTTATATTAATATAGAAATATATGAATTACTAGTGTATTCTTTCGAGTTATAAGCTAATAAAAGATCAGTTCCGTTTGCAAAAATGACAAAGTTTTTCAAACAGCCCAGTGCTGTGCAGAAATCGCATACTCGATTCTATTTAAGCATACAAAGAGTACAGCATTTTTAACATGAACGTTTTTAAAACACGCGCCATTGGGCTGAATCGAACGGAGCCGGCTAAATCTACGACAACTGCTAAAAAGTTATCTTTTTTTTTTTGTTTTTGTTAAGGATTCGTTGTCAACCACCTTTCCCTATTTGAATTCAAAGTACTGTTCATCTGAAATAAAAATGTCCTATACTGAGTATTCGGTAACGGTTCTCTGAAGGATGTTTACATCGAATGTATACCAACGGACATGGTTAATATGTACGAGGCTAAAAGAGTGCCTCGATTTGCTTGATATACGCATCAATAGCAAAAACAAGGGGCCAGAAAGTGTAAGGACTATTGGCTTCTTTGTCCTGAGCAGAAGAAGCAGAAACTTATTGAATAACATGCGATCAATGAATAGATTGGAGTCGACGTTGCAAATAGGATTCTGTGCGAGGATCTGCCAGGTGAAATCTTGCTTCGTTAGCACCATATAATAGACGTTAGAATATCGTACGCGCGGCATGCGGTAGCCGTACGTGTAGCTTGATTAAATTAGGAAAAAATGAATGTTGTCACGCGTAAAAAGTTACGTTCATTAGCTGTTACTTTGTACGTGCCAAATGAGAATAGTCAATTGTGCGTCAGCGTTGGATTTCTTCTGAAAAATTGAAACTTGCAAGCCTTTTTTTTCGGCCCCAAAAGATCTGTATTGAGTAAGGGGACGATTAGCGTGCCGCTAAAATATATATTTCTGTTTGTTGTTCTGATGGTCCCCTGATTGACCCTACTTATTGCGACTACAAAGTTCAACGCATTACTTGCTCGAATCGACTTGCTAGGATACTTTTGTTAAGTTCAGAAATTTCGTTGAAACAATTATTGAGAGCACTAGCGTCTTGAAAACTCGAGACACGTATTCAGGTACCACTAGCTGAAATTCATAGCATACGTACAATGTGTGGGTCAGTATATGGGTCGGAAGTTGATCTCGAACGAGAAAATAAACGAACGAATGTCGCTTGTCTGATCAGTGAGCGTAAACAGCCAATTTCCGTGTGTGTGAATCGGTCGGCAATGGACACCTATCCAATGTTATGTTAAATATGAGTACGCTTCTATTATATTTTCAGGAAAATTAGCATTTTGCATAAAAATGCTAGTGAAATTACAGTTTTGCCTGCTAATTAACCTGTATATAGTTTCTTTTTGCCTTAATGGCAAGCCTAGTGTAACAGAGATGGGCGAAAGCTGTCATCGGCAGTGGCAGTGGCCGAGACGCCCGAAAGCGTGGTCCAAATTGTCTGAGAATGACTGCAAGTTTACTGTGACAAGACACTGCGTATTGCTTAATCGATTGCACCGTATATAAATGTTCATATTTCCAATAAGCTAGGCTCAATATAGGAACGGCACTGATTTTCTGCACCTACCTTCGTAGATCAAATAGATGTTGGGGACTTTGTATATTAAAACTGTATACTTAGTAACCACCATAACGAAACGATTAATCTAGTTTTATATACAAATTTTAAACTTAGCACACTGTGTTATCTTACTGTTTTAATAGAGCACTGCATACGCTCCGTGCATACCTAATATTTATATAGACATATTTAGATTGTGCCACTTCTCGCTTTGATACTAAGTTAAGACTTTCGTAATCACTATGCTCCGCTTTTTACCGGCAGCCACGCTACAGATCAGCGTAGTATTCCATGTATCCGCGTCAGTCTACAGCTTCAGCCAACGAGTTGCTAGGTCGTACGGTCCTTTGCAGTAAATATCTGCCGACGATAATCCGAATTCCCCTTTAGTCACGCCTGCATACGCATCTCTATAGGCATGCGTTTGTCGAACACATTTCTTACTAGAATCAACGGATGTGCCAAGAGAGATAGCTAAAGGTCGCGGCGTGACATGGCGAACAATGGAAACGATCAAGCATCTATGAAAAAAGTCGGGAAGTGCCTACGTAAACGTCGAAACACAGGCATATGCTATAGTAAAATAGAACCTTCCGAATACAGCCGCTGAGGCGAAACTGACTGGTGGGGTGCGAGATCAGACACTTTACAAATTCTGCTTGAAACGAGTCACCAGCTCATTCGAATAGAGAAGAAACCACCAGTGAAAGACGTTATCCTAGCTATCGATTAATTATGATACTAATTATTCGGGAGAGCTTCGCCGGTGGGAAAACCGGATGCCTCCATGACGGGGAGGGAGGAAAAGAAAAAAATAGGCCAAACACATAGGTCGATCTAGGCCAATACAGGAAAAAACACTATAGGAAACATGAATAGCGGCGAAATCGGCGTATCAAGACAGAGGAGCAGGCAAAAATTTGCTACGCTCCACAAGACGGTTCCTATCGAGGTCGCATGCTTACTGCAGTAAAAATGTGAAGGCTTGAAGTTACGAAAGCCATTGAGCCATCTAATGGTGAAGTAGTGGCGTAAATCATCTTCTGAAATATTGACTAATCTGCGCCAATCATTATGTGAAGTCGAGCATTTACCGAAATTTGAGGTAAAAAAATATGTGCTGAATATTGAATAGATTGAGAAATTGAGAACGAAGTGCTTACAGCGTATGAAAATAGCAGTTTAAACGTGTTTTTTTATTACGTTATACTTCAAATAATTAGGCATAAAGGTTCTGTGTTAGCTTTGGAACCAATGGAAAGTTAAGATGTTTTGAATTCAAGATGTACCCATTTGAAGTGTTATAATAGTCCGTTTAACTTTTTTATTTGCTTGCTTTTTTCCACTTCAATGTGATAGTGATGACTTATTATTGCAACACTCACTTATGTAGTACGCAAGCCTATCCTTTACGCTTTAGGATCCGGACAGATCTCTACGGCAAGGCCATCTCTTTAAATCAACTTACAGTTTCTAACCTTCCAAAGTAACCAACCAAGATGAAAGTGAATAATGATTATAATATAGTATTTATGTCTGCAGAGGCCGGTATTCCCGAACAACTTTACTATTTTAGCTTTTCTTTTACCTACATCAGTTCCCCTCTACTGCTTTACATGACACATCCTACTACCTGGTATCCATCTTTGACGCGATCAATAATTTCGGCTGCTGATCGACAGTGCAGTTTGCATATACAGACGTGATGTTGTATTTCAGACAAATGTACGCACGCAAATGTCTTACACCCCTCTGTTACCCACAGGCTTACACACCTCAACACGTCGCTTGTGTGCCACCTGCCCCTCAACCCCCAAAAGAATATACATTCACATAGTACATGAGATTTTTTCTTACCAATAGCTGGGTATACGAATACACACATGAACTTTGTAAGCCTTCATCATCGAACTTCTTGGCCCTTTATATCGGCCGGTGCCTCATGGTAGTGCTATCTGGCTAAGTCGTTTGCCTGGGCTAGGTGGGTGCGGGAGGGAGAGTCGCGGCGTCGATATATTACTGACAGCGTTCTTTGAGCTGTCAAGGGGTCCCCAAGGGCCTCTCTGTACAGTTGTATTGGCAGACAACGACGGGAAGACGCTCAGCTACTTTTGAACTGTGGTGAGTGGACTAGGAAGAGTACACTAGGAAGTGAGGTAGAACTCAGATCCCACAATCATCTCGCCTTTCAGTGCCCCATAAGGTCTCCCTTTCCAATGGGTACGGACTAACCTCAGGTTCTGTAAGCTTACAAAGAGGAAGCAGACAGAAAAAGGAGTAGACGACGCATTTGCGACAGAAGTGCATAGCCAGAAAAGACCAAGCAACTGGAAAAATTTCAGAGGGAGGCGAAAGCCCTGACGAAAATTGAACTTTTCTCTCTGCCAATCGGAATGATCTTCTGTCAAGTCTTTCAGACAAGGAAATAGTCAGCCGTGACAATGCGCCTCGTTAACTAGTCCTGCACGATAAAACCTGTACCGTGTATGGAACGCATGAACTATTATCCGGAATGCCATTGTTGTTAAAATCTCTATTTATAGGAAATTGAAAACATAAGCAACCTCCTTCTGGCTGCCCGAGATAAATATAAAGATCTTACGTACTCTTTGCCACTTCTGTTGCGAGTAATTATCGCCCTGATCTCCTTGGTGCTGCTATCCTCCACGGTAGTAAAAATACAACGACATTAGTGTTTGATGAATCTAAACCGACACAGATGACTAGGAGGTAGCGTGTTTCCGTACTACAGTCGTACGTCTATTTATCTAATGTGTATCTAGCTATGAAGATGGGCAAGTATTATATATTTCGAGTATAGATGGTGTACAGGAATAGGCTTCCGCGTCGTTTCAGCCTCGTTCAGGCAGACGCACACTTCCACGTCAGCAAAGGATATCGCCCGGTGCTTCGTTGACCTAGTCAAGACGGTGGGGCGGTCGCAGTTGTTCATTATTGATTACCTTAAGAGGACTGAATAAGTGATCTAATATCGATCCTTCATAGGGTGCTTAGAAGGGGCAGAGTACGGGAATGTTTCCAGCTTGACCACGCCAGTCCGAGTGTGGCAAGACTACGTCCTATCGAGCGCGCACAAAGCTTACGCGGTCATCTAACTCATGACCCGAATTTAAAATTTCGCTACCATTGCCGAGAATAATAATGATTTCCGTAGACGAAAGAATAAAGCTGAGTCGAGATACGATAAGAATCGGTATACGCGTGGAAGTAATAGCCGCGATCGTGCGACGGCAACAGTATTACTGGATACTGCACTTTCAAGACTGTGGCATTATTACGGAACTTTGTTGGCTGGTTGAACGTCGTGTTGGGTTAATTAATCGCGAACGACCGGGTTCAATCTGCCCAGATTGGTAGACGGGATTAGAATAATCACGATGATAACATTTTCTCATTGGCGGTAAACGCATTATAGTATTTTACTGAAAAATAATCACATTTAAAAAGTAGCTTAAATTGACGGTAACAATTGTGTAAGCTTCTTTTAGATTTATGCTCGTTTGAAACGGAACGTAGTACAGGGTAAATAATAAATGGAGAGCTCTTCTCAACGTAACTACAGCCAGCTGATCTCGTTTCACTAGAGTAGATCTTATAATGACCTTTTGCAGTTTACCTCATTGGCGGTACGAGGGAATGCAAAGATTTCGGCCCGCACAGAAAGTGAACGAGGTCCAGGTAGTGCGGGGGTTGTGGCTGTCCCTCAGCGAATACCATGGGACCACCAAGAACGACGCCATTCCAGCAGGCCACTCAGACCGCTCAACAGCAATCTTCGACCTCCACCTGTACGTGTAGATAATATCCATTAGAGCTTAAGTGCCTGGCCGTACAGATATTCTTACTTAAAAGAAAATATCTATCATATCACTATAACGAATAAGAGTTTATCTTAATAGAATATAAAATTTAATTTTTTTTCATATAGATAGACTGTGAGCTACAACAAGACGATATTATCGCGCCATTTTCAGGGCCGTCGGCGGTTAACCTCTCCGACCGGCATGAGGGACCAGGGGGTTTTTCTGGGTGTTGTTGCCGGAAACAGTACAAAAGCGAGAGAGTCCTTGCTGTTAACCTTGCCTGGGGAAGTCCTCAATTCCGACGAGGGCCGTTGGGTGGCACTTGAATTTCATGTTTGCCGTCCCCTTGACGCGCAGGGGGCCGGTAACAGTGACACGGTTGGTTGCGAGTTTGCCTTTACCGCCTACGCCCTTAAAACTAACGGTGAGTACTTATTTCGATAGAAACAGGAGGATGTTTTTGGCTTTTCGATGCCCGATTATTTTACAATATACTACACATATATTCTTCAACCGTCCGCCATACATTTTTGGTTAGGCACTGTGAATAGGGATACTCCTGTAGTTCAAACATGTGCCTAGATAAGGACAGCCATTAAAAATTATATTGGAGCATATGTTCACGCAAGTGGTATCGTTCAGCTTACTTTATTGCTTGTTGAACTGTAAACGTATTTTCTTTATGCCAAACCCCCACATATATTTGCTATAAAAAAAATTAACTCGGTCTTTCTTCTATTTGGCTCAATTCGATATTTCTGAAACCGGCCACACAGCGTACTCATATCAACAACATCGTGATTGTAGAACATGTAAGATACAGCTCAATGTTAATACTGTTTCAATATACCATACGTGCGGACTCGACACAAGTAATGCTAGGTGGTGATGCTAGCTTGTGCTAGTTAATATGCCATTTATGTTTTAGATAAATATGCTAGTGCAATGTTATCGAAGTTAAGTTATTGACAACGCCGGCCTATTGTCGAAAGACTGAGCTGAATCACAAATGCAGAAAACGTTTTCATCGGCGTTCGAGCATGTCAGCGTATCGAGTGATTCATTTCAATACTGACTAGTCTTTATTAAGAAGCTTTTGGCGAGCTAGACAGGCCTATAATTGTGTCCTTTTATCTATTTTCTTTATTTGGAACTATATTATAATAGTCTTGTAGAACGGCATTACTATGGACGGTTCGATGTTTGTCTGTTGCTGGGAGCTTGAAATGGTTGCATATATACTGATCCATTAAATGGTTTCATTTCACGTTCTGCAGCATTGTTTAAGGCCGCCGTAAAAGATGTCTATGTAGAGATTGGATAGGGCCTATCGATACGGACGAGGTAGGCAGACGTAATGAAGAGAAGCCGATATTGCCTGTTGTGTGATGGGTGTTGGTTGTAAAATGGGCGTCCTCCTAATGATCTAATTGTTTGTTGATTTGATGGTGCTGTTTTTAGCGTATGATAACTGAGATTTATTTGATCTCTCTGTCTCTCGCTTTCCGTTCTATGCACTTAGTCGAACGACACTGCCTTTATAATTAGGTATTATAGAGGCACAGCTGCTAAACGATCTCCAAAGGAACTGCCGATTGAATTTTGGGACTATTTGTGGTCAAAGCTTTTTAGCGAACGACTACTTAGTCGCACGCTGGGTTAAGGCCTTTCTTGTTCATAACAACGTTAGTTGAAAATTAGAGGTTTAACACGTTAGGTATAACCAGTTTCTTTTCGTGTGTTGAAAGTTCTAGCTGGTTATCAAAGAATCGCGGTCAGTTTTACTGTTCTGATCTAATGCCGACTGGATAAATTCAGGTTAATCGAGTTCTGCCGTTGCCCCTCAGGCTTTGAGGCAATTTTTTCAATAAATATCTTTCTCTACTACAAATACCTTAAGCGCGACGCTTTTCACCCCGCCAGTTGTACAAACATGTAGTATTTATGTGAGTAAAATGCTCGTATTCTGTTCATTATCTGCAGTTCGTTTAGAGTTCGCGACACTCTTTTTCCCCTACAAATATATACACCATAAGTTTTAACTGACCATAGAAAAGTTATGGAACTTATTGCCTATTGCCAAGTCTGTCTCTTGGTTAGTTTGGCGGAATACTCTGGCCAAGCATTAGCAAGTAGCGGAGTGGACTATCCGACCGAAACTGCCTTCACACGTAATTGGGTTCCAGCGAATCTGCGAATGTAGCTCTACACCGTCGTCTTTTTTATGTACTTGTCGCCCTAGTTTTCATACCGTGCTCATCCATGTTGCCAATTCGCTCCGTAAACGTTCCGCATTTTGGCGCCGCTTTTTGCTGACGACAACCTTATCATCGGTCACCCCAACCCAAAGAATGAATCAATCCAGCTTGCTCAGATGTTCCCTAATACTATTTCAGTAGCATCGTTTCGAGAAGCGAAAAAACTCACGATCTTTGTCTATTCTCACACTATGTTTACCTTCTGGTCGGCGTTACGACACAACCGTTGCCGGAAAAGTAGTTTGTCTACAGGTGGTACACCGGAATGAAGCCGGATCGGAGAACACAATCGAGAGGGGAGGGCAGATCTCATAGAGCGCCTTAGAAAGGGACAGCATAACAGTGTAGTAGACGTTCTTCGCGGCTTATTTAGGAAGCAGTTTGCGGACTGATAGAAGATTTCTGTAACCCTTCACGGTCATAGATGGTCGGTACGTGGAAGTGCCTATTTGGACGCGAGCTGCGCGGATAGCTCCTATGCGACGCGGCCAACGATACGGCCACCGGAAACAGCCTTCGGAGGCCTCTACAACATAGAAGACGCTAGCAACGGGAAACAGCACCAGAAAGGCGCTACTTGTATACGCAATCTACTTGGAGATCGACAAAACTAACACGGCGTACCAACGCCAACAACAAGCCACAGCGACAGCTGTGAGCGCGTCATTAGCAGGGCTAACAACAACAACAACATCAGCAGCAGCAGCCTCAATAAAAACAATGCCAATTTAGACTGAAGGAAACGTTACAGTGATTCGTAGTAGATTATGTCAGCTGATGCTTTATCATTCTTTTCTCCTAACACCGCGACAGCATAACCGAAAACAACCGGGTTATGTCCATTCTCCGATTTTCCGGAAACGCAGCAGCCGACCCATCATCACAATGTGGTAGCCACAAACTAAATCTGCCTAGAAAAAAGGAGATCTTGATACAACTTAAAGAGCTTGTCTGTCTGCCCGTACATTATACTGTGATTGCTCGCCCTGAGTTTGCAGCCTGTGATAAATAGAAGTAGAGATGGAGGCTAGGTAAGTACATGCCGCCTGCGTAATGTCGTGCAGCAGTTTGCAGTCGTAATTAGCAAACATGTGCAAAACGTACTGTTATAATCTAGCTTTGCTATTTCATTACACGTTTGCTGCCTTCTGTCACAAACCTGTGCGGAACAATAACCTGTGACCTGCTATCGGCAAATCTGAAATAGGCTGCAACGCATCGTACAGTGAGTCCGCTTCCTGGAACAGCCCATTTTTCCCCGCGAGATATCCACCGGGCCTCAACTGTCGTCTTAAAATCTCAGCACCACCAGTGAGTATAAACAGGTTGCCACTGTAAACATAGCAAGGTAGCCCACATTCTTCACACGTTACTTATATTGTGGCATTATCAATTTGTTGTCTATCGCTAAATTTCAGGCTGTTTTTTGTCTAGCTCAGATGCACAAATGAATTCTACATACCTGTCCTTATAGTACATGCTGTAGTGGCATACACCTTATTATGTACCTGAATCATGTTTGAGCGCTTACTATTGCCATGCAGATTTACTTATTGTAACGTATGCAAGCACAATTGCACGATTTTTTCCTTACATTCATTTGACGGTTGAGAATTAGCTACATTTAGCTTATAAACGATCACATCGATTCCGAAATGTCCATGCAGTCCTCGAATTGCCTCAGGGTGATCCCCTGCGGGGCCCAACACAAACATGAACAAGAGAAACTATTACATATACAGCGTCGTATTTTGTAACTAGAGACCGTTAACTTTATTACTATTGCAGGGTCAGCGTGTGGTGCTTACAGTTCACAGGTTGAGTTTGGGTTTAGGATGTGGGGACCTGCTTAGAATAGGCCCACTGGCAGGTTCCCAGGTCAACGAGACACTTTGCGGCGGAACTTTAGGTGACACGACTGACGCAGATGCACAGAGGGAAAATCAAGAAACGACGCCGGATAGCTCAGCTCAGAAAACCTTTGCTCCAATGGTGTCGCTAACAGAAGAACTTATTATCGAGTTTTTGAGCGATCTCGATAATAATGACGGGGGAGCTGGTACGTACTTAGGTTTTTTTTTTCCATTTCGTTTTGGATAGTAGTAGATGGGTTACTGTTGTAATAAAAGTAACGAACTTAGTAGCAATTGGCTCGCTGATAACTATATTTGTATCCAGATTATATCTATTTACAACGATAACTATTTAGTGGAACTACATAGTTCAATATTGTTATATATATTTTTCAAATAGTGTTTTATTTAATTTATAACCGAAAGTTCGCCAACGATCTGTAAGTACCGGTGCACCCAAGAACGGCTTCGCACGAGATCACTCCGTTGCCACTCACGGGCGCAGAATAGGTCGGCATACCGGTTAGAAACGGCTCGTGGCGGAACCTACGTTCATGGTCGAATATATGGCTTGCTATGGTTATGAGGCTACCGTTGCCTCATCCATCATTCGAATTTCCATCCTTTGTTTTCATAAAAATGGCAGCAACGTAGCGGGCTTTCTGTTTTAAGAGCTCCAGCCACGTTACGATGGCCGTCTGCATTAAATCTTTGCTAAAACTTTATACAGAGGATCCGCGATTGCTGGCTTTGCTATGGCCATAACATGCATTTGATGCACGAATCGTAAGAACTCCTTGGGAGGGCTCTGTAGTTAGCCACCGATATACCTTCATCAACGCTTAATGGAGGAACATGTCTACCTGCTAATTTTAGGAACGAGTGCTGGTTTAAGTTCGAATCTGGGCATAGACATAATTAATTTCGTGCTAGAAGTGGCTAGCCGTACGTTGCAATGCTTTACGGCGGTTCCGGACGTAAAACTTGAAACCTATCGATATCTCCAGCAACGAGAACCCTATCCTTTTGTACGACATACCCCGGTCGTTACTAGCGTAAAATAGAAATGTGTCGTTATGTCCGAAGCGGATATATTGAAACTTACTGATATATTTCAACACACAGATCTCACAAGTGGCCACTGCTACTGCTCAGCAGCAGTAGTCAGGCGCGCACCTTCATCCGTCTAATTCCGCCTCTTCCCGCGTATACGCAGTAATTCGTCTACATAGAGAAGCAGTAGCTTATGCCAGGAGCAAGGCAAAGCGGATATAGAGCTGCGAGATCGCCAGAGGAATGGATAACTCTAATTCTACCGCCTAGTCCCCTGGCCACCGATCTAGCTGACGGATACCCCGGCCCGCTGCTAACAACTCCCACCGAAGCGTTCTGGGGTACTCCTATGTCCGTTATCCTAGACGTCGACCCACTATGACACTGTTTCAAGGTTTCAGCAAAATGTTGAAAAGCTGTAGGTGGTAATAGCACCGAATTCCCTCCGCTGATTTAAGCAATAGTCAAGTGCAGACCTGCCCTGCGTACATATGTTGCCCCCATACACAGACTGAGTTGTATCATCATTCGCAAGAGGCGGGTAGGCAGCCGTTGTGTTCAATGCACGCGACTTTCAATTTGCACGACGATGGAGAGGCAACAGACAAGCTATGGAATGGTTGTTATACGCTCGGGAACGCATGCTGGGAGTGCCATTGGGAACAATGCCTGAAGCCAAACAGGATGGCTCCTATTAATGGGCGCAAATCCTCTGAGTAATAAAGATGAACGGATATTAGCTCGAAGTAGAGCATGATATATGTAAAAAGATTTCAAATTGCTTATTATTAATAGACTAACATTATGCTAAGGGATGCGTTGTGACTTCACAGAAAATTCTCATGTGCTCTTCTAAGAGAAAGCGTTGTATAATACAGAGCACTTTATAAAATTGCGCATCGAAAAAACGGCACGAGTCTCCACGTTTGACGCACCTGAACGTGCGACTGCTACATTGATAGTGTATGTGCAATAATTACGTGCGGCGCTGTAGCTTAAGGCTGGGAATTCGTGTATCCCCTTTGGCTATTACCACTCTCATTTATAGACGTCCTAGTGACCACTGGCAATCGTTTATGGTAACTTAAGAATCTATGAGAAATTCTACCTTGCCGTCTTTGTGCCACAGCCGTATCCCAAGGCTGAACTAAACGTGAACGATATCGAATTATTAAATAATGAAGTTAAAACGCCCAGATAGACGTTCCTATACATCCTCTAAGTTCACTTACCTACTGCTGTTAGGAGTTGTAGCTGTTCGATACTAACTGTTTCAAATTGCACGCTTAGCACTGTCGTTAGACGCTCAATTAGACGCCTTGCTCGAAGCTCGAAACGAAGTGTGCCAGGCTTCAAGCCTAGACCCTCACATGTCCCATTAACATGAAAGGCGCGGGGGGCAACTGTGCGTCACCGCCCGCCCAAGATCTGCAAGGTCTCAGGGGGAAGCTTTAAGTGACAGCCGTTAAGTCACCCGTCTTCCTCTTCGGTATTTTTGTCGGAGTACAACTACTGATTATAGCTTTATGTTAAACAAGGAAAATGGCATTGAATTCCACGAATGTTAACAATGACCGCGTTAACTATTTAGACTGCACGTAGTAATGCTTGAATGTAAGATACGCATTTAATCACAGAAGTAATACAAATATCATTTAATCAGAATTCATAATCTGCAATCATTTATTCCGTTTTGTCGTAACGAGGGGCATGCGAGGCCCACAGGCGCCTGCCACGTACTGCCAGCTGTCGTAAACCCGCACAGGTACGCACAGCAGATTATACTGTCCAATGTATCACTACAGGAGTTTGGCCTATTTGGCCTGATGATTCGATCTTTGTGTATTGAAAACATCTAAGTTGTTAACGGATTCTTATCAAACGTTAGTAGCGCCTTGACACTACTCTAAGCAACATTTTTTATTCTAATAGTTGTAGATGACGATGATGGGATAGAACTAAAGAGATATATGTATATACGGAGAACAAACAAACCCAGAAACAAAGACCAACGCTTACATGTTGCTGCTCACAGAACCAAATGCGAAATCTGTCATTCTAAAATAAATTAGGAAGTAAAGGTACCGTTCTGCAATTACTACGAAAGGTCCATTATTGTTAGAGTAAGGATACTGAGCCATGCCTTCTTTGTCACGTGTTCCTTAGGTTTAAACTAGACTTTAGGTCCGCCGTGCTTAGGCATAGAAAGCGTACTAATTAGTTTTCTTACTAAACGTCGCCGATTTCAATCAAATAGTTATTTATATCAGAATCATCCGGCGCTTTTTCGGCCACTTGCCCTTGCAACCGGCATCGTACTACTGTAAACACTGTAGAGTAACTTACTCCGTGGATTGACGCGACGTGGTCACAACACTGACTCTTCAAAGCGGAAATAATTTATGTCTAGACGTGAAAATTGCTGTTACAATGGACGATACATTCTTGTTTTGTGTTATCGCCAGTCTAAAGTTACATTGCATGTCAGTAACAAGTATATTGTTCTGGACATAACCCGCATTCTGCAAATCATCATTATAATGCATCCCATCCGTCACCCCCTCCCGTCACTACAGAGCGAAGTAGCAGCAACTCCCTGGCATGGGTGCTTCAGCCTCCCGACTCAATCAGGAACAACATGAACGTCTTCATGCATAGAAGTATTTCCAACTAAGTATTATGTGACCTAACGGAAAAACATTTTTGTACGAAAAGAAAATTAGCTAACACAAACAAGTTTAGCCCCAGACTGCTTTTGTTCTACGTAGTGATTTTGTTTATTAAGTCCACTGATCTATAGTAAATCCAATACGGTTTTCGCGTACAATACTAAATAAAAGCTAAAATTTACTACAAAATCCAAGTAAATATTTCGATCATTTTGACTTTTAGCAGAGAAATGGGAGTCGATCACTGATGAAGAGATTCGTCTCTCCCCGTGAAATACGTGCCAGTCAGATGCGAAGCTCGCATCGAAGCTTCGAAGCACACAATACAAATAGTTCGGGTAGCTCTACACACGTAGATGGATGGGTGTTGACATCTGCGCAGGACAAAATCAGGGCGTAACTCGTTCAAGCCCGACCAATGGCATATAGTATACGATAAGCGTGGCTAAATACTAACAAAGCAAACGAAATTCATTTGAAAAATGCTATAACTTCTTAGTTCACGTATCAGGACAGAATACAAATACAGGTTTGCGGACGAGCAGCAACCTTCACGGGCCATTATTTTGCAAACTTTCCATTCTGGCTAACATTTGTCGCAGTAGTAGTATACACACACACTCGTAGAAGTACATGAATAGGCAATAATTCGGTATCGCACAGTGTTTTTCTACTGGCTCCCTCCTTGTCCTGTTTTAGCGCAGTTTTTCATTTAACGTAGGGAGTATGTCATGACTATACAGACAAACGTACGTGACGGCCAACAGTACGCTCCTATAATTCTCTAAGTACATTCACTCATGATTAGGAGCCTAATGTTGTCTCGAGCACCGCACAAAACGGTAACTGCAGAACCGTTATAGGCGGTGCGGTCTCTTGTTGCATGCAGATGGCTTCGTTCTTTTGTTACTAGTGGTAGTGATCAATATTAAGGCGGATGTGGCTCCATGATCAGCTGAATGCGTCATATTTCATACACTTGTGTTCATATTCATCGTCCCGCTCGCGATTTTCTATACAGGTAAAGGCTAGTTTTTGGGCTTACTATAGCTTGTGCCTTTGCACAAGGCAACAACTTATTCCTAGCGTCTTGCTGAAGCCGCAGCAAAATGTGAGTCTCTTCCTGTGCTTCGTTGCATCGCCTTCATGAAGACAGCTCTTGCTTATCACTGTCATTCCTATCAGTCAATCGCCAATTCCAAACCCTGGTCAAAATCCCCTTTTCTAGGAATCCAACGTGACCATGTTGACGGTTGTCTTTGTAGAAAGAGTGTCAACATAGCGCTTCGAAGGACTGGACGTCACCTCGACAGAACGAAAGATGCCTGTATCCTCTGAGACCCACTAAGAGCAAGCGTTAGTCAGTTTAGCTTACGTTGGGTTCACCCGCTCCTGTCCGATCCATCATGTCCTGTTAGCGTCTGTTGCCGGATAGAGCTCGTGTCTAGCTAATATATGTGCAGAACCTCCTATATACCGCAAAGCATGATCAATAGGAACCACAGCTATGTCGGACACTGCGTACAAGTTTTTGAAAGTGTGATATTTCGTGTTCAGGTCGTAGAAATTGCGGATCATAGTTGCCGTTAGATATCTGAGAGCACGGGGCATACAGGTGTATTTGCACTGCCACTGTTTACGTACAAGTATGCTACAGGCCGTGTACCCCAGCTGGTTTTTCGCTCATTGAAACTACACACTTTCGAGTAATGAAAAGATTCACAAGAAAAAGCGTCAACGATGTTACCCAAGTTCGTCTCAAAATCGTCTTACAAATGACCGTCATATATCAAAATGGCTTATATATATGCAGAGGATTCAGAATAGGACTTCAGAATCGTATGCTCTAGTTAAATGTGCAAACAAATGACCCTATCGATTTGTGTGTGCTTTAGGTAATTTGGAACAGGAAAAATCAAGTGGCTCTTTGGATGTTCAATACGGTCCAACAGGCGCATTTAGCTAACTAACGGCACCCATTTCGAAATGTGTCTCTGACGATAATTCGCAGCTCGCACGGATGAACTAGATTTGTCAGCCGACTGCCACAGAACACGGTTCTATTTTTATTTTTTATGCGTCATATATACTCTAGCTGGATCTAAGTGGCCCACTGCTATACTCAAGTATTAACAATCTTGCACCAACAAATGCATGAAATTCCACACAATTCTAGTCAATACGTAAATTTTTATATTTCTTTAATATATCCTTTAATATAGACTTTACTCTGCTGGGTTCGGTTCTCCTAGATAGGATAGTGATGACGCCCCTGGTTGATCCTCAACAAGCCTGCAAATTTAGCACACGTGTTCGTCATAACCTTTCCTTGCGTATTCATGCTGCCTAGAGGACTCCTACATATGCATTCAGGCCAAGTGTGTCTGCGACCTACTCCGATGTCGACGAACCCTAACCGTAGCAGTAGCAGTACTGCTGCGACATAATACGTGCGAGACACGGCGACGCAAGGTGACATGTGTTGTATGTGGTGTACGTGTAGCCATCTCAGAGGTTGAAGTACCGATGACCCATTTTAAGACTGGACCGTTTTCATTCGTCGCCTTTCGCCTCAAGCTGAAGGCTCAATTCAGAAAAACGGCCTACTTGAACGATCCAAACAAATTGCTTGTGAAAGGGAACAGACACTACCCATTTTTCTCACTCGACTTTTTTTTTTGGCGATCAATAGTACTGTCGCCGCCATTATCGCTGTTGCTACTAGCAACACCATATTTGATGGCGACGACTTCAGGCCGTTCTCCGCCGCCGGCCGCCAGTCTTGGGAAATAGCCTGCCTTAACAAGTCATGTCGTTGTTTCGGTCCGTCTTTTTTGACTTCCGCCCATATCATGGGACACAAACGTCTCCTCACATTAGAAGTGAACAAACTCTAACGCAAAGCAGATAAAAAGGGGAAAGTGGGAGCTAAAGAAATGTAGAACAAGCACCACCGTGCGGCGCTTTGCTGACGATGATTTGGACTAGCCTATGGTGACTCACTGTGATTGAGACCATCGCCGTGTATAACGATGGGGAAAAGGTTCGATACTTCGTTTCTTTGTGTAGCAATGGGTAGAACTATCGTTGAAGCAAAAAGTATTCTGCCTTTGTTCAAAAGCAACGAAGGTGAATAGCAGGAGAATTCCTGGCGTCGCGCCAGCCGCTTACCATATCCTACCAGATAATACGGTCCGGTCGGCAAACAACCACCCATTTTCAAGAGTTGCTAGTGGTAGCAGCGATGATTGTGAAAACGGTAGCCCTCTTTAGGGTCCTTTAGGATTCCATCTTTAGCATCGGGTACTGACGGACCAATGCCAGTAGTAGCCATGGATGGTAGCGCAAAGTACAAAATCATGCAGGAACTTCATGAGATCATTTTTGTAATTATTTAATCAAAGTTGCGAGTGCCTCGTTCCCTTACATGTAGTACAGTTATTGAAAGGATACTCACTCAGCCGTAGATACACAATCAAGCTTACGCACCGCATCAGCCGGTACTTATCGTTGGGTGTACCCTACGCGTTGCCATGATGCTTTAGTGGTAATATGTTCGCCTGCTATAGTTAGAGACATAACTATGTATAGAGAACACAGAGCCACTGCGTCTGGTCCAAATGCATATAGCCGCTATTAAGGATGCTTGTATGGTCCCAGCAGCAACGGCTGACCTTGATTTTCGCGTTCAGACGTAAGAAGATACCTAAAACGTCAAAGTGTCGATTTCGTCGATGGTCCGAGAAACAAATCACTTCTGTTCCAAACGGAACACCCAGAAAGGATATGATACTAGCAATCTCAATCAGCCGCAAGGTATTATAGGGACAGGCAAAAAAAGCAAAAAAAAAAGCTGCTGACTGCAGTTACCCAAGGGCCAATCGCACATTTTCTTACTACATCAGAAGCTTTTTGTGATATCGATCCTGAGCTTTTCTCTTAATGACCACCTACTATGGTGAGCCTGTGCATCAGCGTAGGACTCCGGCTTTACTTGAAAGAGGGCATCTAGATAAGACCAAAGCCCCTGTCAGCTCCAGGCAAATAGAAGACGAGCATTTCAAAACACTTCGTTGTTCAGTTGAATATTCCAGAAGTCATTATAGCTAATTATTGGTTATTTACGACCGAATTATATGCTATTGGGATACAGCTCATAGGATATTCCTAGTCCGAATCGCAATTGTAACTGTTGTATATAAAAGCATCGCATGCGCTTACATATTTAGATCAATTAGGCAGTCTATAAATACTACAGTACTGCTTGCTTTATGGCAAAAAAACAGCAATCGTTAAATCTTTGCCAGTCAGAATCGGTTAATAGACTCAGAAGGCTACTGGTTTTTACTGCTTATGCAAACCTCGATGACATTCCCGAAAAAGATTAATTTAAATTCTCACCAATTGAAAATCTGAGACTGCGAAGCTCCTAACGTTTGCGGATGGTCGCACAGACACTTTCGTATCGGGATCCATATTTGAGCGTATCCATAGACGCAGTGCTCTTTCTGAAGCCAGCGGATCACGCGGCTGTCTCCCTCTTTCAAGCACCGAACAGTTGGTAGTACGGTCATGCAAGACTGGACCAAGCCCCATGGGTCGAAAAAAATTACGTTGGTACCGTTTTTTAGCTGGTCTTTCAGAGTTCGTCACCTTAACCCTGTAGGTGAGACTTCCCCCAATAAAACCTGAAGCCGAGCGAAATTTTCACAGGCATGCTGGTCGGGAGCTCGGTCTGTTATCGATGACAGACCAGGATCCTTGAAATCTCTACATATCGTGACCCACTCTTTAACTGTTAGGTATGCAGTGATAGAGGCGGTAGACTTTGATATGCGCGAGGCGGGGGCCCACGCATACAGCCCTGGATATATTACAGATGATTACATATCATAATAGGGGACTGATCGTCCGTTACTTACATCGAAGGCATGTCACTGTAAATAATAAGCTACAATAGAAAAAAATTCGCTTATGAATTTCGTTCATGCATTTTTGGCCAGAAAGGCTCTAATTTTTCTCTCCGCTTCGCCAATAGATAGATCTATTTGAAATCTACTAAGATTTACTAAACATGATCAAGTTTTTACCTATAGTTGGCTGGACAGCGCGGGCGTTTGTTTATTTTAGGGGTGTCCTTATCATGGGAAGTCGTGTCAGTATGCGTAAACCGCAGTCTTACAGCGGCATCTGGCGAGATGTGCTTCAACTCATCGACGGAACTGCGCTTAGCTGTATCTGTAGACGTCGACTGTGTCTTCACCGTTTACGCGCCACTTGGATTCAAGGTTTCTGTCAATGCTATCTCACGTATCGTTTCATATCTGGGTAGTAAAAGACTAACTGAAGAAGGAATATTTTTTCATTATCAGGAGGAATATTTTGAGGGAAGTCTATGTACCTGGAAAGCGTAAGCCACTCAAGCATTGAAATTCATTAGCATTCATTGAAGTTGTTAGCAAGCAGTTGCAGCTTCAGTTATTTTCCAATTGAACTGGACAAAATTGATCTTGCTATGTTAGAAGCTTTCTGAATAAAGAGAAGTTCTTATAGTTCTAGTTATATTGTTCTATATAAATGCCAGTAAAGGACAGAAATAACAACGCGGGCAGTATACAACATTGAGAGCGCAGGAAACTAAGAACGAGCCGGGTGGCTAGGTGCACAATTATGCTTAGCACCTAACTAGCTATTTCTATAAACTAGTCGGTTGTTATGTCGGATAATTTTTAAATATATTGATAGTAATTTGGAATTGCGTTTGTCCTTTCGAGGTGCACGTGGAGCTCACCGAACTGTCAGCGGTTGATTTGTCGGAACCCGGCAAACGCAATAATGCATCCATTAATTGTGGACGACACTTCATTGAAGTAGACAGCGGCACTGGTAAGAAAACGCGCAGAAAACATATGTTCGTTCTCGCATTAGTATCCATAGCATATATGTTACCGTGACTAGGAGGAAAACCTTATACCACTGTATACCCCTTGCTGCCCTGCAATTGAACTCGACCTTGTTGATACCCTACCAACTTGCCATACAGCGTCTTCGAAATGAAATATGTCTGGCCAAGTTTAGCTTGAGAACATGGGCTGTACATTTTTGCACTCTGTGTGTGAATTCGCCAAATTAACAAAGAGCACTTTGGCAATGAGACGCAAAACTAAGCTCGAAGGTATCTCTGCGTCTGTTTTGAGCGTTCCAATCATAACTATTTCACATTGGCCATGATGGAATTATTTGTATGGTATAGACAAAATGTAGTTCTTAAAAATGAGAACGAGAGAGGTTCCTTTTTAGAGAGATGTTGACTAGGGGGCACTCAGTGGGCAGGGGAAAAGATCGTTTCAATAAGGACGCAGAAATTGCAACTCGTCTGGCATTATGCCAATTGCTGCTAATTACCTTTTATCGCAAGCCTACCCTTCAGCGTAGCTAAACTGAACGTGTTGATTAGGTACGTAAGTAGTATTCTTCATAAACATGACACTAAGTGTTAATTTATCGCCCGTAAACAACAACGGAAGATTCTATAGCGGAAATATTTGTTAATGTTTCGTATTTGAATAAGTGGTTGATTCTATCTTCATGTACGCAAAAGAGAAATGATTCATTATAAATGTGCAATTATCCTGTTGCCATGTCAACTATTTATAAATGTTAAATCATTTATATTGTCTAGATGCCAAGTTCCTTATAGCCAAAGTATATTGCGTGAGCTTCAGTGTCCCAAATATGCGGTAAATAATCTTCACGCATCGAAGCAGTACGATCCCGCCGGGTCGTAATATTCGATAGAATAGTAAACAAGCCCCGACTTTACCTCTGTTCTCCGTCTGGGCTATGAAAATATAGTCACAGGTCCCTTATGGATGAATAACATATGCGCATTTGCTGTGTGGCAGGCGTTCTGTTCTCGGAAATTTCACTACCTGAGCTGCAGTCACTTCCCAACGGTGTTACGCGATTTGGTCACAGACCCAAAACATACGTTGTGGCATTGCTATGAAAGGGAATAATAGTAATGATGTATTTCATGTAGCCCTATAGGTTTTTGGATACGTAGGTAGTAGAGGAACTCGAACGATTGGATAGTTGTAGAACGTCTGCGGGTATTATTGTCATTGATTTCAGTTCGCAGATGCTCACGTGCTTAAGAGACATCGAGACAACTCGATCTGCTACGCTTTGATACTGGAAACATTAGTCCCTAGAAAGAGCTGACCATAACCCTCATGAGGATCTTTTGCTGCGTTTATCGCAACAAGAAATCCGCTTGTATAGCACATATAGACGCGTTCTATAAGAACCGCCGAGTTGAAACGTCGCTTTTCGCATTCTCTGGATCCAAGCACGGGCTTTCTTCGACTATAACTGTACATCGACTTCGGCCACCTCAGCATGTTGAAGTAATTTCAATCAGCAAATCGTCACTTACATGCCGTTCACTAGTAAATAGAATTTGGTAAAGTTTACTCATAAAAATTGCTGCGGGTCAGGGAGATTTAGTAAGGAACCTATTTTTAATACAATTTTACGTAGCGTTTTTATTGAGGAAGATAACACGCAACGGCCTCGTTTCGATTACGCTTTTTACCAGCTATTTTCGAAAATTAAACTGTGAAAGCACCGAGTGGCTGGCTATACGTTCCGTAGAAAAGTGCTCTCTACCTGTCCCTTTATCTAAAGATTCTAGTTTTTCTGCCAGTCATTTAGGTTCATCCACTGCTGTAACAGTAATTGCACAGTGCAATGAACCCACTTTGGATTGAGCTTTTCAAAGCGATGACGCTCAGACGAGAGAAAGCGCGTAGCAAATGCGAGGAAAGCAAACGCTAACTAATCTAAAAGTTTTGAATAATCTTTTCTAATTGTCTCGCATCGCTACTCTGTCCGTAGCAGGCGGCGTACATGCATGCGTATATTAAAAGGGGTTCTTTGAAAGGAGCGGTAGCTTGCGTTTCTCGTGGGTGTTAGTATAGGAAAGCTGTGGTACACGAGGCAATCCGCCCATTTCGTGTATCGTGTGGACGACCTACGTGTTGCTGATGTCACCTACACTTTTGTCACCTGTGGTATAGTGAAGGGAGCACAGTTGATGAAAGGCGACAGTGATGGCACGACGACTGCAACCGGCTAAGGCTGATATTTGGTCATTGTTATTGTTGCTGCTGTCCTTTGGGGGTCGAGAAATAAGAGGAGGCTTTTGGATACGCCCCATTGCTGCCAGGTAACGGAGTAATCAGAGGCCACAGTGAAATCCTCCGGCAAAGACCGGCTTCCGCCAGCAAATACTAGCTTTCCGCGAGGTTCGTGCCAAACTAATTGAGATTCCCGGGAATAGCGGCAATTTCATTGTTGCGACGGCTTTTGCTATTAATCGTTGATGGCAATATCGATGCATAATAGATGTTGAATCCGAGTCGGGAAATAATTCAGCATACATTTTTTCCATTTTCAGATTCCGCTTTCTTCCATTGTCTTTTCATTTACATTTCTGAAGAAATAATTTTCCTTATACTATAAAGTGACAGCATTTTGAATGCGTATTTAGTTTTTAGCTGAAGTAACATTTTTTTAAAGCATTTGATGCATGTTGATATTTTGTTTTTGTTTTTCTTGCCGAATGATAACACACCGTAGCTTTCTCCCAGATCCAGGTAAAAGATTTAAGTACGACCAGCCTCTGATTAATATGTGGGGAAACAAAGCTCGGACCTGAAAACGTGTACAGAAAATGGAACCCGTGTATAACATTTGGTTATTATTACTGCTAGGGTGAAAGCACATGTTTCAGAATAGGCCCAAGCCCATTTTTTGACATCATTTCATTGTCGAGGCTCGCAGCATGTTTTCTATCTGAGCAGAAGGTGCTTACGCACCATGATAGCGTTCCATTGTTACAAAAGTTGTTTGTTCTGCTGTTCTGTAGGGCCAAATAGCTTTAGTTAGTTTGACAAGCCGACCATGAAATAGCTATTTTCAACTGTCTGCCCTATAAAATATACAAACCCGGTAGCTCAAGCCGCGCGACTTTCGCTATGATTGTTTCGGCTGGACATTGAGCTTCGTGTTGTCCGTTTGTATCGTACTGTCTTCTAATGCCGTGAATAGACCCAACTAACATATACAATTACTAATACTATAATAATGACTACGATTACTGTAATATGTTGGAAGTTGAAAAAAGACAGAATCCTATATGGACTAAAGTCCGATCACAGAGTTTGGGTTTTCTTTACATTTTAGCTTTGTGCTTCGTACATGCATCGCATTCGAACGGGTCTTTTATCGTTAATCTGACATATTTCTAAAAATCTGTTTTATGCTGGCTGTTTTTCCTGGAGTTTTTTAAACATCAGTACTATATGCATCCGAACTTTTGCTCACCCACTTCTAGCCTGCTATGGGTAGACTTTAATGTTATCTACTTGGTCCTCTGTGGAGTGAGTCGTAATGGTCAGGCATGCGGGAAGTCAGTGTCTGCTCACCGGCTTGGCGAGTAACTAGTCGGGAAATAGACACTTTGGTCCTTTTCCTAGCAGGCCCAACGTTTATTTGCTCCTTCCCAAACGCGTGCGCTTTTCGCTGCTACCCAAGTGCCCTCTGGGAGCCTTGCTTGCTCGTTCGCCGTAAGGCCGAGCCTTAGGTTAGAATGCCATACGACATACAGTAACAAAGCAAGCGTTGTTAGAATTACACAACAGCCAATCGTTCTCGCGGCCATCATCCGACGACCGCTATTGACGACAATCATACAACCATCACCACCGTCATCACTAAACATGGCGGCCACTGTGGACAAGAGGAAACCTAGATATCCATATAAAGCGTCAACATCCTTAAGGTACCGTTCCACTGGGGCGGCAAAGAGTCCTTTTGACTCTTCTTCAGAGACCGCTAGTGGAAATAACCCTACAGTATTGCAGGGGCAAATCTGAAGGTGTCTGTGCACGGCCGATTTATCCGCCGCCGCCGACGCGCGTCGACTTTGTACCACGGCAGAGCATGTCGCTGCGTCGAAGAGCAGTCTATGTGGCGCAGAGCATTGTCCATCATAGTTTCACTGTGGGGACCGTTTCGAAAGTCTACGAACATAGAAACGCAGCGCTTATCTACTATGAAATGGTACGGGCCGAACCTTCGGACCATCCCAGTATAAAAGTGTACGACGCGATAACCTTTGCGGAGCGCTGGGTCAGTTGGCATTGACGCATTATGAAAGCTACAGTTGATCCTTGAGCAGGAGAATCTAGAATAAAGAACCTGATGATAGGTGGGGGGAAGCAGACCATTGTGTATGAATTGTTTCCGTATGCGTGGGTGCTTGTGGGCGTCGGTGTTTAATGTAAGTTCCCTAAGTTTTATAGTCTAGGTTCGATGTTCGCTGTATAGATTGTCTGTCGTAGGTGTGTGCATATGTGCAGCTTTGCATCATTACTACGGCTCTGTAAAAACAGCCTATCCTTTTTTAGTGCCGTGCATCTTCTGAACATAACAAGCAAGCGCCGATAAAAAAGGCCATAAACATGTTTTAGAAAAACATTCTTAGAACCAAAGTGACCGGCCTATGTTCGGCTAACCGAGTAAGTAAATAAGGATTGCAATTGTCTACCTTCCACATAACACATTATCTCTGTGAATACGCTCGTGTAACTTATCGCTCGCTGCAGCTAGTGCCTATTTCCTATTAATAATCCACTAGATCACTATATACTAGAAGGTATCTCGCGCTAGTTAAGAATGCAAGGACACACCGCGAAGCAAGGAGGCCCAAGAGCCTACGAAGGTTGACTATGTTACGGCTGAAGTTCTGCTGAGCGAATGTCGTCGCTGAACCAGCCGTGTGCATTAGCAGTCTATGTTGGTGATCATTTTACGAGCGACGTGGCAGCGAGTACGGAAAGGCAGGCTTTCGAAGGACAAGCTAGATATATTTATGTTTGGTTGAGGGCTTATTCGACTTGGTGCAAGTCTAAACAATGAATACGTTATCACGGGAGAAGGATCCGTGGTCATATGTTACCGAAGAGTAAGAGAAATCAATTACTTTTGGATTTTAATCAGAATCACATATTTCTGCTGCTAATGGTCCAAGAAAGGTACAAGCTTGATTTACAATGATACGCATATATTGCCAGCAAATAGCAGGCGATATAAGGATTAATTAACCATATTGTATCGTCATGGTAATTTACCTTCAACAGCGCAAAGCGAAACCCGAGCATAGTAACGTATCGCTGAAAACAGATAATAGTATCACACTCTGGCATTTGCTCTGATGAAGGCGATCTAGGCTTTTCCTGATGAAGGTAATACAATACTATTCCTTAATAGGCTTGACAACTAGACGAGATCGCGGAAGGAAGGAATCGCGGTGGATATGCACCTAACAAGATCGAAAGCTTACTCGTACGATAATATCTGCTTTTTACATTAAGCGAATACATTGAGGGACTGTATTCATACGGGAGTGGCCGTATTTACAACCATGCTAAACATAGATTTCACCTACACAGAACTGATCATTCAACAGTATACGCTCGATTATTTAGCCTCGAGAGGTTGAAGCATCGCTAGCTAAGAAAAACATGATTGCCTTTGGTTTGGCGCCACCTTTGAAGGCGTCTGAACGGCAATATCGATTTACTTTGTCTAGGTCTGCTAAAAGAGCTCACAAAGCTTGTATAGAGAACAAAGGCATTTGACAAAATTCCAAAACACGAATTATTTGTTGTCGTACTGTTACGGCGCCAACTGAGGCGGCAAGATCAACATCAGTCAGTGTACGCTATATATACGCTATACCGCGCACTGACGTATCTGTTTACATACTCAGAGGGATAAAAGACGATAATGGTTTTTTTTTTGCTGCTTATCGTTTTTTACGTATATATGAACTCACTATCGGTGATTTGAAAGACGAGCGTTACATATCTCAGCAGTCATCCGTATCCGAACCTGAAAACCGTATTTTTGGCTTTAGGGGTCTTTCAATAGTGGCGACGGACGGTTGCTAACCAAAGGCGAAATAAAAGACAAGCCCAAGCGAGGACGGGAGTACTGTGAACGACCCAGTTTCTCTTTCTCTCGCGCCTTCTGTTGGCTGGCTGTGAATTACAAGATTCTCTAGACGACTTGGCCGTTGCACTCAGTCATAGCCGCAATGCGCCTAGCCGTGGCTGTCCCTATTTCCGCATGCTGGCAAGCCATAGCACTCTCTTTTTTTGCTTGAATGGTTACTGTTTTTACGACTCATCGTAACGCTGATTCTCTTATACGCACGATCCTCCGTGCGTAGCCCTACCGCGTTTGCTCGGTCATTGGAAGGAAGAAGAGGTTCAACGCTGGTCATGAGTGAAGACATGACTGGCGACAGCCTTCTTCGCAGAAGCAGGTGAGCGATATCAGGCATCGGCTGGAGTACTGGAGTGACAGAACGACGCTTCCGAGGATTCGAAAGTTATGAACTTCCATAGAAGAGTAAACGCCAAGAAACGAAAGCGTTAAGTGGGTTACGGCGTATAACATCCCGTCGAAGCAAGAAAAATTTCGGAACTTGGTCATTTCAAGTTAAAGCATAAGACGGTTAGTTGATACAATATGTTGCAAATCGTACAATGATTTGATAAGGATTTGCGTTTTGAGGCCTTCTGTACGGGGAAATATACAAGTAGTGGAAAAAATTTGTTCTGTTAAAATAAAGAAAGAAAGAAAGAAAACATAAATAGAATTTCCTAATTATTCATACGTAAAAATATGTCACGTCTTACGTGCACTATCACCATACACGATGATTCTAAATGTTTCCAGGTAATACACGAATTGATAAGGAAAGGTTTGGGATAAGTGCTTTGATAAATCGTACCATGACATTGATTAAAATACCTTAAATACACAATAGCTGATGTCCCCTGTACTGTTCTACTGCTGTGAACAAAATGTGCATATAACGTTTGTAAAGTACATATAAATTAGAACGGCTTTTGGCTTAAAACCATATATTGGATAACCTCGCATACTGTTGACAGCGATAACCAGAAGGGACGACAAAATGTCAGCGTGTGCTAATCGAGGAAAATACACGACTGAACAAAACAGTAATGGCAACAAGGTGGGAGTAAGGTAAATGGTAAAAACACAGTAAGCGTCTACTGAAACTTTGCTGGGCTAATGTTTCCCTTGCGGTAAATTAGCTGCAGTTATGCAGGCCTGCTTTTGGGTCCTAGTGCTTAGTAGCATATTGTGGGTCACCGTCCATGTTTTAAAAAGTATAGCCTAAATGCTTGACGGGTTCGCTGTTCCATCAGCTAACTTCTTTTTCTTTCATTTTGGCTTTACTGTAACTTTTTTTTTCTTGCAGCGGTCACTTTAATGGTGAGGAGGATGATTGAGGAGCTATAAAAATAAAAATTCTAAATCACATTTAGATAAATAGATGGAGGCACACGCCCGTAATATACTGCAGATCTGCGATAATTTAAGCCCGGTCAAGACTGCACGATCTAATGACACTGGGTCAAATCATAATGGAGTGAAAATGTTTTTGGGCTTGCCTGACTTTTCGTTTTTTGGGCAGTGAACAGTAATCAAAATCTTACTTGAAGGTCAATTATGGCAGGTTTCACCCAGCGGAGAGACCTAGTTTCACGTAAGCCCCGTGGCGACATACAACTGATATACTGCTGAAACGTGTCTTTATGGAATAAATCTATTAATAATTACCGTTAACTTTTTCCGAAGCGCTCGTTACTTTTTTTTTGTACATTTTGCCTGTTGATAAATAACACACCTTATTTGATATACAAGCAAGATGGGTACGCGCTTGTTGCTTGATAATGGAATTTTTATGCGCCTACACGTTTTAATAATTAACTTAACGACAGGGCGGCAGTAATTCTGGCCCGACTGTTTCTGATCTTGTGTAATCGGAATGTGCTTACATTTTAGCTGCATAATGTGCGTTCATTATATTATTTTCATTATTGTTGCAGGCCGCACTCGCCTGTGTGGCGACTGGACGTCAGAAATGTTAGGCACCACCTCATTTGGTGCCTTTGACTCGTCTGAGAGCATCTGGCGATTGCGGATTCACGGACAAGCCAGTCCCCTTCGCAGATTAGCCTTTTGCGCCCGGTAAGCGATCATGATACCTACGCTGACTTCGATTTGATGAACAACAAGATGGCTTCTATTGAAAAGACCTAACACAAAAAAACATACTGGTCATATCGCTAATATTCGATTTCTCTATTGGTGTCGGTGTAACAACCTGAGTGATGGCTGCTGTTACTTCAATTGGCAGTTCAACAAACACAATACTATTTTAATTTATTTCAGATATGAGCGGAGAGTATCAGACGCCAAGTACCTGCGCTGCGACCCCTCTGAGGGGAAGAGTACAAATGACACCGAGCTCTTTTGGCTCTCGAGGGGAAACTTTTGTTACAGGTCAGTGATAACATATTTGTTCTGGCGTACTTCTTCTACTCGACTCTTTGTCGCCTTTAGAAATCAACGCGCGAAAGTAAATGAAAGGTACAAACAATAATTGAGAACGGGATGTGTATCTAGCAGCTTCTTCAAGTAGCAGAGTTTCGTGCGCCTAATGTGTAATCATGTATGTGGTTTTTAACAACGAGAATTTAAGTAGAATCACATTTTACCTATTGATATATATTCTGGGCACCCTACATTTTCAGTGGGCATTACGTATAAAGCGCGCCCTATTTCTAGCAGCGGCTTAGTGGGTGTCGATACCTTTTCCTTCTACGCATCCCTTAGTTCAACGGCCTGCCGTCTGGCAGCGCTACTGTCTCCACCGCAGCTGACAGCCCGCACGTTTCCGCTGCGTACACTTAGCTATTCAACTACACTGTTAACAGGTAGCACTAGCTTCGCTTTTCGGTTTGTTCGTAACATTACAGCATGAAGTAGAAACAATGGATGAGCCGATCCGTCCTATATCCGATTCTCAGGATTTCATTGACAACGCTAGGGTATAAATACGACGCATTCCAAATAGATAAGTTAGAAAGGGGCAACTGTTACTGGCTGCCAGCCATACAGACTAACGTCATTTGTACTGATTCATATACAAATTAATTTCTTTCGGAGGTTAGACCCTCAACCGTGACCGGGTTTACAACAAAGCTTGTCAGGCCGCAGACACCCACGATCGGACTAGCGCCTATAAAGTCCCTAGGTGACAGAATTAATTTGCAGTACCAATTCGTTGTACCTCACGTCCACTGTGAACGGTGGCCAAAACTTGAGGACCAAGTATTATTGATGTAAAGTCGGTCTTTTCTCTGTGACGGATATATGGTCGGCCATAAAGTACACCTCTGTTGGGCTGTGTGGCCGCTAGGACCTAACCCTATCCAGACGTTTGTCGAGCCTCTAGAACGGAACACCTGCATAGCGGCTACAGACGAAATGCAGAAAAAAAGGGCAACGTTTCGGCTACCATTGTCTATTTGGCTACTTTTTTTTGCTGATCGATTGAACATTACGAGGAGCTTCTAACGGACGCTTTGCTAAGAGAAACTGCTTAATTCGCCTCATAATTTGGCTATTACGCTAAATAGTGTTAATATATGCTTTCGGCGAAATTAGTACGTTGTAGAACGTAGCAGGCCATGTATGCCCTTTAGAAAGATAGCACTTATTTGCGCACGCATCTCGAGCGAGACCAAAAAACTCATACGTGTGAGTTTTCTTGCGGTTTGATAGAAGGTGTACTACGCTATAATCTTATGGGACAGAAAAGATCCGGTTAGATCACTTAGACCTATTACCATAATATCGAAAACATGAACGGCCTTATTTGGTGGATTGATGTTGAGTAAAGATACCTATTCATTTTGTGTGCATAACAAGTGCATGCAGTCTAGTCTCAGTTGTAATTACATATTTTTTTTAATGAAAAAAAAGGCCAACCACGTTTAATAATTTCGAACTTTTCATGCCTTAACGCATGCTCATGCTCGAGGTTTACTACCGTTTGCTGCCACTGGTTGTAAAACCTGAAGTGCGTGCCTCCCAGCTTGTTTTTCTAGGTGACAGAGGATAAGGTGGTAGTTAGCGAGAAAAATAGGATCAAGCAAATGGGGGAAATCTTTCTTGCTTTTCCTGCGTTTCCGTTGTCATCATCCGTTCTCACAGGTGGCGGCAGCATGCTTTCTTCTCGTCGCAGCGCGCCGGGATTCAAGTTCTGTTCTCCTTTATTGGCCCTTCTAGCAGGCACTGAACTCTAGGCCAAGCAGCAAGAGGCTGCAAGCCGTCGGAAAAGGCGACAGAATGTGTCCAAATAATGATTATTCAACTGGGGTTTTCTTCTCTCCGAGGACTGAGGTAGACCGAATCCAGTCAGGCCTCTCTCACTGCTCTGTCTTCGCTGATAGCTCCTAATTTCTGTGTGAAGTGCGTAGGAAGCGCCAGGTGCATGTCGAAGTCACGTGTGGCTGTAAGGAAAGATGACTCTTTTAATTGAAGATAATTTAGTGCGTCACTCTTTTAATGCTTCTAGCTCACAACCATCTGAGACGTAAGGGGCTACAAATTATGGTTAGCGAATAAGTACGTCACAAACATGAATCCGTAATACGAAATCCTAGCAAGAATGAATAACTCATTGAAAAGGAGAATACTGCAAGAAGTTGTGCAGATACATTGTTGAATAGTACTTTCCTCTAAACGAGATGAACTACTGTGTTTTGACAGAATTGATGCTGGGGCAAAAACAGAAGCACGAGGTTAGGGTGAGCACCTTCTCAGATATGCCATTGATCTATTGTTAACAATTATCTCGCTTTAGCCGATAATGTACCGTCAATAGGAGACTAGCCAATGTAATAGTGTAGTGGGTGTCTGTTTCAGTAATGCTTTACGATCAGCTTAACTTTGGGGTTCATAATTTTAATGACAAATATTTCTCACACAATAGAAGATCGAAAAACCTTTTATTCAGTTAGGGTATATAAGAAAGTTGGTTTTAACGAACAAAATCACAGCGTTTCAACATCTGTCGCTATTCTTGACGATCTTCTCTCGTCTGTTAGGTAATTCATTTAACAATTCTCCTTTAGCTCTGCTATTGATGAACTAGTTCGGCCGGATTTTGAGACCATCTTTACTGTGAATCACACAGTGACTAATTTTATTTATCAATGACTGGAAAGGTTCGGGAATTCGGAAGGATTAGAAAATATGGTGAGCTTTTGTACTTGCTGGTATTTTTGTAGAGAAGAATTACTGTGTTTTGTCTATTGATCTCTTCTGTTAGGCAGCTTTGTTCACTTGGTGCAAATGAGCCATGTACAGATTTTTGCTGACTACGTTCTTCCTTTTCAACGATTTCCCAGTGTATAATCCCCCTCCAGTCGCACCGAACGCAGAACTTTGATCTGCTTCTAAACTTGGGTGCATCTCCCAGGTGACAATTCCGCATCGAAACTTTCCATTGTGGCTGCGTACTGCTTCATGCCGAGCCATATGTTGAAACTCCCAGTCTATGGAGCACGCAACTTCCTAATTTTTCAACCAGTGCCATGAATCTCAAGTCAGTGCTGATGATTGTCTGACTAACTCCCTTCAAAAGTGGCCTTAATCGATCCTAATCAACCTCAGACAACTGAACGAGCCGAGCGGGGCCCATCCTCCAGTTCTAAGATGTCATGCTATAATTTCAAAACCCAGTTTTGAGCAGCGGTCGTAGTCATAGAGCCATAGCTGTATACCGCATAAAAATTCCGTGCTACTTTGGCTTTGACAAAAGCAAAGTGAACTTTTTCTCAAATGAAAACTTCATTATTTAGAGCCTGGACCTTACATCAAATTCTGTTCTCTTCATAATGACATGTATTGGATGGACAAAAGAGAAAGAGCAGTTTCGAACGGTATATAGAAGTGGACAAACAATGGAAAGGTAAAGAAGACAAACAACCTTAACATAAAATAGATAAAAATCAACAGCTGTTCATAGGTAGCTCCGGTCTAGCAATGAAGATATTTATCTAGAAAGGTATAGTTCTATTCACTAATAATGAAGCGAACACTATACGCTTAAACGAAATGTAAGTTCATCGTATCTACATAAGTAGTTGACAGATAAAAGTTATTTTCTTGCGCAGGCAGCTGCCCAGTATGAAAAGAGGATCACTTGTTGTAGTGTTCGATAATACAATTGAGAATAAGTATCTCGCGTTTTTCTCTACGAAATTTTCTTTACTCGACCGAGACTCAGCTTTCTAAAATAGAACGCTAACTCTGAATAAAATAGGTTTAATAAGAGCTAGCTATTTGCCGATTTCACAGTAAGCCATATTAATAATGGATACTAAAAATTTGCTTCGTAATACTAACGAGTAAATAACGAAAACCGATACACAGAGAGGCCCACAAAAATCGCAATAATCGTTGCATGGAACCGTTATAAGCACGTTCAGGAAGAGAGCCAAAAAAAGAAAATTCGATTTTTCTTGGACCTTTTCGTAGTTTACACAGCACCTTGCCTGTTGCTTGCATTTCTTGACCCTGGACACAAACTAAGACTGCAACAGCACCTCTAAAAGCTGCAACTCGCCTTCGTGATAATGCGTCTTACGTGAAATATTGTTTATTAGCTTACTTTTGTTGTACTATGTCCCGTGGCTAATCTCCCACCTCAGTTTAGTAGAGGATAGTGTTGTTGTTGTTGCTGTTGTTATCGTTATTGTTATTGTCCTTTTCATCCTTATGTCGCCTGTGTGTGCACACCTTTGATAGCCTGCACTTTGGCCGAAGGTAAACGTCCTGTGGCACGCTTCGTTAAAGGAACTGTTGCCAAAGCACGTTCACTGGGGGTGCAGATCTACCTTCCCGATGCTGTTCCATGGTCGGTTCTTCAGCAGAAAACTCACTTTCCTACTCACTGACGGGGGACACCGATCTCGTAAATTTGTCGGGGTAAAAGGCTGCCGACGACAAGAAATTTATCTTTAGTCTTTCTGAAACAAGTGCATTAGCCGTGATCTAATCGGCCTTCTCCCAATGTCCCCTACTGACATCGTTGAGCCCTCGCGTAAAGGCAGTACTTCGAAAACCGAATGTCCCAACTGATTCTGTGCTGAAAGTTGAATTCGCTTGTTCTAGTTGAGTGAGTCCTCGCATCGATGTCCTGTTGTTGCTCCCTGGTCCAACCGTAGGGTATGCGTGTTCTCGTTCTCTTATTTGCCCACTGTGTAAAAATCGCAATATACTATTTAAATTTTGAGCGATGCTGTGAAACGCTCAGTTCTGTATTGCAAGGCAATTTTTATCCAGGTCAACTTGTTCTCTTCAGCTATATGATTAATTATCTATTTAATTATCGTTGAGTATTTCTGCGATTATTGCATTGCAATAAATAGTTTAAGGGAAACGCAATAATTCAGTCTTTGTTTGATGTTTTGCATTCATTAATTTATAAAAAAACAAGAAAAGCCTTAGAATTTCAGTTGTCTTTGACAACTTTAATTTTCTCTTTGGTTACTTCTGCTAGATTCTGGTGGTTTCCGTATTATTATTATTAATTAATTATTTATTTACTATTAATTAAGATTAGAACAATACCCAGATCTTATGACATCCCTAACAATGGTTCAGAGATGACCCTTAGCAACGTAAGTTTTAACAAACATCTACAAACGTGATTAGCATATGAAGGATGACATTTCATATGGGTTCCGTGGAGTTAGAAAATGAGGTATAGGAATAAGGTATCACTGGGTGCATATTACTCTTCTGTTATTTGACAGAACTTTGTTATGCCTGTACGAAAGCTCGAGTTGAAAGGTTGATTGTGCAATATGTGCAAGGTAACTTATTGGAACCGAGAATTTTCTAGAATAGCAAATGCATCAAGGTCGAGCTCGCATGCCTCTGAGAAGTAGTCGCCCATTTCGAACAAATATGGGCTTGAATTTATGGGCTATAAGCGCGGTCCATTTATTTCTAGCTAGTTTCTCTGTTTTTTACCGGAGTGAACAGTATTGCCAATGCATAATTCTGTAACGAAAAAAAAATAAACCATTTTATATCTGCATGTGGCTGATTTAACCTTCACCCTTTCTAACTAATTATGTAATGGTAAATCTTCTTAGAACTTACGTTTTAGTTCAATGCAATTATCGCATATGTGTTTTTGACCCATTTCAGGGTATTCTCGCGACAGCTGTCGTGGTGGGGCGCAAACGATCATTGCTTACGAGAAGGCGGGTTTCTTGCATTCGTCGACTCGAGGGAGATCCAGAGTTTGCTCGACAAAATGCTGTACGCCAGGTAGTGCCGAAAACTTGCACGAAGATTTTATATTCTCCCATCTTGTCCTTCCTGCTTGTCTATGATATCAACTACTACATATTTTTTAGGCTATGTTATACAAAAGGAAGAATCAATATATGTTTATGTCACCTGTATCTATGGCAATTGCATACACACGTACCTATTGGTGCATGTTTTCTGCCAATAGCGAGAGCTTGCTTGTTTTCATGTACGTGTGCCTGTGTAGAATGGCACGAATATATAAATTGTCGATGTTCCTTGCACGTTAAGTTGGTAGAAGCTGCTAAATGATGTCGGCGAGCGAATTTGAAACTAGCGATAATTAGGACATCTAAGAAAGACCAGCTAGCTTAAGAGATAGGTCTTCAGAAACTGTAGTGTACTTCATTTATGTAGCAGTGTGAAGTGGCATTTACCCCGGAACTTAAGGTGCCCTCAGTTAAACACTGAGACTACAAATCATACTCTACAATAACACAAAGCTTCGTGGTCGCATAACGGTTATCTACGGTATTAGTCGGTTAGCTGTCACTCCAAAACAGTCACTCTCCGAAGCCAATGTCTATTCCATCGAACATTTGAAACTCGTTATAATTCCAAAAACAGAAGCTAATACTGTTTTAGATCCGTCACGACCCAAATGTGCGTATCAGTAAATGGAAAACGCGTGCCACTAGCGACAATAACGATATAAGATAATCTGTTAGGAAATTGAGTTCATAAAATTCATCCCGTCTTCAAGACCTTAAATGTATGTGTATTTTTTTGAGCCCAAATTTATCTCTCTTTGAGATTATAAATTACTATAGTTATCTGCGGGCACGAAATGTTCGAGCTTAGATCCGGCGTTTGCCTGACGTCTAGCAAACCGCAGGACGCTAAAGCTAAAACCTATACTGCAACGAAAAGCTATGGGCCGTTCTCCTGATGTTTTGACCTATCCGATCCCAAACCTATCGGCTTCTAGAGCATCCCTAGTTTGCTTCAGGCAAGTTCGGATTTGAATGAACATGGTAATCTGGAGTTCCCCGCCCTTTGTCACAGGGAGATAACGTCCTAAAAAGACTTAGCACTGTTGCGGCGAGCACTCAACGAAGGCGACGCAATAGCGTCCGCCCTAATCTGCAGCGAACTGGAAGGTGGACGACCTTTCTGCCACGTCTCTTAGATAAATTGTACAATCTTCAGGCCCATTTCCGTTTCGGACTATGGGCGGAATATGAAAAAGAAGCGATGAAGCCCTTCCTAATCATACATAGTCCCATTGTATTGATAACATTGTTGGATAGACTTGTCATTCCATCAACTGAATTTCAACTTTGTTATGCCATAGGAGTTTCACTTTTTATAGACTGCGCCGCTCCTTTGCCTAAATTTCCGGGATACCCATTATTGATAAGAGCTCAGAGGCTAGACTTGCGCAGAAAGGTTGGGGCATCGGCACGTGCTAACTACCATGTCCTGTTCTGTCGCATCCTTCAAGTTCCATTAGTATCTAGGGGCGGGTTTTTTTTTATCTTCGGCGTTTTCAGGCAATTTCGGAAATGGCATATTCTAAAGTTTTTCTGCTGGATATTTTTCTAGTTCTTTTTAGTTTATTGCACCATCATGTGGCCTTCGTTCCACGATGCTTTGAGCGCCAAAGATTATTATGCATCCAGTAATGCGAACGTTTAATTTAGCTGGACCCAGATTGAAAACGTACATGTCCCGTCTTCAGCAGGTATATTTGCCATCCGAAGAAGGAATACCGGATACAATTTTACCATAGACTTTATAGTACTTACCTAGAGGAATATTTTCCTTGTCCAAATCGTAAATTATGATAATCATTGAAATTGTAATGGGACTATGGTAGAGAGGGGCATATCTGCTGCTGTTATACAATAACTAACCTGGAGCTAAACTGGCACAATTCAAATTGTCTGTTTGCTATCTTTGTTGCAGTGGTCTTGATACACACGAGCTAACTTATTTCACCTGAACGTTCGAAAGTTATGAAAACACCCAGCTTGTATCATAAATATGTGGCACCCCAAAATCAAAAACACCTTTCCGCTTGCTCTGTAAAAGTTAAGGATTATTATTATCGAAAGATCGTTTGAATTGTACTCATTAGTGTACGAGGGTAAATTGATCACGACTGCTGCTGCCGCCGCCGCCGACCCATTTCGTCCACTGCGTTTACCTGAAATAGTACTGATATCTGATGGCTAGACAGTGGCACCTAGAAGGAAAAATAGTTCACACTGACTGCTGGATTTTCCCAAGTTCGCTGGCTAAACTAGATGAAGCAAACTTAAACACTATATCGTCCACACCTTATCAGTGTATCGTATAAAACCCAATCAGCTCAACCAATAAAGCTCTCCATAGGACGGTTAACATGTAATGGCTAGTTAAGAGCCTTGCAAAGTAGATATGTATCGAGTCCTATTACGCAATAGCAAATATGCTCGTATTTTTGAATCAGCATTATTACCAGAGCGCTGGTATCGATAAGGGCTCCTCGACCCCTTTGCGGTTTTTGTTCGCTGCGTACGCTTGACGTTGCGCAGTCTCCTTTGTAACTTTTAACTCATTGTTTGTTTATTTTCATTATAGTCCAGTTTATCCGGAGCGACGAAGTTTCTGGATCGGAGCCTCGGATGTCCGCTATGAGAGCTGCTTCGAGTGGCCCGATGGAAGCGCTGTACGATACACCAGTGAGTACGAACTCTGTTAAGCCTGTATCTAGGAGAATTCATGATGAGAATAATAAAATATGCGGTCATTTAGTTGAAACAGTGCAGAATAGGATAATTTTATCCTGCACATACTAGATACGCCCTTGAGTTTACAAATGGTTTCCTTTGTGATTATCTATTTATACGTAAAGACGTACCGTTTCCTTTCAGAGTTGGATATAGCTCAAATGAATATGTGAATTGACATTTTATGTCAAACAATAAATTTGCATAAGAAAGAAGGACAATCCGAATTTACATTTGAATTAAATGACCTTGGTTTACAAAAATAAGGACATCTCTGTGCCATATCATTGTTGTGAATTAAAAATAAAGCCGTTTTATGTCCCGGCTAGGAAAATCAATATTATATCACTGTATTTTTGCTATTTATCTTGCTAGATAAAGTATCTATTGTCTGATTTGCGTCACAGGTGTGCCGCTGGCAGGATCAGTATGCCGCTCGAAGTACACCTTTATTTGGAATATTTTTTGGATCTATTCACGCGACAAATATACGTTTATACGGACGTGGAGTAATTTAATCGACCATACTAGCATTGCTGTTTATGGCAAGACTATTTTTATACAGAATAAAGCAAGCCATCGTTGACACTGCGTCGCCAACTGAACGCCACCGACTCCACAAGGTGTTTTTGGAGACATAAAGTCGCTATTTCTTATTAGATGGCCATTAGGTAGATGAAAATTTTCGATAGATTCGCATTAATAAAGTTCAGGGAATAAACAGGCTAAGCCTATTTAGAGGTGAGTTATGTCAGTAGATTTACAAGGGACACACCAACGTAATTTCCGTATCCCTCTATTTTGTCCTGTCTATGTCTTGATAACAAATGACGTTTACGAATGACGTAAGAACGGCATGGATGATGCTATCTTTCAAGAGGTTTCGGTCAGACGACTGCGAATCCAATCGAGTTTCGTTGACAAGATTGTAGCATTAACTCCAAAAATTAGCAGGCTTGTATATTTCAACTATAAGTTACACTGAAAATATTTTAAACTTGATTAGCTCAAATGCGCTGATTTTGACATGGAAGAGCTACACTTGGACATATCGGTAACGAAATAGGCAACTTTTCTAATTAGGCTGCATAACAAGCAGGACAAGGCATAGGTATAGGCCTTTTACCAAAGTCCTGCCTCCTAAATTAATCATTATTGAGAACAGTATTAGGCAAAACGAGGTGAGACTAATGTACAACTATTTTTGGTAGACGTAACCCTACAAGCAGTGATTAAGGTCATGGCGCATGGAAACGAAAGACAAGTTTGGACGCGCCATTGAATGAATGATCAGCGTAGTTATTATTCATACTGCACTTACGACGCTCATCATCGCTGATGGAAGCTGGTTTTGCTGTCAATTCCCTTACTTATCCACAAAGCGGCACATACGACCGCCAGGATCACGAAGTCTATTAGAATGTTTCGAATTAGAAACGCTATTGAGTCCTGTGGAACTGTTGCTATATGTTGCAAGTTAGTCCTCTAATTCCTCATCCCAATTGCTTCAACTCAGGCCTGTAGATTTACGGTGAATCCGATAGCTTAATCCTAGCGCGTAGCCATCGTTCGTATTCATGACTGGCTGTATCTACCTGTAATCAGATAAACGCCCTTTTGAGCCAGGTTACATACACTGAACCCTGCTGTTCGGCAACTTTATAAACTTTTTTTTTATGGGCAATGATCCCCAGAATAAAGAAATAGAATCGACCGAATAATCGCCTGTGATATTTCTCCTACTCCGTGATATATATATATGTATAACTTTTGATAGCTTTGATAGACTTCAACGTATTTGACGTCCCGTCGTGACTTCTGCTCACACACTGTGTACTACAGTGTGCGCTCTTTCGCAGCACAAACGAGAATCGGTCGAATGTACGGAGTTTTTTTCTTACCTTACTAACTGCTTTATGACCTGTTCGATATATCGTCTCCTCATGCGTGTATAGAAACCCTGTCGTGGCACTTAAAGTATGACCAGCTAAAGTGGATATAGCTACCTTCTTTAAGGTCTATCGCCCTTTATGTAAAGCTTCTTGTGAAGCTTGCGGCTAGGATTCAATGAGGCGTTGCTCCCACCGTACTTCCTTTACAACCATTAGCAGTGACTGTTTGGCTCCTTGCCCGTTCTACGCTACGTTTTACGTTCAGGCAAAAGACTACGCGTGTTCTCTTTCGATCTCGTTGTTTTATGACTTACTTTGACTTATGACTATCCTGAGTTGTTCCATGGGGACAATTAGTCAGTCAATCCAGAGTTAGTTTGCAGTGACAATTCTTCTGAAGCCATAGCGTCTGGCCTTGAATTAAGCACAAATGGATGTCCTCTGTATTTTTTCTCGATAGAATAGACAATTATAAGCCTGTTGAGTATCGTTTCACCCAGAGTGAAGGTGTTATATGAGATTCCTTATAACCTTATATGGTAAGAAATATCGAACGTATGTATAAGAGTAATTTGTCTCCTAGTCTCAAATTCTGGTAGCCCGTTGACCTATGAACATAACTTTTCGATGCGAGCTCTACGAGTTCGTCGTCTGCCACCTTATTTGCCATTATTTATCTGTTAAGTATCCCTAGACGGGGTAAATCTCTTTAGAACCATTATTAAATTATATAGTAAAAGCTGTGTGTGAAGCTAATAGCACCTGTCTTTGACACCTTGTTTCTATCGAGGTTTTCCTTTATTGACGCATGACCACGTATAATTTCTCTGACGAGTTCACACGCATTACACAATATGCTATGCGCTTAGTGCATGTTACCTGAATATTGTTAACGCTGTCCTATTTATACGGCAAAGCGCCTGCTTACCAAATGACCTCTGTTTCTCCCATCGTGGCCCTATTACAGTTAGAGTTTTGACCAGCAAGAGTTACTAAAGACCACTGCATTGATTTCCACGCATGCGACCGCTTATTACGGCGGCTCGACTCATGAGGCTTTTATTTTTATTTCTATTTAGATTATTAGCCGCGTGTCATCAAGACAAGAAAATTATGTTTAGGTAATCAAGACCGCCCAGTAGACGATCTGTTCAACCAAACGCTGCCATTCGTTCATAGTGAAAATTCGACCAAAGCTAAACTGCTACCCCCAAACACTATTCTAGAATTTCTAATTGTAATGTTAGTGCGATTTCATCATATGAAGTTCTCTACCATTAGGGTGAAGGTCAGAGCATCGTATACTTGATTCATCACTCTTGGTATTTGCAAGTAATTGATTAGGCCCAGGAAACAGGTACGTTAAGGTTGTAACGGCATTGTGACCGATAGGAAATATCAATAGGTGGCTAGGGTGTATGGCTTCGACTGAGGAAATTGCATTTTCCACCACTTGACTAATCTTCAGCAATTATTTAGCCTTTTAAAACTCAGCTATCTTTTACGCACCGGTCCCCGAACCCAAGAGTACAGCAAACGGCCGGGTAAAATTGATTAGTTTGTCATGAACCACGTCGACGTCGATCTAACGAGAAACACGTTAAAGTGGGGACTCATAAGGGCTTAAGCATTTTCATCTCTGCGACGAGGTCAATCTTAAAAGGCTAAGAACTCCTCGTGAATTATGAGCCGACGTTACCAAGCGGGGTTAAACCGTATAGCCGGACCGATGACTCTTGGTGAGTTTCTTTAAATTGCCCAAATGTTATCGCTTTTTGTTTTCGTTGTCACGGAAGAATGAGAGCAACGGAATCCACCAATCGAATGAGACGAATGAAAGGAAGCACTGAGGAACTATATGGCTATAACTGTGCCTGTTTTTTTTTTGTTATTGTCCTGACGACATCTTGTTTATCTCTACAAAAGCTATTGCCATTTGACCTGGCAGGCCATTCTAGTAGTATTACCAGTTCACTTCCTTTAACGACAATTCTCGGTAAAAGTGTCCTTAAAACAAATATCCTCTTTATTACATCTGCTATTACTGTACAGGTATAGAAAATGTACTTGTGTCAAACGGTTGGGATAGATTGAATTGAATAAAATGTCAAAAATCGATCAGATGTAAAAACTCTTGTCAGTATCAACAATGCAGTGGGCATTATGTCTGTAACATACATAGAATACGCTTGATCACTCTATCCATAACGGTATACATGTTAGCCACATATCAATTTTTGAGCATTCCATTAATGCAGTAATAACAATAACACTGAATATATCCATTTTTAGTGTTATTATGTAAAGAAGGCACTACTCATGCGTAACTTATCTATTAATTCAGTAATCGATATATCGGTCAAAGGCCTAATTTTAGGTCAACGGAACGTACCGATGAAATGTACACAGTCTCTCAAAAGATACATTTGCGCGTTTTGAATGTTATGCCGAGGAGCACCCAATAAGGTAATCGAGAAGCACCTTAATTAGCTTGAACTTGTGTGTGACAACTTTCGTTAGTATTGGCGAAAAGCCCGGCCATTCGCTGGTGCGCGCACGAAACAACCACGAAATCTGCTTATTAGAACGATTCGTAATAATTTTCTCTTCATTTACCCATATTCGTGTAGAAATGCTGTTGGAAATGTTTGCGGAACGACAAAACGCTAAGAGTAAAAGAAGAGATGGTGTCTGGCTAGAATACGTTCGATTCCGAAGACGGACTCGCGCCATTCATACGGACTCAGAAAATCAAGCATGCAAGACACCTTTCAAAGCATTCTGCTTTCGATAACACAATAGTTCATTCTCAGCATCTTTTAAACGGTTTAGCAAAACTCGCCTAGAAATATAGCCTTGTCCTCTCAACACGCGTGTCGTATTGGCCTACAAATGTTAGATGTCCAGACACGCCATCGCAATAGGCCCAATATTGAGAAGTGTCTGGCTGAAACAAGCTGGTTGAGTTTTTACTGTAACTCCTTGAAGCTTGTTCTCTAATTTACTACTAACAGGATCTGCAACAGACGTGCGCGTGGACAAAAATATCTATTGAGAGGACCCGAACATATCGTGCATCCGGTTTACTAGATGAGCCATATTAGTAGCCGCCGTCGCTAACGGTGGCTGTACTGCGTATTTATGTCCCGTAAGTGAGAGAAAATTCTGCAGCGGACTAAAGACGGCAACAACAACTATCATCTACCTTATGGGTTGTATAGAAGCAAACGAAGTGTCTATGATAGATAAGCGTGGTAAAAGCCAATGATATATATTTTATCACAAAGCCTCCTTTCGAAGCGAGCTCCTAAAAGGCTTTGAGGAGCAGCAACAATAGAACTGAGATTCTTTTTTTGGCGTTCGATACCGCTGGAAGTGAAATGTGCTTATTGTCTAAGCGTTGTTGAATAGAATAAAAACATGGGGGGATCGCAGGTTTCTTATTGGCTTCTTTCGGTCGTTTGGTAGTTACCGAAAGGGTATCGACAAAGTAGCTCCGCTTATCTTGGAAAATCCAGAGCCTCTCGAAGCGCTGCTGAGCTCCTGGAAAACAGTATCGGTAAAAAAACATGTGCCCAGAACGGTGGAAAGTGATACGAGATTGGATACGCGCAACCTGGTGAAGGGGTGAAATTGAAAGTATTTTGAAACAACACGATTACCCCGAACATCATCCTTTTATAACCTGACTTCACACAGAGCAGCTCATACCAAGCTTAAATGATCGATTCGAGCCTGAACGTGAAATCAGAGCCACTTTTTCCATCGTAGGTATCGTGATAGGTGAGAAGAATCTTTATTCCAACGTTAAATTAGTACGTTCCGTTATTCTGTCTATCTTGGCGGTCGTTTACGTGCGCGGTGGTCGAAGTTTCTGAGAGAAAAATGTATTATATTCCTGTTTGCTAGGAGTAACTGAAGAAGAGTTTTTACGTATCCTAAGTAAGCGTTTGGGATGATGGGTGGTCGTAACGCAACTTTGAGTTAAACTTTTTCTGAAGTTTAGCGACGACGCAAAATTACCCGCGAATAGATAGACCGTTGTGCCACTGACTATATTATTATTGAGATTATTGTTATTGAGAGTTTTTCCGTACTGTTATTATTCATGTCATATAGAAAATGTTATACACCGAATAATCGGTATCAATTGATTGTTTTGCAGATTGGTTCCCGGGCTGGGCTAACTTTAGCAACTACAACAAACAACCTAACGATGATGCGGACTCCGATCAAGACTGTGTACAGGTAAAAGGTACTTAGGTATCTCGAATGGTAGTGGTGCACATAACAACGTGGTATCCTCTCTACACTTCAGGCTATTACCACCATTTATTTTACAATAAAAGTTCCGAAGTCCAATTCGGTGGCTTGCAACTCCTGTTGCAACTGCGTAACCGCATTCTGCACATACTAATAAATGTTTTACATTGGAGTGAACGTTATTATGAGTATACCTGTGTTTGTTAGAAAGTCTGGTAATTTCGCTCCTCGTATGTTGTCGCTTGCATCACGAAGAACCCGTTAGACGAAGAACGTTTGCTAGTTTATCTTCATGATCATGTGTAATGTTGCTAGTTTGTCCGTTTGAAAATGAATAATTCATGGCAATTTTTATTCTCAGCAATAAAAATCCATATGCCCTAACATAGTATTATCTGTTGTATTATATTGATCTCCAGATAACGCCATTATGAGTCCACGATGCGTTCGCTGCTTCAGCGAATAGTAACAACGAACTGCATTTCTTACACTAACTATAGAGGTGTCCTGTGTCTTCTAATGACTTGCACAGCGAGAATGTGCCAAAAAGACATCGAGCACAGCACCCCATAATTTTCTCCTTTGTTTCCTTTTCCTCCAGCATTGGTAATATTGAAAGCCTTCCCTGCTTGCTCTGCTTTCCATTGTAACTATATACAAGGAACTTAATGAACGACAAACACATTTTGTAATGAGCCTATATCCATAAAGCTTGCGTGTATAAGGCGTACAGGGTACTCTCAAAGGTGACGTTAACCGCTATCAACCGTCGTCATGCACCTACCTTGCGCGTCGTGCCTCGAAGCCGTCCTCGCCATCGCCGTCGCCCTAATCCTTGTCTTGTATCCACGGGCTGTAATGAGCAGCGTTCGCGGTGATTCGTTGCGTACACCCGAACAAGTGGCTTTAGCTTCGTCATCGGGTGCTGAGGCAGGTCAGAAAGACGAGACAGGGCAGAATTACAAGGACCTGAAGAAAATGTGCAGTTTAAAGCTAACCTTTCTTGTCGCTGTGTCACCTTACATTCATAATTATACATAATGTCATCTGACGCTCTGCAGTTTTCTGATCCGCGACGCGTCGCTTTGCGAGCGTTCGTACCGTCTTCTTTCCGGTCGCGTTAGTGGTGCCGCTACAGCAACAGCCAAAACATAACGACGACGATAGAGTGGTGATGGGAGAAAATGGCGAGTGACAGGGGACTAGGAAAATGCTGTACATTCGTTGTCGTCCGCACGTTTTGCACGACTGGCGCGACTTTAAGCGTAGCCTACGAGACTGTCGAGCCACGAGGCAGCGTTAGGTCAGCGACCATAATTTCATAATTCAACCAGTCTGAGGGGACTGAAAGTGCCTAGCAGTCACGCCACAAAGCGACAACGTACCGCTCCGCTGTGTGCTATCCATCTGAATCAAATTTACCTCAACCTCCCTTGTTTGTCTGTGATACGTTCTATAACGATGGCAAGTCCCGAACGGGCGCCGCTGCTGCCGCTGTTCAGCAGAAGCCGTTAACGGCCGTGCCGGTTCTGGTGGCTTATTGCCCTCGTAGCCGATATCGTTATAGATGTTATAATACACTCGTCTAAGTTTCACCTCATACTACAATTATAATAATTATTATAATGAATTGCCAATCACAAGATACGATGCATCTCTTTAAGACTGAAAAAGCGTCAACGAACGATGATGGCATAGGAAAGTGTACTGGCACCATTCTTTTAGAAATGAACTATTAAAAAACTACTAAAAATGATATACGAGGCATATAACAGCGACGTAGTACGTAGTATTAGGGCGGTACAAAGCTAAGCACCTAGAACCTCATTCTCTCTATAGCTGAACACCGAGTGTTACTATGTACGTGTACGGTTCGCGTTGGTACCTTGGAGCTGATGCACGTAGGTCCTTTGCCCATTGTCTGTGAAATGGAAAACTTCCTATGAAATTAGCTTTAAGCTGCTAAGACATGACGAGACCTAACGAAAAGTACATTAATTTTCTTTCATCGTGTTTCAGAGCGCTAGGCTTTCAAAAACAGAAAGTAGTCTTCAAGAAGCATAGGAAGATAAACTTAGCTTCTTAAATCTATAACCTACGCGTCACGGCAGACAATCTTCTTCTGATTATTATACACGAGTGAGGATTATTAGACAAAGATAAACGTTTTTTATCCAGGTAATCGATCAAGAACTCCCATTGGCCTGCTAAGTACGCAATGGAACGTTCTATGCTAATTCGGTAACTTCTAACAGAATACCAAATGTTATGGCCAAAGAAAGCTGATGGGATGCTACGTGAAAAGACAGGGAGATGTTTTTTCGTGGCTAAGCCGCTGCATATAGTAGCACAGGCTCATTGTTTGCTCCGTTGGATGCTGTGTCTCGCACCATAAAGCGTCTCTTATCTCTGCCGCAAACATTTTACTGAGCTTCCATTGAATGCGTACAGTCGGATCTCATCCCAACTGGATTAGGTAGGCAATATCCCTTCACATCGAATTCAGTCTAATTTGATATGGCAGCGATGACGATGAGTCATAATTTTGTGGAGAGTACCATTATAATAGTGCTTAACTGGCACTTTTTGCCTCACATGTACTAGCAGATGGATTTGGTTTGCCCCTTTACTGAGCGTAGCGCTAGCATGCCTAGGAGACAGGCGAGCCGACTAGGCAGGACTGGCCAAACAGGCCATCGCCGTGGCCACCACGGCCTAAACAACTGCAACTATTGAGTAAAGATATACTGCTCAGTTGGCCACAGAGTCAAACGTAATGGCAGAAGCCGGAGCAAAGGGGTAGCAGCGGGCACCCCGTCATTCATTAATGAATTTCCCACGAGAGCAGGATCATATTTCAGCAGCAGATCACCTTTTTTTTTCTCCTCCAATGGCAGTCCTACCTTTGGCACTCGAGTAAACATAGCGCTAGAGCGTAAGCATTCGAAGCAGCGGCAGCAGCAGTAGTACTGAGAGCAGTAGCGGTGGTGGAAATAGGAACGTGCTCCCACCTTTTATAACCGCCACTTACGTTCCAGACGTCAAGACAGCAGTTTCCTTCAGTCTTGTTCTTCCCGACCCACTCTTTTCTCCCCACATCCCGCGGTTATTCAGAGAAGGCAAATGTTTTTTTCGTTCTGTCTGAAGTCGGGGAAAGATCACGTACATGTGAGGAACGCGAGATCGCGAATCCGGATAAGGGTTCGGGCTAGACCGAATGGCTCTTAAAATAGAAAACTTGCAGCCGATGGAAAAGGACTAGTAGTCGTTGTAGGATGAACTGAAGTACGAGTTCAAGTCGAGTCGTCCTCGTCGAACCGGTGTAGTGCCGGTTCAATGTCTCCAGCCTCTTTTAGTTTGTATTCCTGGTGACTTTCTACATTTATTCTTTACTAAGAGAATCTAGTTCGGGGTGCGTAAGTAAGTGGAGAGCTGCAAAAGAATGACACGGATAACTAAAAGGAATGATGGGAAAAGTGGATAGTTCTGCGTACGAATGGAGTCGATTTCTTGGATTAACAAAAAACTGGTGAAGCGTATGTGGCAATTTGTACAACACGGCAGTAGAATGTTTTAGATAATGCCAGCCTCTTGAGCAACTAAGGGCAAGTTGGTAAATTATTCGTTTAATCAACAACGCAAAATAGCAAGTGAGATGATGGCATGCGTACGACTGAATAACATGAGGACTGTAACTTAGAACCTTTCTTCCAGTGTAACCATTTTGTAAATACGCACTGTGATAAACTCATTTGGATTATAATACACAGTATAGCGAATGTAAAAACTAACTTTTTTCAAGCTTCTCATTCCTCTGCAGGATTACATTAAGACGACTATTTTCGCTTCGAACGCTCGCTTTCGTAGTCATATCCAGTTAAACAAATAGAGAATCATTTATAAATTCCTTCTCTACTACTTTCAAAGTAGGATCTGTTGAAACGTCGGAAAAGACACAAGTCTGACGGAAGCAATGATTGCAAGTCAAATAATCAGGCATAGTCAACAGTACGATTTCACTCAATTTGACACTGCGTTCAAGACGGTCTTCTCAGAAGCGTAACTTAGCGAACTTAGATACCGCTGGGGTTCGAAAAGGACGGGGTCTCCGAAAAGGAAGTTCATACAAACTGTAATTTGTCCCAGTTTAAACCGCAAGCGCTCGTTTTCTTCCAAAATTGCTTTCTAGCAGAAACACCAGAAACGTTACTTCGTTGGCTGTTTCATTCTAACCAGCACTACTAGCCGGTCCATGTTAGCCTTTGTTTTCTTTGTCTCGACTGACGAGTGGTTTGTGCCTTCGATTTCAGGTCCAAGACATATTCGTGTTCCCATCGAAAGGACGAGGAGTAACCGAGAGTTTTTTCTGGAATGACCGCCACTGCCAAGCCGAGAATCCGTTCATCTGCCAGAGACCCCGAGCAGGTAGAGATATAATGATCACATAACCGAATAGAGTTGTTTTGATTTATGTGTTACGCATCGTTCAGTTATGGCAGGCCCTCCAAAAAAGCGCGCTAGCCGTTTCAAATTATCCCTAGTAAGACGATATGTAAAAAATCAGAGAAGTATTGCCACTTTTCATTATTACGCCCTTCACAAAGCCCGATATCTTGCCTAACTTATTTAATCTGAGATTCAATAAATTCACGTGACTATACATCGAAATTCACATCTGCGTACCTTGCAAATGGAAAAATTCATCTCGCGTCAATCTTCCAACGGTCCACGCAGCAGTCATTTTACAGGCATCTGCGAAATATCAAAAACAGCTAAACCCAACCTGAATTTTGCATTCTCCGGTGAACCTATTAGGCTCGAAGCCTTAAAGCTAGTTGCAATACATAGCCACGCTGTGGGAGCGTATGATTGGGTATTTTACACTGACATTATATATAATGTGCGCATTATAGGTAGAAATGAGTAACTGATCACAGGTGACTAAAGGTCATTGTACTGCTTCCAATGTTATTGTGTGCAGGTTCGACGAATTCAGGGCGGCCGGGTAGCTTCGTTGACCTTGACGTCAACTGCAATCGGTCGGTCATATTGAGTGGTTCGCAGCCGTCAGAAATGCTGCACAGTCCGCTATTCCCTGCTGCGTATCCCCCCAGCCGCAGGTGCCATTTTTCTGTGCAACTGTTACATACTTCCCAACAACACCGGACTCATAGTAACGCCTCCATCGAGCTGCGATTTCTTGAGTTTGACTTAGAGAGCCACGAAAAGTAAGTATGGCGCGTTTTATACGTTAATGTGCATAATGAAAAAATACGTCAACAGACTGCTATCTTTTAATGCTTATAGAAAACGCCAGGGTCTTAGCTATATACATATCACTACGGCGCATATAATCAATTAGGAAAATAATTCGTACCTGGGCTGCAAGTTATATTAGTTCGATCGACAGATAAGTAAGTATCTCTTGCTTGGAAGCCTACATCTTTGTCACTATAAATTCTTTTGAGTATGACGCGACATAATGCGTAGCAGAAAATCACATAAGTGAGACTCGAAACCTTCATCTGCGAACGGAAACATTCTTAGCAACTTTGTTTTATATATATATATACACCTATATACAATGCGTACTACGAATATATAGAACAGCCACCGATTCAGCACTCGAACAAAAGCCATTACTGACCTATAAAGTTAACAGCATTCGATCGGGTTATGATATTATATCTCACTTGTCTGTTTTGCTTTTTATCCTCGATAAGTTTTCGTTGACTTATGCAAATCGATTTGGAACAAATTCACTAGATATGACGGCGCAAAAGCTACCCAAAAAAAACCCTCGAAAGAAAAAACGTCTAACATTCCAGTAAGTTTTTCGTTTGTAAATGCTTAATCGGGTATCATAGTACCTTTCGGTGTATCGCGCGAGTCTGTTTTCACTTGGTGTGTTGAAGCAGCCTTGTTTGACCTGATCAAAAATAAGAGCCAAGATCCGTAATCGGCGGTTTCAGCTATTTCAGGATCGCTGTTGCAGTGATTTCGCTACGATCAAGCGGCTGAACCAACGAAATCGTTCTGGGCTCTATTTCGCTTTCCATTCTTCTCACTAGTTGATCTTCCTTTCTTTAGCTTTTGTTTTTGTTAACGTCATTTTAGCTGGCGTTTCGGTTTCAGGCGTCTTCAGCCTTTAGCTAACCCACTTTCGCGACCCATTTTCCTTTTGTTTGCCGTTGAACTTTCGTTCGGTCTATCATTCGGTTTCTCTCAGCCATTGTCGACGTTCAGACTCGCATTACACTGCTACCGTTGTATTTCTTTTCCTACGCTCTTTTTGGACTTCCAGTGCTTTATTTTGTCGCTCCTGCTGTTACTGCCTTTATTTTTCTTCAGCTCCAAAAAACATCGCTGAAGCGCAGTGCTTGATGGTGCGCATTCATGTCTTGATGCTGGGACTGCTTTTACTTCGGCAGACAACTTAGCACCGTTGCATTGAGCTGCTTCTGGAACCGAAGTCGACTGAAATTCTCTAGAGGACCAAGCTTCAACAATAGCAGTAGCAGCAGCAGCAGCAACCGAAAAGATCTTTGAAAATTGAATTTAGACATTGCGCTATCGCCGTCTCTTTCTACTTTTGCTGTTACTGCTACCGCTGCAATTGGCTCCTCATTTCGTTACTTAGATTCCCTCGCTTCGTAATTCCAGCCAGCAACGACCCCTTCAGCTAGAGGCTCGCCTTCGTCAATGCGGCAGCCGCGGTTCCAGTGGAGTAGCCAGGCTGTTCGGTCTTGCCAGGTCCTGCTTCCATTCCCTGTCCAATTGTTTGCCGCCGCTATATTTCTTTTCCCACATTGCGACCCTCGCTAACTTTCAGCTCTCGCGTTGTTCAGCCAAATTCCCATTAAACAGCAGCTGGATATACAACGGGGTTTGAAAAAGACTTTCTTGCCCTCTCGGGGATCGAACGCTCCTCGACTAGTCAGAACAGACCTTAAGCATTAGACTAACGAAGAGAACCCTGATGCTTCACATAGTCGCTTCCTATAAGGTTTTATTTGAATCTTATACGTATGTCAATGATCGTGCTTATGTCTGTGTTCAAAGGACAAAGCAAATCCCGTAGACTGCCCGCACACATCCTTTATACTAACTTTGTAAAGAAACGAACGATCTATAATCGAAAAACAGGATTAGTGATAAACTGGCGGATTCCCCGTACGTAACCGGTACAGTATGACCGGATTCGAACCTACGCTACAGCGTGCCTTACGATTACCACGCAAATACTTTACTCACCAAGCTATTATTATTAATTTATCAAGCAATAAATAATTGATCATTATCATCAAACATAATGAGATATACATACACACACGATATAGCATTACTCTACTGGCACTGATCTCTCTCTTCCTTTGGCCACAAACGATCGTTATGTTGGAGGCACGCTTTCTCATTGTCCTGTGGAGTACCCTTATCCCCTTTGAGTCCGACTGCCTTATTTGCTTTTCTGCTAGCCATGTAGCAGGGTATATTAATGTATGCTTAAAGTGGTAAGATAATACAGCGCAACACGCCTATTTGTTTCGGGGGGTAACGACGGATCCAGAGCATGATCGGTAGTTTTCGTAACTCACGTTTGTCGCTATACTGAACCAACTATCAGCCGTTCTCAACTCTGCCTCATCTATGATGCGTATTCGAATGCGTCGTACGTCTGTACAGGGATGTGCGGTTGCGTGTATTCTAATAGAAGCCTTCGAGTTGTTCAAATCTTTTTGTTAAATACTTTTTTCTTCGCCATAATAAGCATTACCTGAAATTGCAGCAATATATTATGCACATATGATTTTCAATCTTTATTGATAACATTAATAGGTTTCCTTGTTTTCGTATAATATATGTATCACAGTTAGCGGCGTCTTTCTACGACATCGGCGCGCATTTTTGAAAATGTTCTTTTTGGAGATTGTCTGTGAGAAAGTTGCAGAGGCTGATGTACATTACATTTTGGTATATCCTTAAATTTTTTTCTGCAAGTCAAATTGTCCAGACAAGGTATTTCCTGTGCGGATATTAGAGCCGAAATGCTGTACATGCTTCTTAATTTTTATGTGCAAATGCTCCGGAAAGGTACAAAATGGATACGGTGTTCTCTGAAAGGATGCACTTTATACCAATCAATGAACGAACAGACTAAGAATACAATACATGTCCCTATTCTCTGAATAGATATTTCCCTGTGCTAATGGCACAACAACTACAAAATTAACAAAAACAAATGGAGAACTACTATTGATCAGCTTTTGATTACTTACCGGGTTTCTGGTAGCAGACATAACAAGGTGGTCTTTTTCTGAAAAAACACAAGGGAAGTGCTAAGTTATCGAAAATATTTTTTTACACGAAGATCGATAGATCTCGAAAAATTATACTAAAATGTATACTTACACGTAGAGGAGATAGAGCAAAAAATTGTGACGTCTGTTTCGCCCATACGGCAACACGGTGTAAATATGTGTCCAGTTGTCCTTGAGTGGGTTTTAGACCGACTTCCTAATAAGAAAAGGTTGAAAGGACTAAGGTAATTTTTGCTTTGCTCAATATATTTTCGGTTAAAAAGATTATTCCATGTAAGGTGCCCGTTTCTTAGTGGTACCAAACAAACTTTCTTGATAAACAAAGTAAACTTGGTATGCATATTTCGACATCTAACATGGATATTACACATCGAAAGACGACGATTTGTCACCCTGACAACGTACAATGTATAAATTACCAGCTTTAATTTTCGATTCTTTGATATTTCACATATTGATCAACAAAAAAAAAAACAGATAAAAGATGTGTGATTTTTTTATCAATACAGAGTTGTTTTCTCTTGCAGTTTTAATAAGCGATATTTGTTATTTTTTGATTTTGTGAAAGCCCATATTTCGGATTACTATTGTTACATACACTTTAAGGTTAAACGTGTACTCTTATTTCAAATTGTAATTCCTATTGCTGTACGAATTATATAATTGGCTGATTGATGTCTTAAGAAAAATTCACTAAAATTAAGTATTATTTACGATCAATCTAAACGTTCAGTCGCCGTTCAATTTGACCAGAAACATACAGGGGATTAACTTACGGCAAGTTTCAGGTCAAAGAGAACTTATGCGCGGTCCACCGCTGCCAACCTGGTTGACTACTGCCTAACAGAATCGGCAAGAGTAAACCGAAACAATAACAAGACTGCTATCGACACACGACTAGCAAAGGAAACGAAGGTTACGTTATTCTCTACCCGTTGTTTTCTCCAAGTCGATACTAAGCAGAAACGAAGACACAATGAGAGGCTTGAGAGGCCTTAAAAACAATTCCTGAAAACAATATCTACTTCATTAAGCCATTAATCTGTGATATTAAATTAGTATATACTAGCGTAGGAGCAAACTGGCATCTTGCAAAATTACATCCACTTCGAACGAACAAACCCGCACGCACTGCCAGAAACGGTTAGAAATCAAAGACGACAGAACCGCACTATGTTAGGTTGTCATATATAGGTGTGTCTCAGTCCGTTTGGCTCAAGGAGAGACCAATAAAGTCAAAAAGACATTTTGTATGTGCTGGACAAATCGATGCGACGATTAATAGAGTCCAAGCTTCGTTTTTGCGTCAAACCACTGTTTTTAGAAACAATTTCTACCAATAAATGACGAATCACCGGTGCTTTAGATTCAATACAGAGTGCTTCACGCAGTTTTTCCTCCAAAATAACACAGAAACCTAGAAGCTTCGGACCAACATACGCAAGCAGAATGTAGCTTCATTTAGAGAATGATGATTCTACTAATACTTTTCATATTCCTATACAAGGCCTTCTCTGAGACCGTTCGCAAGCACATGGAGAGGTCTACACCTGTCAAACCAAATATTCTCTATGCAACCAGTCGTTTCCCAATGAAGAAGCAAATCGAGCCACCAATCTTGTTATCTTCATTCTCAAATAAACAGTTCTTTTGAATATTGGCGATGACTTCATCACGAACATCCTTCAAGGATAGCTGCATGCGTATAGAAAACCAAACAGCAACTATCGGTGTTGAATTGCTAAACATTCTCAATCTAGAATAGGTTACTTCACACAACCTACGTCTTAAACCAAAAACAGTCTGCTGTATAGGTTGAGATCTTAATCATGAATAACGACTGTTACTCCAACGGTACCCCCGTAATTCGGTGCGGTCAACGCATGAGTTTCCGTCCAAATATGCACGTCATTCCGGCATAAGTTAGACTGCTAATCAAGGGCGTCAAATAATTCGTCAGCATTCAGTTGCCGTTATCTCTGCTTTTAATGTAGGTCAGGGGCAAACGTTCAGTGTATATATATATAAACCTGTATTCATTAATAATCAGATACACATCGCCTTCTGAAGGGTACCTTCTGCAGAGGGGCCAATTTTCGATATCGACAATCCAGAAATAGGAAATCACTGGATCAACATCGAAGTAGGTATGAGTCTTTAATATGGTACTGCAGGCTATCCATGTGGGACTACCAGTCGGCAACAGTCACAGTGCGTTAACACCACGGAAAGTTTCGTAAAACATCTGGAACCGTAGCCTAATCCATAATAATATATAAATATGGTATCACAACCCCTTATACAGATAGTAATATTTGTGTTACCTATTACTACTACGATTAAATACGCCTCTTTCATCTTGATTATTGAAAATTTTATTTAACTTTATTAACTTACGACAACACATTAATACATTACATAGCCCAATGCGTTACGAAGTACACAAGGTTGGCTGAGTTCCCCAGCAAGGCCAACTATAATAATTTATATTAAATATATTATATATATAAATGTATATATATTAAATATACATATAAAAATATATATCTATAGATTATTGTACATTTACATATTTTTTTTATCGTTTATGATATCACCTATCATATATAAGAAATTAATTACAGCTTTACATAAATAAATTATCATATTGTAATATACCTTCATTCTATATAATATACGTAAATCTTCTTTATAAATTATAAAAGTAAAAACGTTTTCAAGTGTTAGCGAGAACATTAAATTAGCTGCAGCGTCTGTTAAATGTCGATATGATTTCACGAAGAGGCAGAGGGAGCAGGTAGCTCCCTCTGCGATATATTAGTCGGCCGAAGTCATCCCCACGACTGCTCCTGGAACTCACTACGAGTTATCGCAGGCTTTTTATTGAATGATGTTTAAGCGCAGGTGGCAGTAACCACTGATAAAAGGCAACGGAGCAGGCGCGAACGGGGAACCAGGGAAGGATTGACAGGGAACGATAACATCTATATAGTGTTCCTTGGCCTCCTTAGTACTCTCCTCACTTGGTCCTACTAGCTCCTGGCCAGCCAACTTGCTGAGTTCGAATTTATTCTACTATTTTGGTCGTCAATAGGCAGTAAACAACAATAACCAATGGCGATCGCTGCGGAATTTTCGGTTACTCCTGGAGCGGGTAAGCCGGTTACCGATGAGAAGCTTAACTCGACAGGCGCCACAGCAGTTGTAATAGCGATGGTGGCAGCGTCGTTTCGCATTGCTTCCACAATTCCCTTCGAACAAACAGAGAACAAGTGTAAGCAGGACACGGGATGAGACCGGGTCTAGCACATATAAGCAGCATCAAAACGACAGCACACAGAAAGACGTACCACCAATGAGCTTTAAGATGGAGTTGTCTCTTCTTTTTTTTACGGCACCGAACCTCGGCATCTGTTTACGCGTCTATTCTTTATGGTCGTTTCTTATCCGCAAAGAGCATCTGCACATGCCAGGGTACTCCTCAAAAACACTTTTCAATGGTAGAATCTGTAATAATAGGAACTCTTACGGATTTAGCCATTTTGTTGGGTTTTTGCCTTTTTGCCTTTTGCTTTGCTTGGAGTACACTGTTGTCATATCGCGGATATGACTCATGATTCTAGACCATCTCTGAGAGCTAGGCCAGTACGGAACGCGGGGTTCAGCCTGTTTCGTAGCGTTATGGCGTATCGACTTCCCGCTCGCTGGAATCCAAATTGAGAGACATGCGCACGTTTTAGAAGCAAACTTTGCTTGTCCTTCGTACGCAGCTGACTTCTGCCGAAACAATACAAAAAGAAATTTAAAGAACCCGGTTGGACGTATATAACTCACGAGTAGTACTTCCGTCGAAGACCACTGGTAAATAGCAATTGGCTAATAGGGGGTGCCCTTGAGAAATTTTAAAAAGCTCATGTTGCTAAAGTAAGCAATATGCTAATGGATAAGACAAAGCCTCCTTCCTCTACTGCCTGTACATTGCTGAAAGTTGATGCCTTAATGTGCGGCTACCTGTTACCTGTTATACGTATATTCGTATTTCTTCATCACCAGAACATCCACGAGCTTCAATCTAGAAATTTTAGGAAAATCAAAAGACGCATGGGTCTTTTGTGATATGGTCGTATATATATATATATATTGGCCTACACCTTTTATATGATATCATCTTTACGGCTTGTACCAAGATCACCATTCTCCCGCATAATCTCTCTTTTCCTTTGAGCTTCATACAGCTAACATAGTTAAGTTTTCTTCATATTACTGCTATGTGCGTTTAGACATGTGCAATTTACGTCAATCTATGAAAAATGCATACTGAGATGTGGGTGTCTGAACGTAAACGCTATATGACTGGTATTTAGGGTCCTGTACCCATGGAATACGGATTACGTTTGATACTCCATGCTGTATGGGGTACGCAGAATGCAGTTAGAGGTGGATAACACTGTGGTACTTTGTTAGAGTGAACGTAGACATAGTTAGCCAAATGTATATACCGCTAACTTCGACAGGCTGTGTAACCGTATGGCACAATTCCCTCCCCACTTCCCTCCGCTCACCTCACCCCTCCCGGGTCCCTTAACGAGACGCAATGATTTTGCTGTTCTCGCCGCGGGCTGGCATGCGCGTCAACAGAAACGGCTACGAACTCGGAGAAATTGCTAGTTCGCTGGGTTTATGCGCAACATCGTCGTTTCGACGATGTCCTCTGTCCTGCCTGCGTCCTCTGCTGGCAAACACGCATCTACGAGACCCAAGGGATGCTGTGCCGAACGGCGGCCGTTTGGCCCGTCGGCTGGAGCGGCAAGGCACTCGAGGACGACTCCGACGACGAATGCGGCGGCATCGCATCGCATTGCACTGTACCGTACCATGGAAACTAGACAGCCAGCCCGATTCCAGCCGGGGCCACCAGGGGTCGTATGCGGAGAGCTATATCACTTCGTTGGGGACGCCTTCCGGGTTGATTACATGCTTCCCTAGTGTTTCTCGTGGACCCCGTCGTTGCTGCGTTACTCTCTTCTGCGTTCTTGCCATAGCCCTTATGTTAACTAGCTTATCTAACCATATACGGTTGTTGCGGGTGGGTAGGTGTCTGCTTGAGTGGAACTGGCGGACCGTCCGACTCATATCGGCATCTCTCTGACCCTCCTGAGCATAACCATAGTCGTTCTTATGTTACGAACACCCAAATGCATGGTAACGTGACATGCTTTGCCTATATAACCAGGATATCTACTCCTGCTGCTTAAGTGAGATGAGTACAAGCTGCTGACAACATAGGTAAAAACCTCAAACTTCATAACCAAATAGAAAGGTGTCCTTATTTTTATACAAGAGTGCCGTTTTTGCCAACTAATAATGCCATGATATTTTGACTATTGTTATCCACGTGTGCTTGCAGCTGCGACTATGACTATGTAGAGGTCACGGGTGGAGCCTGGCACCCTCCGGGTCTTCTACAGTCGTCGGGAGGTCGAATCTGTGGCAACTGGAATGAACGTATTAAACTGCTGCGTTTTACCGCGTCGCGTAGTATGCAGATCACTTTCGTGAGTGATTTCTCGCATGCTTTCAAAGGATTCAAAGCCGAAGTGCTGATCGTCAACGATGACGGTATGTATGTGTCGTACCGTTGAACAGTCTATGCGTATCATATACCAGTGAGAGGTGGGCAGAGTATTGATTTATCTGTTCTTTGTTTTAGTTCGTTTGTACATTTCGAAATATCCTATTCTCGGCTTGCACACCGGAAAACAGGCTTACACACCGAGACAGTAAATATAAAACTTTAAATATCAAACATATGCACAACGTACTTTTCCTGCTAAAGCGCGCGTCAATCGTTTTTGGAGTGTTTCATATGAGCCACTAGTTCCGTGCTGATGGCTGAGAACCGAAACATTTTTATCTGTGGATGCTCTGCTTGAATCCTAGCGATTAGTTCTCTGCTGACTTTGCCTATTATGTTTAGACCCTAGCGTAGCAAAGACGGACAAGCTATTCTAAGTGAATCCATCGTAGACTGTTTTTATCTGAGTAAAAAAAAGTACGCGCCATTCTATTTTCCCATTTCATTGATATTCTTCTTCTGCGTCTGTCCCTTCTTGACTTTTGACGAGGCCCGATCCCAAGTCCGTCCCCTTTATTATATCTAGCGATGGTCTAGCTTATGACCATTCTTCCGTTCGTTCGGATCTAAAGCCCGCACTTAAATAAACGCCGTCGTTATGGTCGTTTCTTTGCTAATGCGAGGATGGAACTGCCTTGTCTCGACCCTTACGTTGATTTATCATCGTCATTTTCGCCTGTCCTAAGGGAAAACTATTAGTTGAACGTTTTAATTGAGTTTGGAACCTTTTTGCAGGCCCTCTTGCCTGCCTTGCCATTCGATCTTTGTTGAATTCCGCCGCAGTTCATCGCGCGATAGCTTTAGTTAAGCTGCGTTCCACCTCGCGGTTCTGTAGGGGGTAGGGGTGGTTACCTTCTGCGCTATACGCTGGATTAGCTATGCTCTGATATGAATGGCGGAAAGAAGTGGGGATGGTATGGCTGGCTAACTATGACTTCTAAATTTTCCTAAAAAATGAAACAGATTATTTTTCCACTCTGTCCTTGAATATTTCCTTGCTACGTCAAATTTTTTTCCCGGATTGCTCCGGATGTGGGGAGATAGCTACTTTCATTCACATAGCCCGATCTAGATTCTTATGCGTACGGCCAGACAGACGGCGCCAAGAGGACTGGTTATAGGAAGTTCTTTTACTAATTACTGAACGACGCTTTTGCTTCAGCATTTTTTTACTCCTCATTCGCTTTATCGGATCAACGCGCCCAACAATACTAGGGTTTCTGTTCGGCGGCTAATCACCCTTCACAGCGTCCCCTGCAATTTTTCTACAATTAATGTGCCATTGCCGACCCTATCTATTCTTCATAATGACGACTTCCTAAAGGATGCCTTTTCCAAACAAGTAAAGATTTTTGGTTAACGAACGGTATCCAAACACAGTTTGTCCAATCGAAAGCACAACCCCAAGAATCTATTCCCTTTTCACAGACCCTTCGCGTATACGGCAAAAAAAAATATAAAAACCGACATGTTATGTGTTGGGTGGCTTTTGCAGCCAATAGCTCATGGAAAAATGAACGTAGCCTAACGTGATATTTAAAGATGGGAAATAAATATCTTTTTTGGTCACGTCCTTGATCCCTCTATAGGTTCATATATAAGGTCTTATAACGTGCAGAGACTAGGATTATAATACATTTCTATCTTAATAATATAGTATATTATTGTCTAAAAATAACTGCAAGAAAGAGAATGCAGTTAAGTCAAGTGAAACTTTTAATGAAGTATTAGAAATTGTTCAACAGTAATGTTCGAAACAGTACCCTTTAAAGAGCAAACCATATATAGCATGCGTTTTAGCCAGTGAATTGGAAAGATCCCTTCACTAAAGCAGCCCCCGATGACAGATATCAGGACATGAATAAACTTATAACATAGGTAAATCTTATGTACTTTTAGAATAGTTTTAGATTTCATTTACAATATCACGCACACCCTTAGGCGTTGTATTATAAGTGGAGGGCTAAGCATATTTAAAAGTACTTCAGTACTTCATTGATAAAGTACTTCTGTAGGCGCTACTACAGAAACTTTGTCCGGCCTCATAAGCTAATTTCAATCTAGTAAATTAAATCATATAATAAAATGCGAATTCGGTATTTCAATCGGTATCTTATCTCAGTTGTCAGTGATCATGTGGGAATAGTATTTTGATCATTCAATATATACTGGGCCCTTAAAGGTCGTTTGTAAGTAACGCTCAGCGTTTTATAGTTTTTATCCCTAGACAAACAATTATGTTTGAAACTTAGCTTATATCCCTCGCGAAATCATTATATGAGGTTAAGCTGGGATATATGAGTAGACTCGCGCACGAATTTTTCAGAAAGTCCTCTACCTTAATCAACTAATAGGAATATAACGTCAGGCCAAAGGGACGAGTTAGATTACGAAATTTAACAGTAATTGTATAACATAGAAAATGCATTTCGGCTATAGGCACCAACTTGATGGACAGACCAACAGGACTCGAATACTTTTGAGAATAAATGATTAATTTATCTGTGCTAAAAAAGCCTTCATTGAGACGCGCTCTCAACTAGATAGCCATCAGAGCACGTTACCTCAAGGGTGGCATTTGGAAAATTAATATATGCAAATACACGCACTGGTGTGCAGCTGAAGATGCCACTAGTCACTACTGCGTATCGAGGTGCAGCAGCATTAGGATTTGACAGGAATGTTTTTCTATTTTTTAGCATTATCCAGATTCTTCGCAGACTCATCTTTTCACGATAGGTTAAGCCTATCCATCAGAGGTAGCGAAAAATGTTTTCAAGATTTTCTGCACTAAGTAGTGGTGTGTAAGAGTCTATCCTACTTTAGATTATGAGCGAGCTAGGTTAGGGTGGCTTAGATACCTTATTAAAAAAAAAGCGGAAACAAAAAAAATTGAATAATTTTTTTTGCACATTTCTGCACAATTGTGATCTCCAACTGCAGATGAAGATCCGAGCGGGCATCGGGAGCGCCGCTGTGAGTCTGCAGACTACCATTTCCACAGCGGTCACTGTTACCTTGTTGGTGGCATGCCCCAGGTATGATCTCACAACGTATTTATTCTTTCACTTAAACTTCAGCTTTTTCTTAAGTGGAACACAGCTGCTCTCGTATAAGTATTTTACTTTAATAGATGAGCAGAAAGCTCATATAATATAAAGCAATTCTAATTGTCTCCTATCATTTAGTATGTAAAATTTCAATGGTCTAGTGTCTAAGTTTGTGAAGACACCCCAACCCAATAACTTCCTTACCAAAATAAATTTGCGTTTCTGTTTTTGCAAATTACAACGCTTGTCTAAATTGCCTATGAAATGAACGAACGGGTGGGGGCTAGATTAGTATTTGCCTTCTTCGCCAGTCCGATAATGTGTGGATAGCAAACGGTACCAAGGGAAATCCATACATTTGAATGTTACTAAACCTTTAAAATATTTACAGCTTAATCGGGTCTTCTTAGGCAGAGAGCCATAATCCCTGTGCGGCAGACCCAGATCAAATAAGCATATCCAACAGAAGGGCTTTTTCACGAGAGCACTTCGTAGTCGCGTAACCATAGCTTTTCTTTCATGTTTCTTGCGCGTCAAGTGCGGTCACTAGTGCACTGTCGTTCAAAGCATTTTCAATCAAAACTGTGGTCCGAGAGTATAAGGCGGCATTTCCCCATCTGGGTTATTGACGATGTGGACCCGATACAGTGAGCTTTGTCCGGATGAGGGGTGTCGTTGTCGTAAATAAAGATAATTGCAGCTTTGGCAGTAACGCCGGCTTCAACAAGGAAGCCTTCTGTCCCTTGACAGTACAGCAACTGGAACCGCCGTCAAATAGGCAGAAGAACCATCTACATCCCTTTCTGTGCCGCCCAAAACATGAAACAGTGTTTTTGGCAGGCCCACGCTAGTGGTGCGAGGCCACGTAGAAAATCACGCGTGGGAGTAGTTTTCCAATAAGCGGTGCTCAGATGATCACATCGCGTTTCTTTCTACTTAAAAAAAAAAGCCAGCGAAAGGATATAGGCTCTAAGGCTTTGCTAAAATGTGTCTACATTGGCGGATACTTGCAGCTTTTATATATATATATATATATATATAAATTTAGTTATGAATAGTAGTGAGATGCTATTTTGCTTGTTATTGCAGGTCTCGGGGAACACAGCAGCTGCCATTTGCAGGGAATTAAACGCGACATTGCTCACTATCCAGATGGATGATGAAGCTGCCGTTTTCCAGGTGCGTATATATTTATCTATGTTGGAGACATAGTATTATAAGATATTGGTAAATTTTTGTATCTCCAAAACGGTAGCTGTGAGTGTTATCATACAATCGTATGTGTATTTTTGGCTAAAACTTAAACTCTTCACCTTATCTCAAACACGTAAAAGGCTTCTACACGTTTAATTAAATTATATTATCCGTTATTTCAAAAAAAAAAAAACGATGAATTTTCTGTATTACCATTAATAATTAGAAGTAATTAATCATTACGTAATTTGAGCGTACGTCTACATGGTATTTGTTCGAAGATTCCTGGGAGTGTGCTAACTCATAATGCTTGAACAGTTAGATGAATTAGGCACACGAAAACAATCCTTTGGTTAGAGATAAAAAATGTATCATTGAAGTAGACCGCGACGCAAATACTACGCTACTCAAAACAGTGTCAGAAGTTTTTAGAGAAGTTAAGAATTTGCGTGACTTTCTGGGAATCTGCCGAATATATTTGGTACGGTGCGAACTTGAACAATCGTCAAGACAGAAAATTACGCGCGTAAAATCTGTCCCTTTACTCAAAAACATACCTGTCCTCTATTAAACGAAGTTAAAAGAAAGATATTATCAGGGTTAAATCATTTAATAATGATCATATACCGCCAGTAAACATTTCATTACGTTAAATGCACCTATACGATAGATTGTTTGGTTTTACGGATTGGCCGAAGCTTCCAGCGAACGACTTCTTCTAAATAACCGCTTTAGGACAATCCTCGTAAATGGATCATCACTGAAAGATTTTTATTCTAACTATACAAATAGGCTTCCAATTGACTAGATACTAAACCAAATCAATGCCGCGATCATTGATTTGAATAACATTTGACGTACGGCTGTATATAAACAAGTTTAACAACGTAGTGTTTTTTGACAATAATTTACATTGGGTGCATTATGAAAACTTTGTTGTAACTTGAAGTAACGGAACAGCTCCCGCTATTGCTGCCTACGTTTACCAGATGCATTTATTTGGCCAGATTTTCCACTTTGAAACGTATAGTTCTAGCTTTCAGTTCACCAAGTGATGAGATTGCATTCACCGACCCGCCATTTTGATTGAGGTGACCTGTAGAGAAGTTCCAGTTTCAAACGTGACAAGGAAACTGAGTTTACATTGTATCGTATGCGTCCTCATAGATAAAACGCCTGAAGGCGTCACGTGATGATAGCAGTGTATCACACGAATATATTGTGTTAGCATTCTAGACACGCGATTCGAACAACTAGTACTGCCGTCTAAATATGTAGTTACTCGTAAAAAATCATCCGGAAAAAGTGACCTCAATGAAGATTAAATTGATGGGAATTATCTCCGAGAAGAAAATCAGTAATACTAATAGGTCAGTATCAAGTGCATTGCAGAAGTCTTGCTAGCAGACACACTTCATAGGCAATTTTCGTTAGACAAAATGTTATATTCCCTATCGCAAACAAACGAGAGAATATGAATAAATTACTCCGAAGGATACTTGATAAAAACATAGTGCAGTTACGGTACGAGTATGTACGGCAGTAGCGATGTGAGTGCGCTTGACAGGTAGCGGCAATTACAGCCGTCGAGACAAAACGAAGATCAGTACAAAAAGGTATAATAGAAAGCTAACGGCTCAAACAAACCAAGCGCAATAGTCAGGCTCAAAGAAAACATCACGAAGCTGCGAATGATTCGCTGTACATCAACAAAAAAAAACACGCACACTGCTTTCCAGCGAGTCCACGAAGCTGACTAATGTAAATAAGCATCTCGTCGTTATACGTCAGTGTCTATCAGCGCCGGCTCCATTCAACGCCCAACTGCATGTGCATACATACCCACATATTCGTACACTTGACACTTCGTCCGCGTCCTCCCTGTTTGTCTCTCGGTTTTCTCTCCTATTTCCATTATGTGAGTAAGAAGGATACCGAAGAATAAAGGCTTCGTTCATCACAACATCTCTGCCAGCGTGAGTTGGCCTGTCTTAAACATGAACATGACAATGGTAAAGCAATAATGGTGGTGATAACTGGAACGTCTTGGCGCTCAGCAGAGTGCACTTTGCACTTGCTTTCATTGTAGCGGTACCGTGAAAATCTTGAAGATAATCCCCACCAGGTATAGCGGGGCCTACCGTTAAGCTACACCAAAACTTACTCCTCGTTTTTTAGGGAAACAGAACCTGGTAGCTTCACTAAGCTACGCTGATTTTGGGTTACCAAGAGCAGTAGCAACCCGCCATACAATTACATGTATTACCAGCATTATCCTACGAGCGTAACTTTCGAATGCATCTATAGCACAAAGTAATACCACATAATTCGAACACTCGGCAGGCGGAATGCCCACCCGAGGAAAACCGTGCCATGAATCGTGTTAGACCAGTGTAAGTTGCATATATATCAACTCATGGCGTGTTGTGGGCTCTGTCTTATGTTTTTCTTAGTCCGTCTTATCCGCGAGCGGCAGGACGAGTTGTCGAGAGGCGAAAAATAATTAGGTTTGGAAAGGGGGCATTCGGAGAGCTAGAATAGAACAGTTTACGATTCAACAAAACTATGCCTTTATATCTGGTTTGGTATTCACCATGGCGCGGGCGGCTCGGTACCGAACCGTTGTCTGTGACATTCCGTGCGTATATATTGTGCGACTAGAAAAAATGCTTGATGTCTCGTCACAAATCAAAATGTATGTTTTTATTTTCACAAAACTAACTCTATTACACGATCAAGTGTACGTGTTCCTATCAGCCTCCATGATCGCTGTGATAACTTGTCGTTAGTTTGATCAGCCAGGCTCGGATATTGATCCTATCGCATAGACTCTCCTCTCTCCATGCGGTAAACAAATCAGTGGTCATATCGCGATTATTTATAAATCTAAACGTTTTCAGATTAAATGAGGTTATAAGGATAATAAAGACAATATTGTGGAAGAGAAAGGTTCTGAATTACATCTACAACTAAAGTGTAATAAGTCAACTAAATAACAAAACTAAAATCAGACCTCACAACACTTATTTATTTTGAAATATATATATATAAATATAAATTTTGAAATAATAAAAGGTCCATAGGTATTTAATTATGAACAGTTTAATTAAGAAACAATGAAACAGTAATTTATTTCAATCACATAGAAGGTTCATAGCTATAATTAAGTCACGTGTGTTCTTTACTGTATATATTGAAAGTATTAGCGAGAGTTTATTTTGTGAGTGAACAAAAGGGAATAGAATGAAGACTCTAATTACGATTTAGGTTATCTTGCCGATAGCCTACTATAGGCGTAAGCGTCCTGGTGGGATCATGAGCATGTATTCTATAGTTTGGAACGAGCATGTTGGGTACTTAAAACAAAAATATAGAAAAGAAGAGATTCCAGGAAAGCGCTTTAGGGGCAGAGACGAACAAGGGTATTAGTATTTAAACTTCATTCGCGTACTTTTAATCAGTCCGTGCCGATTGTAGATTGTTCATTTTTCATCAACTCTGGTTCGGCATCTGGGGCATCTAGAAGGGATCTGGGGAGAGGAAAGGTCATATTATTAAAAATGTTTTTGATTTTGACCGAGTATCGTCGATTCTTTAAATCAGTTCGTGCCCATACGAAAGATAGGTTTTTAAGTTTGGCTATGTTCTGGTTCCGAATAGGTTATTGTCAGTGCCCTTGAGCGCTTCACGAAGATTCGGATAAATGCCTAAAAAATGTCATAGGAACGTGAATTTAATTTGAGAATTAACTGAATACGGTAGCCATCTGCATAGTATGTAAAATAGTGTACCTAGAATAGGTGTGCCATTTTTACACTGGTGTTTTAGTCTACCTATTTTATTCTTGGTTTCATATCACTTACCTTTCACCTAAGCAGCAGGCTGTTGGGGTTTTACTGTAACTCTAAAATATGTTCAAACTCATCTATTAAAACGAATAATTTTTCGTTCAACGTAGACCATTATAAAAATAGGATTGAGCTGATGGAAGTACGTCGTGTAGCTTGCAAGAAATAAGCTCTGCGGGACGGGCTGTATTCACTGATAGAGTTTATGTTCTGATTAAATACAGCGTAACCTTTTAATTAGCTAACCTGCAGTCTTCGAAAAGTCAAGAAGAAAAAAGAAGGAGGACAAAGACTGCCTCTTGAATTAAGACCAAAGAAGAACAATTAAAAAAGCACGAAGTAAAGTAACGCGGGCAAGTGTGACGACGGAAAGAAAAAGGAAGGGAGCGAGAAACACTGCAGATTAGCTAAATAACGGATGGATAGACCGTAACAACTGAGAGCTTATGGGCGACAACTGATTGGCTGACCAGTTACTCTAGCTATTTTTTGACTCATGGGGGAAAAGATAGATATCGGCTGCGCAGAATCTAAGAAAATAAAACCAACATTGAGAAGAAGCAATTGAAGATGGCAGTAATTCAACAAGGGGATTGGGAAGTAATCAACTCTTGCCTTGCTGGCTCGCTGACGAAAACTAAGGGGGGAAATTAGTTTAGGGAGGAAAAGGCTTTTATGCTCCTCATAGTGGCGGCAGCTATAAAGAGCGTTAGGCTGTTTAGTAGTCAACTCCGTTCGCCTCAAATCGGTCTGACCTAGCTGTGCGTTTGCACTTTAAAGTTGGATTTGTTACCATAGTCACTAGACACAACAACTTTCCATACAAACATACAATGCATTTACAAAACAGAAGTGGACTACACGAAGAGAGGATGATCCAAATAAATTATAAAGTAGTGGGCAAAAAATATAGTACGTGTGTAGCGTACCTCAAGATTCGCCAAGCTCAGCCCGTAGGAGCCTGACAGCAGGTCAGGCAGAACATTGTTATCGAACAATCGTGTAGTTATATCTATCGTCCTGCACGTACTAGCTTCATCTCAGTGTTTTTTGTCGGGCAGAGGCATAAACAAAAATCCGGTTTGGGCGTGTCCTAGTTGTGAACGACCACATCCGATGAGAATATTGGGCAATTTTATTGATAACCCGGGCTCGGCACTTCGCAAAAGAAGTGCACAAGTATACAAACATATCACAAGCAATGCCACGCACTGCAGAGCGATCGAACGAGACTCGAGTGTGTCATCTACCAGGCGAAGTTCAGAAGAGGTCACGCAATGAATTAGCGACAATACGGGAGACCACCTAATGACTGGTGACGAGTATAAGACAGAAATATAAGGAGAGCAAACTTCCTTATACAGTCTGGCGGGAAAGGCAATTTGGTACTTCAATAAAATAGAAAGCCAGATTTAACGATACGTTCAAAAGTATCGAAACAAGTAAATTTATTTTCATTCATACGTGTACGGTCGAAATATATTTTTGCCCTCACATCAATCGCTGGCAGTCATCCGTTGAGTATAGGTAGCTATTTTTCCTAATATCGGTATCTCTTGTCGGTACCATTGTCTCGTCATCGTCTCTAACGGAAGTTAGGGGTGTTAATGGCTTAGGCTCTAACTAAGGAGACGGTCAACATTAGAGCGGAATCGAGCCGACGCTTACTGGTGCCATTTCGTCGCTCTCACAGGACGTTACCATCGAGGCGAGACATGGTGAAACAACGAAACATGTTATCTATTGTAATTTCAAAGGAGTTTTCTCTGCTATTATTCCTCCAGAGAAGATTAGATTATTACTAATTATGCCGAAGGGCATCATAAAGAGCCCGTAACAATCATAGCATTGTCCCAACTCGCACTAACCATGAAGCATACAAGCCCGTAGGTAAAACCTCATACTTAACTTGTCGTTCTATATTATAGGAGAAAAAATCTATAAGTGATCTTAATTTTGCGGAATCAATCAAATCCCACGGTGGACGCTTGTTCCTTCGCCCCACAGCTCCTGAATAAAGCGCTTTATATAACTTGCGATTCATAAAAAGCATCGATTTTGTTGATACTACAGTCCATTGGAGCCTTTATAATTTATCTGTAATTATAATAAGTTTGTATAATATATTTCTTGATTTCAATAAACTGCTTCCCAAACAGAAAAAACAATTGTTTACAATTTCATATTTATCACCAGTTTTAATAGAAAGTCACGTTTAACAATCAATAATAAAAAATCATATATTGCAAGATTCTTTGTGTGTCATACAACGTCTCACGTCTATGAAATTGTCGTCCGGCGGTCTGGAGATACTCGGATTTTTTAGGTACCTAGTTTCTACATAAAATCATGTAAATGAATAAATACATACCACGGCGGTTGTTCGTTTGGCCATCGACAAAATTAGGCAAAGTCAACATCGTAATAACATAAATGAAATCGAAGATAAGGAGTGCTTAATTTTTTGACATACACTTCTATTGATTTTGGGCTAGTCATGTGGAATTAGTTGATTCTGCAAATAGGTCTCGTTCCTTGGACATAGTTCTAAGTGAATAGCTCAGGAAAAATACAGGAAGTGTACTCTGTTCTATAACTCCGACCACATTACACTTAGCTGAAGCTAAGGTACTTAAATAGAACGAGTCTTTATCTAGTATTTATTAGTAGAAATGTATTATAACTAAATACGGAACCATAATCAAAACCTTTGGCGTGATCAGACGACGTAATGATCTTGAGGTCTTTGAGAAAATACTATTTCTATTGTCTGCGGACGCCTAAATAATTACTAAGCATAGTTTACCATAAAATGTCCATTATAAAAACCTGCAAACAAGTATTATCCACAATGGCCATCGTAAGGCACGAGTCATTTTGCAGTGAAATCTACGCGACATGTTTAAATGAACAACAGCACATAATAATCTACAGACTCTCGTTTAAGCGACTCAGGAACACTATTTTCATGATTTAAGTTCATTTGTAGAACAGATTCCATGGTCTGCAAATGGGAAAAATTATCAGTATTTATCTCTTAATTAACTTTAGCCAACTTTATTACCAAAGTGTAAGTAGTGTATCCCAAAGTGAAATTACCATATGGATATTTTCAAGCATGAAAATTGCCAATACCCTCTGAAGCATGCCCTGTGAAGTATCAGAAGGTGATTTGTTGGTAATCAACCTAATCTGACACTAGCCGTCCTTTGTAGGTAGATGCCGTGCTAAATCACTAACGCTGTATATTTATACGATTTAATTTTAATTTACGAACGGATTTTGAGAGGCCGTGAACATACGCAGCGCAGATGTCCGACACTGCTTGTCGATCTAGGTTAATGCGGCCGATTTTATGCAATAACATTAGGATTGAGTACTTTTACGGCTGACTCCTTCTAGCAACACAAGAGGACCGCGTGCCTACGCCTAGTTTCAAGCCTGAATAGGCTCACTCTATTTTTAGTGTCTTTTTAGAAGGCAAACATTAGCATTACAGCGACACGTAGAAACAGTTATAGCCGACGCCCGAGCCTAAGCTCCTATGTTGCTCCTTCTTAGTGGTTCTTTCTTTTCATTTCTTTTTCAGTCGGTCCAGCTGCTGTCGGAGCTGCTTGAACAACAGGCGTGGAAGAGCTATTCATATCGCGTTCCGCTGTGGTTTTGGGTAAACTCTCGCAAAACCGAATTAGATACCAGCGCCCAGCAAAGCGATGACGTCACTCTTGACAGCATCAACGGTACGCCAATTCGTGCATTGTCAACCACTATGAGTAGATATACTTTCTCAATAAAGATAGCAAGGCCTTTCACGCTCTTCACCTATTTTAAACAGCTTTACTTCTAGGCGCATTTATAGTACGATGTATAGTCCATTATTTGAATGACCTTCACCCAATGTTATGCCACCCCCAAAAAAGTGACGCCCATGTTTTCGATATCTTAGTTTATATGTGGCAGTCCTACTGACTGAATCAAGAATAAACAGAGCATCGATATTGATAGATAAGTATTTAACAGTTGCTTTCGTCTTAGGCAGCTAAGTGGAATTCTGTATGATTGGGAGATAGACCTTGATATGAGCCGCGTCTTTCTCTATAACCCTATGATGGCGTCATGGCTAGCATCTGCCAAAGGGAAGTCAGTAGTCACTGTAAAGCCATGTGGCGCCCAAAAACTGGCCTTATAGGAGATCTACATCTAGTTAATATTAAGAAACGTATCGGCGCAAAGATAAAGCCTAGTGTTGATTGCGGCTAAAAAAACGCTCCGTAAACCCATTTACTGGCGTAGTAAACATCTAGAAGTTGCTGCATTAACCTATTAGACAAACAGTTACGCTAAAAGATACGACGAAAATAGATATGGATAGTCAACGATACTGTAATCAAATGGCAGAATTATAACATAACGAGCCCTTTGACGATGTTCCTCGAGAAATTCATCAGCCGATAACATTATACATAGCGGAGCATTATGGCTGGACGTGGCGCTAGGATGCCCTATCCGATAACGACGACACTCTCGAAAACTTCCGTTGTAGGTATTTCAGGCTTTCCGCAAAAGTCTGACGTGGAGCTGAGATTGGTCGTTATACGACTGCGACACACTATTCCGTGCTACAACTATCAAAGGTGTCCAACTATTTTTATACTCGTTAAAATATCAAACGTTTTCTAATTACGTGAATTTTAACGGAGACGAGGCAAATGATAGTCTGGCAAAGCAAGATTAATGTTTCATAGCGGGAAAAATAGAATAGCTTTTTTATTCATATATATACAAGTGTTAGGAATTACTATTACAAAGGTACCCTTTTTACTACATTTTTTGTTCATCCCTACGCCTCCGGAAATCGCTTTTTCAGGGGGCTGGCTAAATTAAACAATTACCTTCTGCCTACAAGGATACCTTTATTTTTATCTGCTAGATATCCTGCAAGACTAGTCAATTTCGCGTTACACAACATCATTTCGAGGGAAATTAGGTCTACTATGTAATGCTATAGAAATGTCAAAATTCTCTCACAACAAGCTAAGCCTGCGTGGTATTAGCTGAAGAAGTCTTCGATTAAGATGTATCGCAGTTTGATTTTAGAATAACCTAGTAATGATCAAAGCAGTAAGCAATATCATCTTTAAGCGATAAAACAAAGAAAAAAAAACGTTCTTCGAATGATTCGTTATTGTGAACCGAACAAGGAAACCTTATGCTTCTGCATTGGCAACTATTACCTGGGCGGTCGTACTCTTTTTGCTTAATATAATTAACCGTTTCAAATCAGTCGATACCTCTGCTCGATTAATGCCTGAGATTGTCGTTAAACTTTTGTTTGATCTCAGTCTCTTAGAGCCGATGCGGTGAACCTAATTTAAATTGGTGGTAATTTTTTTCTGAAACATTGCCAACCTGTCTTCGATTGGCATCCGTGAGCTTTGTGCGCATGTTCCCGTAATTTATCAATAGGAACACTGAGCAAAAACATGATGTCTGTAATATATCGTTCAAGTTTAGCGAAGCAGATAATAAGCAAGCACCTAATACATGCCGCAACTGCCTTTCAATAACCAAGGTAGATTGTCCCTTGGGGGCTGCTATTGTTCCTCATTATTTGTAAATGGCCATTGAACGAAGCTCGCCGGACCAGAAGCATTGAGGCATTGACCGATATACACATGAGCTATAGGTATATTAGAAGGTATTAATAGATTTAATTAAAAGAATTAGTTTCAAATAAGGTAAGAGGACCGAGAATGTGTCCGAACAAGTTCATTGATTTCGCTTAAGAAAACCGTATCAAAACAGAGCAGAAGTCTGACGCGATATACGCCTAAACTACGTGTCCTATATATACATATAGGACACGTAGCTAACTGAGAAATATTACAGAAATAGATGTTGCACGAAGTTGTAAGGTAAGCTAAACCCAAAGATGATACGTAGAATATTATATAAGAGTGAAGTTATTTTGCTGTAGTTCTACAATAAGATACCTTGCCAGATTTATCCGAGAAACAGAAGGTTTTAATCTCTGGACAGTCTTGAGTCAATACATAAATACTCCATTTAAATTAAATTGTACAATCAACTATGGACATTTGAATCCGCGCCGTACCGGAAATGTGAACTTTGCCAAGTAGCTTAACCTCGCGAGGGCCGAGAAATCGATCAGATATTGTAAACTTTAGTAGTATTTGAAGTCTTTAAAAGATGAGTATTTGACACATATATTCCCAATAATACATTTCCATGGAATATCCACATAGTTTGTAGATTTAATCTACTTTTATTCAAGGAAGCGTGCTTACGCTGCAAGGTGAACCTAAGGGAAAAACAAGGAAGGTTCCATTCTGAACAATGGTAGCCCCCCTCCATACTAGCAAATATGTGCGATACGATTTTTGTCCCTCTAATTAAGATGTATATAGGCACGTTGTACGCCTTTTTTCTTTTTTTTTGAACCAACAAATGCTTTTCGAACAAACTGTGTAGCCATAGTTTGAACTGAACGACGCTAAATCTGAGCAGAGCAACAAATTTCCCATCAATTGCTCATATTATGTAGCAAAACTTCATATATGTTTATGCGAAGGAAGATAAAATTGAAAAGTCTGTAGTGTTATAGAAGCCTATCTGTTGATGGGTCGTAGCACCTTCGCCAGACATAGGCTTATTGGGTGGGAGCAGTGTCCAGAACCTCATGTTAACACCCAACAATTAACGATTTTTTTTTAAGAACAGAGTAAAGCCGCTATCCAATTGACGTAAAGTAGTTCTGGCCCATAGTTTTTCGAAATTGGTTCCGCTTGGTCGAAAGAAAAGGAGAGTGGTCATGGGCAAGATTCAGTCAAGGTGATAGCGGCCATATTAGAAATTCTATATGTTAAGAAACAATAGTATAGAACAATGCAAACGCCTAGACAAGTATCTAAATCTGTTCCCTACTATTCAAATGGGTCGTTACAGACTAGCTTCTAAACGACGTGAGCAAACAGCGGCATTTCTTCTGTGTATTTTGGTGCAATTTTTCTTCGTTGGTCTACTATCCATCTATTTATCATGTTTAAGCTATTCAAATGCTCGCTCACCTGCGTAGTTGGTTCTAAATAAAATAAAGTATAGTTTGTGATGAACTGATCGCAACGGGCTACGCCATGTGATGGTCCAGCGTTGACATCTACCAATGTTAAACCATGTAAAACTGTTAGACACAGTTTGATCGTTCGGAAATACAAAAGCGAACAATAGGAAATGTTACGAATGGATGTTTTGCCTCCAGATTGTTTAAGTCAAGCCTCTGCCTTGCTAGATTTTAAGAACAGCCTGGCACAGCCAAAAGACAATGGTAGTAAATCCTAACCTTGGGATGTACAGCTGGGCAGGGGCTAAACACAATATCATGTGTATTCCACGTATTGTGCGCTCGCTAGCAACAGTAAGCCACCTAAAAAAACTCTGTTTTTATCTATCATCATTTGGTATTACTCGCTCGATTCATTGTTACTAGGAGGTACAATGTTTTCATAGAGAAGGCTATGCTGCTTTCACAGAATGCATAAAATGGGGCATAAATGCCCCTATAAATGCGGGTGTGTGTGTGTGTGTGTGCACGTACCCACGTTGCGCCGGGGTATTCTTATCTTATTAATTGCATTCTATTGCTGCATCTCATTACTTTTCGTTGGGGCAAAGGATCTACTCGAATCGTTGCACTTTGCATAAGCCCGTTTTCTATTGGCGCCCTGCCTCCCACCCCCCTCGGTACAAAACCGCTCGGCGAGGTCCCGCTGTATTGCTCAAAACGAAAATGTAGGAAGAGCTATGACCTGCGTTGGTAGAAAACAATGACCGGCCGATCACTAAACTCTGGCCATAAGGACAATACGTTGGTGCAAAAGGTTTTCTTTAAGTTTATTGAATTATGCGATGCTTATGGCGTAGTCTTGTGGGTTAGAATTATTACTATCATATAATACATCGGGCGTAAAGGATCTGCGACCGATGCAAGCTCCGCCTGAATCAACGTCTATCTATCGTGTCTTCCTGTACAAGCAAATATTTATACGTAATATATGTATGTATATAAACAGAAAATAAATATGAATGCGTTGGTGGCAAGATTCGCTCGTCTGCATGATCCAGAGATATTTCCTCGATTAAGCCATCTTTAGCAATCTCTCCTCGAAATCGAACTCGGCTTTTCTAAATCTCCGTTGATTATTTATTCTTGCTCCTATAATAAATGTGCCTTTACAAACATAATTACGATTGTCGTTTTATCTAATAACAAGCACAGAACTTTAATGTTTAATTTGCTTTCAATTATCTATACAGTTATTCTGTGGTTACGAAGAAAAAAGTTTTCCGCCTTCTGCATACCGTGACCTATTTATCCCGATTAAAGAGCATACGATACAATCTTAAGAGCGCTCGCTTAGAACCCCCAAATGAAATAGCACTATTTGTTGATGTTCCTGTAGCAGACTCTTTATGAACTACCTACGGCTGGTACGGTTGATACATAGGATTCTCTCTATTTTCTCTAAGGGTTTACAGGGACGAGCCATAATTAGCCGTGGCGCTTTGAGACAAAAATGCTCGGTGCAAGTAAAACAAATGCAAGTTGATTAAACGGTCTGATTTAGGCAAGGGCAGCGGTGTCAAAGCAGGCTACCGCAGGCCAAGCAAACCGATTAGCACAGGAGCCAGCGACTAACCGTCTTGGCTTGGCAGCACCCTATTTACAAGGCACAAGGTGATAATATGGATGCCAATGGTTACGAGTATGTAGATAGAGCCAGTTAATCCATAACATGAAGGTTACTGACTTGGGGCCATCGGTTGTAACTTAAACACTCGTTACTCGGCCATGCAAACACTTTCAGAACAAACATCCGATGCTCAGCGTATTGAAGTTACTAGTATAACGATAAACATAGCCAAATTAATGACACCCTAAAAAAGTCGAATTCGATGAAAATGCGTAGAATGTGCAACTTAATGACTTATTAGTGCATCGCGGGTATCAGCGCAGAGAGGCCTAATTTGATTTTTCTATACATATATATATGGTGCATATGAATACTATATTTCAATCCTGTTCGCTATATAAGGACGAGGCGTTCTCTAATAAATCACATTTGTGGCGACAGCAGTACGTTGTTATTACAATTGATGTCAATGAGAGGAGAAAAGATCGTTCGAGCCAGGGGACTAATCAGTTGGAAGATGGACAAAGTGGTGCGCCATGCTGCAATGCTAAGATTCGTCATCGAGAATTTTACAGAATGTGGGAGAAGTTCGTTGCCATCGAACTTGCCATTCCTAAATTACTCGATGATTGCGCGATGAAATAGGACTTTGAAAACAGGGCGTATGTTTACGGCTAGTGGCGTAAACATGTGCTCAGGTTTGCTTGTGAAGTTATGTCAGATTTGAACCTCTGATAGCCAACACGGAGGCGGACACAGAACCCTTTTAAGGAAAGAGCTCCAACGTGAGTAGCAGCCGAATTTGACGCATTATCGTGGCACCTCATTGTGGATGCGGGGTTCCTGCTAGTGCCCGATCTGGAGTTCAGGGAGAACTGGCGCATGTCGGGAACACGTACCAGGAGAAGCCTCATCTACTGTCATCTGAGGAACGTCGCTTGCACGTATGTTCCTGAATACATATTCGTTAACGGGCTTCTTCTTGGGATTCTGTCTTGAGCCCAGCCTGGAGGCACGTTGTACCATTCAGGGATTGACATATGTAGGAATTCAAAGACTGCAGCGAGTACAGGCGCTTCCATATCGGTTCCGACATATGCCCAAATCGGGCAGATGGTGGCTCGGTGTGACGGTTGCAGAACTAGGTGCCAAACGCGTATCCCGACGTCCGTTCCTATGGAAGGAAACCTGCAGTGGGAGCGGGTCAACAAATGTTGTCTCAGCCATTAAGGGGATTATAAAAAGCACACCTTAAGGAAAAACTGGCACTGGCCTATAGAGCAGATTTTTGAGACTGCTGCGAGGCTACAAATATTTTTTTCTGCTAGACCACAAATTTATTGATCCGAACTGGGAGGCAGGATGAAATAGAGCCGAACCGAGCTATAGGATCACTTGACGCATTTGACAAAAAGGATAGGTTGTGCCAGAGAGCGTGCAGGGAAATTTCTGCAAAGTAAGAACCTTGAGCTTGTGCGAATATTTTTTATTGTAAGACCTTCCATATTTTAGGTTGTAGAAGCATTCAAGGCTACAAGGTATGTATCAATTTTCAATCAATAAATTTGACATATATCAGGAATGTGACTTTATATTAAACAGAGTTAGTTTTTCTTTAATTTGTTACTATTAACAGTAATGTTAACTAAAAAGCGGACCTTTAAATGGAGAACGTCAGCTCCTAGATTGGAAACTGGCGGCTGAGCATTACCGCACGTAACAATACTGTATACATAGCTCATTGCTTCACGAAAAATTCACCCTAAAATAGCCCCTGAAATATTCAAAGCGAACAAAATGAATTGGAAATTCGCTGATTCCAATTTTGCAAGTACAACACAAGGATACAACAGAAATTAAGACTCACGGGGTAAAGCATGGGAGCACGAACAGAACGCCCCATGGTTCAATTAGAGACGGCGTTTCTAACCCACACTATATCTGGTAATGTAAACGACCTACCTGGGTTACAGCAACCGACATCAGATATGTCACATGTTTGGAAACTGGATAGGTAGGCTGTGCGGCTATTTTAATATACGGCAACGCTTATCTGACCTCAATCAGATGTAGCATCACATTCGATATGTAGTCGATGAAGTCAGCGCTTTCGTCTCCACTACCCCCGCTGGAACCTAAATCTATCGTGTTCTAGGATTTACAATTGATAGCACGGTTCATGTCGATGTGATAAAGACAGCGAAATAATAATAAACTGAAGTGGCATAATATTACCGACATCTCCTTTAGAATAATACTACCAGTGCGTGGAACTCGTTGAGCTACGTAGAGTACATTAAGAGCTTTCTCATCTCTTCATAGGAAGTAGGTGGCTTGTCGAAGCTATTGTCCTTTAGGATCCCTGCCACGGTGCTATTATTATCTGGAGCTTTTTTTTTTGAACTTCGTTCACCCTACTCTGTCAATATGTATCGTTGATTAGTGTTGCACTCGGCCTAACTCACAGGTTAGCTTAAGACTTTTCTAATAGCGGCGGAACGTGTGCACCCCCGCCCCCCAACAATAAGAGATAACGTGTGCCGTCGTTTCTAACAGAAAGTCAAATTGGATAATTTCAGTGCCTCTTTTCATACATATACCTCATAAATTAATAGAACAATTAAATTCATAAGATCCCACGCTAACTGCGATCTGGATGATTACTGTGTTTTAGACTAATGATATTGGGAAAGCGTCGCATATTCCTAGTGAGGATCAAACCGCGCAGGTACCCCTACCAATAGTGTCAAGTTTTTGTATTCATACTTATATAGTGTGAAAACCTTATCAATGAAATATTTATATCTTAATGTATGCTCAAACAATATGTGGTTAGGCTTTATATCGGTACCAATTTCCATTGCAGCTGATGCAGAACATCGCAAATGTGGTGCAATTCCCTCGAAGCATCATCCAACCTTCAACGCATCGTTTATTTGGAGAAGGTGCACCTTGACAGGAGGATACGTTTGCCAAAAAAATCCTGTTGGTAAGCGCACACACGAGTCAGTGAGGACAATTATATACATAATATATTCTGTCGTGATTGTACATAGCGGTAAGAATCAATACGAAGGCCTTGTTAGATCTAGTTTCGTCGGACAGGCAAGCTTCAGGAATTCTGGAGCCTGATGCTTGCACCATAGAGTTCGAATACGGTAGGACATGATCTTAATTTAAATCCATTCGTTTCTTGTGACGTTTTTCGGCAGAATTCGCCATCAAAGATGAATACATAACACGTATCATTTGATTAAACGATCGGATCAAAGTTCAAATAAATGGGATCCATTGTGATTGCCAAACATAAAGCCTTAACCGGGATTGTGTCCTGCTCTTGTGCATACGATTAGAGACCAGTGTAAAAATATATTAATGCGTCTGCGCCCGTGCATTGGGTGTCGTCAAACGGGATGCTTGTTAATCATAGTTGTTGATCGATGAGCGCACGGTAATTTATGAGCAATTAATTAACTTCTATTAATCAAAAGTTATCCCTAAACTTTAACAACTTAATCAGAGAAATAGACATACAGAAAAGATTGTTGAAAAAATCACTTGGGGTTTTGAGCAGGAACGTGTGACATCATTTAGTCTCTATCTGAAAACGCGTTGATACTTTTGTAACGTATACACACAAACGTTAATTTATTTCACTGTCGAAAACTTCTAAACTAATTTGTGGGCCCTAAGCAGTTTTACCTAAAAAATACCACGTGACGTTTGTCGATGGCAGGGGTTGATGCCTCTATGGCCAGCGACGGTAGGTTGCTGATGTTACTCCTATAGGCTACAAATGCATGGACTGAAGGAGAGTACGAGAGTATGGCTGGCTGGCTGGCTGACTGTCACAATACCAAAAGATACGATAGCTTTCGTTTTTCCTACAACGAAAAATAAAAACGTGAATTCTAGTTCGCTAATCAGTATGCCACAGGCGCATCCCTTACAGAAGGAGGAAAAAGGCGGTGCAACTGTGAAGTATTCTAGCAACGTCATCCTATTTCAAATAAGTTGATCTACGTGCAAGGTACATTCTGTTCAGCGCGAACGGGTCGTTTTTATTTTCTTCATCTTTTTATTTTTATGGCATCTCGTTAGTTATCGTAACGTAGTAAACTGTTAATTTCTAGCGGGCGCTAGAACGATTAACGGCCACATTCGATAAATTAGTTCACGAAACCTACCCAGGACACTCTACTGGAAAGTATAGGTTGTCTAATCTAATGGCGCTAACTTTTAGAATGATAAAACCGATCACTGAATAACTGTATGACTACCTAGTGATAGTTTTAACATTGTCAATTAGCGTACGTAAAATCATGTTACGTCGGCTTCAAGTGGGCCAGCCTCGATTCATCATATTACGGGATTTCCAAAGGGTACAACACAACTAGGCGACACATGACCGTTAGCAACGCGTCATAGACGTGCGAATTCCCTGTAATGATATGGGTCTTCGGATCTGGATGATCCGATAGCGACGGGCGAAACAACATTTGTACTGCAATGATGAGTCATCTCGAAGAACAGGTTGGGTTTTCTCATCATAGCCAGAGTGAGATCCCTGCTACAGTTTCCTATGCGCGCGTAACAATCCGTCGTTGTCAAGACTGTCAGCCTCTGTTCCTTGCAGCTCTCATTTCATCTGCGAAGTATCGCCTCTGTGGTTATTCAATGTGTGGGGGGCGAACGCTCGACATTGCCCACCGGGGTCTGCCAACGGTAACGAAATAGCAGACGTTGCTCATAATACGGATGGCATTTCCGTAGCTAGTGGCTTGCGTTAAATTGAAGGCCGACGACGCCGGTACGATGGGCGCCGTAGTGACTCCAATTCGGATGCTAAGAGCCTTTTATCGCAAAATAGCTGATGCTGGCCGCCCGGCAGATAACGACAGACGTTGAATCTTCAGTCACAAACGAAAATCCTTCTTCCGACTAGGTAGCTTCTCGACGCACCAATAATACGTCATTGTTGTCGAATTAGTATAATGGTCCACTCGTTCGATTGGCTTCTTGAGCTGATCAGTGACGAAAACGTGACATCGGCGCGGCGGTTAGCTCAGCGTGGAAACATTCAACGATGCCGACCTAGGCTTGATCATTACTAACTAATACGAACTAGATTCGTCTATATATATATATATATATAGTTTCAGGTTATATATATATATATATATATATAACCTGAAACTAGGCAGCAATCGTGTAAAGCTTGCATCCGTGGCCGAAGATATGAAGTTAGTACGATGCAAATAAATTACCAGCTAGACAAATTCATCTCGGAATGCCTAGCTGATGGCGGTACGTCAACCGATGGCATTCTGAAGCCTTAAGGATGCTCAATGACTGCCGGAGAATTTGTCTTATATTTCACGAATGAGACTCCATCGAATTCTTGTCCGTAAAATCAGTCGTCTCGTCGTCCATTGTAAACAGAGCAGTCAAACCGGCTCACTACTTGAAGGCTTCCCGCGGCGGCTGTCCGAAGAAACTCACTCGGCGTAGCCTTACACATTTGATAGCAGCGTGTTTTCTCGTCATTGGAAGCTTGCCAGAGAAACTGAAATATATGTCGCTCAGCTTTCCGCAAGATTGAACCTGACATCCTTTTTATGATGTTGGCAGAAACAGCCACTGCGTGTAAACGAACATCCAGCAACAATTTTACCAAGTTCTGTTTGAGGTTCAGTGCTGAGAACAAGTGCGTGCTAAAAGATGTCAAATCCGACGACATAAAAAACAATCCGTCATTTGTTTTCCTTATTTGCTTTACGTGGTAGCTTCGGTCGTGATTCCCTGGATCGAAATCGTTTACGTTCTCTTCATGCTCGTTTTCGATAAATATCACGATCTTAGAATGATAGCTGGCAAGGATTTCGAAGTCACGGAGCAGAAGCTTATGTTTGAACGATAAATATTGCGAAACGATATCTAAATTGTTTGTCCGAGCAGAGGCGAACACTTAACCGTAAGGTACGGTATACGACTTTCTATCATAGGTCGTCGTGATATTGCCACAACGCGTCGCTCTCCTCAGCGGACAGGAAGCTACCTGGCAAATCCCAAAGCTTCTTCTACTATACGTCGTGTGCAGGCTTACGCAGAATCACAGCGCAACGGAGACGACAGCCGGTGGCCTCCATCCGTGTTAGCAGTGAATCTATCCTGGTTGGTATCAACGACTCGAATGAATTCTCGAACCCATCATCCCAACACAGGTCGGCCAACAGCAGTCGATCCCTATAAGCAACGCCGGGGCAGAGCAACTTGCGTTATTACCAAGCCTCTAATGAAGGACGTCGGGTACGCACTGACGACTGGAGTCAACGGTAAAATCCCGAAAGTGAGCAACTATCTCAAAGTACCCTCGTTTCACTCTGACGATTTGCAAGACACCTTCTAAGCGCCGCAACCTTCGTGTTCTATACGCCCAAAGTCGATGTCCTTTACTATTTAAATCGATCGCTGGTTGATTCTCGTTAGGGTTAGCGATGGATACTGCCCTCAAATTGGGAGGCGATGTTACTAGGCGTGCACGTGCATGCAGTAGATTCGCACGTAAGCGCATATTTAGGGAGTTCAATGCCAAGCTTCGCATAAACAGGTCATGCGGAGTGGAGTGCTGGTGTCCATACTAAAATGCGCCGTCGATATATTTGTAGCTGCTCACCAGCATGACACAGTGCTTAGCATCGCTGATGGTAAGCAATCGCGATAGAGTGCTGAGTGGTCCTTTAAGTAATCTTGTGGAAGTAATTAATCCTTCCGAGTCCGTCACGGTGGTCGATCTAGATATCCAACTGGCTGCACGAAGTCACATATCGCGTAACGCGACCGTCGTACGGATCGGGATTGTTTCGATGCGACTCAATCATTTGGATGCGCGGGTAGCTCCTGCGACCCGTTCGTTAGGTCAGCGGCAAAGCTGTTTCGAAGAGTACGCCAAAGGCATCACGGCCTCCTTCTGCACACTTTGTAGCGTCGTGGGTCGCATCGAATTCTGCTTGCCCGCTTTCGGGTTGCGCGCAGGCATGAAACTAGATTTTGTCGTCTAACTCGACTATGTTCACCGCACTGGATTTACTACTACTACTACTACTACTACCTCCAACAACCCATTGCGGTTTGGAGCGTTTACAACGTGAAAATTGTCAAGCCTTAGGGAATGCTCGTCTTGAATGGACGTGCTGGTCTGTGGTTCAGCGGGAACTCGCTCTTTCCGGTTGAATGTCTGTGTTTAACTAACACTATGAATCGGTGAGCTTCAACCTTAGTTCTGTACGAGTAGCTGCTCAGACAGTAATTGACAATTATGGCAACACCGGTTCATCGACGCAACACAGTGTCATGGACGCCGCGCAGATTTGCCAACGGTACGGATCATGTATTAGCCCCTTGGTGCTATGACGATTGGCAATCGGTCGCTCCAGATATTTCCGTCCACTTCCGACCAGCGCCATGCATACCGGCTTGTTTTAAGGTTCTCCAGCAGGAACCATTGTTCGTAATCTAATATGACGTAATAGACGTAATAGTATGACGTAGTAGACGTAATAGTACGATTCCTGTATTTTCGAGGATCACCAGGAAGAATTTATTGCGTAGGCAGCCCACTAGAGTCGATAGCAGCTCAATGTGGCACAAGGATTTTGACGCCCACTGCGAAGCGTTGTCACGCTGGTCTGCAAGAATTTCACTAGAACGCGAGCAAGCGGGAATCGTATCTATTGCAGTGTTCCTGGCGACAACTGAAATGGGTATCGTCGGCAGTAGCAGCGTAGCTGGCAAGTGTGTTAGGCTATGTATAGAAAACGAGCCTAGTACTACGGCACCAGTTTGTAGGCGCTTGCCAATCAGGAGGCCACCTGCGCATTTCCAATATAAAAAGGAAAAGGGATACATTTTTTATTAATCTAAAAGCAGGAAACACTCTATTCAGCAGGTCCTCACATTAACTTTGTCCTTCATTTTAATTCGAAAATCGGCTATAACAAATGACTATATTCTTGGAGATTCGGCCAGAGTCGGACACGTATTTGACAAAGAGTGTTAACTGGAGTACAGCATTCAAAAACCTAACTGTGTATGCGATTGGATATTGAAGCATTGACAGCACAGCATCCAAATATTGGCTATCATATAGTTCAAGGTTGAAAATCTGACAGATATTGCCTGGATATATTTTCGATAGCAACAGGTTATATTTATGATCTCATATATAAACGTATACGAGTCCCTAGAGTTCTTTCTCTACATCTATTTCCTTTCGAACACACCACGCTGAGATGTTACAATGAAGATGTCGTACCCCATCTACAGTTCTCTCATCGGCGATTAACAGTCAATTAGTGTTATCTCAGTCTAATAAATTTTTCATATTTTTATCTTTCGGTAGTTAGATGCCAGCTGCGTTGTAGCTTATCGGCTGTAGGTTGACGCACTGCGTAGGTGGTAGTGAGTCTCTACGCTTTTACTGCTTTCTGATAAGGGGGTGTATCTTCATCGTAAGGGAAACAGCGTGACTGGAAGTAGAGTCGAGTCTCTAGTGCCTCTTCCCAGACTAGGCTGTACTGCTGACGCTATCATCATCGCAGTGCTATGTATACACCAGTTATTCGGTTCCGCGATGCCACGTTCGCTTGTGCTCAGCTCCTGAAATACAATGTCTAGCTGCCCCTTTTGCTGTAAATCCCCGTCCACATCTCCTGCAGACTCCCCCCCTTCCTTTTCATTTGTGAGGCTTTTTCGCCGCAAATATCTCCCCCATATTCCTTTAAGGGCAGTTGAGAAGATGTTTGGGAGGAGCCCACATTGTCTTTTCACATGTGTGCGATAGTCAAGCAAGCAGGCAGCCAGGGAAAATGTCGTCTCTCTTCAATCCTTTATTTACAAAAAGCTTGCCGTTGCTGCATCCAGAGTGACAAAAATGACGCCGATATTGTGCCCGCAACCGCGGCATCAACTTCATTATACACTACACAGCGTACGTAACAGTAGCGGACAGCTCCATTACCGGCTGGGGGAAGGTGAGTTACTGGGCCATTTTAATTCAAACCAAGAGTGCCACTAATAGCCGTAGCGGAAGTGATGCTTAAAATTTCGATAGCACTGACAGCCGTAGCAAAGACAACAGACGCCTCTAATCTACAACCAGTCAATGTCTGACTTGTCACTGACCGACTATTCCTTCTTTCTGTGCATGACTAAAGTACCCTTTCGCCCTCTTTCGCACCCAGTTCGCGACTTCGGCGGACAAAACTGGCAACATCCTAGCCATCCAAGTCTCTGCACCACTTTCCATGTATCCAATAGCCAGGACCGTCACCAACCTTCGACCCAGCATTCTCACAAAGACGTTACAAATACGATATAATGGGAAACAAGGAGCTCAAAAAGTAGAAATGCAGCTACCCTTGTCCACAGGCCGACGATCCTTTCCCGTGAGCTAGTAACCATATGTCATATGGAAGGAAAAAAGAAAAACTCCTCGTCTTCGAAAGACGAAGAAAATATCTATCGTTCCGATAATACAATCGCCGGAGAATAATCCAGATTGACAAGATGGCCCAAGGGCCCAGTGCCAAATCATCACCAACTGGTGTACATTGTCTCCTCGCATGAAGATCCATGCCCGGGGTCGCAGAATAAAGAACACACTTTTAAGCAAGTTGTGAGGGTGATAAAGAAACAGTAAAATTGATTAGGCCTCTATGGCGAAATGTTCTAGTTGGGAACAGATCGGACACGAAATTGTAGAAGGCAAAAACCATCAGTGTTCCCTGTGTCAAAAGGCAAGCATCATTAATAAATCCATTACTATCGATTTTGTTAGTTCCTGTGTATCCTTAAGGATTTGAACTGAAGCATGTAGATGTTCGAGTCCCTGCCAGCTGCCTGTGCGCCATAGCGGGTTTGACTAGCGCACAGAACAACCTAGGAAAAACTAAGATCAAAACCGCAATCAAGCATAGCGGGAGCCTGCTGGCATTTTCAGCTTCTGTAACAGTGTATATATCATATTTTGTTAACCATGAATTTGTTTTATAACAACATTTCTATTTACTACATCACTGTGGTTTCGTTAAGTAAATCCTGCTTCACAAGCCAAATACATGGGTGGGTCTCGTTGAAAGCCGTTCCATTAGTAGTTTTCAGTCACGTTTTGGACACCGAACACTTCTATGATTCCGAGTGTTATTGTGGCCTTGGACTCTTACAATGACCTTGGCTACTACCCAGTGAAGTGCATAATAGCAGTGTAATAACTCTTAGGTGAGGGTCCAAAGTATTTCTCTGTCTGTTTCTTGAAGTGTTATTTCAACGAGCCTGATACGTGTTCGACTTCATACCGAAACTGAGCTACGACAGAATGGAAGTCTGCAAAAGATTGAATAGGCATCGGTAATTAATGACATTATACAGACAGTTAAGCATATAAGCAGTATGGTAATACGTACGTGTTATGAGAGCTGAAAAATGACAATGTCGTTCGAACCTCTTGAGTATTTCGCGCTAACTAATTTGCATTGTCGTAATCCCATAGCTTTTTTCTCTCGTGTCGTCCCAGTTGTTCCAGCCGAGCTCAATTCGACGCTTACGAGCCCTTCGGGGGTGGCCGGATGCGTACGGACCCCAGCTCCCGATATGCCGTACCTTGATAACCTGCACTACACTAAAAGGATCGTCGCTGAACCTGGTACGGGGCTAAATAGATTCAATCAGACGCTGCCTATTTATTGATTATTTACTGTGATTTTAATAACCGTTTTATGCGTCATACTTTTAGTATTTCCAACGATTCAACTAATATTACTATTTATACTTTAGCCTCTACATTCATATAATGTATACACCATGTTGAAAATAAAATTAGAAAAATTAATAGTTTCTTATTGATTTTAACTGGCTTTTACAATTAAGTGAAACAATAATTTAAGCTTCAAAACTAGCAAACGCTGTAATGAGTGATTGTCTATTAATGGCCGTCTAGCCAGCCTTATCGATCGATTTATTTCGAAAGGAACGACAAGATGGGGACCACGTTGCGAGGCGATAGGCCAATAAAAGCTAGTATCAATGTTGGACAATCTGAACTATATACGTATTGATAAAGTAAGTAGGATTATTAAGCCTTACCACAACATTTTTTATACGTCAGATCACACATTTTAACGCTGAGCTATCAGGCATATTCAAGAAGTCTATAGCACAGTACCGAAGATTTGTTCGCCAGTGACAAGGGCCGGTAACCTGCCCAGAGAATGGGCTGGGCTGGGCTGGGGAATGCCATTGTTGAGGTAAAAAAAACTCGCAGCTCATCGTCGTCGTTTGCGGAGAACCACTAACCAGAAAGTGACTAATAAACTTGTACTAAGCACAGTTTTTTCCTCAGCTTGTCTGACGGCAGCGTGGGGACAGCTCTAGACACGTTCGGCTAATTTAGCGTGTGTTTAAGGGCAGTTTATCTCCTAACAGATGCCGTTTTGGAAGATAACAAGCTTATAACAACATGCGCTCCTAGTACACATATATTCCGTCATAAGTTTCTACTTTCTATAATCAGTGGCAGTTAATGGTATCGACTCGTTTTGGGTCGGTCAGTCCAGTCAACCCGCAATTAGCGGGTTGGGGCAGATTAGTTCTCTCTCTAGACGAACTGGCTGGCGCGCCTGGCTGCCTTTGTGTTGTCTTATGAATTTCGGTCCAGTGACGACTCCAAAGGCTAACAACAAACACCTGTATGTATTTAGTGAAGAGTAGGAATATGGGCATGGACGACTGCGCCAACGGGCGAACGGAGACTAGCGTTATTGGAGCCTTACTGGCCCCTTCACGCATGGCGCGCTCTAACTCCTTCCGCCTGTGTCTCAAGGAATAGCACGAATAGACTCACCGGCCCCGCCCCTTTGTACTCGTTGGGAAAAATTAGAGGTGTAGCAAAGGGAATGATGCACGTGAGTTCAGCTGATTCAGCTTTTCCTACGTTGGCCCATACTGATCATTAGCAAATTGCGGTCACATACCATCTATACATTTTTGAGTTAATGAACGCTTCTATGACGGTTTACGCTGAGCCCTAATAGGGCGTTATTTGCGGTGAAGTTTTGATGTAGACGGGGGTTGATGTGTGTTGCGAACTCGATAAAAAAATCTACTTGAGTCTCCAGAGTAATAGTCGAGTTTATCCCGATACAAGTACTTGCTTTATTGGTAAGTTAATTAAATTTGAATCATTGTATTAAATTGCTTAATTTAATAGCATAGATCTCTGTTGTGAAGTTATTTAGATTATATACTTTCTTGTAAAAAGGTCTTTTACAAAGTGAACGGAACTAGGGTTGACAAAAATGAGACATATTCTGTTAAAACGACTTGAAACTCAAAAATTATTTTTTTTCCATAATGTTAAATGCGGCTTCAATGGGCCATTGATGTTCCCTTTTACAGCCCCTATGAGTAGGAATAAATAAAAAATCTAAATTTTAAGTAGCTGAATGAGAACAAATGTGACGTTTTCTCTTACCTCACTGCTAAGTGTAAGATAAAAATTTTGATTGATCGTAGTTTATTTTTGCTCCGCTTTGAGGGGCAGTAACAGCGTCAATAGGAGTAATCAAAGAGGCCGCCTTGTGCTGATTGTTTTTCTCTTTAACAATAGCTTTTGTCAACCGTACAATTTTCAAAATCCCCTTCGCCTTAGGTTTTTATATGTGTATATATCCACGTATATATGAAATTTGACTACAAGGATTCTATTTATACTATTTAAACTTGAAGGACGGTAATGTTCCGAATCAGGACTTGTGCCAGTTATATCGGCACTTTGCAATAGTGGGGTTGTCTACGACAAAGCGACAGATCGGCGAGGCGAATGCTAGAAAAAATCAACCGAAACGTACGATTTGGTCGATTGTTTGGGTATGGTATACAGTATGAATAAATGCACGTTGACGTAAATTGACAAGCATTATGTGTCAAAATGTTAGCGTTTCATACTTCTCCTTTACAGATAGCATAGCTTAGTTAATTATAGCATTATTTAGATGTGATCGTTATGCTAATGCATCTCAGGGCTAAGAGAACTCAGCTAAAAACAACTTATCGAAAATAGCCACCAAATAGATGGTAGCTAATAGTAAAACCCTATCGACTCAGTAATAGACCTTGACTGACACCCATATAAAAATGTACCATTTTTATCTACTCATTCGCTCGCACAATGGCCTCCTATTGAGCGAAGTTATGTTACAAACTATACGAAATCGATAATTGTATCGGCTATTGCAAAAACAAGCTCCTCGTCCAGTTGCTGCCCGCTAGCGTATGCTTAGATTATTGTTTGTTCTTAGTTTTTTTTTTGTATCAGAAGCGGTATCGGCATTAAAGTTCTTAAGAAAAAAATCTCAATGCTGCGGCCAATTTCATGCCGGCTACATGTTGGACGATGTACAGTCTGTCGGCCACTCGAGCGTACGCTTGAGTTTTACGGTTTATTGAAGTACCATTCGCTGATTTTGGGCTATAAAATCTAAGCTCGGCAAGAGCCTAACCGCTTACTGCGCGAGCGAGTAAATTTAGCGGTGTGAAAAAAGACAGAATTTCATAAATATATATCCACAAAACGATATGGTTTCAGTTTACTGAGCAGTAGTAGTAGTACGCTATGTTCGGGACAGATACAATTGCCGCAGCTTTGACCAAGCTATTACCCTTTGCATAGCGAGTGTGCAGCTCATCATAAGCTTCGTTCTTCATCGCAAAACCATATGAGTACATGTCGTAAAGCTAGTTTCCGACACCTGAGAACCGTTCCGACCTCGATTATCGATGTGAGGCTGGGGTGTGTGACCATTGGAAGTATATAACATATCTACACCTTCAACTATCTGCAAATACGTCGAACTCTTTTCGTAGCACATTTGATAAGAAAATGTAACTTTTATTAACTGCTTTGCTATGAACATTTGTCTTTATTTAATATAATAATAAGGCTCCCGTAACGTTTCGCTTTAGACAGCATACTTCCAGCTCTTTAGGCTGGCCATTTATCTAGATTATCTATTACTACTGTTATTCTTTGTTTTATTATAAAAGGACGATAGCGTTTGCAAATAAACGCACTGGTGGACGGTTGATGGATACCGTTCGATCAAAGGGCCTTGACGCCTTAACACTGAAGATTACAAAAGAAGGACGCGATTGGCTAGCCGGGATCACATCGTTTTTAATATTTTTTTCATTGAGTTCGCGTTGCGATCAGAATCAGTTACAGATGCCGTTTGGGTCGATGGGTTGCTGTGTACGAATTTCTACGTTCGAATCCAATGCTAGAACGGTTCACTGCAGCTACGGACATCGGCACCTATCAGTAGACATCACGACGTGCATACAGAGTAGCTATTAATCGAGCAAGTAGACGTAAAAGGACTGCCTCACATAGTAATGAGGCTTGCCGCCATAACGCGCCAGTCCAAAGTTTTCAACTTGACATCAGTAACGTAAATAAAGTGCGCGTGCCTACAATTCAAGAGGTGGTCCATTTTGAATTGCCAATGCTTCGGGTGAGCCCTCTGGTGTAAAGAAATTGTTTGCATATTTTACTACCGGTGCCTCTCTCCAGGGAGACATCAAGTATGAATTCTAGTTCCAGATATGAATTGGTAAATGCCGCTCAGAGTTCTCCGAATACGGGAAAGAAACGGAAAGGTTTTTGGTTACGGAACGCACGCATCAATGATGAAATATCGTGCCTTGATAAAAATATTTCCTTCTTCATACAAATTGTGTAGAACGTATGTGTTGGGGGGCGAGATTTGAAACAATGAACCCTCGTCTCTTTCATCGAACGACTAGGTCGTCCGAAACACCTTATTGAAGTTATAAAAATATCTTTGCCTAAACACGCGCACATATACAATGCTACCTACGCAGAACAACATCCAAACACACTTGGAAAATGTAAATAATGGATACGTTCAAAACAGCTGGTTGTAAAATGCATTCAATTTAGCCCCCTTGTTCTAATCTTTTATGTCAGACGGAAAACTCTTACAATCTTCGTAGTTAATAGAAAGATTCAGTTTAGATCTTAGTAGTAACTTCATCCGCCATTAGTAGCATATGAAGATACAACATTAGCCAAAACCTATTTAAACTACTACCATTTAGTAAACCGCCAATTGTCTCGCTACCTTTCTCTTCTGTGCATCGAACGTCCATTTAGGCCAACGCATATTCGTGTTCTTCAAGTCGATCGACGTGGAGTGGCAGGCCCAGTGCCTTTACGATTATGTCGAATTGTCCCTGTCGCCGTCCGGATCGGTCGGAACAGCCAGTAGTAACAGCAATGGAGAATTAACGAGTAGTAACAGCGTCAGCGAACGAGCGCCGAAAGCTTTGCGGGGAACTACCTCCATTGAAGGAGATTCACCGCTGAGAATATGCGGTCAGATGGAGAACGGTCAAAGACCAACGATTGTCTACAACGGAATAGCTCGTGTCATGGAACGAAATGAGGTAAACTACAGGAACGACTTGATGAAAATAAGTGCAATTTAGGCCAGATCTTGCATGCGCTTTTGATATATAATACGTGCTATTAGCTTTTGTTTCGTTGGAATTTTTATGAAAACTATGAAAAGGAAAAGAAGAGGGAGCTGTGTGGTCGGCGAAGCATGTTGCGACTGAAAGATTTACACCACTACCCTAGACTATCACCTGTGTCGTAACGTAAACGTTTTATGTAATATAAATAAATGCTTCACAGTGTTCGACTTTAATAAAGCAATGGGAAGATATTTAAGCCGTGGGAGCTTCAATGAACTGTGTGTGAAAACATCAGCAGCACTAGTTACTTCATCATCAGCATGACCAGCATATATATGCTCATGGACACTGGCATATTTACCTTCCTGCATCGAATGTCTTGATTCAAACAATGCTGCTTATTAAATCTTCTCTCTTATAACTGGTACAAAAAGTCATAATTTTATGTCTAGTAAAGCATCTGGAGACATACATATGCCAGTAAACAGCGTATCTAAGGGCGCCCATTTCCATGTATAGCACGGTAATGATCACATTAGCAATTATTGCAGTTGTTGCACCTTAGATATATCCTAACGCTATGGCCTTATAATATAAATGACACTAGAGTCCTCACTATATTACATCTACTCTTTACTGTAGTCATTTACATATCTTCTGTTATTTTAACAGATGTAAAAGGAAAGCTACCCAACTGTCAAGAGGTTTCTGGCCTACTTTGTATATATATATATATATATATATATATTGGTTATGACAAGGGAATTCTGCGAACTTCGAAATTTAAATAACTTCTAACTACGCCTCTATAACTTGGCCAGTAAATATTTCACTTTTCTAGAAGATTGTAATATGAACACTGGTTGCGTGTTGTGACAACTGAGTTCAGAAAGAAAAGAGATCTGTTGGCTTCGAAAATCAACGATCAGTGGTCAAGTTTGTTCCTCGAAAGCGTCAGCGCTGCGGAAATTCACCACAAATTAATGAAGACATTAGGCAAGGAAAACTTGGATGAAGGCACCTACAATAGACCTCAGAAACATCTGCTACTATGTGATGCTTTCAAAATTACAACAGTATATGTAGCCCGCTGTTTCGAGTTCCTCAAGAGACTCATAGACTGTTCGCATTGACAAGGCCAGATCTCATCGCCCTATCTCAATTATGTCCTGTGTTGAGTAATATCCAACGTTGGCTTGAACTCGCTAATTCGCCTGATTCAAGTCCGTATTGTTACGGAGCATTAAAGGCGCAATTTGTAGACAATCATATAGATTGGCTTCTAGCAGTCATATATAGAGAACCTACGTTAGGGACTCAAATTGTAGGCTTGTGCCTGTCCATAAGCTGTTAGAGCGCTGGGACAAGTATATAGAAATCATCATTGTAGCCTAACTAGGTCGGAAGTTCTTCAGTCTCAAGGTTCGCCAATATTGCTTGCTATATCCTAACTAATATTTTGCCAACTTTGTGTAGGTACATCTCTAGTAAATGCCTGTTAAGTGTGTCTTTTGTCTACAGTACTGCTGCTCTAACTACTATTTTTGTTTTACCTAGCGCGGTGACGGATTACAAAGTCCGATTTACAAGACAACAACCTAAGAACAACCTTTGAACAACCTAAGAATACATGCGACCTATTTAAGTAACGGCCTTTTAAAAGAAACCCGTACTTTTATATATCCCGGCCCGTCCAGGACGTCAAGAAAAACAATATTGAAATATAGGCAGGTTATCGTTGTGGGTTCTATTGATGTAGATCCGTTTTAAGGTGACTTCCGTGGGGTAGGAGTGTCTGGATCAATTTGAATAGGCAACGGAAATCGAGAGAAATCATATTTACGCTGATCAAGTGCCATATATTCTATGGTAAGTCAATGGTAAAGCTGATGACCGAGCTTACCACTGCGGCATAGACTTTCTATGTAGTAATGTGACAATTGTTTTTCCTGTAGAAAGTCTTCTCAGGCAGTTAGTTACGTTGTTTTGATGCAGCAAAATGGAAATTATTGTGAACGAGACCCGTTCGGCTCTTATATCTGCCATTTTGTCTTCAAAATAGTAATTGTAGTGTAGTTTTTCAATTACACAAATTCTAGCAAAGTAAGTCAAATAGAACCATTTAGGGCAATAACTCAATTAATAATCAATAAATTATCGTCTTTCATAAGATTTTACTATTTATTGCATAGCTTCCTGAGGAAAACTAAGGTGACGATTTCACTTAGATGGTCGTCGATTACCCTACGGTCCAACTTTCAGCCTTCAGCGACTACCACTACCGCTCCTATCGGTTCTACCACTTATAGCAGTCTCAGCCGACAATAACAAGTACAAAAAAAAACGCAAGGTCACGTAAGATCCTTGCTCAACTGGCCACTGTGCAGTACGATACCCCATTTTTCCCAGATTCATTTCGTATCTTTTGTATATATGTATGTATGTAGGTATTATACGTCCTGTGCCAGTCGCACTACACGCTAACGTCTTCGACAGGGCTTCACTCTACCGTCGATTAATGTTGCTGGCTAGCAATCAGCCAAATTGTGATCTGACTCCCAGTCATTCATACATACTCACACATGCAGAGAAAAGTTCCTACTCCGATAAACTACGACTTGTAGACGTACGCACAGAGACAAATACACTCACAGACTTTCAGTCGCTCCCAAAGCTAAAAGGACGAGAAACGGAACAGCGTGCCGGCGGCCGTCCCAGGTTAAGTACCCAGGCTATGTTGATTAACCAAACGTGAGAGGTGTCAAACTATAGCAGACTACTATATGGAGGTCACATACACATAACTGTACGATTAGCTTGCTTGCGCCCACAGATATTCAGCGATGTTGTCTGTAATCGTGCCTGGCCTGTTGCAGTTGGCAACACGTGGGGTTCGCTTTGTCGCCCCTTACTTAGCAGACATCGCTCGGGGCGATCGCAGCTGCTAATAATGAGTAATTGGAGAGTAGTCTTGCTCGTTTATTCATCCTTTGTTGCCGTGGGGATTAAGAGATGAAGCGTAACATCACAGCGAGATAATGCGGCCATTGTTTAGATAAATAGGTGTCAGTGTTACGATGAATTGCTTTCCTGCGTATATATATATATATATAATCCAATTTGTACTTTGTTGTCATTGTCGTCTGATTTTCCCCTGTAGAGCTTGCAGTTCATCTCATCGGGAACGGAGCTCCAGGTGACAGTGCACACGGACCACTCGACTCTCGGGTCCGGCTTCACTTTAAGGTAAAGGGACAACGGAAAACAGGAACCGACGCATCTAAGATAATGTAAATCCATTAAGGACTTTTTTCATGTGTCAATGAATAACGAGAGAAAAAAAGGACGGGTTGTAGAAAATGTCAGCTTTTCTTGCCTGTGCAAGCAACCTCGTTGTCTCTTAACGGAGAATATCATTGCGTTATAACGATTGCTTGAGCTTTTATAAATACAATAATATATGTGGAGAGGTTTTGTAAGAGTCCGTTTGTACTGTGACCAAATGCTATATAAGTTACTGTTCGTGCTTTGAGTTCCTTTTCTTTTAAGTGATCAATGACGCGAGTGGATCCTTTCTTTTTCGTTAAATTTTCTTCAGTCGATAATAATAATAATTCAGTCTATAAATAATAATATAATATTTACACTCCGATGAAGAAAGCAGAACAAATAAATTTGATCACTAATAAACAAGACCGGAAAAAAATACTATAGAAAGCTATAACGACCGATCTGTTATTTTATTTTAGTTTTATTGATTAGCATTAAGCGTTAAATTTAGAGGCAGCGTTTACTGAAACAGGCAAAATTTTACGTGCTACTTAATAAAAGCACCACACTGATAAATGTCTATTGCCATAAATTTGGCACCGCATTTCGACCGAACGAATTTGTAATACATCCAACTATTTCAATTGTTCCAAATATGATTCTGTCAATAGTCATCGGTGGGTAGAAGATAGCCAGACGTCGTACAAGGAGAAAAAAAACCATCTAAGACGACATCATTTCTGGGCAGGCTAGTTAATATTGTTGAACCTAATTACAAATGGGGGTACGAACGGAGCACTGGTATACATTCGCTTTATGGTTACCAGTTTTACTGGAATCAACCCGCTATGCTCAAGAAGCAGACAAATTGGGACCTAGATTGAGCATGACAGCGGTATCGTAAAAAAATTATTCTTGTATAGCAAGCAACCGAAAGCTATATATAAAAACACTATAAACATTCCACAGGGCAGATAAGCGATCTTCGATAACAAGTACTGTGCAGTTTCTAATGCAAATGTCAAATACTGTGCTTTTTATGTATATTAAAATGATGTAAAATATAGAGAGAGAGAGTGTAACCTTGCCCACAAGATTATCGTCGTTTTCCTTCCTTTTACCAATGTAAAAAATTCAAGGGAAAAGATACAAAAGGTGGGGGATGACATTTCCCCGCCGATTTCTCAACATGGGTAAATGTCCCTATGAACTCGATTCAAATGAATGGACTGGGCATGTGCAGCCACTGCGATGATAGCCACATGAAATTGCAGAACATATTTACCGAGTGATTTGTTTCACTGGTCTACGACAGCTCAAACGTAAGGAATCTCCTGTGAGACCAGCTTCGAATAGAATTTCGAATTTTCGAATAGAGAGAATTTCGAATATTCGCGTAATCCTTTAAATTATGTAATCTCTATGTGTCGAGTTTTACGTCTGGCATCGCCGTTGGGTATCCCATTAAATGGCCTAATTCCTTTTTTTACCTTTAACATAATCCGCTCTACGTTAAACGTTGTTACTGAAGTAACAAAACAACGTTCTCTAATGTTTATGTTCCCGTAAGCTTTGTTTGATTGGTGGTGTAGTACGGTTTCCGCAGTTCAAAAAATTGCTTGGCTGTCTGCATCTCGACGATACCCTATGGCTCATCATATTATAAGCTGCTCTCACTGTAGCTGTATTCATGCTTACGGAAAAGTGTTTTCCGTCAAACACTTCCTTGACGCGTGCACGCCTAGGTAGAAAATGCAGGCTCAAGTTTGTCAACCAGCCTAATACCCATAGACTTTTTGCTTTTGTCGCAGCTACGAGGTGCTAAACATCATATCAGAGTGCGGTTCTAAAGACATTCCTGTTGTCCGCTATGTCGAAGAAGGGAGAGCGAAGGTAAGTACTTAACAAATCTTCCTTTTGGGTTTATAACAAGCATATTCGAAATACGGATTCGTGATTATAATTCAAATGCACCAGCTTGCAAACCCGATTAATTTAACCAAAACTGATCGTGCTATAGAGACTAAAGAAATCTTTTAAATTGTGCTGTACTGTCTGGCCTGTCCGGCTATTTATCACAAATTTCTCAGCTTAAAGGCAGCGGAATCTGTCAAATAGCCTTAGGTATTTCTTATTTACTCAAAAATATTTGAGTACGCGTGAGTGGCTGTTTTTCTGCTTGATAGTGCAGTGGTGCAGTACATTGCCCCTATCGTCGTTGTCGCCCCTTCAGACCTACCGCCAGACCCATTACGAAGAATAATTCCGGATTAATCTGAGTTAAGCAGTCTCTGATTGTTACAATAAACAACTCTGACATTCTGCCAGTGATAATAGAACAGCCTCGATATGCCGTTCAGCCAAACGGGAATGCTCTAACCACAAAGCGGCACAAAAAAAAACATGCGGGTTGTGCCTTTACATGCTAATTCTAAGAACTAGTTAGTAACAGAGGACAAAGCATATTGACACAAACAGGGATGCTTTTCGGAATCTCTTAAAACTCATGCGGGTGAAGTTTTCTGATTCGGGTCTTTTTTTTGGCAAACAAAAAGCGAGTTTATTGGTAAGCTTATAATTAATAAAAATCACTGTATTTATAAGCACAATATGAATTACTTGTTGCTCTCTAGGACATCGGAGTGTCCAATAAGAAACATCTTCAAGGGCTGAGCAGACGTATTTAGATACATTTGAGAACGACTTAATTGCTCCGCGCCTCTAGTTAGCCCAAGTGCTAAACGCAAAAGTTTGTCCTTAGAAATTAGACAAGTGCAACTAAACATAGAGGCATGATTATCGTCAGATAATAAGAAATCTACTTCGAAGTAATGACCCTGAAATAAACAACCTATAATTTTTCCAGGCATGCGAAGGCGTCCTGCCTCCGACAAATGTTTATTGAGATTTATTAAAAGTCTGACAATCTAAGCTGTAAGGAAAAATCGTGAAATACGAAAATGTATATATTATATCTATTCATTGTTTAATACGTATATCGATATATCTAATCCAATTGTCATTAACAAGCGGTATATTATTTTACAAAACCGGAAAAATGGGTGGGCTGAAGCTATTACTTAAAGGACAGGCAAAATGTTTCAAAGGAGAATCAACATTGAACTGAAGGATTATATTGTTTTGATTACTTAGCAACTGCAAAAATAGCAAGGACAGGTGAACTCACGTCTTTCTAAACAAAATAAAAATATAATTTAAATAATGGCTATGCAACATGTTTAGGGCCACTATAGGGTATCTTTTCTAATATAGGATACGATGCCGGTCTTATCGCCTTGTCCTACTGATCACTTGTGTTGTGCTCTGTCCTTTGGCCATTTGTTCGGGAACAAAAAAGCTAACTAGTTACCAAACCGCATCTCGTTCATGTTCGTAATTTTATTTTAAGGATAAGTTTTACCGCCTGCGCTTGAGAGATGGCCGCTGCGTGGCCTGACCGCCCCTCTATCAGCCACAAAAGTTGAAACCGGTCTAATAAGCTCCTATGGCGAGCTCACCAAAAGCAGCAAGCTCATCCGTAGAAGTATCTTTATACAGACTATACGCGGAGGGACGCAGGAAAAACTGGAATCGAAGGAGTGCGGGCTCATTTCACACACTGCAAAGCTGTATCTTCTGTGAGCTACTAACCTCATCGAAGAAACCTATCGAACGAGGGCTTGGTTCTTCAGTGCTATACTGAAATCTGCTTGCATGCTCTCGGTAGTAGTAGCAACAGAAGCTCACCGTCCGCCTGATCCTAAGAGCTGAGAGAGATATAGGTGCGCCGACGACTGGCAGAACGAACAGCCAATTCAAGATTTGTGCTAGCGAAAGCAGAAGGTGTCTGCCTATGGCATGCCATCAGAAGGATGTCGGCGGCTGTCTAGTAGACCCCGTTTGCCTTGGAAGCGTATTACTATATGGCACGCTAGGCACTCATAAGGAGCAGCTAAGGTCGAAATTGGAAGTACCTTGAACCAGTAACTTCTTCGAATGGGGCTAAACGACCGGTAGCTGCTGTGTTGAATATCTAGCTACACAGTCAATCACCATGCACCTATACGCATGCACGTGGTTCTCGCTAATATCGCTTAGGGCTACCTTTAGTAGATCTCAATGAGATTATTGTCACGTTACTATTGTTAGTATTAGACAGGATAAGTGAACTGTCGAATAGAAATAGCGTAACGATTCTTAGGCACTAGAGAAACTAATAGAAATGATTTATCTGCGGTATATATTACGAGAGTAAAAGTGTATCGCACCCTGTGTACATCGAATGAACAAAATGTATATCAAGCAGTCTCTTTCGTTTGAAGAGAAAATGTTTTTTGTACGAGAAACGCCGACGCGTAGCACGAGTCTAAACTAAACACAAGGCCGTGTTTATTTCATCTTTATTCCGACTGCTTTAATGTCAGCGTCCGGCGTTTCTGTGTCATATACGCTAACGGTAGGACAAATAAAAGGGTACAGTAGGACCTATCTATTAACTAGTGAAACTATAGAAATAAAAGTCATGCAAGCAATTGGATTACTTTAGTCGGAATAAAAGAAAGTGAAGGAACGATATATAGTTTATGTTGAAACGAGCGTTACCCATGAAGGATGCATTTAGAAGAAAGGTATTTAACATAATCCATTGTCCTAGTGTTCGAATGTATATTATCTTGTTCATAGTTTAATGACAGCTTTACAATGAAGCGCAGATATTTTCTCTAGCATATCTAAAGTACAACATCTGTCGCACGGTTAAGCAGGAAACGCCGCTAATCTGAACTGAAAGACCTTCATTTAACCGATTATTTGCTACTATGTCGGATACCTCTTGTCGGACATATTGGTAGCTCGCCAAATTGGTAACAGGCGACTGTGACGATATAAGTATGGCTTCTTAACTTTCCATCTATTCTCACAAAATAGCTCATTGTAGTTTTCTTTTCTTTCAGACCAAAGACCGACCAAACTAGAGAACTCCATTGTTCCCGCACTAACAACTGGCTTTTTCGCTCGACAGCGGTTCCGATTAGTTATGATGGCAAGATAGCTCTTCCTTCGGCGTTCCGCCACCCCATTTATCGAAAAATGGTTTTCTCTACCGCAGATTAAGAAAGGGAAATGGGCTTTCCCGACCTTTTTGGGTTGAACATGCAACGAACAGAAGTTAAGGGTCTGCGAGACGCCAGAGCAGCTCACGTCAGCTACACCGAGTTTCCTCATAGTCGCTCAGCCAGTGCGCTACAAGCGTTCCCTCTCTCGCATTGCCGATACAATCAACCGACATTATATACTAACCGACAGCATAGCGACAGCGATTATCTAGTTTCGAATTTGGGGCGGATTCATTTTTTTCTCGTTGTCGTTCCCCGTTTTGTTTCCGTGGAAAGGCAAAGAAGCTGATCCGAACGAATCAGAACCAGTGGAAAGCCTTGCGCGATGCTTTAGGATCAGAGCTGTCTGTGTGTGCGACGTGTAAGCCTTCTGTCAAATGTACAAGGTGTGGCCGACAAAGACCTGACACTAAAAACGTTCCTTGCTATGTCAACGAAAAAGTACGATACGCCAACACGACATCTATCGAATTTAACTAATAATTTCATTCGATATAGCGTATATGTCTGTGTGGCGGTGTGGGCTTGTTCAACTAGAGAAATTGCGACCGCGGAGAAGTCGAGCGTTTACAGAAGTTGATCTATAACTGGCATTATTGTCAAATCGATAGCTCAGTCACGAGTTCGATGAGAACTGAATGAAGTAATGGTTATGATCTTTGATGATCGATGCTTGTTACCTCAATATTAGCAGCACAAAATTACCGTAGAAGTAATAGTAAGAAAGAACGTATATGTGAAGTATCGTACATTTTGTCTCTAAGACGATATCTGAATAAGGAAAATAAATTTTACCGTACATTTTCACACTTTGTTTGTTGTATGCAGGAGCGTCATTCCTGCTGGTTATGTTGGTTCACTATAGCCACCGTTCATCGCAATGACAGCCTAAACAGTGGACCAAAGCCACTCACTAATTATTTTGAGAATCTTCCTTTTATAATCCGCAAGTATTTTTTAACAGTTACCGCACGTTCGGAACTGACCAAAAATCCTAAACGTGTAACGACTAAAACGGCCACAGGTGCAGAAAAGGGCAAACGGTCTCAAAGGGACCAGTCGTCGAGGTTTATCTGGACCGTTGATATCTATTTCTCCAAAACGGCCGTTAGTTTCTATAAAAAAAAACCACACGTATAAAAAAAAAAGCTTCTTGATTGATTTTTGAACCCTTCCAATCCTATCGGCGATCTTCCAGTTTGCATCATAAAAGCTTTTCTCGAATTTTTTTATGGCCGTATGGAAACCAGCAATAACATGAAGCATCGATTTCAAACAAAAAAAACAAGTTTTATGCTTGGCGAAATTCGTTCTGCGCGAAAATGTTCGGTAGCGGCTAATTTTTGCCTAAATTGTGAAAAGGATGCGTTGTTTTCCATGATGATAAGTTTGCTGTTTTGCTATAAAAAAATTGGCTTCTTTCTTGTATCAGGGCGCGAATGAACTCATGCTCGTTACGATAAACACTCCCCAAAGTCCATTGCAATTTAGGTGCCTTACCCTATATATATATATATATATATATATATATATATATATATATATAACTGGAGGTTATTTGATGGGTGGAAAAACTTAAACCTGACTGAAATTTAAAGAATATGATGACTGGGGTCACCGTTCAATTGTGTTTTCGCCGACCAAGGCTAGGATTGAAACGTGGCCATGAAATCGTGTAGTATCGTAAAGTAAGCACGCTCTGTGCTGTAGATTTCCGTGCCATACGTCCATAAAGCTCTTCAGGAATTCGAGATATCTGGCAACATTGACCATTTTCTTTTCCGGCAGTATACCATAATAACGAAATGCCCGTATACCCACTGCAGGTATAAACATTGGCTTACACTAAGATCAGCTAGGCATTGGAACCAAAATCACATCGTTCTAATCCTACGCTATCTCCTTTCCTTGCCCTGTCTGGTGAACGGTACAGACTGACCATGTTCCGTTCATAATACTTGTATGTTCTAGGTTCAATGTTTCGCGTTTTTTCCTTTATCCTCAGTGCTTTCGGTACTTCGAAGAATCTTTTATTGATATTACATATAGCTTATTACCCATGCTCTGTTTTGCTCCAAAGCTACCGTGATCATAACAGCCCTTCCATTGAAGGCCGGAGTTGTAGTCGTCTATTCTTTCAGTCTTTCATTAATTTCTGTCTTTATAATGATTCCACCTGTAACAACCTGTTGTTTCACGAAAGGCATTCCTGTTTATTTTTTTTTCTCAATATTCGATAGTTCGAATCTTTCAGAAGTCTCAACTAATATCGAAGCAGATACCTAATTATTTGTTTTTCCCGAAGAAAATAGTTTTACCTCTAAATTGCGACACGTAAATAACTGATCATTTGGTGTAGATATTTACTGAATTGTATATTATTAGAGGCCTATTTTAAAAAACATTCAAATATTTGCCTAAAATAGCGCCGAACAAGATAATATAAAAAGTGAGGTAACAGATTTTCAACAAAGTCAAAAGCAAAGAATGTTTGAACTCGGCGGCTCGAAAGGTTTTATTGTACATCTATTAAACTAGCAGAAGATGATATAAATGATTCTAATAAAGAATATATTTTTGTTAAAGGAGGCCTTCGGACGATCCAGTGGCTTCCTTGGAACTATGAAACGGCTTAAGCTTTGTCCTATATGTTCAAGTCACTATTTGCCCTCAGTAAAAAAACCACTTTACAATATTGAGATGCGTTTATTTGTAATTCCACAGAGTTTCACCTCCATACGATATCCACAACCGTACCCGCCAGCGGTAAGATGCCACTACCAGATTCAGCCGGGTGTAAACGGCCCAACTTCGCGCGGTCACCAGCGAAAACAACGCAATACCGGAAGGACGAAAAAGGAACGCTATGGAGGTCTAGGTGGCAAAGATGGCCCAACCACCGTACTTCTTACTTTTGACGCTTTTCAAGTCGGGACGCGGGTTCGTATTGGGACTTAGCTACCCATAATTAGAATAAAATGGCGATCATAGTGTGTCTGTATGACTGGGAACTTTCTTTGACATTTGTCTTGTTTAGAATAGAGACAAAAACTGCTTGGTGCTACGTTAATGTATACACCAAATGTTTGGCAAAGTTGGGAGCTTGTTCTAATCGAAATGCGCACACATTTAGTTCATAGACATTTTATTACAGAACCCAAAGATTCTTATTTTTCAAGCGATAGCCTCAACAAAATTTGATATAAGCAGAAGAGTTAGAACGTAATGCACCTTAGCTAGACGACCATTCGCTAATTTTCGTGGGTTATGGATTCCGTGATATTCTCACGGGCAACTCAAGAATCAGAGACTAGCTTATGATACAAAAGATAGTGATAAATATTTTTTATTTAGCGAAACGTATTAAATATCGTATGCTTCTTTATTTAATTCCACTCGTCGTATAGTTGATATAACTGGCAATAAGTGCGATCACCATTTCACTGAAGTCCTTACAGATTTCGTATTTTAAGCATTTTAATTTTTCTTTTGAGTAGGAGACACTCTTAGCTAGTAAGTTAATATGCAGATTTGTTTGTAAATGTGCGTTATAGAATCATACAACTAATTTCTGCCTCGACGATTATCTGGAGCTCAACTTAGGAGACGGCGACCGCACGCTCAAACTTTGCGGCTATCTTCCCGAAGGTCACCAGGTGAGTTCCTTATTCCTAAATAAATCAGGGTCTTATTCTGTAGCTTCCTATGACGGCTGTACTGATCTGGCCAATAAAATATGCCGTTATGCCGAAGGAAAAAATAAGGCTTAACTGCAAAAAATATTTAAAGGATTGATCTTACTTTGCGGGTTGAAAATGAACTTTGAAGGCCAGATACAGATATTATTATTAAAGACACGCAAGGTTTTAAAAGGGCTGCTTTGTATCATTTCATAATGATTTGCTATCTCGAGGTTATAGCAGACTCGACCTGCATCGAGCATAGGTGTAAATTTATTTAAGCGCCTAATAACAAAAATCTATGACGTGAGATTTAATAAAACTATTAACGTTGATAAAAGTCGTAACCCGTACTCTTTCATTAATATTATATTTCTATGTGAGATCTTAGCTTGGGCTTATACTACAAGCTTTACGATATATTTTACAGATAAACCCTTATCTAGAGCAGGTAGGCCACAGAAACTAATGTGCTCGCTAGACTTACTTAAACAGTTTTATAGTTATTAACAAAGTGGCCTTCAACTTCGTTGGTTTTTGCACAACATGACAGATTGTTGTTGTTTCTGTTGTTATTATTATTCGACAATAGGTGATGGCCTACCAGACGTCGGTGTGGATCAATTTCGTTTCAATGAAGGGTGGCTACCGAGGTTTTAGCATTAAATACCAGCTATGTAAGTATCCATGATGTTTGATTTTGCCAAATCAGTACCGACCGAGCTTTTGGCAATGCGTGTAATATATTTTAACGCAGGTTTTCCGCCATAGGCTCCTTTAGTTGTCTAATATTAATGTATCTCACTGAGTGCACACGTGTCTCAGCATGTGAGAGAAACTGTTTTTTAATTTGCGGTGTGAGGAAAAAAAACGAATGTTGAGCTCAGCGTGTTTTCTTACATGCTGACATTTCAGTTAGGGAGTAAAGGTTGAAGAATAAGGTTGAAGAATCAGAAGATCGTACTATTATTATCGCTTATAGCAATCTTTGATTTTTTATGGTCTCGAAATATTAATGACGTGTATCCGCTGTTTCATCGAGAATGTCTCGTAAGGTATTATTCCTTCAAAGTGTGTTGCGATGGCTCTCTGGGCGTTGGAAATATCCTTAAAGCCTGGCATCGGAGGCAAGATGATTCGACCAGATTTCATCGAGGAGAAACAGATGGATTTTGAATCCACTGAATAATCCGTTCGTATCCAGTTAGTTAGGGAGAATCAAGGTTCCATTAGGTAAATTATCTTCACGCGATTGCCCTTCGCTTGACCCTCGTTGGAAATATTCGACCTTCTCAGGTAGTCGGCCAGTAACCGGTGTAGCTCCTGTGTTAATAATCAGGGGCTTCGTCAACTTAAATAGTTCACTGGCTAATATCGCAAGAGAAGCAGTGTGATACGGCCGGCAACGTTATGCGTTTAGGTCGTGCTTTTAGTAAACTCAAATCGGCCTGCGTAATTATCTGATCAGGTAAAACATGCCTCTACAGACAATAGCAAGTACTTCGCCGTTGAGGATAGTTTTCTTGCAATATTCTCATATTTTATCATCTACCGCCTTTGCTTAGTTGTAGGCCAGTATTTCCACAATGACAGAGCAAGTGGTGTACGTTGGGAGCTCTTTATTTAAACCTATAAGGGAGATTAAGGTGGATTGGACTGATCGAAAAGCTGGGACGTTTTGTCAAGCATATTTATATAGTTAATCTCCACTAGAACAGGGAAAGGGATAGGGTTCAGGCGAAGCTAAAATCGACTGCCGATAAGTACGATCTATTGCATCTATAGCGGATGCAATTTAGTGTCCTAATCAGTCATCCAAAATTCCATATGGCAAAGCGTTCATAACCATCATTGCCATTTGCAGCGCGTAGTCACTTCGTAAAAGTCCTAGTCAGAGTATTAAATAGATACTATCGCAGTGTGTACTTGTATGTATGATTTCATGCTTTGTCATCCAGTTAGCCTTATTTTAGACATCGAATATTTATTGGCCTAATTTTGACACTGTTTGTACAGGCTGCTTACTCGTTCTATCCTCGTCAGATGATTGCGATGTGACATTGGTTATTTATCTTTACTAAGGCTAAATAAAACTACAAGTTCCTTTGAGTGGTTCAAACACTCGAAGCGATCCTAAGAAACTGAGCTAATTACAACGAACCTCTGAGGTAACTTAGATGCGCAAACTAAATGGCTCACTGCTAGCCAGCCATGCGTTTCGGCTTCGTCTGCCCCGAAACATATACAAAGCTGTTTGTGACACGGATTACAAGCTAACGTTCGTAACCGCATATGAACTTAAAGTTGTGGAAGTAGCGAAGGCTCAAACATTTTGACACTGGCATCGTTGGCATGCCTAGCACGGAACGGCCCGGTTTAAGTGGTATGAAGAGTGTGTCGGTTGGTTTATGCGTTCTGTGTCTCTCACAAGTTACCGTATCTAGAGCATGCCTTGTCCCCCGTAGACGTTGAATTTTACCTAGTGAAACAAACTGCGTAACTCTTTTCGTGCGTCGCTATTAAGAGACATTGCAAACTCTATAATTACCTCAGTTGATTTCCAGCAGTGGCTTGAAAGAAGCAACTGGCAAACGTTTCAGGTGAATGTGGAACGAGCTTCTAATACGCGGTATCCATTAATGTCCAGCTATTGCATTTCTTACAGAGTTTCATTTTCTGCATGGCTCTGTATGCTGGGCAAAAAGCACTGCCCATCACTCCAGCAACTTGTTTAGGGCTCAGATAGAAAACTTTACTGTTTAACAAGTTTTCTTATCCTACTAAAACTTCGCGGCTACTCTTGAAAAATGGCTCGGGTCAACTGTTTATCGGCGCACTGACCAATCAAAAGCAAAAGTCATCAAAATCTAGTAGGTGCACTATAGAAAACACTTTATAGAAACCAAAGATTTCGGGATGATTGAGTCTTCTGTTATATGGACATACGTTGCTGTTGTTTATGTTGCAGCTTCATCACAGAAGGTCGTCGATACACTGTCCTGTACGATGTTATAAGACATATCATGCCGCTAGTATACCTTTATTTGTTAAATGATTTGTTTGTAACAATATTAGTTTTTGAAAATGTCTCTGTCCGTCGGACTGAACGGGTTCAGCAGACTGTTAGTTAATAACTAGGCATATGTTTTCAAAAGGGTACATGTCTGCGAAGAACATACTGGTATAATCGAACCCTTTCACCCGAGATCACAGCCGATCTATTTCTAAATTGCGCATGTGCAATAGTTGGTTAGTGATTCGCACCGAACTATTTGCTTTAGGAGTTTAAAGGAGGAGTAAAGGAGCATCGAAACGCCTGTCTATCATTGGAAGTCGCCTAAAAAGAAAATTAACATATACATACTTATAGAAAGTTCATTTTATTATGCCTCACTTACAACATCACTTATGTATTTGTGCAAATAGATGCGTTGCTTATTTAGTATAAAGTCAGCAAAACGAACACAACCTAGTAACATACCCGAAAAGTTTCTGTTACAATCTTTTACTGATTACAACGTATGGCCACATCTGTCCTCTTTACTGGTCGATGAAGAACCTGATCGGGTGGTACGATGTTAAGAGCAAGATCAAGCAGAAAGTCCTCGACTCGCATAAGGTACCGGACCCTGTGTCAGATGCGTCGAACGACCCTCATGTGGCAAGCGTTTAAGGTTCATTGTGCTTTGCCAGGTAAAATAGACCACTCTAGCCTTTTCCGTCATCACTCACAAGCTGTACGACAAGGTGTACTATACGGGTACGATTACCATGCGGAAACCGCTGATTATAAAGACAACCGTTCCGTGTGCTGTTGGGGGCGAAAATCAGTTTGGAAAGGAAGGAGGCATCGCTTAGAAGCAACTTGGCTTTGTTACCCCTCAACCCGATACTGTGCCTCAGCCTAGACGACGTTTTTTTCTATCGCTTTGATTCTTCCTCGCCCTTCCTTCTTCAGACGTCCCTAAACACTAAGGGTGATGAAGCTAGCTAACGTTAATTAACTAGTTTAGATAAGCTGAGGTCGCGTCAGCTCATTGAGTTGATTACAGATAATCTTTCGCTCTACCTATCGCTGGCGAGATTTCAAGGGATTTTGGCGTTGCAGTGAGTGTGTGTCTTCTACCGTTAGTGCCCATCGACACGTGTTGGATGGTTGTGACAACAACTGCTAAATTCCACCTCCATATCGCCCTCGGTTTTTGCCTTCAATCCTACATCTTTCAACGTCGTGTCATTCAGTATACGTACATACAGTGCAGACTATGGGCGACATCTAACGATATATTTGTCACTATCTGTCTATGAACGAATAAAGGTTCGAGTCGTGATACCATATGCAGACTGCGGGTATATTTATAAACATCTACTCAGGAGAGATGACGGACAGAAAAAAAATATTTTAGGGAAACAGAACAGTGAACTTAAGAGAGTGAAGAAACAATGAACATTTGCCAGGAGAATTAATTGCTCTAATAGACTGGTGGTATGAACTGTTTCTAGTGTATAGTGGTGCAAACCCACAACTCAGATTGAAGAACAGGCTGCGACGAATTTTCAATGGAGTGTGAACATACGCTAGCTAATGAGCCATATATTGAGGAGTTTATTATCGCTTTTCGCTTTAGTGCTTGTCGCTTGATGTGAATCAGTAAAGCAAGAGTCGGCGGTCTATGGGGGTATCATATAATAAGTGTGCCGGTTTAGCAGAAGTAATAGTGAGAGTACCTGTTCGATTGGAAAATAGACGAGCATACCAGAAACGTGTGTATTTATATAAAGTTTAGTTGTGTTGATGAACGTTAATTTGTCTTTGGATAATAACAGCGTTTAAAAACACATCTCTCTTATTACATTTTACATATTTATTGTCAAAAATGAACTTGACTATCCCAGGAATAATTTAAGATAGATCGTATTCTATGTACGATGGTAAGAGTTTTTATGCATTACTTCTTTCAGTTTCGGCTCAGAAGTTATCGACCGTGCTCTCGGTGGGCGAAGGTGGCTCAGAATTGCGCCCACTTAATTATCCCCAGCCAGTGCCGGCACACCTCAGCCAGCTTTCAGTGCAAATCTTCTCAGGCGCTGGACACCGGATAGAATTTGTCACGCGCAACTATACTGGTGAATAACTTAATACACTAGATTTACCTGCAGACTTCTTGTCGGGCTCGTTAGTAAATGGCCCTTTACGGGGGGGGGGCACAACATAAACTGAAGCATCCTATTCGGTTTCCTGGCAGTGGTAAATTCTAGAGGGAGTGAACGATGCAAGCGTCACAGACAGATGAAAAGACACGTACATCAGATTTAGTAATATGAATAGTACATTGAATAAGAATATTTAGGTAATGCAATGGATTGAACGGTAGTTCGAAAATGAAAGTGTCTAGTGAAATGCGCATCAGAAGGACGCTTATTAAAAACCTGTTGAAAATAATACTTTTTTTACTCAAACCACCAACTTCCATAGTGCCTAAAATAGGCTTGTTGGTTTCTGGCAATCTAAGACCGTGCATTATCCCTGCTAAGACGGTGCTATAGTGATTTCTGTTAAAAGTATTATCGTCCGATACAAGTTACTTCTCAAGAAACCAAAAAGTTATTTATACACGAAGTCCACTCAACCTAGTTGCGCACCAATTTAATCAGAAAGTGACCGACAAGGGCACTCTCTCGGCAAAGCCGTCACACGAACAGTGTCCTCCACTTTTTTCCAAATCACAAAAATTATAATCCTTTCTTTTATAAGCTAACTATCGCGAGAGGCATTTCTACGTATGGCGTACCTAAAAGAGATAATTTCCTATTGATCTGAAGTAAAAGCTATGGCAGATATTAAAGGATAACGATTTGACGATCTCTAGTGGCTGCAGTCATCACAATGTTGACTGTTGTTAGTTGAAAGCAACCGCATAACATGCATGCTTTCTTTTAACAGAGTACAATGATTTGTAGTGAAGTACAACAGAAGGTATCATCGCTGTAATATCTTATGTCTATAGTATCGGCTTGATATCCGCTGGAAGGACCTAAGTCATTCCAGTACCTCAATTAGTGGTGAAGTTCCGTTTTAGGATCTACAGTTGTATGCACGATGCTCTGGCGTGTTCCATAAAAATATTTATAGTAATCATTTGTGTTCAGGCCGTCACATGGGCAATTTGAAAAAAATCATCTTCGAGGATCCGTTTGCCCAATTTCACAAAACTCAGAAGGTCTTCCGTGCTCAAGATTACAATCGGACAAGGTGAGTCTTTGTATTTCGCGGGAAAGCATATATGAGATAGAACGTATTCCTTTCGCCGTAGAATGGGGTTACCTTTCTTTTCAAGCTCTTACTTATCAGAATCACTTACATAACAGCGTTTGAAGAATTCACTTCAAGCAAATCTTCAAATTCAAATAGCATGTCGTGCACACCTTTTGCACTTGTAGCGAGGCTTTTCAAACAACTACCGCTAAAAAGAAAAGCACCTAGCAATTTTTTGCTTGCTACTAGGCCCGTTCTAAAAATCGGATCCTAATCCATGGCGTTCCTTCTCCCTCTGCCCGTCTTCTTGTCTCCCTCTAGGCGGGCGGTAGCGACTTCTAATTCTATTCCGACATCACAGTGGCAAAGCGTGGTCTATATTCCATCTGACGGCAACGCCTCCTCCGGTGTCTGGTCCAACCCCGAGTCCAATATGGACTCCACCTCTACTAAGCTCGTCACCATCAAAAGCTTGCTTAACGGAATGGTTATCAACTACGAACCGCAGGATAACTTGCTTATTCGCTACAAGGTCAAAAAAGGTACGCAAACGGTCGACCGTCAAATACCACACAAATAAATGACGGACCCCATCCAGTCACCATCAACTTAAAAAACTTCCAGGTTTTCAGTTAAGCACAACGCGGTTTTAGTTACAACTTAACTGTGTACCACTTTTATGTGTTATGAGGGCAGGGAGCGACTGTTTCGTCTTTGTCGAACAAGTGTAATTCGGTGAAAAGATGGCCAAAGATTTGTACTATAAGAACGCAGTCTGCATGAGATACACGACGGAAATTTAGGCTGTAACAATCTTCGTCTGCTAGATAATATTTGTTGAATGAGGTCATTTCCAATTACAGATGAAAACTTTACGTCGGTAGCCGTTAAGGGGTTGGATGTACCGGAGTCCAGCTTTGCTCTGCCTACCTGTAGGCCTAATCCGTGCTTCAATGGCGGCCGTTGCATAGAAGAGAGTGGTCGCAACGTATGCAAGTGCCTGTCTGCCTTTAATGGTACGAATTTAACTATCACAACGCCCTGTTTCCCTTGACCACAACCAATGATTGGTTTAGAGGCCATAATTATCATTAAAGGAATGAAACGAAAAAAAATAATGAAAAGATCTTGGACCGCACGTACTTCTACAAAGGAGTTATTACTTCGGATGCTAGATAGGTTCTGGATCTCATTTGACTGTGCATCATCAGTAGAACACGTTACGTATGCGTATGTTTCATCTGGTTAAATTCATCACCTTTCGAGACCATACTCTCGCTTTGGTGTACTTCGTCAACAAGTGCATGTTAGAACTTCGTAGTTGCATTACCCGGTATGCTATATATTACAGATGAGGTTTATAGCAGGATATTTCGTTGCCTCTCTATATTGCCATTGGGCAACTAACTGCTCGAGCTCATTTGTCGCAGTTGTAAACTTCTTGCTAGTGAGTACGTTCAGTAAATAAGTAACTGCAGCTAGTAACAGAGCAATGGTAACCCTTTACTGGTATATAAATATGAAATTTTAATGAGTTCTCCCGTATGTATGTTTGACTAGAATAGTTAGGGAAGGTTATCATAGATAATAAGCAGCAATGACTTTCATTGCATATAAAAGATTTCTCTATAAATTTGGCACTCGTGTCTACGTGAATTAGCAGAATAGATCCATTGCTAAAGGAGACCTGCGTTACTTTGATTTGCCCCGTGATATCTTAGTGGGTAACGTATTTGCCTGCTAGTCTTAGGTACACGTTGTCTCCTAGGTTCGAACCCAGATGTACATGCACTTCGTTCCGTGCTGGGGGCTACCCGCCTGCTGGAATCCCTAACGATAACGCCAAACGTCAAACTCGAAACATAGAGAGAGGCTTGGTTGTATTATGACACGGGCACCAACCATAGGAAACAACAGCCTCGTCCCGGCTGGGTGCCTTTGTCTTGAATGCGGAAGCTTTACGTCAGGTAGGCTTGCTTAAACGGTGCGTCCGGGAGCTTCTGTTATTGAGAACTTGTGGTTACAAACGGTTTTGCATGCATTTGCTCTCGGCTTAGAATAATGACTTCAGTTCTTCTCGAGAGTCAAGCGGGATTCGACCGAAAGTAATCAGGGGCAGCCCGCGAAGGTTTGACTTATTTTGCTTGGCTTCGATCTAATTCCTGCTGGCCTAATTGCTATTTGCAGTGGATCTATTTGTCGCGCAGATTGATGACGAAATGTAGCAAGTTCTGAGAAACTCGATTGCCAATGAAGTTCGTTCTCGCGCCGCCTTTTACCTTACTACAGAAATTTTATCGTAGAAGTTGGTTCGATTTTACCTACGCATGTTGTCAGTGACACGCGAAAACAACAGTATCTGAAGTTGCTTTTAGAATACCGGTCTTCCAAGTATGAGTAGGTAACAAATGTCTAAAATGAATTTTTGGAACATGTAGAATATAAGTCATCCGACAAATTCATGACGAAGTGTCTTAGTTATATCATAGCTGTGTCAAATTGTGAGGTAAAACTTCGTTTTAAAATTCGCTTCGCTGTCCACTAGGTCGATTTTTCCTACTTCTACAGGGAATATTATCTATTACTGCATGCCAGTACACTTTTGAAACTTTTATATGAACCGGTAGTTCTATTCTTGTCCTACTACCATGAAGGTCACTGAATTTTTCTTACTGACGATCGTTCAGGCAATTGGTTGGCCATCTGAATGAATCAGTGCTTTAAGCTCATTTTTTCGCCCTCTTTTTTGTCCTCCAACTTGTCCTGTCAATTTTTATCTATATACACATACAGACATATATAATCGCTCCAAACTGGCTAGTTGAAAAATAGCTGACGGTTTTCAAGGTAAATATTTTGAAATATTATTACCAAACTATACATTGGCACCTTTTTAATCAATAAACTTGTGCCATTTTTTGGCTAACACCAATAATCTATCACTGTAGAGTGTCTTTTATTTCCGTGTGAAAAACTGCGGCAAGTGATTTTTCCATCTTTTCGCTAAAAATCAAATAAATAATGTCGCTAATATTAGGGTTCTGCAGAGGCCAAAACAGATGATGGTGGTAGTGGTGCGAGATCGGGGCTATGTGGGGCATGTATTAAAATTTCCCATTCAAACTTCCACAATTTTTGTTTGGTAGCAAAAGATAAATATGGTCTGGCATTGTCATGGTCGAAAACTATGCTTTTTGTTCTCTAGTCTGTTGATAGTTTTCAATGGTGATGTCACTACACATATCACTTACTACGTTCCATTTTATATATATAAATATATATATGGTACGTGCATAATATATATATATATATACATATCAGTTGCCGATGTAAAACTTGTTGTCTAAACACTAACGATTTGCTTATAGCGCAACTGAAAGGTACAACTTTACTGAGAATCCTCTGATGTGTGCACACCGTACGCTCTCAGGCACCATCAACAAGTACAATATAGTACTAGTCGTTTCTACATAGCTTTAAAAAGAGGCACAAGGTGCTTTAACTCTTCTCCTCTAACCTTATCAATGTTAGCCAATGTTAGACTATACCCACAGCTGTTAGACAGGACCAGTTCGCATTAGTCACAAGCGAAAAAGTCCCTGCTTATTGCAGCCCTTGTTTAGGCGTGTTGGAATGTTCAGGCTTTTCTTTTCCTCTCTTTGGCGGCTCGAGCCCAAAAACCGAGCAAGCCTAAGGTTCGACATTTCAGATGCCACTCTTGTCGAACGATCAGACTGGCGTTGACAAATACATGCCTTATGGGTTTAAATTAAACATTTTCTAAGGTATGCATAGTATTTTTTGAAGCACCACTAACAGCCTTTCCGTATTTGAAAGCTAACGAGCGCTCGTTAGGGAGCATCGGGGGAAAGAATATCAAACTATAGAGCATATTGCGGCTGGTCAATGTAGCGACCTCAATGTACAATTAAAAAAATCCTCAAAAAACGCGTTGGCCAGAATTTCAACGCATCAGCCTCTTCGACCACTTCATTCTGGTTAAGAATGCTAACCCTACCTAACGAAAATCCTAAGCGAGGCGAAAGAATAGCTTTCGCAAACAGCAATTTCATAATGATAGGCAAAAATGCTAGTACTTCACTCAGAGGTTCTTACTAACACCTTTGCTCTTGAGAGAATGTGAACAAAAAAAATTTGAAAAATAGTAGGGTGACTACCTCCTAATGCAAGTTTCATTAGGCATGTATAATTAAGGGAAATCGTATACTGTTTAAGGCACGAATATTTTGCAGAGGCAAAATATTTTTGGAAGATTCAATGGAAAGTCTTCGTACCACATCGCCTTTGTAGAGGGAAAAAAGCTTGTAGGGGCTTGGATGTTTTCTTTGATCCAGAATTTCTTACTATTTGGTACTCTAATCAGCAATACGACTTAGGTCTAAGAGGGTTCTAACTACAGAAGGTGAACTATCTTCTATCTAAAGTGCACTATTGTTATATATTCACTGTCGAAATAGCATCTATAGGGCAACGTAATGAATAGGTTGAGCGATTAACTTCATCCGCAATCGTATTTATACGTACGGTTCTAAAGTATGGTGAATGGTCATGCAAAGGCAACCCACCTTTGCTATCTACGGTAACATTCAAGTTCGGTTGGGACGACGATAGTAAATTTTCATAGAAAGTAAGATGCATCGGGACGCTCTACGTTCCTATAGGGCGTACTTGGTTTCGCTACCCTGAACTCCGGCAATTCTAAACAGCTTCGTGTCGTCTGCGTACCAGAAGCTTTTCTCCGAAGATTAGAGTTCATGTGGTACTGTAACGCCGCTCAGCGTTTATCGATGCACCGTGCTCTCTATAAAAATTATTCCACGAAGCTGTCAGTGGTCTAAGTCGGTTTTGGTTCAACAAGATCTTAGTCCATGACCATGCTCGCTATAGCTAGATAATGGCGTGCACATTACGCGGTCCCACGGGATACAAAAGCAGTTTCTGAGGTCTTTTTCTATCGAGACGGTTTATTGTTCCAAGTTCCGGTTGGTCGTCAGCGAGCTAGCGACCTAAACATTAATAGTTACATTGCCTTCTTTTTACTTTTATTGAAGGTCGATCATAAGTCGACAATAGATATGTTCGTACACGACACTCTACAGTATGCAAACCGCTTTGAGGGCATATTAGCACATTAGGCGCTCTTTTATAAAAGTTTATTGAGGATCGGAGCGCATGTCCCACGGTCTACAACAAAGCCCCTGTAGAGTGTACATTTAACGATTTTGTTCAGAAATTTCATGTAGTTATTTGTATCCTGCGAAGTTATCAAATGTGATCTTATAATTTACTTCGATACAAATAAATAATTAGTACTATTACTTAAGCATATATTTCTACATGTGCGTATATATACTGACTTCTTATAATCTATTTGCTTTTTGTGAACGATTATAGGTGTTTTGTGTCATTTGAGTCCTTGCGATAATGGCTTCTGCGAACGAGGTGTATGCCGAGTGAACGAAAGTACTAGAATGCCCGAATGCTTCTGTGAATCTGGATATATAGGTGAGACAGTCATCTATGGACTTTAGTCAGTTACTCACAAAAGCCTTTTTCCGCTTCTACCATTTAAAGCAAGAACAGAGCAATTGTCAAGAGGGACATCAAAGAGTTAGTACAAGTCCCAACAAGCTTGCCGTATGCTCTCGAGTTAGGACTATAGGCACATACGTGCATACGGACTAGACGTCTTTGTTCGCAGAAAGCCCGAGCGCGGCCGATTCCCCCATGGAGCACAGAGGAATGGAAAACGGGGTTTGAAGAAAATTGAGTTACTTAGCTCAAATTATGTAGTAAACAGATTTTATTCTATCTGCCGTATTTAAGTGGTACTGACCGGCTTACGAAAAAACCTTGAAGACCTCTTTGCATGCTTTGATTTCCTGGTAGTAATTTACTTGCTTTCGTTTGATGGAAATTACCATTTTTCTACATAGATACAATTGTCATCATGATCATGATCATCAAAACATGTTTCGGAATATTTATGAAAAGTTAGAGGGTGGCAACTCCACCAGCCCAGGTGAACTTGAGTTATATGCAGGCTAACTACGGATATACAAACATGAAGGAGTCGTTTTATAGAATAAGCAAAACGAGCATTCCGTTGGGCTGAGAACATATTGCAAAGGGAAAGAATCGCCACTTGACGACACAACGATTTGTATAATCCACTCACTATTTCACGGAGCCCGAATGACTCTGCTAGGGCAGAAGGATGAGAAACCCGCAACGGGCAGACCAGCTCGCGCGAGCAGACACATTCTGATTGTTTAGGTAGAGGAGCGCTTGCGCTTTGTGCCTTCGTAACTCGTTGTCCTGTCTGCACAGACAAATGATCATGTCTGTCACGACTGAGGGTGAATTTGCGTCCCGTGCAGCGTCGTGTAATGAAGCAGCACAGCAGTGCTCTCAGCCCTAGAGCACAAGACGGCCGGCATCTACCAGCACGTTTTATTTGCCTAGTATACCGTATTGAACGCTGCGTCGTGACAACATCAAATTCAATCATCAGATCAACGCGTACACATGTATAATTATTACCTAAATAGTTACCTACAAAGTGATCAGTATCAAACACAATATAGTTCTACAATGTAGAATTGTCTCGAAACACCCCGGGCAAACGTTTCATTCGCTTAGGTCGACTTGAACTATCGCCAGAGCTTGCGTTTCTACGAGTTATATCAACGACACGGATAACGGTGACTAAATAACGAATGGTTTCATTTATGTGGTTATCTATGTTGGAATATATAAAGTTGAAATCAGACAAAAGAGCAAACAGAGCAGTATTACCCAATAAGCACAGCGTGTTCCGAGTGCCATCTTTTATTCGTATTTCTTACGAATTTACTATACGCTATTTACGATAATCTTGTCTATATGTCCAACAGTGTATTAGGTTCTTACCATTATGCTTTGTGTGCCTCATTTCTCAACTCTGTATGTAGTTGCATAAGAGTTGAGCCACAGCGTACATATAATACCCACCCTTGCCTGATAGGCTCTCTTTATCTTTGATTACGCTAACGAACGCTGCGTCCTTAAACAACTGGCATTTTTACAACAATATATCCTATCTAATGCATGCTTATTATGTGATCCTGTCAGCTCGTTTGTGAATGACACCATTTTTTTTTCGGCTCGCTATTGGTTATTAGCTCTTGACATTGCTATAAGTAATACCTTACATGTACATAAAAATTACTTTCCTGTACCCTTTCGGTCGCTTCTTTGTAGCACCTTTGAAGACCTTGTTCCATTTTCTCATGTAGGTGTGCGTTTTTTTTATGTGTTGAGACACGGTATTAGTTATTGAAGCCTCTCTACTCCCGCTATTTACATAGGCTGTATTTACCGATGAAGTTTCACGCGATACTTCAAAGCTGATAAAAGTTATAAACGCTAGTATTTCTCGCTACACCTATGTGCGTGTCGCATCTTATATGTATCTGGACTAATTTGCGTATCGTTTTAGTTAGCCTAAAAATAGAAAAACGTCGAAGGGGGAACCGCAATGAAAAATTTCATTTGCTGGTACATAAAGACTGCCTGTGTGTTCTACATTTCTCGTTTTTTAACCTTTTTCACCTAGCACATCGGATCAAAAACAAATTTCCGCCCCCCTTAGACTGAACAGAAATTACTAGATATCCTTATCCTTGTACCATTAACTTATTATGTTATGTGCGCCCCGTCATTGTCTGCTACTTTTTTCATTTCTCTACCAAATGGTAGATGCCGTCTCCCTAGAAGGTAGCGGATTTCGCCTTGAAGTAGTTTTCAGCTACCTTTCAAGTTATTGATCCGTGTTGAAAATAGCTTCCGAAGCAAGGTCCAGATGATGTGAAGAATACAATCGAAGCCCAGAAGAGCAGTTTTGACGACGTTTGCTGTGTGAGGCTTCGCGTTATCATACAGCAGGACGATCGGACGCCGTCTGTCGAATTTTTTTGAATATCCTAGTTGCTTGGACACAACGGGGCCAAATAAACAACAATTGGCAGGAACGAATTCCCAGTCAGTCATAGCCGTTGCAGTCCCACCAAACGTAACACATAACCTTTTTAGGGGTGAACATCTGGCTGAATCGTAGGCCTTAGCCTCCTTTCTGGAACCACCCATCGCGATTTTCGGTTTACTACTACTACTTTTCGTCACCCGTTACAATTCTATGCAAAAATTAGTCATCGTGATAGCGTGACTCTCCACATCGAGCTAGACTTTGAAACGCAGCATTAAACCGTAATCCCTGGTTGGATTTAGAGGGTTGATGAGGTATCTAAGCTCCAACTTTCTGTATCAACCCTAGCGACTTGCGATCACTCATGACGATTGTGTGGCTACGCTCCATCTTTTCAGCCAGTTCCTAATTGTTTGTCGGCGGTTTTCCTTCGAAAATGTCTGCAGATGGTTATCATCAAACGCAAACGATCGGCCAAAACTGGAGGCATCATTTAGGTCCCGTGTACCGTTTTCGAACCTGACGAATCACTCCTGAACACTCCATACACAAGGCAAATATCCTGGGCTGTTTTGGCAGCGTTCTGGCCTCGATCAAATGCATAGTATAGAAGATATCGAGAATGCACTCTGTTAGTGCGTTCACAGCACCTTTTCCTAATAGGTCTAAAATGTGTCACTGGCTGATCATGGAGCTCTCTGAGAACTGCTGTTTTGTTTGATCACTGATTTTAGGTAAACGGTGTGAGCAGAGACGGTCTCCGTGTGAACAAAACCCATGCAAGCACGGCACGTGCAGAGTCGTCACGCGACCCGGAAGTGTGGTCGACTATGACTGTGCCTGCCCTTACGCCTACGATGGTGAGTACTGACAGTCACATAGGGCTATTCTTGGCCAGTATATTAGATTGTAGCCTATTGAGAGCAGATAACGCTAGGACAGCATTAGATTACTAACTATATCAACTCGCACATGCTCGCAGCCTTCCATTTTTTTCATTACTGTGAAATATATAAAAAAGATGAAGATGGCAGGAACTCTTTTCGAAGCACCTTTGGACCTCGCTTGCCCAGTATATTTTTATCTCCCGTTTGTGTTATAACACAACTAAAGTTGGTATCCGCTTTTTGATAACTGAGAATTGATGACAGTTCCACAAGGATAGCATTAACGTGTAAGCTAATATGACCAACTGGAATTTCATAGCAAACGTAAAGTCATTAAATGTAACTTTATTCTTATTTTAATTACAATCGCTTGTCTAACCGTTTCTTTAAAAATCTGATTTTATTTGACTTTCACCTGTCTTCTTTCTACACTAATCCTCACTACAGCTTTGTAGCGTTGCCTTAAAAAACCATGAAAAGGGACGCTGTGCACCTGCGATTCGAAAGTACCACACAAAGCGGTATTACTACATGGTATATTTAGTACTTTGCTAAAGCACACACTCTGTCATCTGTCCTCCGCTTATTCTTTCGTTACGCTTTATTAGAGTATATGCAGCTCTATATGTACAACGCCCCCAGCGCTCTTTCGTCCTTCCGCCCTTGCGTTTTCCCACAACCTCGCAAAGATCAACCACGAACAAAGATCGTTCCTTATGGTCCACACGTCAGCGTATATATGACGCTGACGTCAGCCACGCATCGCAGGTCTACCAAATGGAGCTGGCTGTAACACATCATTGAGACGAACTGGAAAGCACTAGGTTCCGACCTATAGTAGGCTCGCGACTATTCGATCGTGTGCTTGACAGAAACAAAGTGCGGAAAGCGTTAACGGGGAGACAATGCTTTCTTGGGAGTGATCTTTTTCAAAGGTACTACCAGAGGCTCTCCCTTTCCATCCATGGCAGCTTTTTGATTCTTGAACCGACGATCTAGCGCCATTGAAGGGTGATGGATCGAACGGCAATCTACTAGTGAAGCTTTTAACAGTCGACACTGAGCTGAAGGCAGTGGTAATAAACGCTATCCAGTAGCGGAGTATCGCTAGCTTAGCTTCGTCTAGCAGGGCCTAGCTGTTACCTATTACGTTAGGCCCGGGATGTCGAGAAAGCAAGCGATGAACACGACAAATCGTGCAGGCGAAGAAATGCTGGCTGGAGCTAAACGATGCGACACAGACAACTAAGCGGCGAGCAAACCAAGTTGACTACATTCAGCTTGCTGTTGTTAGTGACGCTGGATGCTGATGCCGCCACCCCCTTATCTTACGTTCACCCCTTAACACAGACGCAAAATTTTGAGAGCGGAGCTAAGCCAAAGAATGGAAGCTGCCTGATCTCATCGTGTTTATGCAACTGCTGCCCCTCTTCATTTCTCTGGGGTTTTGAACTGTGTACACATAATAGATTTCGGCGTCCAAGAACATTCCTTGACCTGGGTACCATACGATTGGGCTTTGTGTTGAATTACTTGACTTGTAATTTTTATGTGCGATTAAGCTAAAATATATTGTGCTATCGGACCGTTTTGAAGCAAAAATTCGATGACACATTTTTTATACTTTAAAATAATAGAATTACTACACTAGACATGTGCCATTTTAATCGATGCCCTTTTGCCACTTTTGCTAATATTATAGTCTCATCACCGTAAAACTTGTGGCATCTGGGCCAAGAAGTGGGTCGAGTGATTTTTGCATCTCTCCATTGAAATTGAATTTCGCCATTGGGAGCGACCGAATTCGTTGAAATTTCCAATCTATGTTCTCTTGATTTTTGTTGACGTAATCTGGCATTATCATGATAGAAAATCACACCTGTTTTTTTGTGTACAAAATAAGGTCAATTTTTTTCAATAAACTGCTGTAATCTTGTTAGCTATCGTTGACAACAGAGGTCCGAACTAATCGCTTAACTAGGCAGTAATTCATCAAATGCGATTCCTATCCAATCCCAGAAAAAACATCACGTTCTTCAACGTCAGTTTGGGCTTTATCACAGCTTGTGGAGCATATTGTTATCGTTGTCTATAGTCTATTGCTCCATTGTTTTATTATTAGTTCGATTCTGTTTCACAGATCAAAGTATGATCTGGCAAATCGTTTTGCGTCAGTTTGTACGATGCCGATACATCGAGCTTCTTTTCATAGTCAGACTATTGTAAATCATTGCTTGGTCGTAAGTGTTTAGTTGTTTGGTAGCTTTATAGTTAGATACGTGGCAGTCTTGCCCAACTTTTACAATAACTTCATAAACTTTTTTTAAAATTTTTTTTTGTATAAATGGAAGACTACTTTCAAAAGCATTGTTGTTTTTTCAGAACGAAATTGAATCAACCATTTTTGGGCTGTTTCCTGCAGCGGTTATGAGCAACGCGAATTATAAGCCTGAGCAGCATTTGTGCCTTTATCGTTAGAAAGCATTGTAAAATGTAATAAATTTCCGCAGACACGTTTTTTGTTTCTTTAAAATGGTCGATCTTAAGCCCTGACATATAAGGTGACTTAAAAGCCATTTAGGTGGAAAAACACTCAATGTTTTTTTCAAAACCCAGTAATAGTAAAATGCGTTAGGAAAAGTCGTGTCAAAGGAATCACATTATGATATATATATATATATATATATATATTTGCAGGGGAACCGTGTTACGAGAGATCTATCATTTCAGAATGACTGCTCTTTCAAGAGAATACTTACTCCGAAAGAGACTCCCCTAATGGGTCTTATGAATAATTTGCATCTCTATTTATATAAGTAGTGCGTTCAGTAACACTTGAATACCTCGAACGACTGAGATTAGAGCAGAAGCACACAAACAAGCACAGCTATTTGCCCAACGTGTTGAAATATTCGACATGGCTCTTGGTGAAGTATCTGTTAAACCTGTCGCAGTAAAACTGCTTAGACGGAAAACAAGGCTTATCTCGGAAACTGCGTGTAAACCCATCGGGGTGACCAGCTGGGTGATTCTTGAAATAGGATTTGAATAAATTGTTTATCTATGCAACGACACGAAGACATAGATATTTGTCAAACTATTCGAGAGATACTCGCTTAGCACAGGCACAGATACGATTCGAGATACAAAAGCATGAACAGTAAACCGTCCAACTGTGATATCGGTCAATAATTGACATCCTGGCTAAGACGAAATAAACGGCGCGAGAACGAAAGTAGTGTTATCGATTCTTGTCGATTTTTGCGTGACGTAAAATGAAAACAATGTTGGACGCCTCATTCTATTCCAAACCGGTATCTCTTTCCAATAAAAGAAATTGCGCAGGATGAGCTGGCTTGCTCCACAATCAAAACTTCGCATCGTCCGATCCGCTGAATAGTATCTTGTATGTTACGGAATCGGAATTTATTTGATGCTCAATGCTAACTTATATGCATTTGCTTAGCCATTTCGTTTAACATGTCCCAGAACAGTCAGGTTCATGCTGAAACACTGAAAAAATCGTAGACCCGGCAAGGGCAGGCATATTTAGAATGCCTAAAACTTACAAATATAGAACGTGCTTTTTTTTCTTCAAGTTTAACCTAATCACTACAAAACAGTGTCGTCGTTAGCTCAAACATATTGTTTCCACAGAAAACTATTGAAAGATTTGAAGATGTGTTGGTTTCTCATCTCGCGTTTGGTTATTCGAGCGGGTAAAATGTGTGAAAAATGTTCCAAATTAGCATTATTTTTAGGTAGCGGAACGACCGCAATGAGATCGTAGATCAACCGCGGTTCAACGACGGTATAATTGCAATAGGAACACAAGATGATGTACAGGGGGTAACAATTCATAGGGTGGCTACCAGGATGCAAGACGAAGTCATTTGACGACTGCACTGAAATTAAACAACGAGTACATGGATGAATAACAACCGCACAGAAAAACTCAGACTTCTTCAAAAGATAGTCCAGTGAATTGGAAATGTCCTTTTTTAGCCAGCCTGATATAGTGTAGTACCAATTCAAGGTCATCAATGAAATTGTTCCCTGAAAAAAGACGCTTCCATGTATTATATCTTTACAAGTAGTTTTGTGGGTCAGTACAGTGCTAAAAGATAAGCTTTGCTAGAACTGGATTTCGCAAACAGAGGCCTATTTGCACGTTTTCATTCTGTTTACAGGACGAAACTGCGAGCATCATCATAAGCTGATTCGGACACCACTATCAGAGCGTATGATAAAGGAGCCATTTTGGCTAGGCTTGATTACGGTTGGAACTGTGCTCCTTATCATCTTAATGGTATACTGCGTCAAACGGAAGTTTGCGGATAAAATCGAAAAGTTCCTGGCAGACGAGATCGAACGTTCCAAGAACAGTAAGTTACCCTGTCCACTAGATCCTAGACCTCTACTCAGATACCAACTATCCTGTATTAAATGGCGCTCGAGACAAATCGGTTTCCAACTCATATACTCCGCCAAAAGACAGAGTTTTCGCTCTAGCTTTGCCTTTGCCGACATCTTGATAAATCAACCGTACCTTGAAGCTGTTCCTACACGTCTGCTTTTTAATCACCTCGCTTACTAGTTGAGCCCCTCAGTTGTCATTCCTTTAATTACGTGTTAACGCATCAAGGTAAACAGTGCAAACAACTCGGTATTTTGAGAATGTGTATCTTTTGTTCAGACAGAATGAAATATGTATTTCTGATGCGTATCGAAAAATTATTGGGCTCCATTAGATGGCGAAATGGCAATTTTTCCATGACGTATCCCTTCCCACTGAGCGAGTCCTGTGTTGCACTGGTGCTCCCAGACATGTGTCATGTAGAATGCTTTCGTATAGCTTAGAAAACGATGTATCTAGTTTAACCTGCACTATGAAAACTGATAACGGGTTAAACTAGTTATAGTTCGTTGTAGTGATCCGTCCTAGCCGTCCACGTTGTCCCTAGGGCCGTAGTTCATCTGTGCGCTAGCTGCTGTAAGCCACAAGCCACACCAGCCCGGACGGAGATATGGTGTGAGACGGACGCGTGTCGCAGGAGTTACCACAACCAACATGAGATCTACCCTTACCTCCAACTATTTCCTCCGCCACCCTCCTCCCTATGCCGTACTGTGTACCCCAACAAAATACTTCTTGGGACCATCTCAAATCATGTGACCTAAATTTAGACTTCTTTCGATGTCATTAACCTCGATTTTTCTTCTCAAAAAGTTACACAGTCCACATCGTAAAATTAGCCACCTTTATGTCGATCACGTAGAATGCAATGCATCTGTTTCGATCGTCAAACTGACGATGCCGACGTGGTGAACTATGGGCCTTTTCAAAGTGAAAACAATTCACTCTGTATGGCCTTGTTCCGCTAACCCATTGTCGAGAATAACTAACGCACACCCCTGCTTCTTCCTTACAGTCCAAAGCCATTTTTTGACCTCTAGTGTTACGGCCTAAGGCTTCCTCTATCGATCTTGGCCAACTGAGCCTCCAGTTATTTTGATCTTGCCATCAGTTCTTTCCTTGCTTTAATTCCTCCCCTTAAGCACTTTTGTCCTGCTTCACTCCCACTGTCCACACCTTTTAAGGCCTCAGCTATTTCCTTAAGGCAAGTTTTCAATCCTGTGCATCAGTATGATAACCGTAGGTCACTTTGCTTGATAAAGGTGGCCAACATTTACGAAACCCGAAATCTATATCAGTTATCATCATTATATACTACATTATGGGTTGCAAAAAACCCACTAATGCCACAAATATGAAGAACTCAGTTTTTATGCCCAAGTTTCGATGCAAAATCATTCGCCACGTAGGTGCCCGCTATCTACGTGTACTGCTAGAAAAGCCAAAATACATAAGAACAACGTATCAAAGACTAGCCTAGATTATAGGCCGCAAGAGAAGGCCTTCCGAGCAGGCTTGCTGGACGCAGTTGATATTGTCGTGTCGGCTTCGGCATTCTTTTCTATAGACCCTCCGTCGCCACAGGCAGCTCGCTACAGCGTGGGCTCCGCGAGGCCGTCTCTCACGCCAGTCTCCACATCGGCCGTGCCAGCAAACACACGAAGCCTGAGTCCCCAGCCGACGCAAAGGTCCAGCTCCTCACTACTTAATAGGTTAGTAGAATGTCTGCTCAGCCCTTGGAGGAACAACGACGCACGCTGCAATGACCCATTAGCTCACTAACCCACTCATATATTCGATATAACACTCAGTCTTATCATTGCTATCGCGATACACGAGGCGCACACATAACTAACAAATTAGTTTACCGAGTCTAGCGTCAATCACCATCTAGCGACTGCATAAAAACAAACAAATCTTCTACGTGGTGATTTCGATATTATAAATGGCCATCTAATGCTACTGATTTACTTCTCGCGTTCACTTTCAGTAATAACCTACTGATATTGTGTCTATTTATCTTTGAAAACATTGAGGTGCAATGTCTCAAAATATAAACTACAATTGTTTATTATTGAATAGTGTCGTTACCGGTGGCTTGATATTCACTAAAAGATACGAGGATGACAAAATTCTAAACCGACGTATAAATCCATAACAAGACGTGTATGCGGATCAGTCAGCACGTGTCGGCCACGTATTTATTTTTTCGTGTTTACTTATCGATAACTGTGCTTCTTTGTGCTTGGGTAGAAGCAAATAGTTGTTGCTGTTTCATTTATATACTGGCTTGCTAGGCATGAATGAGTTCATAGGTCTGGCGCTTAGTCGGTTATGAAAAACATGATCACGCTCGTAGTAGCCCTAAGCGTGGTCACCGGATCACTGAAGTCATGCTTCCCTGCCTGTCGTATGGCAAAACACGATATACTAGACACGAAAGATTTGAAATAAGCACAAGGTATAAATGCATAACATTACATAGCACACGAAAGTATACTGCCAGCTTACTTTTTACCTGCTATTGGCAACAGGCAACAACACGCCGCTTCACAAAGCCAACCGTTGAATTAGCCGAGTTTCCGTCTTTAGTGGACCGAAGCGTATGCTATTTTCCAATCGCAGTTTTCTTTTGTTTCGCTTGTCGAAGACAACTATCATCGACAGTCTTCCTGCCTCCGTTACAACTAAAAATACAGTAGCTACTCTGTATGAGGACGTATCATTGTCCGCGGAACTGAAACACTTTAACTGAGCGTGACGTCGCCATTCTTCAATGCTACTTCAATAGGCAAAAAGTCGTCATTCATTTGTTCCTTTTCAGTTTGTTTGTATTTCACACCTCTACTGGCTTTTATTTTAAAAACTCTTACAGATACAAAAATATAGATATATGTATGTTATAGCTTTTTGTATGATTCCGATGTATCAAGTTATGACGCCAAGTTTCTTACTGAGGTGGTTTGGTCATCGTGCTGGTGGGGTTGTGATCGTGGTGACGGATCAATCTCGGAACGTCGCGACGCGTCGTCCATGTACGCCTGAATCCGTGTCGTTCCATCCTCCACGGTCCTCCGCCTGTGCTCTATTTGGCCATTGCCTTTGTTTGTGCAATTGGGTTGTTTTGGCAGGATCCGACGACAAAGCATTCGCGCAGGAAGCCCAACCCCCCAATGCCCAAGCGGGAACGCCCTCGGTAGAACGAAAAGTGGCAGTGCGTGCGGCACGGGCAGCGCCAGTAGCCAGCAGCTCAGCGTAGCTGGCGCCTCCGCGTCGGCGGCCGCTCAGTATAACAGTAGCGGGAATAACAGCCGCCAGCAGTCAAACACACTTATTGAGGAAGGTATGTGTGTCTTTTCGTAAGCAAGCGAGCGAGTGAATAAACAGTTACCATATCTATGTGAGTATTGGCCAAATCTGGCGGAAAGTTACTCGATTTTCTACCTCGAAAATTGCATTGCATCACTATCGAAACGCTAAAAAAGCGCTTATACGCATCAACTACTTTCATAGTCAAGTCAATTAACCGTTGAGTGCTGTGTCAATTTAACGGTGCGTACCGTTTAATTATCCGTGACATTTCGCAGCTGCAATCATTATCTATGCCATTACCATCATTTCGAACATATGATAATACGACTGCTTGTTTTTTGTGTTGATATAGTACTGCCTACAGCCAGCAGCTCGAACCCGTTTTGCCTCGAGGATATTGTAAAGCGAGCGACGAGTTCAGGTCTAGCGTCAAAGAAGCACTCGCTCAATTCGACCTCCGACAGCGACTGTAATACCAACTCTGCGCAGCGGAAGCCGTCTTTGCTGCACCAGCCATCCTCCTCTGAACGCAGTAAACCTGAAAAGAACCCAGAGACTGCCAAGATTCTCGCCAGTCTCGTCGCCCCGTCCCAGGACACCAAGAGGTACTGGGAAAATGCCGCTCCAGGCAGGAGACGTTGATGCTCGGACACCCTGGACACAAACGAGCTTTAGCGGATGAATCTTATTTTTTGCACGCATCAGATTTTGCAACCGACAGATATACTCGGCCGTTGACAGTAGCTGCAATTGGAATACAGTGGTATTTTTTTCATTCCACGTGAAATGTAACTTATGCTTTCTAACTATTTTCCGCCTTCTAGAAGAATGAGTTTGGACGAGTTCATCCGTCTGAGCGAGAGGAAATTGCAGCATGCGCGTCGCTCAACGGAGGACACTACACCCGGAGACGTCAGCGATGTATCTATTGCCTCCGAGGCGTCCTCCATGGAGACCAGTTTTATGCAGGCTCATCATCAGGTAGGAGAGCAAAAGCGCGAAATATAGGGCGCATACCCTCATGCTAAGCAAATATCAGGTATTTCAGACACTACATTATTTATTCGAAGCCCTTATCATGACAACTGAAGCATATATGTAACAATGCAAAGCTGTACCCTAACTGTATCATCTGCAAAATCCAGACACCAATTTCACTGATACTTAGACGCAAATGGAAGCCACTTGTTCAGTCTTTTTTTTGGCTCAGGAATGTCCCATCTATGATTCATATTAGCATTTTACTATCTTATACTTTGCTTTGCAGATGCGTCCGCACTCGTCAATCCGTGAGCATTCGTTCGAGCGTAGCAACTCCTCCGTTGAAGACCCCGAAGTATCCGGCAGCTCTTTGCTGGCACGTCAGCCGTCGACCACCACGGCTCTTCACTTACGCACCGATCAGTCTCGGGACGGGGATGGCTTCACTTCAGCCTCCGAAAACGAACAGATTCACAAGACCAATAATACCAGCAGTAATCCTAACAGGCCGCCTGTGCGACAGTACAGACTCTACAACACCCGGCAGAGGTAAAGTGATGATAGTAATGTAGCAACCCACTACCATAGCCTTACTATAGTGAAGGATATTCCATACAAATATCTATAGTGAAGGACAACGCATTGTTCGCACTTTTCCTATTTACGTTTTTTTTAATTACTATTAGTCATTGGGAGGTAGCATAATTATCTGGATATTAATTGTTATTGGTATCATTAAGCAGTAGCCAACGAGAAACCCCCACTCTGATTCTGAGCTCCCGCTGTGGCACTCCCCGGGGTTCCTTCGATGCACATTTTTCATCCTCGGAAAGAGACTCCACTGATCAAACAACGACAGCTACCTGCATTACAACAACAGGCGGGCCAAGTCAAACAACTAGTGGTCCACCTGGTAGCGCATTTGCGTATGCTTTAGCGCAGACAGCAGAAGAAATCCCCAGCGCCAACATTCCAGCGTCTCCGCAGAAGGGACCTCTTGGTAGCCCCAGCTGCGCTGCCGGACAACAGCAACAAGTTCTTCATCAGGCGACAAGCGGTCTTAACACGAACAGCAACAGCAACAACAACAACAACAACAACAACAACAACAACAACAACAACGACACCAATGCCACTGAACAAATGTGTATGTAGTATACTGCCCGCCCATTAGCTTTGATTGTTATCAAATGACAAAAGTAGAGGAACGTAATGAAGGGCTAGAATAATGGTTAAACAAGCTGCATGAATTTCTAGAAAAGTTCTGCGATTCAATATATTTATGTCTACATTAGCTTATATCTACTGTCGATTCGAAGATAACTTAATTAGCTGCCTTCACGAATTCTATATATTTGAACAGCGCTCAAACAAGCAAAGGGAGCCGCTTTCATGGAGCTCCTACACAAGACCATCGCCCAACTACCGCAGAGTCATGATGTAGAGGGTGGCGGCGGAACCCCTTTCCAGGCCCATCCTGATCGGCCAGCCTCTCCAGGACTGACCAAAGTCTCCGCACATACGAACCCCCCTGCCCCCGTTACCACAACCCAACTATCTCCGTCCTATGACCACAAACTGTTCGAACCATCCACAACACAGGTTAGTGCTTGAATTGAGCTGATCACCATCGAGCAGCACTCCGTTCGAGTAGTTCTTAGCGCATGAACACGTTATGGGAGTCGTCCGCAGCCAAATGGAACGAACTGCGTGGGTCTTGGCCTTCCAGTCCGATCAGTTAGCTAAGCGTAAATTTCTCGTGATTGCATGTTGCCGGCATCGGAAGGATGGCGTAGCTAGTGTTCAACGCAGTGCGAGTATCATCTTGATTTTGCTATCGGCCATTGACTACGATGAGACGATTGGCTAGCTAACCGTCAAAACGCTTCAGCAAACCGCTTGCAAGATATTGCCATCGATGTTCTAGTTAATTAGTTGTCTATTACGGTGCAGGTACCGCGAGTCTTCGACGTCGTATACATTTTTTGGCTAACATAAACGAGGTAACTATTTCTAATGTCATGGATTCGTGGGTGCAGCTCTCGTCTTTACAGCAGATTGTCTATGTTAACATAAAACTCATACAAAGACTCTTTATACGTAGCTAAGGAAAACAGAATCTGTGTCAGTTAAGTGGCACGGCCGTCCAACGGCGACCCTTACGGTGAAGGAGCTAATTTTCGTTAGCCATCGATGCTGTCGTTGTCTGCCATGTACTGTAGGAGCATTAGATATCGCCAGCACATATAATAGGCCGCAGCTGTATCTTTCTTTATAGCGTAGCTCTAGTAGCAATAGTAAATAGATGTTAGAAGCCACCGCAAGCGAGCACCGCCTCAGCACCATCACACATTCACTAGAACCGTTCCCATCGCGGTAACACCTATACAGACTTGCAGATATCCTTAGTCAATATCGAGGCCAAAGGGCAAGATGCAATTACCTTCCCCCACCCCGATTTCAGCGTCCCTAAGACGGAACTGTGCTATCTAAAATCTGCTCTTTCGCAACAACAAAATTCCGATAGAAAAAATGAATAACCCCAATTAACCCTGACTTCTGTGCAGCTGCGACTCCTAATCTGACGCGCTTCCCCGAACCTCAACATTCGATCGATGTCAGACATGGTCTGTACGACGTAACACACATACCGGTACAACATCATTTATGCGTCACGTATACTGTACACAATAAGGATCGCATAAGAAATAATTCTCAAGGGAACTTACCAGCACGTCAATGGTAACACAGTGATAAATTATTCGTTATAGAGTTTATTGCTGGTAGCAATCTTGATTGATTCCCCACTTGCTGCACACTGTGCGCGGAGTAGCGGTTAGATAGTTTTGTTCGTTCTATAATTATGCTTGTCCGAGCATCTCAATCTAATATGCTATTATGTAAAGGCTGACATATATCATAGGTCTCAGCTGTACCGTTTTTACCTCAGTCGTTTTATCATTGTTTAGTGCAAGTACGAAAACATTTTACCGAACGTATTGAGCCTAAAGTAAGACTCCAAAAATGTCTTGTATCTGAGAAGATCTTCAAGATTTATCCTCGAAAGAACGTTAAGGTATGCAGCGACAGAAAAAGCGAAAATAACGCAACCTTTTGCGTAGCTGGCAAGCCTTCTAAGGCCTTTTATTTTAAACGTATAAAGGTCTTGGAAGACCACCACAGTTTACATCTCATCATTAACGTACATTCGCTGAAGGAAAAGACACAGTGTTGGTTTAGAGGTCATTCAGCTTCGAGAATCTCAGATCCATATTCGCTGTCAAACTGTGCATTTGACAACACAACTGTGGGGCATCCTAGCTCAGCGTTTTAATATGTCCCCAGCTACACAATTATCTAAACGTGGGCTTACCTTTGAGGCATATCCAATATGTGCTGCACAAGGAATGAAGCCCTTGGCTTGCGCCAGGTTCATTTCAAAAGGTTAAGTTACCTGCGTATAAACGACCCACCTTACAAGGTTTTTTACCTTTGGCAATACATGGAATAGGACATAGTGGTTTAGGGTGTCCTTATGCCACACATAATGCCAGTATGCGTATCGTCTACGTGCGCACGTTGGTATGAACGTCGATCTACAACTGCGTGTCAATTGCACGTGTATGTCGGTGTCGGTGAAGTGGAAATTTTGCCGCCTGTTTTTTAATTTAGCCCAATATAAACTGCTCCGTAGTGCTTGATTCTCTTTTAACGTGACCCATTGTTTCCCTCGTTTGGACGACTTTCAAAACTTCTTCGTCATAATCTTTACATATCATTTACTAGTCAATTCTCTCGCAACCTAATTAAGTTGATTGATTCACAGAAGTACACATCTTTCTTTCTCGCCCCTGTAGTCTTGGACGTGGTAAGCTTCAACGTAGTCAATCAAGCGGTTAGTCTAAGGTACCGGCCACTAAAATTTTCCGTAGTATCTGTCTAGTTCCACATCACATACAATTTTCTTGTGTAACATACACAGTGTCGGATGAATGCTGGGCGGGGGTCGGATCTCGTTTGGTATCTGTTGACTCTTTGATTGTTCTAGCCCGAGCAGTCTGAAAGCAGTTGACTAGAGTACTACCGTCCTCGAGACGTGATCGAGCCAACTCCGCCATGGAAACGATTCAAGCTGGACTGGGCTAAAGGCTGGCCCGAGCGAAACGACCTCACTAGACAGCTGCGGGACCTCACTGAGTGGGTCACTGTTAAACAACAACTTCTGATCGATGCATACTACAATGAAATCAACAATGTCAGCAACATGCGTAATCAGATCGGGAACACAAACGTAAGTGGAGATCAAGCCGCTTTGGCTGTATCCCTTGGACTAATCTGACAACTTCGACCAGCCCACATGATAATAAAACCAGTTTCAACAACCACTTCACACAACCCTACCAACAACAAGCTCCGAACAGGCTCACAGTTTTCAGTCAACAGACTTTAACATTGTTCCATGGAAAAGATTTCCATCTTTCAGAATCAGGTATGCCACGGATGTGGCAATGTTTATTTAGTATGGCTTGCTACAAGACTGATATTTGAGAGGAGACGAAGACAAACAGGGGCGCTTTTATGTAGACCTGGCATTCTCATGCTTTCGGCAAGACCTGTGATTCTTCATAGCGAAGGACTATTGAGTAAATTCAACTTTTAAGGCTTATTGCAAAAGAAACGTTACCATCAATAGAAAATTAATTGTAGACTACCTTGTCAGATCACTCCAGGGGTATGCCGTAGATTTGTGGAGAGTGAAACTTTTCGACAATTTAGTTTGACAGAATATTAGGTAAGTGTTTAACTGTAAAAGACACATAGTTCGTTTGCGCTACGCTTTTGGCGGCGGCTTTTCAATTCTTTATTCGGTCTCTCCTGAGATGAGTTGTGGTTATTTTGTGTTTTGCGGCCTGGCGACCTTTTGCTACTACAATCATTTAGCTAGAATGCCATATGAAACGTGGGATGGTTAACTAAATGCTAAGTACGCTCCAGATATACCTTGCGTGTGATTACCATAAATCGAAAGTTCGTTCGGTTGTTAACGATTACTCTAAACCTAAACAAGCCGTGATTATCGCGACTCTATGTCCAAACTTATCATACAGTCCATATTGAAAGGCGGACCTACTTTTTACACTTTGATACCTAGGTAGAGCTTTTATTGTGAATAGATTTTAAATTCAGCAGAGAAAATTCGTCGAGATAATTATCAAGGTACGGATTACAGTGAACAACTTGCTGCTCAAATGCATTGTATGGCAGTTGTTTCTACCGAGAGAGCATGTTGCATATCATCCTTATTGTTACTTAGCAAAGCGTTTACTAAACCATATGTAATACCGTATTTATTGCGGTAATGTTGTGAAGCCCAGAAAATGAAGTGCATCTAAGCCTAATGGATATGAACGATATAATTACCTTTAGGTATTTATGCATGATTTTGTATACGTAAAATTTCAAAGGATTCAATTAGATAATCAGAATGCAGAAATCGGCATACCCTGCAGGACTATAACACAAAAAGGCTTTGCCTAGACGATTCTCTCTCCTCGTTCTGTAACGAAGTAGTGAATGGCTTGCTCTGTAGGTCTCAATGCTGTGTCTTCCTCGGATGCAGGCGCCAGAGCCTAAACTAAAGTCGCATCCGGCTGAAGTGCTACCCCTAAGGAAGTTTTCCGTCGAGCTGCCCATGCCTAAGATTCTTATCACAACCAACGTAAGCTCATGCGAGTCTGAGACCGAGAGTCCACCAAGGTAGGAAGTTTATGTCAGGTAAACCACATTTTTTAGTTCTACGCATATGTTACTATTATGATCATCATAAAGCTAGAGATGCTTCTTACTAGATCTAACTTTAGTACTATAAAATATTAAGCTTTCCTAAAGAGATTCCTATTTTTCAGTCTTAAACCATGCTCTAGTATATGACATCAGAACTCTCATACTAAACGTATACTGGTAGTTCTAATACTTCAACAATAGTCTGACCTCCAACCAGAAATATTCTTTGGAATCTAACGCACTGACCCGCCGTCGTTTGCCTTTTCTAACGCTTATATATATATATGATAGAACATTTTCTATCGTCTTACTGTTTTCATATTGCCTATGACTCATCGCACTGGCAATACTTTCAGGTCACCGGTCTTGGCCACGGGGGCACATGGTGACTATCCGACAGAACGATGCCAGCTAGGCGCGACCGTAGCGGCAGCAGCAGGCAGCGGTCCGGTCAAAATGTGTTACCTTTCGCCATTCATGGGGGCACCCGGTGCCGCTGATTCACGGACAATCTCCGAATCGAACCTCTCCACCTCGGGCTATTCATCCATTTCGAGTCCGGGTCTCTCCCGCTGCAACTCGAGCAGCCCAATGATTGCCGATGAGACAACTGTTGGGGCTTTCCAACGCGCGGGTCAGGGACACCTGCAAGTTAGTGACATATTACGGCTGACGTACAGCTGTTCAGATTTGTTCGATTATTGGTTGACCTGTTTAAGTTACGATAAATGTCGTTATAGCTGCTCTATTTTATTATTTGTGATTACGGTTGTGCCCTTAGGCAAGTCCTACTCGCGCGGCCCGCAAGGCCTCCCATCAGCTCGTGGCGACCTTCAGCAGTAATTACCCCCCTCCAAACAGCAGCAGTAGCAGTAACGCTAGTAGCGCCAGTACCAGTGTCCGCGAACAGCACCATGTCGGCAGCAGCGGTCGGGAGAGGGACGAGGGAATGTGCACAACCCCTTTAATAACTAGGCCGGGAGGCCCATTCGGTCAGTATTTGTTGGAGCCCGACGGCCAGGAATCTACGAAACGGCGGAGCTCTTTCGGGGGATGCTTCACCTCGCATGAGGGCCCAGGGAGTAATTCACGACACCATATCTCCGTTATGGCCGGACATTGCGGCATGGGCGGACTACAGCCAAGCCATCCCGGCAGTAGATGTCCATCTAGGTGCGCGAACACGAAATCGTGACCCGTGTTCCATTTTACAAATAAACATTATACGATATGCGTAAATTGAGACAGTGACTATATTTTCCTTGATCTATAATCTAGACCTTTTCTAGCCATATTTTGCACTGAAGAGAAGTATCTTTACTTTAGCAAAACCAGCAAATAGGATGTATTCCATTCATTATTTATTTTTAATAACGCCTAACATATTCTATATATGAAATACTTATCTCTGCTGTCTCCTAAGAAACACTACAGGTGTTCGCAAAATTCTCATGCACATATATCGCTAGATTCCGGCATTACATGCGTGCTATGTGCTATTATATGCTTGCAGAGCTAATGAGCGCATTCTACTATTCAGAGCTACCCGAAATAGCCAACAGTCGACCTCAAACGAGGAGTCGTTTGATGAAGAAATCAAACGTGAGCTTGAAGGACGATACAATCAACCATCCTCTGCCCAGGATGTATGCGGCCACGCTACTCGAGGTATAAACATTTTCAGTTTTTTTTTTCTGTTTTACGTCTATGCCATTGTTATAACAGGTCCACGTAGAAATGCGGCTATAGTCGGCCACAAACGGCAGCGCAGCTCTCGCCTGATCCGCATTATGACAGCGCTTGACGCGATAAGGCCGCACTGCTCGCATTCGGTTATCGACTAATGTTGCTGTTGTTGTTTTTATTCACCGCGTACTTCCTCGGCTACTTGTCGACGTAGGTCACTGGATGCCGTCCTATGCGAGGACCGCCTCATCGTTGGATATTCCGTTGGATGAACCTGCGATGGGGAGGTCCCGTGCCCCCTCGTCGTGGTCGGTGCCGGATTCGATGAGGCACGACCATGAAACCACAATCCACAGTGCAGCAGCCGGCAACGTATGCAACCACATCGTAAGCGAAGCCCAACTTAAACGCAATTAAGATACCTAGAGCCGAGTGCCTCGTTAATCATTGAAGAGAAGGTTGTTATGGCTATTTGTGTTTAAGCATGCTAGCCTCTCTATACCCATAGTTCTGTCAAATTCACCCTATCGTTACGGTTCGATCGAGTATTTATAGCGAACGGCTTCTTCATGACCATCTAGATGAGTTTTTAGTTTAGCATGGCTATGTAAGAAGTTTATGCGCAGACATGTCACTCATCACATAGCGAGTAGTTTTTTTTTTTCAACTAAACAGTATTATTAAATTAATAGATGAGATAAAACTCACATGACTTTGCATAATACCATGGACCGCATAATACCGCCTTACGGCTGGTGCCAGCCGTTCTTTGCGTCTGTTCTGCTACTGCGCCGGCTCCGTCAACTCCCTAGACTGAAGACTGAATAAAATAATAGTTAAGTTCAACCCTACATTGAACCTCTTGTATCACACTGACTATATGTGTGTATATTCAGTGCGTAGATCCATTACTCCAATACTAATTGTGTTTTCGCCTCTATACAGCGAACGGCGTTTCAGTTGGAAGAGCCACGGGATTCGTTCTCGCATCACGGCCCTGATCAGGAAAGGGAAATCCGTGAGGTTCTTCTACAGCGAGTCCGATGCAAAGGGTGGCAGCAACCTCCAGCTGGACAACAAGCAGGGACCGGGAACTCGGAGCAAAACTCCGGCGGTTTGGGAAACGTCTCACTTTCACCCTCGCATCTCGAGCCCACGACTCTCTTAACGTTGGGTCAGGAGATAACTGGCGGCTTGTCTTCGCCATCATCGACCGCTTCAATGGAGTCCGTTGTGCCATCGAAGATCTGTAGAAATGCGTCAAAGGCGAGCATGAGCGGGACTTTAGCGTCAGGCCTGCCGGGCAACGTGACCACCTCCGAATCTGACTCAGAACGCAAGCACGTCGCCCAGGTTCAGGCGCAAAGAGCGGCTCGTCGCCTCCAAAAGAAGCAGAGATCTGTTGATGCCGGGTGTGGTAGTACTGTGGCTGGCGCTGGCGGAGGCGGATCTTCCGGACAACTTCAGGTTGATCGCCAGAAGCTCAGCCCGGGCTTGCGACCGCAAAGAAGGTTAATTCAGTCGTCGCTAAGCCTAATCTTAAGAGTACTAGTTTCGCCTATTATTATAAAATACGTATTCTTTATCTCTTTCTATTGTGGCATAAGTTTATAAGTAGTAAACTGAAAGAGTTTGCTTTGCGTATATCAGTAGGTCACCATGTCTGTCGCCGTGGTCTTCCGTAGACCGCCCTGGATATTCGACCAGAGGATCGGCCCAAGATCTTGGAGGAAAAATGTTCATCTGCTCCAGCTCAAGCTCCGATGAAGAACCTACAATAGGTATGTTTCTTCTAAATGATTAACAGCCAGTTAACGTTTGTCAGGCTTAATTGAAACTGTCCTCTGGAAGCCGTCCACGATGTAGCCGGGTAACTCGTGAACTCTCTGACATATTGACGCGACATTACTGTTGTCTACATTATGGTACCCTCGAATTTTACAGACTATGCAATGAACTACATAGAAGCTACCAATCGGCAACCGCTTGGAAATGCACGTCTCATGCGTAGCGCCACTGTAGAAACGTGCGACTGCTTACATAAGCCTAGAAGGTTAGTGGAGGAGCCCGAATCAAGATTGATCGCCGTGTTTTTCATTCAACGCGCCCTCTGAGACAATTTAATGATAACGGTAATCATAACAATAATTAAATGAAATAATTGTATTAATGATACGTTTGTTAATGAAAATAATATGCTGTGCCCGTTTACCGTTTCGCAGACAAAAATCATATTGTTCCCAGGAGTTGCAGTCGCCACAGAACCAAACGCCCCTGTCGTCATCTCGAAATCTGCTGGCGCAGCCTACCACGCCATGCTATCAGAAATCGGCGAGTTTCAATGGCGGATGTGACTATGCAGCTCCCGGAAGTGAAGGAAGCCCGCATGGATCGCCAAGTAGGTAGGTTGATAGCGGTGTGTTAGCTCGTTCATCCGGCCGTAGATGCACCCCGGTTACAGAACTTGCTTCCACACCCTTAGGTTGTGGGCAGGGTGACGACGAATCAACAGGTTGCATCGTATCGAGCGAAGTGATACGAGACTTTGGATGGACTTAAATAGGGAGAACTCAGAAGTTGTATTAAACGTGCACATGCATACTAACAAACCACAAGTACAACTGGTCAAAACGCCCCAAGAAACCCTCTGTTTTTCCGAGAAACTCGCTCTAGGTGAGTGCTAAAATGGTCGGGTTGGTTTAGATTTTGTTTTGGTCGTGGCAGTGTTACAAAGACCAACATTAACAGCTGCAAAAAAAGCCATGTTTTCGCTTTTTGAAACAATCAATTTGCCATATTTCGATGTACCCGCAAAACTTAACTGAAAAACCTTTTCTCTTTTTGATAATGGCGTGTATTGTTCATTCTGCAATCTTTCATTTATCCTAGTGCGTCTCCTTTTTTCAACCTAGTCGCATTTTTGGCACGTCTGCACCATTCTCAGCAACGTTTCCACGTTCTATAATTGGTCACGATTCCTCGAACTCTCAACTCTAAACTGAGAATTGGTCAGTTTTGACAATTCGTCTTTAGAGTTCCATACTATCTGTTTGTGGCATGTTGTATCTTCATTGTACCTAGACGAGTACTTGTTTTGAGAGACAGATTTCTAAGTTAAGGTTACTAAGTTATTTACATGGTTCTCGGAACAAAAGGTTCTCGATTTTCCGTTCTTCTTCTTCTGTAAATGGTAAATTTAATGTGCTAACTTTTCTATGTAGCATTTATCGTTTCATGATGTTTTTTTATATCTATTATATTCAATTGTCAATTGATTGTTTTCGGTCGCCAGAATGAAATCGATTGAGTCTTCCTAGCTGTCTTAATATTTCTGTTCTTGAAAACGTGGTATTATGGTCAACGATTTGAAGTTGTAAGGCCAGAACTAACTTTCGTTCCAGCAAACACTAAATTTTAAGGTCAATTAAAGTAGGCTGGCTATATTTACAATACGTTTACGATTCGTATGAGAAGATCTGTCCTAGTCATTGGCCTAATAAAGAGAAGGGAAGTGTATAATTTGCAAGTGATTAGCGAACAAATAGGTTGTTAGCAGAAACCGAATGAGCAATTTTTAATTCTGGCCCTACATTGCATGCGGATAACATGTGCGAAAATGTACCTACATATTAGGTTGGTGCATTCGTTTTTGTAGGCCAAAAGGTCGTTAGGCATACTATCTGCAGTAGTCGGATCAGAAAGCATTATTTCGAAGTTGAGTTTCGATGTCGATGTACGTGACAGGTTCACGACACTTTAGTAAAGGCCTCCAAAGAAATGTACCACTAAAAAAACACGGGGTTGTCCGGGTAAAACAATAGCAATATGCTTGTAAAAGAAAGAAAAATCTTTCTGGCGATATGAGTAACCTAGCCATTAGTGAACGAGAATAAACAAACACTACAGAAACGTGTGCGTCAGTCTAATATATACTTTGTGACTATTTCTGTTGACCCCATCAGTATTCTGTATTGCATTGTCCGTTTTATTCTATATACGTATTTATATCTACGCGGGTCTAACAAAACCTAAAGCAGTAAGGGATCCTATCAAGTCCCACTTTCTCGTGACAAAGTTTTTGCCAGTTTCAGAACTGGTGTCAGCGTCTAATTCAAATAAAAACTTCCGTATCACGAAGGAAAAATCTAATTACTTCATGAAATAACCACTCTATTGGACTTTATGGGAAATATGAAGTGTTTAGTTGTTTTAATGTCCGCGCTTCGTTTACCTTCGGAGTTGATAAATATCAGTATACATGAGGTTATGTCACGCTCAGATTTGAATAGTCGATTTTGTTAACTCGCTCAGATATAGATATCGCTGTGGTTATACTATGATTTCGGTTCTTTTGATGTGTCGTCCGATCGTGGGATACAGTTTTTGCGATGTCCTCTATTTGTATTTGTCTTGGTGCCGGTTGTTGGTCGTTGACGGTGATTCTGGTGATGGTCGTGTGCACGGATGTGCCTCCTCTGTCAATATCTGTTTCAATGTGGCACTCGACGTGATCAGAGGTTCGGCCATGGGGGCGTTCCGTGGCCTCAGTCGTGATGCGTCCTCCAACAGCGGGTCCTGGGGTAGTCACCATTCCTTGCGGAGGCAGTGCGCCCTGCAGGAAAATACTGCCGACGAAATGTGAGTTTCGAATCTGAACGCTGCCACACTGAAGCAACTAGTGAGTGTACGAGTAGCGATTGGTGGAAGACCACAGAGTTCGATCCTGTCACTACCTTCTCTACCGCCACCCTGATAGAGTAGACAAATAATAATCCACAGTTCACACATAAGGTACCTTTATTTTTAACTATTCATTTATTTTCATCCATGCAAAGTTCGGATATTTTTCGCATGTAGAACTCATTCAACAGTTAAATCCTACTTCATAATGGGAGAGAAATTATCTGTATATTACAAGAAAGATGGACGACCAGACAATGTATTGGTCTACTGGCATGCTGAATACCTGTTAGGTTATATTAAAGTTTGAAGATTTTCTAATAAAGATAACATTTCGGCATATTTAAGATGATCGCATTGCTACTAATGCAGCAGTTTAAAAAACGCTATCCACAGCTGATTTTCAGCTGACCCGTTCTTTGTATATCATGGTACGCCGACTTAGCAACATGACAAAAACGTGTCAAAGAAGGGATGGAGTACAAGCAATCTGGATAGGCCAAGCAGGAGAACGAAGGCTCATACCTTTATTTTTGCCTTTCCTATTGCTGAATTTTTTTTTGGCGCGCTTATGCCCAGATTTGAATCAGGACCATCTTTACATCTGTGCGTGTAGTAGACACACGCGACAGCGAATGTGTCCCGCCTTGTTTATCTCTTTCAAGCTTCGGCAAAGTATCGTTTGCATTTTTCATGCGTTTTGATCATGTTGTTTGACATTCTAACTGCACCTCTTATGTTTTTAAATTCAGCTCTTTGTCTATCTTATATGAAAAGACTTCTTAGGTTAAATTTGCAGCTAGACTGTGTCGTCCATTCTTAACCAAATGATGAATTGAGCTCTAGAGTTTTCGCTTGAAACGCATGCGTGTAACGCCATGGAGAGATGACCTTTCAAAGATTTGCTACGGTGAAAGCTCCATACCTGTTGTGATATAAATATATAAATATTTAGTAATAAAGCTCTGATAGAAATATTGTCGCATACATATATATATATTGTACGCAATATTTTGGTCTGAGTAGAAACTTGCTGATGAAAAATATTGCATAAGCCGGACGTTAGAGAACAAAAAATACATTCATCGTACTAGGTATATATTAGCCCGATGCTTGATATCAACTTTGCAGGCATGGCTAGGTGATTACACTAGACCCGTCTTTCATTTGTTTATATGTATGATATAATTTACGTCTGTACTACTCTCTTCCTCTCTCTGTATGTATACATATATATATATATATATATATATATATATATATACACTACTATAGAGAGAGAAAAAGCAGTACAGGTATAAATTACAGTAGACTCATTAAACAGCTTGTCTGTAGTTCCATTACAGTAGAAATGGGAATAATACATATAAGTATAAGTAAGTGATGGAATTGAATTCGTTTTCATGTACGACTCGCTTATTTCTCACAACTTTCCACAGCATAATCGTGTTCTTCAAGCGTAACATAGCGAAAACCTCTGCATACTCTGGTTTGACTTCACGTGACACCAGTGAAGCTGGCCGTAGTCGGAGAATCTCCACACACATTTTACCCTTCCACCCGGTTCCTACAGAACACGAAAGGGCAGAAAAGCAGATTCTGTTTCCTGTTCGTATCCGCTTTTCGAAGCAGATTTCTTTTGCAGCTAGTTCAGCCTCCTGTCACTGCTTCATATCGATAGGAATTCCAGATGATATAACCTGGCTCCTCGCGCTGTTGCAGTTTACGTCGCATACCTCGATTTCCCGCCCCCAGATACCACAGTGTAGAAGTGTCCATTAAAGGCATAATTTGAATTGTACTATAGAGATTGCTTTCTACAGGACCTCAGAGCTTTTTGAATTGGACCGGCATTTTGATTTAAATCATCTGCTATAGATGAGGTATCTTTGCTGAGTCATTGAAAACTGTAACTTCGTCATTTTGCTGGTCTTCGATATGGCCCAACATAACCCCATGAATGACAACCACTGTTACCGTCTTCCAGCGCGTAGTTCTTTATTAAGATAGAAGCTTATGCCAGTGAGTCCACTGGTAGTATACTAGCTATGTCCCGATTCTGCTCGTGAGAGTCATTTAGGTGACCTCTGTGGAATCTGTGACCACCGAGCTCACGTAAACGTTTACGGCCAATTCGTCTTGACGAACATTGTGATTCGCTTTTGCGGCATATCTGAAATACTGGTTCAAACTGTGTCAGGGCAATTAGGTAAATAATAAGTCTCTCTGAAGCCCAGTGCTAAGTAGCGTAAAACAACACCTTGGTTAACTTAATTGCATTCGTTCGCTTAATTTCCCATGTTTCTCTACAAGGGTCCTAGACGTTGATTTTTTGCGTTTTAAGATTACCACTTCCTTATTATGTTCGATATCTTTTTGGAGGTGAGCCCTACTTGCCCTGATGGATTTGACTAGCTCAATCAAAGCATCATTTACGCTAATATACGTTTTTGATCGTTTGTTCCCTAGAATTGGTGGGTTTTCACCTAATTTTAAGTCTTTCTGGACTTCAGCTGACTATAGTACTTAATTAAGATAGTACGGCAGTATGAGAATTTAGGCGCTTTTTGGAAATGACGCCAGGGCCTGTCGCACTTCTTACACCTACTAGCGTCATGTGTAACTTCTCCTCCCAACCATTCACATATAAAGCACAGTGCTATATATCGATGGCGAATTGGAATTATAACGATTACATTACTAACTGTATCCATTGCAGTACGTGGTTGTTATGCGCTATCAATTTTCCACAGGATCGCGTCATATTCAAACAATCTATTTACGATGTTTCAGTGTTGACGAAAAACATTTTGTAGGGCTAGAAACGTGCCTTCGCGCAGTAGTTTTCCTTTGTATGTTCCTTAGTTGTCTTTGGTGGAATGCAGTGAATGTAAAGGCAACTAAAATTGCCAGTCGCTTCAGCTGAGATACGATAATATGCAGAATAGAGATCATCGTTGGGTCTCAGAAGTTCGGACTCGCTTACAGGGACGTCTTCGGAGACATTCCCGACCCCGATTTCTACCCCCGAGCAGCAGTGACGGAGACTCGACCGCCCGCAGAAACCAGGTATATATATTTAAATTATATGCGAAAGCGTAACTTCAGTGTAACACACCTGCGACACAATTGTCTTCAAACTTCTCCGGATTACAACTCTCTTCCAGTAAGCACCTAGTTGCTCTATTATCTTTCAGCCAAGTGCTCGACATTCGATTCAAACACAGACCCGTATTATAAGTTTTCTAGTTTATCAGATTTAGTTTTCATGTGTTAATTTTTCATGCTACATTTCAAGGGCGGAACACCCCCACGAGGTTGGACAAAAGGGCGGAGTTTCGGAAGGACATGGCGATGCTGTGGACTGCTGTGGACCGATTTCGACTCGACGAGCGAGCTCGTCCAAAGTCTCTACTCTTGGTAAAATCGTCACCCGAGGTACCTACTCGAACTCAGAGTCTTCGGTATCCTCAGTGGACAAAACCGACCTCTCTTCGGGGAAAGAGATCGACATGCCGAAGATCGAAATCCAAATGCCCACGCCCATTTGTGAAAACAAGGACTTTGAACAACAGAAACAAGTACAGCCCAGGCCGAGCGGATTCGACGGACTCGGCAGTGAGGATAAGCTTCCGACAATCATGGTGCAAAGTGCCACACCCGTGGCCACTCCGGTGCTAGAACATAAGGTATATAGTACTATAATGGTTTGGAAGAATCATGCTTAAAAGTATTATGTATGACGAATCTCGTTTAGAACGTACTTTATACACCATTTCAGAATTTGGTAAACCACGCCAAAAAGTTTAACATTTTCTGCTGGAATCGTACAGTTCGAACAGTGAGCATGTATTTATAATGGGTTCACGCTTTTTTATTTGTTTCTTTCTCTGTAGTCCACGAGTTCCTATCGAGGCATTAAAATCATCTCATGTTTTAGTGAGTATGGATAACTTTTAATTGTCTGTTGTCTTCAAGGTGTTCCACATCATTCAGCCCACAACCCTAGAGGCGGAGCAGCCTGAAGAAATGCGTTCACTAATCCGTAGCAGTGGTGCCTCATTTCAGGCTTTGCCCGGCCAATCGTCCCATCAGCACGCTCATTCCAGTTCCCGGTGGGAACGGGACCTTCGTAGGTTACGTTCCGAATCACTCAGCGGTTCCTCCCGTGCTCCCAGTCTTACAAACGTTCTCTCGTTCGATGACTCGCCGTCCTGGCTGGGAATGAGCAACGACAGTTTTCAAATGAGCTCTATTTTTGAGCCCGAAACGGAGGTAGGACTCTACGATGATGACAATGAAAGTCACGCCGCCAGAGCTCTGAGTAATGTATCTCCGAGTAGCAAACAATTATACGGCTTGCCTGCTCAACGACAACAACCACAACATATATTCGCAGCCACCGACATAAAAACCAGCAAGGACCTGAAAACGGACATACCTCAGGTTCGAGTGAAGTTTGAGCCATCTGAGTACAATTCAGGCGACTCCAATGTAATTGCCTTAGTACCCGAAACTAATGCTTTAACAGGATGTGAAACAGTAGATGCAAAATCGATCGGTAGCGGCTGCAGTTCTGCATCTGGGGTAATTTGTATCGAGCTGGAGCCGCCCACGCCGACGACGGACGAGGACGCTCAGTTCGGATGCGGTATTATCTCGTTCCAGAGTCCTCCGGAGCCTAGCACACCCACGAGTCCCTTATCAGCCGTTTCGAACCAACACTACCATTCCTTTTCAGCAATAGCATCCTCAGCGGAGTGCAGTCACCAACAGCGACATCAGTGGGATAGTGATAACGGTAACACAGAAACCGTTGCACCATCGCCATCTGTTTGTTCCCATCCCACCGATTATCAATGTACACAGCGCAATATCTCTTCGCCGGCGTCGCAACCGCATGAGGATCTTTTTCTGACCGATCAGACGATGACGGCGACCACCACGACTGGAATGACCAGCGTTCGAGAAAGCCCAGCTGGGGTTGTCGACAATAGCAGCAGCAGCAGCAACAACAACAGTAAGGACAACAGTAGTAGCGCCACCGACGAGGGCAACAACCCTCAACACAAGACATAGTGAATCATGCAGCAGTCTCATGACGATGAGGCAGAGCCAGCTCGGTCGTCGGTCCCGATCTAGATGTTCAATTTGTATGTAATAGGAAAGCATTAACAGCAGTACCTTACTGCTCGAAGACGCTGTTACTTATCGGGGAGAAAAAATTTAACCGAAATGAAAGAAAGCAATAGAACAGACTCTAATCTTGTTTACGACAGTCATAAGCTGATAGGCTAGCTGAAGGTTAAGTAGCTCAGATGATCAGGCAAAGATGCTTATACAGGTGGAGAGGGAAGCAGCTGAAAGGTAAGTGATAAGTAAGAGGAGGAAAGTGATGAAAATTGCATCAGTAAAGCACAAGAATGAAAAGGGCAATTTTACATACACATAATAGAATGAGAAGACACTATATATCTTGAATGCGAAATAAGCACACAAAGGGCGACGAAATAGTCTATTACATGGAAGTCATGTACTAGTACTGTTGTTAAAATTATGATTACTTTCATTAAGCGTATTTAGCGCGCAAACGACGTACAGGAACAGGTGCTGCTGACTATCGTATTGAAACAAAAGAGCAGCCCAAGAGCAATCGAAATAATGCTGCCCTCGAGATAACATTAGTGTGCGACCATATGGAAAAATATATGGGTTATTTCTATTAATACCTAGCTAAATGGACAAGCATAAATAACAAGCACGCATAAGAATATAGTAAAAGACATTAGTATAATGATGGTTGCGTCGAAGATTATTATAGGTACATGCACACTGACTGGGCCCATGAACGTTTACGTCAATGTGAGTCCAGTCGGCTCTTTTTGATTAGCACAACAAGCATGCCTGTTTATCTGTACATAAGTAGCATGATAACAAAACACCATACACGATATAGCACTCTCAAAACGAGATGACCATTTAATGATAGTTATTATATTTCGATATATTCATACTCGTAGTGACGATGAATGCGACGATAATGTTTATTGCAATAATTATTAATACTGTTATCTCAGCTATATATTTATATCATCACTATCACTGCTATATATATATATATATATATATATATATATATATACGAAAAAAAAATGTTTATTAGACGAGATTATTATTATTTGGAAAAAAATGAAGGAAGGCAGCAAATTACAGGCATGAAAACAGACGGAAGTGAAACTGCTGAGAGGCTGGGACGGCAGAGCAGTTTGCGAGGGAAAATAAAACTAGGAAAAAGAGATTTGAAATATAAATCTATTATTGCATATTACTAATGTGTGGAGAATTTACAAATCGATCAAAACTGAACATAGATATGTAATAGTATAAAATATATAAGTCTATACATAACAAGACTATTCTTACTCTGATATTGTAGTAACCTAGCCGTAGAAACAGTAATAATGCTGAGAACACTATTTGTTGCTAAGAGCACAACAACAAGTGCTAGCGCCACCTAACAGCAAGAAGCACACGAACTATGACAATAGTAAGCTTCGAGGCCGAATCCTGAAAACAGTAATAAGAAAATCTGCACACAGTATGTAAAACGATAACAATAAATAATAAGCACAGTGCACACCTCGTATACTGACACTGAGAAAAACCGGATAGACAGAAAAAAAAACACAATAATCGCAAACCACGAGTGAGTCTTATAATTGAACCAACGTGACAATAACAATTAACTTTGATAGTAGTAAACCGCTATTCGCGATCGTATAATTACCGTAAGCAAGGACACAAGGCAAATAGTCGGGATAGTAAGTGAAAACGATGGCGATGCTGAGGGATGCTTCTCATTGCAGTCGATATAAACATACATGCATATATATATGCTTTCCATATTCTCCGTATTCTTATTTATAGGGGAAATAAAGAATAAAGATGAAAAATCCAAAAGCAATGGAAACTTATCACAAGATCGTCCCTTGTGATAGTTCTTATAGCGATGAATTTATGGTAATAAAAAATGGTGAGGATTCCCGATGGTCGGCAAAAGTGTTGCCTGATAACAAATCTATTAACAATAGTAGCAACAACAGCACCAGTCGGTGATGCTGTACTTGATGTGTTGAATAAATTTCGTTGAATATATTCATGTTGCTGTCACATATCGATGGCCTACTCAGTTTTCCCAAGCGAACATGTAGCATGAGAGGAGTATTTTAGGGAAATTATAACCTTGGTTTGCTTACACGGGAGTGTTTTTATAGAGGAAAGTGTGTCAATGTGTGCATCCGCTACAATGAATATTTAAATTGCTTCTTTTCTTAAATTTATTCCAAACTTTTATTCAACAACAAACCAATTAGTTAGCTACTTGTCATCAATTGCCCACAACTACTATCGGCTAACTAGAAATAGCCGAACTCTAGCAAGATCCACGACTTGTATGAGAGAACAACAAGCTTACTTGAACAAGGCGTAACCATTAATAAAACATTGTTGTAAAATGCCATGTGTACTCGTCCTTATTGCCAGGTAAACCGCAAATAATAAACACTGATTCTAGGAGGCATACGTTTTCTAAGAGGTCTAAAGTGGAGAGACGGTATTTTGGATGCTTCTATTGTAATATGCGCACAATTCAACAACTGCGTCTAATATTGCCTTATCTAATTTTGCCATAAAAAACAGAAACGGATAATGTACGGTTTCTCATTTTATTTACAGAGGATCATTAAATGTACAGATTGTAAAAGAAACAGCGATTTGTTGCGCTTCTCGATTTTATGAAGCAGTGTGTTCGGAACCGATCACCAGTGGAAAGCAATGATAACTTTCTATCAAAAAAAACAAACAACGTATAAAAACATTAAGTGAACGCAGATCATATAGTGTCATATAGCATAGTCTATCCAATTTCCATGAAGATCTTTACAAACAACAACTGACAATCCATATTCCCCTCAGTAAGATACTGAATCTAACTTCGATCACCCTCAAATGTATCTATCTCTGCAGTCTATACAAAAGTTGTCAATGCCCGTAAAATGTCGTCCTTTTTGAAAGGAAAAAACCTAGCTCAATACGCACTAAAAAGATGTAATATACGATGCTTTCGAACGAACCGTCGTCACGTTTCTATTATTATCACTGCAAGAACATTCGCGCGTATAGCAAATAAGTAAGCTTCCCGCAACGAACTATTGGGCCTTTAAAGAAATCGGTTCTTTCTCGGAAGTCTGTACTAATCACCTCCAACTCAATTGCGACGTCCGTTTCGATGAGGGGTAAATAGTCTCGCAGCTACTTTACAGCGAGCGAGCACGCACACATGTCAGCTTAGTTATGAATTAGTTGACGTTACTTGGGTGTACCGATAATTATAATCATGTGACTCAGGCTTGTCCTGACAAACTCATTGCCATATTCGATAATAGAAAGTATCCACTGACATTAGTCATTTATAAAATCAATTTTCTCTAGTGGATGGGATTAAGGTATATATATATATATATATATATATAATGCAATTTATTAAACATTAACCGGACGTATGGCTCGCATGGTATAAGCAGCCTGGGGTGGAAGGGATCAACTGAAAGATATATATGACAATGTTTTATTTGAATAAATCGACATCTGAGAGGTTTAACCGGTCGTCGAGGCCCATTATATCTTTTTTATACCCACTTTGCCTCTTTTCCTGAAATCTTCTTTACTAGAGAATTTTTTGTATCCACAAGTCTTATACATACTAAATTCCTTCAACATAGCAAAACAACTGCTGTCGGTGGCCCCATGCACTTGCATACTACTATGGAATATAAGTCAACTAACCCAATTTCAGGTACATGTTAGTCCTGTGACTGTACAGTCTGATATTATTCAATTAAGAAACAAACACTATTTTGTAGATCTATACATGTTATGGGTTTGAACTCGAACGAAATAGCCCACTCCGTATATTGCCTACTACACTAAATACACTTGGCTACATTTTTCTACCCTGAAACAAACAACAACGGCGCGTGTGTTTACATACAAAACACTTGGCAAACACTTATTCGGATGGTTGCGTATCGATCGCTATCTTATCCAGAATCAGGTTGGTCTATAAATGCAGATTCGTCGTTGCTCGTCCGTACTCGCCGGAAAGGTTCCGCCACTCAAGGGTAAAGTCAATGATAACTTTACAGAGCATACGCTTGTTTGAACGCTCCCTGGTTAGCGAAATACAATCCAATGTAACAAAAATCGAATTTTAAAACTTGCAGATAGTGTTTTACGAGCTAGTACTCTTATCAAATAAAAATAATTAGCAATACATGGAATATTTAAAGCTAATCATAAACTGTGTTAACTCTAGAACAAAAAAGCCTAGCAGTGTATATGGGAAACGACCTAAATCAAGTAAGACAGACTGAAGTTTAATTCGCGCACTCAGAACCAATCCGCATCTGAACTAAACTATGAACAAGAACCGTGTTCTACATTCGTTATCAAGAAAATCTTATCCTTATCATTTACTGTAACGACCAGACATCATTTTTCTTTCTACCTTAGTATCTGCCGTGCGAAGTTCTGTCTACTCTCGGGGCTTGGTTCGTCGATGGGCGCGCTGACGAAACGCTGAAGCGCTGCCGTCAGCAAAGGCAAAGCAGTTTTGTTCAAGGCGAGAAATACGTCGGCCTCGGCCTCGATGAAGTTCCGTGATACCCCGCCACGTATGTTCTGAAAAGCGAAGCATCGAGAGCTTAAGTTTTACTGAAATTACTGAAATCACACTTTACTTTGACGAATCCACACGCAAATACGCCGAAAAACGCCTTGGGGCTCGTTTGTCAGATCGGGGTCAGATGAGTGCTGTACAATTACCACGACATTTTACTTTGCATATACATGTTTGTATATATATATATATATATATTAGCTATACACTGCTTGCCATACGACTAATCTTTATCTTACCTGAACCAGTTGGGCGATGATATTCTCGGAGCATAGTTCGAGCGCTTCCTTTACAAATGGGCTTCGTTCCGATGCATTCACGAATTGAGTCTGCAATGATTTAACATTACTTGAGTTTAATATATGGTTAACCACCATATGTGTAGCGTAGTTCACCGAGTTGCCAGTAGAACCTGTCTATGTGCAATACACCTACTATTCAAAAACTATGAAGTCGCATCTGATTTGTTCCCTTTTATAACTTTATTTTAGCATGCGTTAACTGTAAAGTAGATTTGATTAAAATGTAAGTTGCCTGAAAATACGCTAATATAATAACTAAAAACTGTTACAACAACTTACCAGGAACGAAATCGCTGCCCGATAAGTAAACTGTTCAGGAAGAGTGGTCGCCAACGTAGCTGGAAGATCAGGGTCAAAAATTAACTAGACGAATTCGAAATGTACGCGCAGTTATTAGAAGTCACTACCATGTCAATATCGATATAAGCATCATGAATTACCCTGGAGAAAAAAACAAATACTTGTTTGTACTATTGGATGCGTTTAGTCACATTGTCAGCAACTGCTATTGCTAAAATTTTAACCTACGATTGCGGAGTAAGTAGAATGTAGTTTATAGAAAATTACGTAGGTTTGAAGAAGCTCGTTCTGAGTCGTACCTGCGATGGTTCCATGAAACATACCTCGTAACGTATCAAAACGCCAGACATAATATTCCAATGCAAAGGTATTGCCGATTCTATATTACATAATAGTCAGCATCGCGAATCATTTTTACAATTAAAAACAATTTTAACCTGAAGCCACACACGCATATATTTGGAAAAAAGATGGGTATATCAGAAAGTCTAGTAAACATACCTAAAGCCTTAATAGATCTGATGAGATAAAAGGTTGAAGGTGGTAAAACTGTAACGAAACAAGAATATCCTTTTCATTTTACGTTTAATGCTTTTTACATTCTATTGGAAGCGTTGGAAAATATGCAAACTTTATGCTTACCGTATTTGCACAGTTGGATGAGATCATCGAGTGAGAAAACGTTCTGATCGTAGTATCGAAGCCTTTTTTTAAAGAGAACTGCGTGTAGTTTGTAGAATGACTCGACCGCATCCGTACAGCCGTGCAAATCTAACAAGAGATCAGATAAAACACGCTACCTTTTTATTTTTCAGCTTATGTAAAAATTTAGTTAACTGAAATACTTAATTCATATGAGGAATATCTTTTGAGCTTCGCAGATGTGACAAACGCTGATGTATCTATCTGCGTGTTTGTATATTTTTTTTAGTAGTTAATATATTTAATAGTTCATTGATGAACTACTAAATGATCCTAAAGATAAACCTTGACTCAGCCTTATAAAGCTGATTACAACAGTGCTTTATTGGACTTCGACGAAAGACTCACGACAAGAAGAGATATTGCTTACCTTGACTAAAATAAGCGAAGCAAATATCACAGATTGACTTGAATTGGGCGCACATCGGGCTAGTCTGATTCGCCTTTGTATGGGCGAGTACCTGTGAATAAATTAAAATTTAAAACTAAGAAATGTGCTGCACCCGTCGTACCGTTCAACGTAAAAATTGTAGCATACAAAAATATCTATATATTATATCGCAAACAGGACATGAGGAACGCAATGGACCAGTTGATACAGGGGTACGAACTTTTCAGTAAATGGAATTCTGTGTTTTTCATTATTTCTTCCTCCAATTTCGAGCAAAGTTATTTATTAGCGATAGCCATAAACGTTCCTTGTCGTAAAGTAACTACAACGGCCACAAAACCCATCGCTATATTTTCTAATGATGTTGTTATATTATTCATTGGATGTTGCTCACGGAGGTTGCAGCGCCGAGTACGGAAGCGTTGGGGTGATGCATAAGTAAAGCTCCACACATTGAAAGTAATTCTGAAAGAACGACGCAATGCGGCTCTAATTCCAGCACCGGAACTGCTTTGCGGATGCACTCTGCCAAATTGGACACAACCTAGGGTAAACAAAATGAACAATAATCTGGTCATTTCATGGAGTTGGCCACCAGATATGCCCTGCCATTGGGTTCTCAACTGTTCAGTTTTAGCTATTTAAACTAGTATATACATTTCAATATTAATGATTGACGTACGGTAAACTAGAACCATACTTATTCGCCTTACCTCCGCATCGCAGGAGTATTTGGCGGCAATCAGTTTAAATAGCGGCATGAGTTGCTCTACAAGGACCTGTCCTGGTCGTGAGCTTTGTTGGGCAGCATCCCCTTCCTGGCAAAAAGTTAATGACGCGAACATCGATTGCAAAAGGTCTAAATTCTCCTTTGTAGCCTCCCGGAATGTTGCAGTCACCTGACATTTTAAAGCAATGGCGGAAAGGGATAAATAGAGTGTGCATTTGAATTTGAGCAGTGTAAGTCCTGAACGAGACAGCATATCCAAAACCGGAAAAATTTATAATGCGCAACAAAATAGTACAAGGCCTTTTCAAGGTAACGCGGTGTAATGTCATGGTAAAACAACGTAATTAAGTATCACGCAATGAAGTCAATGCTGAAACAAGAATAGACACAGAAACCATACCCCAGGAAAATTTGTAATTTCGTTGAGTTGCTGTACGAAAGGTGCCATCAAAGCAGACAAACTAGTGAGGGCCTGTTCTGTTGAACTCAACGCTGATACTACGTGGCCTACAATCGCCACTAAACGCACACGATCCCTACGAAAGAATTCATTCAAACAGTTAAAATGCCGATTTCCTTTAAGGCACTCTCCACTTCTTGCCTTAAACATAGAATCACTGATCTGTCTAACCTATGCTTCAAAGGAAGAGGACTTTGAGGATGAAGCACAACTGCTATGGCTTGAAGAATGTCGTTGGCCGCTGGTGCTAGCCGATCTCCGTGTGTTCGAGCCAAATCCTTTAGGGCCATCGAGGCTGATGCCGATGTGCCTGCCTGCTGCAATCCTCGAAGCAAGAGATGCACTGAAACATTAGAAAATTAATAGAAAAAAGACATTTAATGAAAATGAATTCTAACAGTCATGTCTATTTTTCATATCTTTGCGTTACGTTTTGCCATCATGTAGACTAAAGATAAAAGCTCGAATTCCTTTTATTTCAGTTGCAGAGCAAACTGATGAGACTACAAGTTTCTGACATCTTTAAGGAATCAATGAAGCCAATAATGGTAACCCTTGCTGCGGTTTGCCGTTATTACAGTACTCCGCTTTGATAAAGAGATCCGAGATCAAAATTAAGACATACTACATGTTTGACAGACCCATCAAGCGTGTTTCTCTCTGTAATCCGTATCCTTTGTACAATTCTTATGTTAGTCACTTGGACACTATTTAGCTGAAAACAAAGTTGGAAATCATTCGAAAATAGAGAACATTAACAAAGATACGGGGTGTTGACTGTGGATAGTGAACATCTATTTTAATAACAATATGTACGGGTACATATACGGATATGTCCGGGATCCATGAGTGACGCATTCCAGTATTTTCATAATCACCTGTATCACAATATAAGAGTGAACTTCAATCTCAGTCAGACTTACCGAGAGGGCCAATGTTTTCACCGGACGTCTTCTCTGCGAAGATGCCCACGGCAGTCATTACCTTTAACACAGAACAAATCGTTATCTATGAGCATGTTTGATGCACGGAGGCAGATACATATTATGCTCTACACAACAATACTTCAACTGAATTATAATGACTGACTTGAAGATACATTAACAAGTACGTTCCCCGAACACAAGTCTGTGCTACGATTCAGAAAAATGAAAATCTAGTTTTTAGGTTTGTATAACTGTAATAGGCTTATATATATATATATATATATATATATATATATATATATATATAACAGGCTTATAATATATATATACTTTTGTAATATCGAGCAGCTAAGAATGTATAACCTGGAAGACATAAACGTGAGTCAATGATCTGTTATACCTCACTAAAAAAATTCCGAGGGCACCTCACCTACCAATCTATTAGGCAAAGCATGTTCCCCTCCTATAAGCTCCAATTTGTCAATATGGAATATAACAATTGTATAGTTTATCTATTTCTTGCTCAAGTCGCTCAAAAATGTAGCTTCCCAGAATACAGACCTGAGAAAGAACCTCATCACCAGCAGGCGGTATTCGAGGAAGCAACGCCAAGACTGCACCAACGACAGGCGAGTCATCTTCAGAATCCGCCATATCACCTAATTCATTCGCAGCAGTAACCATAGGCTCAGTATTAGCAACTTTTCGTGATTGCTAATAACAGAAAAACGAGGGCACGGCGCCAACTAATATCTCCTTACATACAGTGAATGACGGTGTGTACTTTTTCAAAGCTTTGCTTGAACTGCTTGATGACGGCACAAAAAATCAAACTTTTAAGACATCAGATTTTAAGAAGGTATAAAGGCTTTGGCAGCGAACGTGAATAATTTTAGAATTACCTCCATGGCTATAAGCTGACAAAACACTTACCTATCGCATTGAGCGCAAAGAGACAGGCTTCGATGACCTTTGCGTTTTTGGTTTCAGAATATTCCGCGACAGCTGTATCCAGCGCGGATATAAAGAAGTAGAACACTGGCGCTGGCAGCATCGTAGCAATGTACATCTGAAGCCATTGAATCAATACAGTTTGATTGTTATCTAAAAGCTTATATAGCCATAAGCGTCACTGCTAGCAGATTCACTTCATCCTATTCTGCTAAACAAAACCCTTCTCCGAACCAAAAACAAAATACATATACGCCGATGTGTCGTATCACAATATCACTCTGTACATTAGAAAAGTCGCATATATAATTAAACAGCAGATGTTAAAAGGTCTAGAATCGAGACCGAATAGAAGCTAATGGACGGCCGAAGATACATCAAATATTGCTAGACTTAGCAATTGCATTAAAACTAAACCAAATGAACTAAAAATTCGAAGAAGATTAGGGGTGTATTCCATTTTTAACTGCATGGTTAAGACACTTACAGACATACCCATTTTAAGACAAAGTTAACGAAATTAATGCGAATTACATTAGTAAATCGCAGTTTTCTCCTGCTCGAACAGAAACACTATGTATTAATTAATAGTACTTCAAATAACAAGTATTGACTGCATGGAGTAATTCCATTCGTTACTGACATAGCAGTCAGCGATATCTTGTCTGTAGCAACGAAGATCTTCTTTTTCATCCAAGTCCATCGTTCCCGGGTCAGGCAGTTGACTTTTCCGAAGCATTAGTTTCACGAGCTGTTCGTATACCGGCTGTAACTGCAGTGTGAGCTTTGCCATTTGTGTGCTAGGCTCAACACGGGCGAGCTCATCGAGTAGGATATGCCAGAACGTAATTGGAATACGTGAGATAATCTCCTCCGATGGATACTGGCCGGGCGTGCCAACGCAATCCTATAGAAAATTGCACACAGGACTGTAACATTTCTATAATCAGAGAAGCTGACATGAACTCATAGCATTAGTGACTGCAAATGGCCGATTTTATCGTTAGAGTACTGAGATGTTTTCATTCGATGGTCTTCATTGGAGTAATGAATTTAGAGAACTGACATACTCATATATATTTGGATTCCATTATTATGATGAACCATACACACCTATGATCTATCGTATCTTGTTCGAAAAATATTTACATAAACCTCGCTTCTACAATTTACTGTTAGGTTATGACTAACTCCGCTCTATTATATCTACTAACCTAAACAAACTTACCGTACAATACGCTTTTCTAGTCCCCATGACCAAGTCATCGATGCTTAAAAGCTACGCACAACTGCAAAATGAACCAACTAAAGGGTTCCCTTACCAGTAGCATTTTGAGTAACATCTCAGTCCCTGGTCTGTTTGAGCTGTCCGGTAACAAGCTAGCCAGGATTAGATTCGTGTGCATCTCGCCCATGCCTGTAAAGCGGGTGAGATTAGAGGTTACTGCAACAAAATTTTCATCAGGATCAAGCGTTTTAGTAGAAAAGGTTTACTGTTAAAGAAGACAAAATATTAATCTACGAACCAGTTAGTAGAGAGTATATGGAGAAGAGCGCATCCTGATCACCGCACGCACGTTTTGTCTCGACAATGGGCCCGCACTTAACCGCCACTTGTTCCAAAAGGTCGCCCATCAGTTTCGGATAATGCGGTCCGTCAGGATGCTGCAGAAAACTCAGGATGGCATCGCAAGCATGTTCGTGATCATCTGTTAAGTGATCTACGGCAACAAATATCCACACAGCACATCTGTCGTTTATAAACTGGTGCTTTGCGGTTGCTGACCATAGAAAATTCTGCGTCATTGCATTGAAAAGTATAGTAGACATTCGCCGAGTCGGTATTTTCTATTCCTCTCGTGTGGATTTTCAACTTTTGCATATTATGCCGTATTAAACTGTGAAATCAAATATATTATTGTACTTAACCTACTCTAATGGGCCGCTATGCAATAAACAAATTTTTGCGGCCTTCCTCAATCTGAATTTACCAAGGAGAGTGATGCAGAGATTGGCTGGCAACTCTTCCGCAGGTGCTAGCGGCACCCATTGAGTAACCGTGCGCATTGCTGTTATGCGAAGGTTTGCAATCGGGGATGCCAACGCCGATTGACATAGGGACAAAACGGAGGTCGCTGAAACGCGTAGTGTGTTTGCATGATTGTCCGGCTTTTCCAATTGTGCCGCCTAGAATAATTAATGCACAAAACAAAATTAGGAAATGTATTAGGGAGAGAGACCGTTTTTATTGTATATACACAATTTACTACTAAAATAAACTTTCGGATTCGTAAAAACATCCATTGCAACTAAAGCCATTCAGCTACTGTTTTCGTTTTATCAAATATTACAGCGAGGAAAAGTTAACTCCGATAAGGTGAACTGTTTATTTGCTAAGCGTAAAAATCTTAAAATATTACACCTGTAAAAATTCTATAATATATATACCCATAATATAACACCGTGAGAGCAGCTGAACAGGATGTACCATATAAATGTTGATACTCAACCATTCTTGAATAACGCAACGATAACCGCAGACACCGATATTCGAGTAGAAATAATACATATGTAGATCAATTGTTCTGTACTTGCCTCCTCAGGAAGTCGAGCGAGGAATTCGAATAGCAGAATCGGTTGACTGTCCCGAAAGTTTTCAATCATGTCTGTGACCGCGCTTTGCCAGAAGAACAGCAGTGTTCGAGCAGCCATTGCAGCCAACTGAAATCGAATATGAAATAGTGTCGAGTGTTACAAAATGAGCGTGTGTTAAATGTGACTACCTGTCGTAAACATCGCCACCTACCATTCGAAATACACAAGACACGAGTTAGATGAGGTACCGAAGACAGGTAGCAAAGATCAAACAGCACTACGACAAAATTAAATTGAGTTACTTCCAATGGCCTACCAAATAATTATGTCTAATAATCTTGCAACCTTTTATTTATAGCAATCAGTGAGTTCACTATCGAGCTGTTCGTAGTGCGCGTCAATGCGCAACTAGGACTCGAGTCAACGACGCCAAACGTGCGTGTTTTTCATGCATCATGGTAGTTTTCTAACTGAAAAAATAGCAATATCTGACCCAGCCCAGATGTGTGCTCGCAAAACTTAGATGAAAAACCATTCGGAAGCTAACTTAAGAAGAGATCGAATTATGAAGCTACCCTAGAAGCGAAGTATAACTATGCCAAAATGGAGAGGCTTGTTTACCGATTATGCATGTGAGCAGATCATAGTCATATCTTCAGTCAGTTATGGATGGTTATGTATTTGCCTGTCTATCAGGACACAACTGTATTCTGGCGCAATCTTAAATCACTGCTATATATTACTTACCGCTAGAGTTAGCCTGACAGCAACCTGTTGATTCGACGGCAGTGGCCCGCTGGCGTGAGCGACAATTGTGCCTACCAGTTGCTCCCGAAGGGCACTTAATTGGATCGGTTGAAGCTGCCGTAGACCTTTGCAGATTTGTGACGTTACCATAGCGGCGCCCACCATTTGGCATTTGAGGTCCTGTGGTGTAAAAGCAAATAGAAAAGTTGACGATGTACTATATATGATACTTAACGATATTTTATACCTAACTAATGTTTAATGTTTTCTCGCTTGTTGAAAATTATAGTACCATGTACTACAAAGCGAAATTAGGTTGCCTTGCTGTAAAATATACGTATATGGCCTTGGCCTTTATCGCATAACAAGCAATGTTGCCTATCGCGGAGGCACTTACATAACCACAAAGGCATTTGCGCGTCGGTCATGTTCAGCAGGCGAGAGTATTTGCAAAATGTGTTGTGTTTCCATTACGAAGAAATGAATAGATATGTAACTATTTCCAGTCGAGCGATAAAACACTGCACTCATCAAATTGGTATCGAACCACAAAGTATCAGCCAGATTTTACAGACTGGACATCGCTTAACATGAGGTACTAGAACCAACGTACAAATACGCTCACATACGTCGATGTAAATCTATTTTTAAGAGCCAAGAGCGCAGCGCCTAATGACAACGTTAGCGCGAAATATAAATTGCGACGGGGTGAGATCGAGTTAGCGATCTTTCTGTTAGTAGTCTGCCCTGTCTAGCCAAGTACTTAAAGAGCTTACAGTCACAATGGTTAATTAAGGGCGTTAATAAACGGTTTAATTTGGGAACAAGCATGAAGGGCATCTTCTTGTCGCATATGCCTTTTGGCAGCTGAGCGAACGCACGCTGGGTCGGATCAAGTCATCATAATCAGATCTGACACCGATAGCCATAATCATATTGTACATAGCGACGCCGCTGAATCCATGTTTCTTTACGTCACCACTGGTATTTCGTTTTCTGTACAGCAAGGGCTCTACCATCAACGCGCCTGTTACGAACCCATCTGATGATAGATAACCAAACTGTGCTAGAGTCTATGCTGAGCAGAGTGCAAAGAATGGGTTTATAGGTTACAATATCACAATAATTGTTCGATTGAGTTTTGGCTTCACTGTGATTCAAATATAGCTTTGAATACGTACAAATATTGCTTCGCATACATACAATAAATAATTTATTGTTCTTTTTTATAATAAGTATTACATTGGCTCCGTACACACAGTATCTTGATTGTTACTCATCCTGTACTATGGATTAGTTTCCTGAAGGAAAAGGATCTAACAAAAATAACTGAGTTAGAAGACAAACTCCACAAAATTAAGCGAATAAAGCGTCTTTTCTTTTTTTTTTTTCTATTAATCGTCCTTTTCTTATTTGAGAAAAGCGATTTGGCCTAGATTTACCGCTATAAGGGATTAGCATGGTAATGTAATTTCAATAATATTCAATAATGCAAAATATATTTGCTCCATAAAAAAAGACCCATATGTACCTTGTTAAGCGCAAGTAGTTGCCAGCTCAGTGTCCATGCTTGGGGACACTCTTGCAGTTCACACAAGAATCGATTGGCTTCCTGTGATGCGGCCTGACCCGCTAGCGGATCAAACAGCTTTTCTATTGCCTAGACTCAGGTTAAAGACAAACAAATCGACGTTACATTCAATAACAGATCAAGCCTTACACGATCCGCAGTAGTACTCACACTAATTATATTACGCGTTCCCGTATATAACCCAAAACAGATTTTCATCTGAGGCATGTTTAAGACACACTGTCGCGTCTACATGGAAGAAGCAGGCGGAGGTGCTACTCACACTTGTTATGCGTCTTCCCTAGCAATGAAGTCTGAGTTCTATTGGCCTAAGAAAAATCGACCAGAATAAGCATAACGAATGAAATCAACGAATTGATTGAACTGTCGTCTATAAAAAGAACTAGCTCGTCACATAAGTAAAGGGCGCGCTGTTTACGGATTGTTCCGTTTCGGTAGGTATCCGCAATATTGTTCTACGGCACTACTCACTGTTTCGACCATGTGAAGATCGACATCCATCGTGTCCTACGCGTATTTGCCAAAAAACAATTAACTTGGATATTGCTTTGTACACGAATACCAAAGTCACAATTAGACCTCGATCATTTGCAACGACAACGAACACCTTCTTTAGTCTCATATGAACGACTCATCCGATAAGACGTTCGCTTTAGAGCTCATGGGTGACGCCATCTTGTTTTGTTAGACACCCGTGCGCGTCGCTTCGGGTGTGTGTGTGAGTGTGTGTGTGTGCGAATGTGTGTGTGTGTGTTTGCTTGTGTCTGTTAAACAGAGCGACCGGCCAACTGTTGTTCGTAGTCTGGACCAGTTTATATAGAACTCTTCTTCAGTTTAGTCCAGTCCTTTCTCTGCCGTGACAGCGGCCTGGTGTGACAGTCTCACTTGCGCTTGAAATGAGAAATATTGCGCAGTTGTCTTTTTAACCGTACGAAGTATACGCTGCCTACAACATGTCACTGACAACTACACATGGGGCGCGAGTCGCTCGGTCGTTGGCGCACACGGGTGTCATTCTGCCAATAAAGTTCTCCGTAGTCGGCAACGATAGAGCCGATTTTCCCTGTGGAACCAGCGCTCGCTGTCAGTTACATTCCGGCCACCGTGTAGTTTGCGCAGCTCCGAAAATCAGTTCCGCCACGTAACCGGTCCGTTATGTCTGCCAAGATTAAGTGTAAGTGTGACTGCGCAAATTATAGAACACTATTACATTGTGATACCAACAATGTTTTGTGCGCGTCTAGTTATTGGTTTAGTACTGCTGCGATGCCCCTCATTACAGAAACGGTTGTGGAGAAAGACTCTGTGTAGAAACACGCTACGGTTATTTATATTTTAGGATATTTTCACACTTTTAGATGGCTCGTACAATATTACGCCGTCTTTACAAAGAGCTCTTTGCTTTGCTAGAGTCATAAAGCCAACGAGCAAACTAGCCTGATGACAAACTTAACACTGTCGTTATTCGAATCCAACGAAGTCCGTGTGAACAAAACGCATTCGTAGTTGATAGTAGATTCCTTATACGAAAGGCCTTGTATGTATGACAGATTTACTACGTTGAATACGTGTTAGAAATTCATTTTTGTTATAAAATTCGCCATCGATATAGTGGTATGGTATATATGCTCATGAAAATAGTTAAAGGAAATGGTCTTTTTTTTCTTCCTAATCCAGATACTATTACCAGCGGAACTTCCTAAAATCAAATGGACATGCTGGTCACGTCTAACAGAATGTTATCCCAGCGTTGTCGTTAAGATTTAGACGTGTACAAAAGAAAAAAATAGAATTCAGTTTTGGTCTGAAAGCTGCGTGTCAACCAGCGAGAGCTAAACACTTGCGTTGATGCTGTTGTGCTTGTTGGGCAGCAGAATGTTTGGGGTCGCTTCGGGCAGGGGTGGGTTATCGACCCCGAATCTGTCATGTCTGAATGTCACGAAGACGAACCGACTCTAACAGAATTCTGATAGTTCTAACGAACTCTAACAGAAGCCGGAGGCAGTGGTTAGTGTTACTTGGTAACTACTGTCCAGACAACTCAACCCATCATAGCTCCATAACGACAAGTGTTGAATCAGTATCGAATCCAAGGTCACAAACTGAATATATGTAGAAATGAACTTACTTTACATGAGACAACGGTACGAGAGAACGACCCGGTTCATATCATCGTTTCAGTTTACGGAGTTGCGTATTTGTGTATGATATTGAATAATGGTTGGTTAGCTATCTCGCCTTAAAGCGAGTATGATTGGGCATGGCATACAGAGCGATCTATCGAAACGCGTGCCAGAGTACGGTGTTCGCCCCTAGATTCTACAACATTAACGCTATTACTACGGGGCAATTAATAACATCTACGTGCTGTTGTATTTGGGGCAATCTGTTTGTACCGAGCATGCGCTTTTCCGTTGTCACTGCAACTAGAATTATTTATTAATACCATTTTTTTGAATTAATTCCACTACACTCTTGGGAAAAACATACGTAATTCTATTCAAATCATTGTTGATTGCAACGTCAAAACTTATTATTTTCGAACATAGACAATGATCTGAAATGTGGTCAATTCAAATTACTTGCATCGTATTCACTTGATACATAAAAATAAACACATATTAGAAAATGATTATGAATGAATGTGAATAAAAACATGGAACATGATGATAACTTAAGTGCTTCAGATTCGTACTGAAGAGAAATTTTTTCTCTTCGAGAAACGAGAAAGTTCGAGAAACGGCAACTGTAACCGTCTTACCATAAGTGGCTTCCGGCGCTCGTGAAACAAAGTAAAAATTCATGACTGTGATATATTTAAGGACGTTCAATATATTCAAGCACGAAAAGTTTATTTGCGTTGTCATTAGTCTTCAAAGGCTTCGCGTTGTAAACTAAATTGTTATTTTTTTTCCCTTGCGCTCAACAGAGGAGCTTTTTTTCGAAGCCCTTATGTAAATAGAATTATCCTAAATGTACCTATTTTGGTAGATTAATTGAAGCTTTTATGTATAGGAAAAAAGAACTTCGAGTATGCCTACATTACTGGATGTTACTTTTTCAAAGTAAACACCGCTGTCGTCGAATTCGTGGTAACGATGAACAGACGGTGGCTCACGCATAACCATGTAAAAAAAAAAATGTATAATCTATTCAGTTCGCGATGCCACAAACACGTATTACCTATTATCTGTCGTTGACAACAAACAAAATAAGGCGAAAAGTTTCAGCTCGCGCAGTTGCAAAGTTAGTAGAAAGTGTAATGCGCATTCAAAAACACTATCGATATCTGTGCTATTGAATCTATATACGCAGTATACACAAGGCCATAGTAACTTCCATTATTATTATTAAATTCAAGTAACATAAAGGCGTTTTTTTTTGTAACAGAAACCACACTGGGCAGTATACTCTATCGTCGAATATAACAATCGACGTACATAAATCATAAGCGGTAGTTATCCACTCGCCAGTTCTATATGTCTCCGGGTTACCTCATGAAATGTTTCTACGGCCGACGGCACCCGGTCCACAAAAGTCTTGTTTGTTGTGATTTGCCAACCTATCTGGCTGAAGCAAATGTTTCTTCTACGAAATATAGCTTCCACTACCGAAACCTACTCGTCCTCCTGTCTCACGTTCGTTTTATACTGTCGAACGATAGTCTTACTCAAGACCCACAATCGCACACTTTCAGCCCAGCGAGAGGCGTTTCACTAGCATATCTAGCCAAAGCTTTTGCGGAATCTTCGCACATACAGTTGTCCCCCTTTTCATACCTACTGCAGATGCAAGTAGCGTGTACGGCAGTGGAAAACTGCGAGATCTGCGGTCCACATGCACATACGTGACAAATTTTGTTCTCGGCTTTGTTTGTTTGTTTATAGTACGTGTGGCATCCGTTGTTCATTTACAGTCAGGTATGATGGATACAAGAATACTACCTTCTTGTTCCCTTTTTCTAGGTGGAGCTGTCGTCGACATTCTCGGTGATGAGATGACAAGGTAAGGCCGGCAAGTAGTTTCATCGTAAATATTTACACAACCGGAACACAAAAATTCAGATATCGCTGTAGCAACAAATGTTATGGGTGACTGGACAGTTCCTGTATTTTCGCCACGCAGGCGTTATGGATTCGTTTTGTCATCAAAAACGTAGAATAAATACCTGAGGCGAGCGTCGGTTGAATAGAACCTTGCAGAGTGCTTGTATTATGGTTCCATATATGTATCTAATATCTGGTATGACTGTTTTTTGTTTCCGACATTTTCTTTCTTGAAGTAAAATGTTAACGTAAATTTTTGTTACCTTAAATCCGTGAAATTTCAGTCTAACCATGCTGTAATCTATTTTACGCTAAGGAAACCTTCGATACATTGAGACAGCTCGAAAGAGATTTTAGAAATTATATTTCGCCCATGTACACTCGTTATTAACGAGAGACGCACAAGAAAAGCTTCGTTTTGCAAAAAATTGTTGTAGTACTTAAGTGACAGCGTTGTTATTCAAGGTAGGACACACTCATATGGCGAAAGCGAAATCTCCCTCTATTGAGTCTCCTTTCCGAACTCTTCATTCGAACTTTGACCATCGGAGCTTATGGTAACAGTCACGGTGGTAAAATACGGCTGAACAGTTCAGTCTTTTAATTTGCAGTTAGTTCACTCTATAATAGAACTGGGTAAATGTGTGATTAGGCATAGTTCTACCTCCTGTTGCATCTCAGTGTGTTCCAAGCCCTTATAGAATATAGTGTATCTCTTGTTGATATACACCATAAAATGGGGCTCGATATTTGTCGTTTAAGTCTTGCTTTTATGTACATAAATATTGTTCATAATGTAATGTTAAAAAAGAAATGAAAAATATATACGTGCTTATTTGTCTTTAGGATTATTTGGGACATCATCAAAGAAAAGTTGATCTTCCCGTTCCTCGATCTGGAGATTCATACGTATGACTTGGGGATTGAGAACCGCGATGCTACCAATGATCAAGGTTAGTTATGAAGAAGCTATTAATAAAAAGCACTGTAAAATGTTCATTTGTTCATCTGTAAATATCTACATAATTCACGGAAATTATAAAATGTCTTCAAGCATGAGTGAATGGTCAAAGCTATTTATACTTTCTCCAAGTTAAAAAGTGACCGAATTGAAACCATTTTATGATTGCGGTATGGTATAATTTTCCGTGTCAAAAGGGAATTCATGAAGATAGGAATGTTAAAAGTATACCCACAGGGTGACATTAGATCGCGGTTACTTGCTTCCCTTTTCCGCCTATTGGCACTATTGTGTTTTTATTTTTCTCTTTATTTCTTTTTGAAGGAAAACAAACAAATCATGAGGATCATCTTCGATTTGGCCACGACCCCTCGTAGGGGTCAAATCGCTATCGAGGTTTGTTGCTTGCCACAAGATGACCTGGATGCCTCTGTCAATGGTCAAATAAAACACGTGACACAATTTCGCCGGGCATAATTGGGGTGTGTTATGTGTGTGCGTATGTGTTATCAATTCCTACCCTGACTGGCGAATAATAAAAAGGTCTACCAGTTTTGTCATCTGAGAACAACCCTCGGTACTCCCCCACAGCAAAGGTCGTCTCCAGAGGTGTTTCCAATCCTTGTTAACGTTCTCTAATACTTGCCGTGGCTGAAATAATGGTTTGCGTGTTGGGCTAAAGGGGCGGACTAGACGGAAGAGTCGTGAACACCTGCCCTTACATAGAAACGCGTACGAAATACTTTCTCGTCGTGTAAACAAAGTGGGTTCGCAGAATATAGATATACGCATTGGGTAGAACATGAGAAAAAGAATAATAATTTCATAGTCTCCATCCTGTTTTGCTATATGGGGTAAAGGCGAGAGGTTTTAGCCTGTAGGACTTTGACAAACATGTCCAAGTCCGGTGCAGATCTCCCATACTAAATGAACAATTTGCAACGTCCGCGATTTCTGTGTCTGATTTGGATCAATGGGGTGTTACAAAATTAAAGAATCTACTAGAACTTGAAACAACTGACTCAATGAAAAAGTGTTATTGTTGTGATAGCCAAAAATAAGATTTTCTACCCATTTTGGCAAGTAATCATTAGCTAGCGATGTTTTACAGAAAAGCAGATCTGTTCGTCGTCGGCATGTTCCCTTGGTGGCTTTGCTAGTATTCAGTGCAATGGTATATTTTGGTAATATCTGGCCAAAGAAATCAAATAGAGCCCTGCGTGAGAGCATATCTGACGAGACCCAGTAAGCAATATATTTAAATCAAAATTGAGTTATATGTACCCAATATGACTGCGACATACCTAACCGTAGCAAATGTTGATCGATTAATATTGAATGGCGTTTAGTTAGCAACACGTTCGATGGTGACTCTCTTGGTATCGATCTGAATTATTTGACCTTAAACTTTGCTTGTTAATGCTGACTATTTTATTCTTTCTCTACCTATATCGCGCTAGTCTTGTTTCGTTTCCAATATTTATATCATGTTAAAATAGTTGTTATGAAGTGTACGCAAATACTTTATCTTGTTGGGCCGTCTGACCACAAAGTATACAAGTTATTTCATTTTTGTTGTAATATTTCTCGGTCAAAAAGCACTACGTACATTTTAACTAGAAGGAAGCATCGTACTATTACGCAAGTCTATCAGTTCCAATTCTGTCTTAGATAGTTTAAGTTAGTCTTCCTCTAAGCGCAGTATTTATTAATATAATGGCTAGACTTCGCAATATTCGATTGCATACATACCTTTTTTTATCCTAGATTTGTTGCTGTGGTTTTCAATACAAAAGCGTCATCCACTGATTCGGGTTTCGATACCCAAATACAATTTCATATTGGTAATAGAACTGGCTTACGAAGGTATTTAGCATCGCCTTACCGGATTTCTATCAGATATGAACGCTTCTGTTTTCCGACTCTAAAATATAGAACTTAATGGCTAGTCTGTTTTTGCAGACTCCCCTTAATAGCTACTTCCTACGTTAAAACATTGTCGCATTGTTTCTCTTGAATTTTCCTTCCTATATTGCTTAGAAAAAATGTATATTTTGATGATTTATGCGATTCCTGAATATTGTCCACGGACTTACACAGAAATGGGTTTTTTCCAGTAAGGGTTGAGTTGGAGGTTGTGTATGCAGAGGAGTCACTTCTATTCGACCCAATATAGGACCTAGTGTATCTGACGACTTCAAGCTATAAATAACTTTATTATAAGAAAATGTGTCACTGAAGCATTTGACCCAATTTCTATAAGAGACAGTGAAATTCTTCTAGCTGAAGGTCTGCTTTGCCCTGGAAGTAGTTCTTTGAAAATGACTCCACGGTTCCTTGAGCCTTCATGTAATTTTGGTATGTATGACTTACCATCAGTCAGCCCCTATGTGAATAAGCAAATAACTCTGACACTGTCGTCTTCTGTAAACAACTATTAACGACATGAGCGTTTTTACAGTAACCGTCGAGTGCGCAAACGCAATAAAGAAATACAGTGTTGGAATTAAGTGCGCGACTATTACTCCGGATGAAGCTCGTGTTGAGGAATTTAAGCTAAAGCAGATGTGGAAATCTCCGAACGGAACGATCCGAAACATTCTCGGTGGAACTGTGTTCAGGTTAGCACCGCAATCGCATCCGTTTATGAGTAAACATTGTGTCAAGTAAATATCCGCGTATGCAAGCACGTTACGTACAAGAACATACCAACTGACTTAAATTATACAGAACGACGCACACTAAAAGCTAATTAGGGCGGTATACAATAGATTAATGTGATTAGTAGAGTAACTAGTCTGCGTCGCATTACAATATACTTCATTCAAAAAGCAAGCTTCAGTGTTTTAATATTAGTGTTTTGGTCATTAAATAGAAGTCATCATAGAAGAACTAGTTTTTTGGTCATTTATCGTAGTTATGCTTCTACTTTACAGGCCTCACTCTAAGTTAATACGTACTTCCAAAATGCATACGCTCTTGAATCCAGTCAATAAATTTTCACTAGCATTTGACTGACAAACACGCTGGGTTAATACGTGCTGGTAATTCGGGTTTGACTTACAGAGAGGCTATCGTGTGTAGCAACATCCCCCGTCTCGTCCCTGGATGGAAGAAGCCCATTGTGATAGGACGTCACGCATTTGGAGATCAGTACAAGGCAACTGATTTCGTGGTGCCTGACGATGGCAAGCTACAAATCACCTTCACGGCTAAAGATGGCAAGGTGAGTAAATCCTATGTAAATAAAATGTAATAAAAACGAAATGAAGGACAAGCTAAAACGGTTCGGTAACAGATGAACAGCGCAACACCAATTGGTTGAAGTATGCAACTTAATTTCGAACGTCTCTCCAAACAGGTCATCTCTCATGAAGTGTACCAGTTTGAGGGTACTGGCGGAGTCGCAATGGCGATGTATAACACTGACCAGAGCATCAGGGAGTTCGCGAATTCGTCTATGCAATACGCCCTTGACAGGAAGCTTCCTCTATACCTCTCCACTAAAAACACAATTCTCAAGAAGTATGATGGCCGCTTTAAGGACCTCTTCCAGGAAGTTTACGACAAGGTACGCTGCCAGCGACAACATGATCTACGACCTATATGTTTGAAATTAGTAAATAATGGAAAAGCCCGTCCCAGATTTTGACTCCTCAAAATATATAGGTAGGCAAGCAGATGAAATTACTATGGTAGCAGGTGAACAAAAAAAGCACAATACGTCACTGATGTGAGGAAAAGGTCTTATATATTTAGATTCGACAATCATTATTAAGGAGTTCAATCGTAGTCAGTCAAAGCATGCTTATTATTCAAACGTTCTGAAGGTATCATGGCCCTACTAATGGTGAACCATTGTTCTGTCGTTTTACAGTGATATTCTCAAAATAAGTTTCTGTGCATCTATTGTTTCAAAATTAAATGCATACTGACAGTCATACAAATGTCCCAATACAGGAATATAAAAAAGCGTTCGAGGGCGTCGGTATCTGGTACGAGCACCGGCTGATTGATGATATGGTCGCCTATTGTATGAAATCGGAAGGTGGTTTTGTATGGGCGTGCAAGAATTACGACGGAGATGTGCAAAGTGATTCCGTTGCTCAAGGGTTTGGCTCGTTGGGATTAATGACCTCCGTACTTGTCTGTCCTGATGGTAAGATTAGGTTATTTTTCCGTCCTCACTGGTTAGTTTACTTCCTGTAGAAACTTAGCCCCGACTTGTGCTTCGAATCAAGCAAGGCAAATGATAGTGAGATACTTGTTGTTACGGTATCAAAGGAAAAGAAAAGCCTTTTAATCAGTCGCCAATTAGCTTTTTGGTTCGTTGCTATCGCAGGAAAAACTGTGGAGGCAGAAGCTGCCCACGGAACTGTGACAAGACACTATCGCATGCATCAACAGGGCAAGGTAAACAGGCTTACATATGCTTAGGAGTTGGGTAGAGCGTTGCACTGATGTAAGAGAGCATCGAATAAAGTAACACGAGAATCAATTAAGGCACTTACCTTTAGATTCGCAGGATAGTAACCGAAATATCCTGGGCAGTTACGTCGTCAAATTTAAATGCGTTAAGGATAAATGAGGTTTTTTTTAAAGTGATGAGTTAAAAGCTGTGCACGTAAATATACAAAGATAACGTAAGCTTTTGCCCGCTGTCTAATTACGAAGGGGACAAACCTGATGACTTAATAGATATCGGTGCGGCTCCTATATCAATACCCATATATAACAAATGGTGGGTTCTTCACGGCATGTGCTATCGTACTAATTATAAAAACTGTTATGGTAGGAAACATCAACAAATCCTATTGCGTCTATCTTTGCATGGACTCGTGGCCTCGCGCACCGCGCGAAGCTTGATTCCAACGATGAGCTGGCTAACTTTGCCACTGTACTGGAACAAGTGTGCATTGAAACCGTCGAGGCCGGTGAGTAACTAGCTTATTGTACAGTTTGCGGTGCGAAAACAAATTGTAAATCTATATATTGGCGTTAATAAAACTGAGCGAATTAAAACGTGCAGCGTAACACTCGAGCATTATTCTGTGATTGCCCAACTAGTCCTTGATAATACGATGAGCACACGCAGTTGTTATTTTGCTGTAATCGTCCGGTCCCGGCTAAAAGAAACCAATTTCTTTGTAGAATAATTAAAAAAAACAAAACATTTCTTCGCCAAACTAACGGATAGGGCAAAGATTTTATAGGATGATACCCTATCCTTTTCCGGAGACCTATGTAGATTTTTACTAAAAATCTACGGAGGTTCTTAGTTCAGGAACTACCGTACATAATGTCGGACCATATCGACTTTGTAAAACATGTTAAAAAAACAAACTTAACACAAAGCAATGTTATGTTTTACATCTTATAGGTGCGATGACAAAGGATCTTGCCTTATGTATTAAGGGCGCCTTAGACAAGGTGCAAAGGTCGGACTACCTGAATACGTTCGAGTTTCTTGACAAGATTGCCGAGAACCTCAAAGTCAAGCTGGCGGCCCAGTGATTAGATAGCTCTCATGCGACAGTTAATTGCAAGCTGTAGAGTAGGTGCCAAATCCTACTGTACCGGATGCAGGATGCTAATTGGACTTTCGGGTAAACTAACGACGCCTCGCAAACTATGACCCGTTTCACCTTCGGACTGAATCTTTGTTCTATGCTCACTCTTTAAAAAATTGACGATATCTGCTACGATGCAGAATTATCCAGTGCGCTATGAGTCTGTTTGTCATGGTTGCCTGGTTTTATCTACGCAGTTAGATGAAGGACATTTGAAGGTTTACTGAACGATAGTAAACCAAAACTACAATTGAATTGTGTCAGTGACATAGGAAGCCTCAATACAGACAGTGATTTTTATTGACATGGTAATATATATCAGTGTGATAGAAGCTATAGATGGAGACTCATATTAAAATATACATATACACATGTGTAATTGAACGCAGTCCATTTACACCACCGTACGACCTAAACTAAAGTGCTGTCGTTCAGAAAATGATCTGAAAAATACAAACCTCAACCACCTTCTATACAACATACAACAGTTATTAAGGTATTTTATCAAAGTTGATATCGTACGCACCCTATATCTTTACATATACCTTTACAGTAAACTATACTAAGCGTTATATATATATATATATTCTTTCTATGCTCTGCGCATTTTGACAATACCGAAATGACGGCTAACTTGGATTCTGACGGTCATTCAGCCGCTCTTGCTGTACAAGAACGCTTATACGGTATAAAGGGGGTACAAAGACAATAAAGTCCCTTTGAATTCACTTTGAAAACACGTGTGCTTTTTATACACTTGAGAAATGCTATAATATTACTAATAAGTAAGGGTACTAATAAGTGTCGTTTGATTAATTCCTCTCATTGGTATGAGGGTTGACCTTGCACGCTATTCGAGCGTCAATATACCTGAAAGTGTAAACATTTTCAAGGTATTCAGGTAGATGTAGCACCTTTTTGAGTGGCTTGCTGTTTTGAATTGTAAATTTTATCTCAACACCAAACTGACTCTTGCCGTCCCGTTTTCCCTTCCATGCCCCTGTTAAAATAAGGACTGATATTCCATAACGTTTGCGTATAGCTAACTGTCCTTCCAGACTGTGTGCATGGAGACGGGCGAGAGATAAGGAAGAGACCATTTGCTCTTGTTTTTTGCATTGTTTCCTAGTGCCTCACTTGATAGTTGACATAGTGGAATTAATTGAGTACCCTGAAGCCATAGAAAACTGGCTGAGCTTTATTTTTTTCTAGCCAGGTCAACTGTAGCCATGATTGGGACAGCTTTCATTTGCTTGCTCTAGACAAATTTGTCAAAACCTGACACTGAAACTGTATGACCCCAGTGGATTCTGTTTGCTTATACTATCTGTTCATGGTTCAGGTTTTTCTGATGGCAAATTTTTAACCCAATCCCGTAACAGTCAATACTGCTCGGGGCAGGGCTTACGCTCTCAGATAAAGTGCTATTGCGTCTTATCGGATGGTTTTTCAAGTTAATATATTATGTTATGATTTAGAAAGTAGCCACCCTGGTCATGGATCGCTCATATACGCAGCGGTGCAAACGTCTGTTGATTATCACTAAAAGCTAGGACAAATTGAATATTAACGCGGGCAGAACTTCTCTAAGCATTGCATTTGTGAAATAGCGGTACTAATGATGTAACGCTGCATTTTAAAATTTAAGTAAAGCTAAGCATTACGTTATAGAAAGATATCGAGTAAAAACCTTTACTCGACAATCTCTAAAAGACTTATTACTCAAGAAGCCCCTCTTCATGAATTGGTATTTACTTCCAACGACTTCTCACTATAATTTCTCATAGTTGGCATAGTCGCTTCATTCACGCCGAAGACACGTTCTTCTTTATGTTAAAACATATCTAACCACATCTACGCTCACCTCCCTGTATCAATACCAGGAACTATAAAAATATATATAGAAAATAAATATAGGAATGTTGAACGGTGTCTAGGTTCAAGCCACTGTAGATTTAATGAGGGATACTTGGTATAAGTTTATAGTGACTTGTTTGATTAAAAGATTCAAGTCATACGTATGTTCTCGCTTCGCGAGTCTTCTGACTGTTACCGTTGAGACCCTTTATTCTAATCAGCAAAACTTTGGGCCAAACAAAAAAAAATGAAAATTTATTCTGATCGTTACGTGAATCGTTTGTCACACATTTGGTAAATGACGACCAGCAAATTCTTATCAGATTCGCTGTCTCACGACTCAGAATGACAGTGTTAGGTAACCCTAACGGTCCCATCGGCCTACAAGTACGAAAAATGATAATGACTTGTATTTTATTCATATATATTGCTCTTTTTTTAGAGTAGCTGCTGTACTCCTGTTGTTATGTTTTTGGAAATATTCAAATCACTGTCGAAAGAACCTTTAGATGTATGCCTTACCGTTTGTCTGACAAATTTCCCCATACAATTTTCCATGACCATTTAAGTTCCACTTGAATATACAAGCTAAGGTTTTACTGGTGAATTATTATTCTTATATTATATTAATCCTTATTACAGTGACACGAAAAGCCAAGAAGAACATTTTCAAAGAAAAGTAATTGCTGCAACAGTATTCGACAGATTACCAAATGGCTTCGAACACCGAATGAGAAATAATAAGTAATTTGTGACGGCCTAAATTGTAGCGCCCAGCAATTTTGCGCAACGCACGAAGTTAAAGTATACGCATCTACTATGTGAGATCTAATAAATTGTCTATTGAAAAGTGACAGTGAAAAAACATTTTGTAAGCGTTAACAAAAAACAGCGCATTTTTTGGGCAACTTGCGTCACACTCGATGATGATTACATTTAAGGTAGAGTTTGTATGATACTTTTGTGCCATGGATAGACGTTTCTAAGTCCAAGCAGCTGAGGAACTTTAATTATGGGACAGCGTCTTTTCCGAAAAACACCTACAAATTTCAGGAAACCCTATGAAGTGTAACTGGCATTTGCAGTAACTATGATAAAAACCACGGGAGTGGTGGCTAAAACTAATATCCAAACGGAAAGTTGATTGCAGCGACGTAATTCCTTCTATGTGAATAGATATTCCAAGTGGAAAATTCCCTTACGTTCTTCTTTTTATGATTATGATTCAGAGTTGCTTTTGTTAATATTAGTGAATCGGGTGCGATAACGGAAGGGTCACAAGGCCTCAGTCCTCATAAGAATAGCGTGTACGTAGGGTCATTTATCAAGGGTAAGTTCGACATATGCATGCTAGGATACTACTACAGACTTAGATTTCCCATTTCGCTTCAAAGCTGACGCGCTTTCCCAGGTACGAAGCGTGCTCAGCCGGGTAACGATATAAAAATATGAATGTTTCGGTGGCTATATTTCTGCTGGGGGGAGTTATCTTTGTAACGGTTAAACAAATCTTAGTGAGACTTTACTCGCTACTATTTTTGTAGTTTGTATTTTGATATTGATTATTTTTTGCTCTCAATTTTAGTTTACATATTGTGACAACAGTCGTTTGATCCCACTAACTAATAACTTTCTGGTTCTAAGTGGTTCTAAATTTCGCTAAAACTTAACTGCGCATGATGATGGATTGATTTATGTTTTAAACATATTATCGCTTATGTCACAACACACGTGGTTTCTAGGAGAAGTGTCGTTGAGGTTGCCAGTCTTCTAGAGAATCGCCAACCTTTTACATTTGCGTTTTGAAGATTGTCATAAAAGTAAAGAGTACTTCAGTCTTTTATTCAAACGGACGTATACCATGCAAACCGTCTGAAAATCCATTAACTAGTTACGTAATGGGCCATGGCAGGGCTACCGCTTGCAATTTCTGCCTTAATAAACTAGGACACCACCAGTCTATCGGGAAACCGCCAGTTAAGCAAACACTCACACGGTCAAGATCAGTCGTTTCGTTTTAGACTTCGTAATTACTCTTTAACGAATTTACAGGCGTGCGTAAAGAAGTAAGCAAATTTAGTATTCGTAAGAGTTATTTGAGGACTTCAGCAATTTCGGCTAAATTACCGTGTTCGTCTTCAGAATAGTTAAATGAAGACCGTTAGTGGCTTTAGAATCCACAACATAATCACAAGATCCGTGATTATCGGTGGCATCTGAACACTGATTATGACAAGTAAATGGCCAAAATCAGAAATAGATCAAAACAGTCTTAGCTATACTGCAGAGACGTAAATTGTAGAGTCTATAATAGAAAATGAGCAATATCATAAAATAATAATACTCTAATGATCTGACAAGTCGATCAGGGAAAAAACCTATAATGAGTAGATTGACAAGAGCGGGCTTGAAAGGTAATAAAAGAAGCCAGGTGGATTCTGCCAGATTCACAATCATTACTTGTTCTCCGAAATTTATCTAAAGTAACGAAAAAAAACTCGAATTATAAGCATACGACGAGTATGGGTATAACGTCTTCGGGAAGGATCGCATCAGAATTCAGCCACAAAGAAAGTACTTATGTCTCAATCAAATACCATATTTTGATATCAGTATTTAGGAAATCGAGTCAGATTGAATACGGGCCATGTTTCCCATTGCCGAGACCGTTATTGGGGGTACGAAGTAAAGGATTTCTCTTTAAAAAAAAACTCCAACACAGATTCGTGCTCAGGCTTACCACTTAAGCGCATGATCAAGATTTCAGAATATACGATCATGTCGATTTTTCGTTTTGTATAGAGTTGCTAGAGTTAAGTAATACTGCTTTCAAATAGAGAAGCTAACAATAATAATACCCTGTACATAGGGCTCTGTCCATAAAAAGAATTCGCTAGTGTTCGGTGAGAGATTTATTTTCTTTGACTATCATTGTTATCCGACATTGAAGTCTCAACCTTCGGCCTACCTAGCTGTGCCAAAGCAACCGACGAAGACAACTATAATTTCACTCCGATTAAGATGGCTGTTTATAGCTAGAAAAAAACACTAGCAGAAACACACAAGTTGCTGCTAGCGATTCTTCAAATCTATTTAAGTTGATATGTAATTGCAAAATGCAGTTTATATTGATACCCAATACATTTAAAAAATATTATCAACATTGGTAGCGTCGATATTTTACCATCATTTGAATTATATGCAATTAGGCATGATCAAGTAATGTGAGCGTATAACACAATCCATCTACTTAGTTCATAAGGTTTGGTAGGGTCAAATCGTCTGCAGTGGCTTGATTTTAGGCCGGAAATCATTGTGCCGAGACTACATTGTTTCTACATGCTTGTGTAGCACTATCAGACAACTGTCGTCACGTGAAAGCGGCTGTACGTGCTGTACAATCGTCGTTTCGTAGGGTTTGTCAGTCGGTTTTGAACGAGCAGACGATTCTCTGCTAACCTGAAATATCTGTTCGTCTAGGCATCATGAGCATTCACGCGACATTTGATTCTTGATTTTAACTGAGTGAACTTGTCCAAGAATTCCCTGGCAAAACTGCGCCTATCATAGTGCTCCGTTGCCATCGTGTTTGTTCTGGCAACGATGAGTGAATTCGACAAATGCACTATTCGAGGGCTCGAGGTGCTTCGCGGTGCTCTTGAACGACTTTCCAGAGATCCGCCCACGGAAGTGCCCCCTCTTTACGAACGAGTCGAATTCCTTCATAAAGCGCACATTTATATCGCACATAAGATGGCAGAAAAAGGATACAAGGTGCGTCTAAAATAATCAAGAACCCTCATTTATTAGGGTGTTCGCTTCAAGCTTACGCGCCTTCACCTACAGAAATGTATCTACTATATTAACTACTATACAGCCTGTGCGAATAAAGAAAATTATATATATATATATATATATATATATTAGCCTGAAAATACCTATGTGGTATGGAGTCGGTGCTTGAAGTTGCCCTTTTGGGTTTTTTTTTCTCATTATTTGTTAAGAACATGTGTGTGCAAAAATTTACAACTGATAATGTCGATTGTCATTTTATACAATCTTCTCTTTCGATAAGGAGATCTATGCAAAGGGAATTTATTTTGGTACCGATTAAAAGCTTGTGATGAGACGAGTCCAGATGAACTCAATATTCCCAACCTTACGTTTGAACCTTGCAATACTGGGCAAAAATGACGACAAGGGCGATTCGTCTCTATGGACATTGCACTAGCGCTAGTACCGCCGTATTGCCGTTGAATAGAATGATGATGATAGCCACGAGCACAGTCGTACACGTCTCAGTGCGTCCTTTATTGGCGTAATTTAGCCTCTTTTCAGCTGTACGCAATTAAGTTGTACCGTATGTATTTGATACCTGCCTGTTTGTCTATGGTGGTTGTCATTGTTACTGCAGGGTAGGTGATGAACGCTAGTGGATGCTATTATAGGACGCGAGTTGAACTAATTTTTTATGAAGATTCTTTTGTACGATTCGTCCTTTCATCTGAACAGAGTTTTTTTTCTTTGATTCTGAACTCTTCGTAGAGCAATAGTCGTTTGTGCAACGACTCAAAGACAACCGTTTAGCAAATGATAACGACGGCAAGCAGTGTTAGCGTAGGGCAGTGTCACCACATTAGGAAATCGTTAAAGAGATCTTATACAAAAGTACATAGATATATAAATGAATCTTTTGAGCTTTACGTCTGTTACTGGTATCTTCAGACAGCTGGCTCCGAACACTACACAACGTGTGTCTACGGCCGATTTTGAACTGAGACCACAAGATGTCCCTAAATTTAGCAGACAAACTTGGCGTCCTTGAATCATCAAGGAGAGCACGCCATTTAGATTTGGTCAACCAGGCATATTTAGTCTCCTGTTATACATGACATTATTTTCGACGCAAACATGTCTGATGCAATCACTGAGGTAAAAGTTTCACCGTGACGAATCCGCATTTAGCTTAATTACCACAGACGGAACTGTATTACCCTTATTAATAAGAGATTGTGGTGCACAGCCTTTTCTTTTATCGATTCTGGCTCTGCGCGTTGGGTACGGAATTAGCCATGTGAATTTTCAGTGGACTCATAGTGAAACTATGAAGGACGCCATTTCCGTTGAGGTTCTTCATACGCGGTTTTGGTTTTCATCTAATTACCTTCAGTCCAATCAGTCAACGTCAGCCGACTGGTACTCCAGGGTTAAGCATTAATCTACACCAAAAGCGCCTTTTTTCTAGACCCTTAAACTATTGTAAAGCCTAGAATAAGCTCTTCGTCTGCTATAACAATATTTTGGTTGTATTCCTGCCGTCGAAAATATATCATGGGTTTACGTAAGGCGGACGAGCTTCACGTTTGTGTGAAACTCAATGAATACCAGCAGCACCCCATACCTGAAGAAACACGAATTTGGCAATGCGCTAATTTTAGGTGATCTGATGCTAAAGATGAGTTCTGAATTATGCCAACTCGTTCTTTTATATAGGACGATTTATTTCAGGCTTATTTCTTTTTCGAAGTTATGCCAGTTTAACGCGCAGAAGTTTGAACTGATCACCATAATATACGAAGTTCGGGTAGCAGATTCTTAAACAATTTTTTAGGCTCGCGACATAGAGGAGGATTAGAAACTTGACAGTAGAAGTTCGAAAATACTGTTATTAAACACAATTTTGAAAACGACTTTTTTACGATGGATTCTCATATTAATTTGAGTTTTCAAAAGAAAATGTTTATACGAATTCTGTAGTGTTAATTTCTCGTTTTAGTATAATAATTTCGCTTTAATATTGATGCATTATATCTCTGAACAAGGAACTCGATGAACTTTTTGGTAGCATGGTCTTGATTTCTATATTGCAACGGGGGAGTGGTAACTCCTCGAAATCGATTCCATGTACACTTAGATATCCTTATCCGCTGGATTGTATCAACTTGTGTTTTTACGTAGGGTAAAATATAAGCTGTTTTGCCTTCTTGTTTAGTGCGTAAATCCCCTGTCTACTTAATATTGTTATCGAACAGATGCCGATTCAAGAAAAGGTTGATAACGAGTTTGCAAGATGGACTGCTTTCGAGGAGAAATTAAATCTGAGGCAAGATATAAGCTCTGATGTGGAAGCATACCATAGGGAACTAATGGTAAAGGCACTACGCAAGGTTCAATGTGAAATCGAGCAACGAAAGCAAAGTGACGGATCAGTGGACCAGGACAACGCTTCAGTGGACGAAACTGATTGGTCGGATGCTTCGCACATTTCAACTGGCTCTAGATCATCGAGATCGCAGAGTCTCTTATCTGCGAAGTCGGTCAGTCTATAGCTAGATTTCACATTTTTTATCAGTTGTGCTATATAAAGATAGTACTGAGAGGATCGCGGTATAACTCTTTTTGTTCTCGATTAACTTTTTCAATAGTATTCATCGGTGCTGATATCTAACTGACGAGCATAAGTAATTTCGGTTTGTTTACCTGGCCGAAAACCCAATGTTTCCCTAAAATTCTAGCAGTAAATCAACCGTCATTCGCCACGAGCTTCGCTTGTCTGACAACAGAGTTTTCAGCTCTGGTGTTGAAGAACTCGTTCAGCAACGTTTTGAGATCTTTTTCACCATAACATGCGCGGTTACTAATTTCATTCGCCAGTTATCAAAAAAAATGATATTTCATCGGAGCACTGACTCAAGCTCTTTGAGAGAGGCTTATACAATCTTTGCAATGTGGAGTTCGGCATTTACATGAAGATGTGTGACTTGGCCTTGCCCATTCGGCCTGTCTTGATGGATAGACTCGTTCACTCAAAGAAATTAGGCTATATACAGATCCGTATTAGCTGTCATGTTCTTTTAAAATATTTCCCAGCGTATAAAATCCTGCCAGTTTTAATCGTCGCTTGGAACGAAAATCTGACTTAGTTTTGGGCTTAAACATGTCCCCTAAACCTTCTCGATCTGTTCCTTGCTTTATATCGATGTGAGACACCACTTCTCGTCACCGGTGGAAATTTTGTGTAGAAACCTGTTATTGTGGGCGCGTGTTGTTCGATGTCGGGCGGATGATTAGATTTACGCAGTTCATAGGGTATATAAGCTTCAAATTTTTCGGTAAATCTCATAGAGTTTAGATGCCTTCCGAAACCCATAGATGAATACGCTATTTTATTTTGGGGATAAAGTATTCTCTCGGCACTTAAATATGATATCACACTATATTTTGGCTATCAAGGTCTGCTCGTCTTCTCCATGGTTGCCGTTTCACGGTGTGATACGCTCCGCATCGGTTATCTGAAGTATGGATCAATACACGCGTTCGTCACAAACCAAACCCGATTTGATCTCTACTTCCATCAGCCTTTTATATATCCTTCTAGAGATCAGCGTAGGACGTTGCTAGCTTAGTTGACTGAGCACAGAAACTGTGTAGTGAATTCCCCGTTACCGAGACAGAGAGATTTGCAATTCTTTACCAGTCTGTACCCGTTGCATTGAAAAACCAAGAATTGCTTCATGCCGAGTTACTGAAATATATCAGGCATTGAGTGCAGTAGCTTGGAATCAATGGCATTTTCAAATTCTACAACCCAATTTTGAGCGTTTTTCTCAGTTATAAGGTCTTCGCTGTGTTCGGGCCGGATATCCAGGCCTGCTTTGTCAACTGTTAGACTTTGATAGCGGGCTAAGTAGGTAAGTATCGAAGATGTACCTTTTTCTTTTGGAAACTGCATATTTTAAGCCTGAACTCGATATAAAATTTCGTTCAATATGCAGAGAAATCACGACAGATTCACAGAGAGGAAAGGGAACATGTGTGAATGGTACATCGAAATAAACAAACTAGGAGGAGCGGTATCAATAGAACTAATCGAATGTTCTTTGTTCCAACCAGTATTGTATTGCGTTATGCCACCTGGATCTTTAAAAAAGGAGAGCTTTACAGAGCTAGAAACTAAAAGTCTAAATTATAATTTCCAAGGAAAGAGCCGAAGTGGCTTGTGCTAAATTATCCTGGAAGCTCGTCTCTTCTTCTCGAACCATGATATCTCTGGAAGTGGCCCTAATTACTTAATCGGGACTGAGCAGTTGAACTTGTGGGACGATTAGAGAGCAAACATGTCGCTAAAGTTAATGTTTAATAGGAATCCTTTGAGATTCTGTCAACTACGTGCTACAACGTGCATTTAACAAGGTCACATCACTCGAAAAAGCAACAAAAGATGCAATTAATTCTAAACTTACTGCTACTGTGACTGAGTTTGATCCTTTAATTACTGGCAATTCTGGCAAATTTGGCATCCACCCATCTTGGCTCTAAAATATTATAACAGCACGAAAATGAATATTGTTGTTATCATCATTACTCCTTGATCACTCTACTGGTAAAAATTATAGGTACCTGTAAAATCATGTTAAATACAAACATGAGCCTGCTTGATTAGTATTAGTAAAATAAAAACATTTTTTTTTTTTTTTTTTTTAACTAAAACAGCGTTTTCCTGATCAATGGGATTTCATGTCGTTTTAGAAACTGAAGCGTAGCATGAGCGAAAGTTCGTCAAGACGAGATATGCGTATAGTCGCACCTTCCGAGTCTACCACAAAAAGGCAAAGGGTGGCTAACCATCAGAAAGAAGGCTTATCGGTAGGTCAGAAGGCTAACGACACATCAACTGACGATGGCTTGGAGCGTGAGAGTCGTTCTCGAATTCCCAAGAAAGGTTCAAGTAGAAATAATTCACAGTCTGTTAGAGGTTTGAAACCGGCCTTGCCATTGTTTCAGAACAAAATATCTCGGCCTCCAAGTGTTGACAGGGCAGAGTTTGCGAGGTAAGTGGAAAAGTCTTATTACCTTTCATGATTAGCATTTCACTATGAACTATGCAACTTTTAGCATAGGGAGCGTGTGTGCTGCCGTAAAAATTCACGCAAAAAAAGTAAGCGTTGTGATCATTTTTGAGATGACCATTGAGTCTGACGTAAATACTAGCTATAGTACGTGGAAAACGCTTGCGGTCAATGAAGTATCTCGTCATGGGTATTTTCAAAGAACGTATTTATCGTACAGTAACAGTAATCATACATTTTTAACAGTGCCAGCTAACGGCTCAAATTGTGTAGTTATGCTTGTAGGTAAGTGATGGAACTATTATGAAAAGAAAAACGTGTTAGGATAAAAATACGTTGTGATTTTCAATACATCTCTCACGTAATAACAACTCCGTGTTTGTTATAGAGCTCAAAACCAGCGCGTTCAACAAGCAAAGGAACGTCGCGAACAACAGCAGCAGACCGAAGAGATTGCCAAAGACAGCAAACGGTCAGTAGCAAAGTTAAAGTCCATTAAAGCCGATAGTTCCGGAAGGGGGGTATCGAGAAATTCAGTATCCCTCCAGAAAAAAGTTAGCGCCATCGATCCATCGCCAAATAATCCTATCATAACTGGTACAATACCACTGGCCAATGAGATGTTACACGGACAGACTTTGCTTGAGTCAAGCAAACTGCCGCTCCTTACACATCAAGTTAATTCTACATTCATGGTGAGCGCCTATTTAGGACAAAATCAATCGCCTGTACCAACGTAAATACAAATAATAATAACTATTTCATTATTAACAAGTTAAGGAAAAAAATAGCGATGATTCTGTTTAAATACATTTTTTTTTCTCGTTTTATTATTTCTATTCCTTTATTCTAGCAGAGATCATTTGTCGAGTTTACAGCAAACAATTTATTGGCATGTTTTGTTCTGAAAGCTCTTTATCGCTAATCAAACTCAAGCTTGAAAAGAAGAGGCCCGTACGAGGTAAAGCCTTGTCAACTCAACCCTAAATCTATTACTACCGGTCAATTTGGCCGTTTGTAAAATTTATTCAGAAGGCTACATATTGAAACGTATATATACGCCATAAAAAAGCAACTGAAAAGATACGCTTCAATATAGAAACACTTTTTTCAAGGACTGGTTATTCTAACTGCGTTCGGTAGAAATAGGTATACAAAATATATCGGTGAATCTAGTATTCATTATGTAGAGGGATACTACTAATGAATAAGGCAGCGATAAAAGTGCACTCTAAATTAAAGTTACCTGGCCTCCCCCTTGCCTCAATAGTCGTTGTCATATTTTCTTTGTACTACCCATATTTATTTACTTAATTGATGCTCAGATGGGTGCGGAAGCTCGACCAATGTGCGACGTGACGATGATTGCCCCTGTTCCAGCTGGATTTCGTGAGATGCCTGTTCATCCGTTAAACACGACGTATGTGCCGTCCGCTACCGCCGTTCCAAACGATGTAACGTTTGCAAAACCCTTGCAACCAGTAGAAACAATTTACCGACCGGTCCTCGATCCCCCCGACAATGGCCAAATAGAGCCAGCACTACCTGACGAGAATGCGGCCAACGCCACGGTTGACGACACTCTTCTGAACCCTATGGAGAGCTACTGCAACTACGGGCTAGAGGACCTTTGTTCGGATTCCGATAACACCGACGACGAATGTCACCCCAAAAAAATCGTATGTCTTCTTCGTAGTGAGTGATTAATTTACCTTGAAGCTCGCGTAAATTTAACTCATCATAGAATAAACTTGATGTAAAAGTTAATCGTTCTTTTTTCGTGTACTACGTTCTGCTTATATTAAAAGGAATTGTGTTGCCTTAATAATGGTATTTGCTCAAATTGCTTTGAGTATACGGGAGAAGAGTGCAAGAGCTTACACTATATGATAACAGAAAAATTCATAGTAGACACGTTTTTTTAGTGGTTGTCTTACAAGCAGAAATTCGTTTTAATTTGAATACAAAAAGAGTAATATTGACTATTTTGATTCGCAGATACCTGGATGGGCGCGAATGGATTCAGCTCGTTTCAGAAGACGTATCTTCAAACAGAAGACGTTGGGTGACAGCATTGAAAAGTATAGGCTTAAAGATATTTGTATGCCAAAATATGTCGACCTGCATGAGATTTTTTACTCCGATATTGCCAAAAGGGATACCTCCTCACTCATCTGGGATACAACGCAGACTTTTATAGCTTAAAATAATGATGGTAGTGAATTTTCGAGAGAACTGCAGCTCGCTTATGTGTTGTGTACTGAACTTCGTGGATGCACGACTTCCCTTACCTGTTTCAACCAGTTAACCGCTAATTCTTCTCTGAACTTCAGGATAGGTGGCGCAGCAGTCGCGGATCGTAAGGCAATGTTAATATCGTTCTTTTGTTCTCACTTTTGCTCTTTCCAAAGTTGTCTTAATCTACCTATTGTTTACCTTTAGCAGTCTGTATAATAAGGTTGTATAAAAAAGAAACATATATATATATATATATATATATGTATATATATATATATGCTTAAGCGTTGTACATATTGATTCATCTTTTAATCGTATTTTGACCGTCCTTAATATATGTTCTGAACAGAGTTTCGAAATAACGATAACCTATTGCTGTGACAAGTGGATCATGGCAAGGGCCAGTATCGTCAGCAATAGATAGAGCGGTCAGAATAGGCTTGACATATAATAAAAAAAGAAACAACATGAATTATACTGATGCTTAAGAAACGATTATTCTAATCTATTATTCCCTTATTGTTTGTCTTTTAGCAAGAAGTAAACGTTTCTCTGAAAAATTGATTTTAGATTATGGTAACGAAACAACATAATCCTCATATGCTTTATACTATTTATGATACCAACACGACATTTAATCCATGCGATAACTCATGGGAGATAGCCCGCTAATTGGCTTTTTATGTCCGTAAACTAGAAAAGACTAAGGCACATAATATACATCATGATCATGTACAATTCCGTATATTTTAAATATACTTTTATATTTAAATATGCTGTTCCATATGGTATTTCAGAAGCTTGTACCTTTAACTGAGGAGCTTGTTTTACAAAATTTACTCAATTTTGAAGGAAATACTGCCTTTGCTGCAGAACCAAATGTAGAAAACTATGTAGAAAGCATTCTCTTATACTTACTTCAACTAGGTAGCACGTGTTTTTCGTTCAGGTTTGCGTCGTTAATGGTATACCGTTGATTTTCCCATTTGCTATACACATATAGTCTGATTTGAAGTATCGTAGGTCACTTGTTGGCAGCGAAGGACGAGGCACATTACTGCACTGATAAATGCTCGCTCCATTCTCTGCTTTTCCGTAACGTAGAAACTACGAAGTTCCTGCACGTAGACCAAATCTGTGACGGTACTACACTAACTCAGCTCAGTGAGCTTCGACCTTATTAGTAATACACAATACGAATATTTTATACACTTCAAGAAATAAAGTTGCTATAATTTGCCTTCGCGAAGTGCACACGGAACTTCGTTTCACAAAAAAATCAAGTGCTGACTTTAAGGCACTTTTCTTAGTTGGGTGTTGCTCAAGCTAATCGTTGCTCTAGCTAAAGTAACATTTCAGTCTACAAGTGATTTTATTTATGCCTAGAAGCCAAAGCATTAAAGCCCAAAGTAAAAGGCCTTGAGGGACTTATTTTAGATGAGTGTATGAAACTGATTGATTCAAAGAATCCTATTACCAATCTATTAGTGAATCTATCCAAACAACAGTATGTTGAGCAATGAACTATTATTTTCAATTTGTAATTCATTGTTGCTTTCTACCTTCGTAATATCTAGACAGTAAGCAACCTATATAAGGGAATGGGTTTACATTTATTATCAGATATTCGAGGCTTCAAAAACGCGTATTGGGTAGTTTACTCAATGAACTGACGGGGTCCGACGCCCAGAACCCGTCAGTTCGTTGTTCGATAGCGAATGCACACAGAGGACATACTATGCATTATCGATATTTAATAGCAAAAGTGAGCATATAAACTGCTTTTTAAATTTTGTGTTGTTCGTTTATATATATATATATATATATATATATATTTTGTTTTGAAATCGGCGAGCGGTTTATTGTCTACGCCAGAGAAACAACTGGCAATTGAACAGAATATGTTACGTTCAGGTAAGTTTATATTTGGCGGGCCCACAAATTCAGTTGGACACATAATGATGTGGGGCTTCTTCAAGCATGTCAACCCATATTGTATATGAGTCTGAATGCACTTACTTCTGCCATTTTCAATTTATGTTCAAGCACGACATACATTTACAGGAACTGTGTGAAACCAAGCACAGTGTCTTCAGCTGTTTCAGTATACTGTCTAAATGAAACTTATGATAATCACTTGCGGCAAAAGAGGTTAAGTGATCATGATGTTCGTACTGTGATTTGATCTCAATACATAACTTATTAACTAAGCTTTATATTTAATTATATTTTACCTAGGTGAATAGAACTACTTTCAACTGTAATTTCAGCTACTCAAGCGAGGTGTCCCGATATCTCGGGGTTAATTTGAAACAATTTTACTTTCTAGATTTTTTATAAACCACCTAGAATATTTTACGCCTTAACCATTTACTATACCATAAAATTTAACCGAATCCACGAAAGTTATAGCCACCTCATCTGCAAAGCCAATACATTTTTTTTATTTATATATATAATTTAATACAACCTATGTGTTAAAACCTATGCGAGTTGAATGAATTTTTTTAGTAAGTGTTTTGATGTTTACATTTATGTTAACGTAATAAGGTTTCAACTCATTTCGTTCCCTAGACTTGGTACATTGGCACCAGCCGATAGAATTGGTACATGGAGGTTTTTACACTTTTACGACTCATCCTCTCATTGCTAATAAAAATACGCATGATATTACGTATATGAATTAAATGCGAATCATTTCGTCATGTTACGGCTAGTCCATCCGTATAGTTCAATTTTTGGTGGGGGCGGGGGGGGGGTGCAATTATTCTTGTGCGTCTTGCTACGCCGTTTAGCCCTCTTCGATGTCGAACTTTTGTCTTTGAAACGTTTCCACTTATTCATTCCTTCTCATTATGCCTCCAAGGAAGCCACCCCATTGATCCGATTGCATACAATGTAGATGGCAATTTGGATTTTTTCAGTTCTCTCCATTAAGGTTTGGTATGCCTCGTGACCAGCGTCTGAGTTACTCCATGTAACAGATTGCCATATAGCTTATCAAACCATGTGGGTATATCGGGTACGAGGCTATAAATTCAGTGGTCCACGTCCTACGGTTCAAGCCGCTCTTGTTGTCGTTACTTTCACAGCGTGACCTTTTTCGCTATCGGGAGGATCATATCTTGGTCTAAATGTCGTTCAGTCCTCTTATATGCCTTAAGATCCCAGGGGATCAGCCTAGCCAGAACGGGAACCGCATTTGTGTTTTCTTACAATTTTTTTTTATCGATATGTAAATGTCTGCCTAGATTGAGGAGGCATAGGGAAAGACTGATTCAGTAGCCATCTGGCGCTTTCGGTGGTTATTCCCCAAACGAGCATAACTCGATCGACCTGCCTGAACATCTTACCGCGTGTTTAATTTCGTATGGGCCATAGACGTTAGTTCTGTATTCAGTAGTACTCCCAGAAAATTTATTGTGCACTTAATCCTGTTGAGTGGTTCGCCGACCTTAAGGTCGATCCATTCAGCTCTCTTCTTACCTGTCAATAAGATGACCTCTTTAGCCTGAGGCGATGCTCCTTCATTCACGTGTTAACTGTGGTTAGAGGAACGTTTGTCTAGACCTTAAGCTTTGATTTCTTTGGCGCCTTTACAGAGAACGTAAGGTCGTTTTCGCATTGCTATGCAATCGACTTCGTCTAGTAGGCCGGGTATTGGTAGTAAGGAATCGCGGCCTAAACACTACCATGTTAGAGCGAGTAGTAATCTATGGGGAACTTTCGCTGGAATCCGCCTCTGTACATGACCGATGGACAACTGCCTGTCATCGAAATAGGACAAGATAATCGGGTGGTGTGGGACACCTTCTATTATTAAAAACAGGTATGCCTCGACTTCTAGGTCGGCGATTGGGTCCTGAGAGTGCTTTGTTTCAAAGCTTCCAGTTTGCCTTATAGGTATTGTGTACAGTGGTCTGCTACCGTAGCCTTGACTACCAACATGTCGTAACTTATTAGCTATGAAGTCGCCTTACGTAGTTTTAGTCAAGATTCAGCTGAGACTAAGAGTTGTCGGATTGCTTCAGCCTCAATGTGTTGCAAGACAAAACAAGTACGAGAGATATTGAAATTCTCAAGAAAGCAAAATTCGTTCGTTAAACCAAGCATAAAAAGTGCCACCTACTAGTTATAAATTACTATTCTTAGTTGTAGACGAGATCACAGAGCATTAAGTTGAATTTGATTTCACAGGCATCCATGTCAGGAAACGAGTTTTTGTACGGGAAAACGATTTCATCTGATCAATGTCACAGGCGTTATTATAGGTGCTATTTTTAACTGGATATTCTCAAAGCGTGTATTCGAATGCTCCGGGGGATTAGGCAAATCGCATCGCGTGAGCAATGCCCTAAGCGAATTATTGCCTTACTTTACATGAATCCCAAAACTGTTTTTATAAAAATACCTCTCTTCTTAAGCTTGTCCGCCAAAAATCAAAATTTTCGGAGCCGTTTTCTTTAGATGTGTTCACACACAAATATAAATTAAAGTCTGTTTAGACCATGAAGCATTTCAGCTAATCAGCCCAAAATACAGTAAATGAACTCATAGACACCGGAAGCGACTTTTTGCTTAACCCAGAATTGAGACTCCCATTTCCGACTACACTGATCTTCAAGATGGGAACATTAGTCCTGTTATATTCGAATCTCAGATGATATGCATTGGCGTAAATGTACCGGTGTGTATCAAAAACCGATAAAAAAAAAGGCACTTTCCATCGTAAGGCATGCATTGACGTTTTTAATATTAAATGCTCTGCCTCGTAGCGAAAACCTTACAGTGCGAGCTTTTGCAAAAATCGTATTATTATCGCTATGATTATATTGACTGGCTACAATGATACAAGGTGTTATTCTAGAGATTAGTGACCGTTTGTGTCCTGAAGGACATATATAATTCAATACAATATGCTTCGGATATTTCCTTTTTGTATTTCGAACAAAAAAATAGCAAACGTCTTAATTATTTCTTGATAATTCTATTACACGTTCAATCATTCCTACAGGCATTTGGTACCTAACTTTCGCGATATCACATATTAATATATTTGCAAGGAAACGTTGTAGGAGCAGGGATGACTGTGATCGGGACCGACAACAGGGGTCTACGCAATATGGAGCATCGAGTGATTCACGGCAATCTCTATGAGTTATTTGTGGAAAACGTTGCACAGCTGCTAGCCAATACCAATTTACGCTTTCTAATTCTCGATGACAGATCTAACATCATGTGGAGCAGTGGTGCATTGACTAGTTTATATGACTCGACATTCGACGAGCTTGTCTTCCTCTCGCTTGTGGAACTGAAGCTTTAAGAATTGTCCCGTAATGACCCACCTGTGTGTCTTGATAACCTCGAAAATCTCGGCTTAAGTAAGATTATGTAAGTGGTTCCGTGTGCATGATCCTCGAAAGTATGAATTAGAAGATTAGATTCACCCAAGCAAAAAACATAGAACTTAGCATGTTGATTACCGTCTTGTCTCGCTATTTATAACGTTGCCAAAATGTTGAAATCAATTACACGTCAAAAGTTTACAGTCACTTGATGAAGCAGGCTTTTTGTAATCTTCTCATAAAAAAAAAAAAAGGTTGCAAAACAAGGCAGATGTTCTCATTTTCGCAATTCAGTCTCCTGTGCGACAGAAAGAACAAGTTCGTAAGTATCCCACCTGGTTTCCTGGTCGATGTGGATCGACTCAGGGTATCGGATTTATCCAACAACGAACTTGAGACGCTGGAAGAGAAAATCTTCGGCAACTTTGATGGTTTGACAGCAGATGTTATCTCTTTCCTAAATTGTTTTAGCTAAAATCGGCGGCTTACATCTAGTCTTGTTTATTGTGACCAAATTACGATACGCATCTGTACGAAGCGTTCCCAGTTGGACGTATATTCCGGCTTTTATACCCAGTAACATACAAGGCGGCTGATTGAAGACGCTTTAGTATTTGAACTCATGTAACCTAGACGCTCTGATACCTGTTACAAAGTCAACGCTTGGGATCCCAGTAGTATTGAAAGTCACCCACGAATATATTGTGCTTTATTTTCTGGAAACCCGCTCAGAGCTAGGCTGGCTTCACACGAAATCACGCGTACGATCTTTGGGGTTGGTGTAAAATTCAAAAAGTTTACCGCAAGGATTGAAGCCCTTTTTGAAAAATGTCTTCTGAAGTAGAGTTATGGTCTAAATTGTATTATGAGCGCTCAGCAAAGTCTGAGTAATAAAGAAAATTGTGCGGAGCTCTGATCTCAGGAGGGCCAGTTACGTTTGTATCTCCCGAATTAGGCACTACGAAATCG